TTTAATGGTTATGAATTAGTTTAGTAAAAAAGTAAAATATTTTTTTACTATTAATAAGATTACTGCGGAGAAGTTGGCTAACCTATTTATTAAAAAAATTATATATAATACGGGGTTGCCCTGGAGCATAGTAATAAATTAAGGTTTGCTTTTTACTTTAAAGTATTAAATGGCCTTTTATTAAGCGCTGCGTATTAAGCAACAACTTAGTATAGTATACTATTCTTAATTAAACAGTTAAACTAAGCGCTAGAACCAGACGCTTAAAGCGTATTTACGCGTGTACTATAACTATTAGTAAAATAATTAGGTGTTATATTTACCACTGGCACGCTTTGCCTATAATAACTTAAAAAATAACTTAACCGGCTACGCTCCGCTTATAGTAAGTTATAAATAAAAACTAGTAATTCCTGGGCTTAAAAACCTGGGGGAATTAATATTTTATTTCTTTATTAAAAAGCGCTTACGCTATTTAAAATGGCTTTGCAAGAATTTGCAAAATTATATAAATAAGGTATAAAAAAAGCAGGCGCTCTACCATAATTAAAAATATTATCTAGTAAAATTTAAGGTTAAAGATAATATTTTAGTATTTTTAAAAAATATTAAATTAATATATTTAAGTAAAAAACTTGACCTAAAGTACAATAAACCCTTTAAAATTAAATTTATTATTAAAAAGCAGGTGTATTAGCTCCGGCTTACTAGTATGTATAATTAGTTAAAAATTTATCTAGTATTTCATGTCTTTTTTTAAAGCTATTTATACAGCAAGATAAGCCTAAGGGGGAAAAGGAGTAACTACTAACCATAAAGTTAGTTAATAAAAAAAAAAAATAGAAAGTTAAGGCTATTCTTGGAGAATAACAAATTTACAAACATAATAAATTCCTTGTTAAGTGGAAGGGCTAGCCTAGCTATAAAAACTTATAGGAACTGCTTTTTAATCTTAAGCATGCACAGGAAGCCCTGGTAAATTATAAAAAATTAGCTATAATAACACCGGTCCGCCGCTAGTTTAAAAAAAAAAAATAATAACCTTGCTAAATTAGATACCTTTCTTTTTTTTTTTACTAGGTTTTAAGGTTTAATAGACCGCTAGCATTATTAAAAAATTATTAAACCGCCACTTAATTACCACTAGTTACCTATGGCTTTAAAAAGGGGTGCGAGATTTTTTATTTTATAAGGTTTTAAGATTATACCCAAAGCTATAAGTAAAGTAATTACCTTTTTTATTTTTTTATAGGGTTTTAAGGTTTAACAAACTATAGCTAAAACGCCGCCGGCTTGGTATTAAAACTTATTCTAAATTATAATTTAGAATAAAGGACTATGTTTATGTTAAAGTTAAAATATTAAAAAAAAAAAAGATTTCTTATTTTTTTAAAAAAAAAAAAAAATAATAACTAGCTAGGCGGCAAGGGCTGTAATAAAAAACTACTATTTGGCATTAGGAGTAGGAGCAGGGGCCTTTACAAACGCCTTTTTTTTTTATTTAGTATTTTTTAAAGGAGAAGGCGTGACGGGCCCGTCCTTTAGAAAAAAGATATTAGCGGACTAGTAGCTATTCTAGCTATTATTAAAATAGGCCGGGGGCTATTTGGCAGCAAGCCAAAAGGACTAAACAAGCTCTTAGATAACTAAAGCCAAAACCTTTATTACATGGACCTTAGGGCTTATTTTCTTCTTATAAGCCTTTATTACTAGTTTAACCTAGTAAGTAAACACGTCTTGGTAACAAAGGCATTTGTTATAGTTAGCAAGATTTATATATTATAAAAAGGCAACGTCTTTCTTTATATAAAATGGTAGGGGGAGGCAAGTGCCCTTAATATAAATATAATAAAAGTAATTACGCCTAACAACCGGACGGACATAGTAATTAGGGCTGCTAATTAACTTATTATTTTTATATGTTTAAATATATTTTGCACACTGCAAGTAAACCTATTTTTTATTAGCTAATGTTTATACTAAAGCTATTTTACTAGTAAACTAGTTAAGAATAAGGTGTACTTATAAAAAAAAAAAGGCCGGAGGCTGGAGGAGAAGAAGCCCAAGGGGGCAGTAGTATAAAACCTATAATAAGGGTGTTAGCAAGGGTAGAGGCTAGCACAGTGCTAGGCAGAGCGGGGGGAGGCAAGCTAAAAGGCGTGGGAGTTATAGTTAAATAATAAGGTAGCCATTATAAATTAAAAGTTAGTATATTTAGCGGAGCGCCGGCGGAGCGCCACTAGTTAGTAGTTATTAAAGTAAAAAAAACTTACTAAATTATTACTTATAACCTTGCTGTATATTTTAAAGGCGCCTATTAAATATAAGTTATACTACTTGTTGCTATTATTACCGCCCAAAAACTAATTAAAATTAAAGTTCTTAAAACCAACGGGGGACTAGCATAAAAAAGAGATTAGGGATGCCAAGGGCTTTTAAAGTTAGTAAAAATATTATACTAAAGGGGTTTTATAACTATACTATAGTGGGAGTGTAAGAGGTAAAGGTAGGGGTATTTTAAATTACTATAATTATAGCCAGGCGCTTTTTTTTTACTTACTAGGAAGCCAGGGCAGCGCCCGAAAGGGCTTTTTTTTTAGCTATAATAAAAAAAGGGCAACTTTTTATTTAATAAAAAGTTTAATAAGTTTAGGAGTTTATAAAACTATAAACTATGCTATAATTTATGCTTTTATACTAGGTATTATTAAAGTGCCGCCTTTCCCCTTTTGGTTATAAATAAATATTATATTTTATTTAAAGTGCTATAAACAATAAGAATAAAACACTAAATTTAATATGTTAAATAACACTTTAATAAAGTTAAGAATAGCAATAATAAAGTTGTGTTTAGTGTTAATATTAATAATAATAGTGGCGTTTTATTATTATCTTTTTTTAGTTTAGCGGCGGGTCGCGGACGACCCTTTAATTAAGGAAGGAAAAAATTATTAGGGCTAATATTTTTTTATTTAATATTACTAAAGCTAATCCACTATTAGTTTAGAGTTAGTGTCTAAGCTTTGGCCTTAGGCCGCCAAGGCTTGGCATACCTTACCACCACGTTGGGCTATATAACTTAACTAGGTTATTAGTGTTTAGGGTTTTAGCCACTAGTTAGGCAAGGCTAGGGTAGGCCTTAAGTATAGGCTAGAGTAAAGACCCGTGCGCAAAGTATTTAAACCTATATTTATTTTTTAATTAGGAATAGCTTAAGCGTAGCTTGGAGGTTTATAAAGGTGGTTTTAAGACCAGCCTTTTTTAAGATCTTTAAGTAACTCTTTTAATATTATCTAACGGGATTTAGAATACTCCATTCTTATTAGTCAGATTCCTTTGTCAATATCTTCATCATCAGTAAAGATCTTCGAGACTTGTCGGTCTTACATTTTATTAATAATATACTTATTATAAGCAAGAGATTAGCTAAAGCCAAAAAAAAGGCTGCTAACTTTATTAAATATATAAAGTATATATATAAATTATAAAATCTTAGTAAAGTAAAGTGGTTTTTAAATATTAAAATTATTTATAATTATTATAATTAAAAAATTTAATTACTTTAAGATTTTTATATTAATAATTTGCAGGCTAAATATAACCTTATAGCACTAAGTAAAATATTAAAAATACCTTTACTTACTAAAAAACTAATACCTGCGCTTTTAAATTATACACCTATAAAGTAAGATATTTTTTTATACTAATAACTTATTAGCTTATTTTTTTATTTTATTATAATAACATGCCCTAACACCTTTAAAGCAGCCAGCAAGCTTGCTTAATATATAATATAATTTATTAAAACTTATATTAAGGTAGCTAAATATATTATTTAGTATTTTATTATTATAAAGGACCTAGAAATTAAATACTTAGCTAATACTAAAAAAATTATTACCATGGTATTTAATACTTTTTTTAGTAATAATCTTAATTAACATAGCTTTAATAAATAGCTTATAAAGCTATTTAAAAGTTTAATTAACTAAAACACTTGCAAGTAAAAAATAATTACCACCTTTATTATTAAAACTAAATTACTTGCTATTACCAAGGGAGTAAAAAACCTTATATAATAAAAAAAACTTTTTAACACTATAAAATTTAATTTAAAGGTTAAATTATACCTTTTTTATAATAACACCTAAACTATATAATTACTTAACTTAAATAATTTTATATTTATTATATAACTTTAACATGTTAATATTTACTATTACTAGCTTTGTAAAAAGTATTAAAATAAAAAAATTAAAGTTAACTAAATAAAAATAAAAAATTAATTAATAAATAGCCTTACTAAACTTTTTAATAGCCCGCGCCACAAGATATTTATTTACTAACTTAGCCTTATTAAAATTAAAGCTATTTTTAATATATAATATTAGTGCTTTTGTTTTTTTAAGCGCTAGGGGGTATATTAAATAAAAGGTGGAAATCCCTTAAATCTTCGCGGTAAACTTAGTTAAATAACTTTAACTAACCTTTAAAAATAAAAAAAAAATTAACCTTTAACTTTAGCCGGATCTCACGGCCTAATTAAAAAATAAAATATAAAAAAAAAAAAAAATAAATATAGCTTAAATTCTCCTGTATCTAGCTATTAAACTCTTATATTCTTATTTATCTTAGATCCTAAGAAATCTCATGTTTTATTTACCCCTCGATTCTCATCCCAATCTCACATGACCAATTTCTGCCTGAGGCATCCGTAACTCCGAAACCAGGACATTGATTGCATCATATTCCCCAGCATCTGAGACCAGTCAATGGCTACTTCAATCTACATGTCCTCTAACATAAGTGAACGGTCTATGAATTAACTATCTTCAAGTAGCAGGTACAGCCCAACGCCGAGACTGTAATGTATGCCCAAGGTGTATGTACCAAACTTTTGAACAAATCCACGGTAGGTACAGATGAGGCAAGGAAACAAGAGCAATAGCATAATTATACCAACGCAGTGGTAGTAGACACACATGTATACGAAGTCAAGTCTAAGAGTCGTCCACGAGACGCTTCTGCTCCCACGCCTTCTTGGCCAAGTCCAGCAGTGTCTCCAGGTTGCCGCTGTTCTCGCACATGCTGCGGAAGACGCCCCCTTCCTTGTTGACTAGCGTCCAGGGGTGGTCGAACTCGACGACCTTGCCATGGTCCAGGACCAGGACCTTGTCGTAGTCGATAATGGTCTGGAGGCGGTGCGCAATCGTGATGATCGTGTTGTCACGCAGCTCCCGGAGCGTCTCCTGAATCTTGGCGTCTGTCGTATAGTCAATGGACGCTGTAGCTTCGTCCATCATCAACACCTTGGGGTTCTTGAGCAGGGCTCGGGCAAGGCATAGAAGCTGGCGTTGCCCTTGAGACAGGTTAGATCCAGACTCGGATACTGGGCTCTCGAGGTTGTGGAAGATGTTCTTGTTGTCGAGGATTCCACTGGCAGCAGTATTGGTTTCTGACGGTGCGGCCAATACTTGCTCAGTGGGCGTCAGGGTGCTGGCCGTGACCGGGGTTGCTGTGCCAGAAGTGCCGGAGCCGATAAGATGCACCCGGCGAATAGCGGTAAAGATCTGCTCATCGGTAAAATGACCAAAGGGATCTAGGTTGCTCCTAATGGTTCCAGTGAAGAGCGTCGGATCTTGAGGAACAATGGTAATCGCTTCTCGCAAATCCTTCAACCCGATAGTTCCAATGTCGACACCGTCAATGTTGATTCGACCAGTCTCTGCTTCAAGACCACGGAATAGAGCAAGCGCGAGAGAACTCTTTCCGGCACCGGTACGACCGACGATTCCAACCTTCTCCCCAGACTGCACGGTGAATGAAACTTCGCGCAGCACCGGGTCAAGATCAGGGCGGTATCGGGTGGAGTAGCTGCTGAACTGGACCGATCCTTGGCTGGGCCAGTTGGCAGGCGGCCGCGAGTCGGCAATGACCGGCGGTGCCTCCTGTTCGACCTCCAGGTACTCCTTGACACGCTCGACCGAGTTCATACTCTGCTGCACTTCCGAGTACAGACGCACCAGCCAGAGAACGTTTTCAGTGAAGGTCACGGCGTAGGTCAGAGAAAGACCCGCAGCACCGGCATCGATTCTTCCAATGTTCGACAGAATGAAAGTCGCCGTCAAGAAAGATACCAAGGCTCCGGTGATATCAACCCGGAATGCGAGCCATCGGTTGGCGGCCCAGAGGTAGATGTGAGGCCGGTTGTAGTTGTTGATACGCTGGTGGTTGTCGACGAGGAATCTCGGGCCATCGCCATAAGCACGGATGGTGACGATGCCGTTGAGAGTCTCGCCGAATTGCTGGTACAGAGGGCTGCGCTGTACAGACTCCAGCCGCTTCATATCACGAGATGCGTTCAGGTAGATTGCTCCCAGAGCAAAGTAGATCATGGTGATAAACACGGCAGCAACCAAGAATCCAGGGGTAATGATCGAGATAAGGATCACAATCATAACGACGGATGCTAGACTATGAAGCATACCAATGGCAACTGGCGCAACTTCCTGGTCAATGGCTTCGACATCCTTGGAGAATCTGTTCATAAGTTGACCCAGAGGCGTTGAATCGAAGAACTTGAACTTGGCGTGCATCACCGTCTTGAGCAGACGCTTGTGGATGCGGTTCGAGGCGTGAAGTGAACCCCAGAAAAGAACACCTTCTCTGGTAGCCGAGATAGTAATGTAGAGGACACCTAGTAGCGCGTAAACGCCGAGGTAGTAGGTGACATTCACATCGTTGTCTGAGACCACAGCCTGGGTACCCATCTGCGGCGCCAACCCAGATGTGCGTGGGACACCGAGGACGTTGAACGACGGGAACTTGAACTGGGCCATCGCGGCGTAGGTACCTTCATTATCGACATCGACCTTATCGGTGCTGTACGAGTTTGCCCATTGTCTGATCCAGATGTTGGTCGATACAGAACCGAGTTGCTGAAGAGTGAACACAATGAGAGCGACAATCCAATAGTACCAGGGTCCCATCGAAAGAAGATACATCTTGATGGTAGACCACTTGATACTGCCGACCGCCTTTGTTTCTTGCAGCTTCTTGGATGTTGCTGTCTTTTCAACGGGTTTACCAGGTGTTCCATTAGCCGTACCGTTAGCGGTGCCGTTGGCGGCGGGCGGCTCATGAGAGTCTTCGGCGGCGTTGGAAGGTCGACGGGATCGAGGAGGAGAGGAGCTGGACCGAGAGCCGGGTCGTGACTTGGAAAGGTCCTCGCCAAGCGCTTTGGATGCTCCCGGCTCATCAGGCCTGCCCTTAAAGGTGACCTTACCATTCTCAATGGCAACGATGAAGTCGGCGTACGGAGCAGTCAAGGCGATGTTGTGGGTAACAAGAATACACGTGCGGTTCAGCATAAGAGGACCGCTCAGCGCTTCGCGGAAGATGTGCTTTGCGGTATGCGAGTCAACGGCGCTAAGGCAGTCATCCAGAAGAAGATGGCGGGCTCTGCTATAGATGGCGCGAGCAAGAGAGATTCTCTGCTTTTGCCCACCGGACAGACCGATACCTTTCTCTCCAACAAGCGTCTCATCACCCGCGTCGAGAATTTCCAGATCACGCTCCAAGGCACAAGCCTTAATCACCGCCGTGTAGCGGCGTTCGTCGAACGGAGATGCGAAAGTGATGTTTTCCTTGATAGTGTCGTTGACAAGCCATGCCTCCTGAGCACAGTAGGCAACACTCTCAATGAGGCCAGTACGCGAATCAACGGGCAGCTCGGCGCGGTTGGCAGTGCCACCAGGTAGATGGACACTTCCTTCCAAGAGCTTCATTTCTCCCAGCAGCGCCAAGAGCAGAGATGTCTTGCCTGAGCCGGTCTGACCAGCGATAATGTTCAGTTTGCCAATCTGGAACTCTACGTCGACGTTGATCAAACGGAAAGTCTCGTCCTTGTCACCGCCCTCGGTCTTCTTTCCGGTTCCCCAGGACAGAGTAGCTTTCTCCAGTGCAATCCTGGGCTCCAAAGAATCCTCGTCCGCGAGCTGAGTGTACTTTTCAGTTTCGTCCTCGTTAAGGTATTGGTCAACACGGTCCAGTGACACCTTGGACTCTTGAACGTGGGCCACCATGTCGGCCAACTGGTCCAGAGGAATACGGAGCAGTGAGAACATCGAGAGCGCAGGGAAAGCAATGGATGGTGTCAGACGCTTCTTCTCAACCACTGTGTAGAGGAAGAACGAGGCGAAGGTGATCAGAATCGGTGTTCCATACCAAACCGTTGCAGCAGTAGACCAGAGCATGTACCGGAAGCGCAATGCGCGAAGCTCCGCGCGTCGTTTCTCGTTGACGATGTCCTGGAATCGTTCTTCCCACGCAAAGTACTTGATAATGCGGATGTTTTGGAGGATTTCATTCGTCGAATGGATTCGAGCGTCAGTTCCTTTCAGGATCTCTTTCTGCAGCTTGGAAAACTTCTTGGCGATGATCAAGTTGATGGGGAGCATGAGGACCATGATGATGATACCAGCAAACGAGCTGAAACCTAGAAGTCTATACAAAAGGGTGACTGCGATGACAATCTGCACTGGCACGCTAGCCCAGAGGAAATGCAAGTATGCACCAACCTCACTGACTTTGAATGAGTCAATAGCCATAAGGTTGATGATGGTTCCAATGTTAGCCGAGGACTCGGCTTCCTCTTTGACCTCTTTCTTGGAGTCGTCGTTCTCTGGGTCGGTTGCAGGCTTCTTCTTTTTACGACCAAAGGAGAGGATGCGCTTCTTTTTGTCAGGTATCTTCTCCTCTTTCTTGGCAGCCTCGATTGAGGGACCCGCCTTTCGCCTCAGCGCCTTGGCGTAGATCTCACCGATAATAATGGCACGGAGCTTTACACCCATTCGGCGACCGATCCAAAGAGCCTGTCCGTCGGCCACGCCCTGAGTAGCGGCTGAGACGAACAAGAGTACGGCGTAAAGCCATGCCGCATTTGGCGTTGTGGATCTCGGGTCTTCAACGTACTCCAAAATGGCTTTAAGAAGGAGAGTGGGCAAGTATGTGAATAAGTTCGAGAATATGGTCCAAGCACCCTGGAGCAGAATGGTGCCGGCAAAGTAACGTAACAGCTTCACTACCAAGGGTCCCTTGTACTGTCTGCAGCGGAAGTCTTCCAAGACCGTAGAGGCCTTTTGCGATGCAGTCAGATTCCAAACATCCTCCAGCTCCAGCGATTGCTTATACCCCTTGAAAATGAGTGGATCCAGCCAAGAGAAGGTCGCAAGGGAGAGCAAGCTTGCAACGGGGTGTCGTGCCGGCTCTAAGCCCTCCTCGTGTGGAACCAAGACGGGTTTGTTCCCCCTGCGGGTGGTTACCGAAAGCAACACGAGGAAACTGGACAAGGCAAATTCAATGGACGAATAAGTCATGGCGCGCCTGGAAATCGGATAGATGACAGCAGACCGGAAGACCGCCACGGTGAACAGCCATTGGAGAGCGTAGAGCGTAGCGGTATGGTTCCAGAGTCTGGCGGACGACTGCAGTTGACGGACAGAAAGGAGCAAGCGGACCAGCACCAGGAAGAGCAGGTAACTCCAGGATGCTAGCCGAGCAGCCGCCGGAAGACGACCATCGCGACCCCAGGCGTCCGATTTCAAAGCCAGTACGAAGACGACGACTTGTCCAACGAGCGCTACTGCTTCCAAGGCAACAAAAGCAATCTCCCCGCGGGGCCGATCCAGCTCAAAATGGGGCAGCTCAAGCCTCGCGGCTTTGGAGAGCATCGGATCCGATTCATCCTCTAGATCCTCCTCAACCCCTCTTGTATCCGGTGCATCTCCGACATCGTCGCTCGGTACAAGCTTGTAGGCGAAGCTCTTCCGTGAAAATATGTAATGATACGCAACGCGGGTGGTAATGAGTACTAGCGAGAGGGCGCATGCGGCAAGCGGTAAAATTTCCTGTAGATATCTTCGGAGCTGTTAGCAGGAGAGCTGCGGAAAAGAAGCCGACAAGCGTACCTGCGTTGAAAGCAGCGGGAAAGGTCATCTACAGCCCAGATGGGGCCGGCGCATTGCGGAATCATGATCCAACGGCGCAGATGACGACAGAAGTCGCGAAAGCGGAAGCTGTCAGCGAAGCCCGCCTCTATTCAAAACCGGCCGGCAGGCACAGTCCGGACGAGACGAGGCGAGGACAGACTTTTCCAAACACCTCGGCTCTAGATCGTGGTACAACTTGGAACGAAAGGTAAAACCATGACAAGTCAGGTGTACAAAATAAGGAAACGGCGTAAAATACGTGGTTCTAGCTCCGGCGGCAAGCAACAATGAGCAGGCAAAGAATAGCAGCCGAACAATTGACAAAGCAGGCGTGAAAGGAAGGGAACGGGAGAGATGAAGTGAGGGAAGAAGAACTGGCAGAGATGACGGAAGGAGACTGAGACGGCAGTTTGTTAGTAAGACATCCAGTGGAGACTCTGACTCCAGCCATGTGGACCGTCACCGCCCACCGTTCTTCTCTCTAGACCAAATCCAGTGCCCGTTGATAGCAAAGTACTCCAAGTCGCGACTATCTGCAAGTTATCGCGCAAGGCACTGGTCACCCGGTGAGTCAGTTCCCTCCCCCGGGTTGTACTACGCCATGGCTTGCATGGCTATATTGCGAAGTGTCCAATACGAGCACTCCGAATAGGAAGGGATGGCTGAGCTTGGGCCTGGCCGGATCCTCCAGGTATCCTAGTCATTTCAGCATCGCGCTCCTGCAATATCTTTGAATCCTCCAATGCTACTGTCTGATAACGCTGGAAGGCTCGGATGACTGGCAGGATGTCTAGCCAAACAAGTCCGCGCATTCATTTAGCGCTTCAGCTGCGCGTGACACACTCACTTCAAAGTTCAAGCTCACTTTTGAGATATCCCAAGAGGCTGTTCTGTGTATCAGTGGTCGAGAAGGGATCGCCCAGCATGTGGACGGAGGGTAGTTAAGCTGGATAGACCGATATAGACCACTTGACAAGGGATTTGATGCAGGAATCCCCACTTCAGAGCAACTTTTAGCAGTGTGTCGCCACCCCGGAAGGTTCCGCTATCGGATCTTCGCCACGATCTTCTGTAAAATTGAATGGCGTCAGTTTCATTCGACAGGCACTCTCCTGAAACCCGCTCCTCCCTTTGTCTCTCCTGTTCGCTTCCTGCCTCTTTCTCTCACTCACCTCAACACTTTTCTTTCTTTCAATCTCTTCTCAACATCCCTCCGGCAGTTGTCGCCCTCGTCTATTTAGACCCCGGTCTGCCACTCATCAAGCCATATACTCTTCATCCACCGTCATAACCGCCGATCCACCTACACGACCGCCACCGTTATCATGGCCGAAAGAATCCTGATGAACGAGTTCAAGGAACTCTCGAAGGAGCCCTGGGTCAACATTGACTTACTCAACGACAATTTCTTTAACTGGGAGATTGGGCTTATCGTGCTGAACCCGGACTCCCTATTCTACGGCGGCTACTTCAAAGCGTCCATGAAGTTCCCTTCGAATTACCCTTACTCGCCACCAGGTATGTGTTTCTTTCCTTCAAACACTCCGCAAATGTCATTGACTGACACTGTTGTATAGAATTCCGTTTCAAGCGCCCCCTTTACCACCCGAACATCTACACCGACGGCAAGCTCTGCATCTCCATTCTCCATTCTCCCGGCGAGGACGAAATGTCTGGGGAGCTCGCCTCCGAGCGCTGGTCGCCGGCCCAACGCGTCGAGTCCGTTCTCATTTCGATTCTCTCTCTACTTGATGATGCCGAAGTATCTTCGCCTGCAAACGTCGATGCCAGTGTTCTCCTGCGCAAGAACCCCGAGTCCTACAAAGAGATGGTGCGAAAGTGTGTGGAGGAGTCCAAGAAGGATATCCCTGAAGGATTTGAGATGCCGACCCACGAGAGTACGACCAAGGCTGCCTCAAAGCAGACAAAGGACGACGAGTCAGATTTTTGGGCCGAGAGCGATGTTGACAGTGATATGTTCGGTGGAAGTGGGAGTGACCAGGAAGAGGTCGACTCGGATGCGTTCGACGACTCGATGAGCGACGAGGAGTAAGCTTTGATTCTCTTGGCTTCATTTCGGGGAGGCTTGAGAAGGGAGAGTAAGACGAGTGGGTTGGGCTTCAATGGCGCTTTGGGGTTTCGATTGTTCTTACCGGCATGGCTTAGCGTGGCGTACATGATTTCGACATATTTAGGAGTTTGTATTTGTTATGATATCCAGCATTCGCATCAAGATGGCGCGTTCACAACTGAGGTTTTTCATTGAGTTTCTGCTATTTTTAGAATATAGCGTGTACACATAAAGAACAGAAGCCACTTCAAGCCACCGACCTTAAAGATATATCTATTAACGGGCGCCTTTAGGATGACTTTGCCGTCCGATCTGTATGTCGTGCCTGATTTACTACTGTAGCTTACTTGCAACTGCAGTTCAATGTATATATTTTCCGGCCCAGCCCTACAGCCCTATACCGTAGCCCTAAGACATAAAAATTGCCACCCAATCTTACATTACGCCTTCACCAGGACTCCAACCACCTCACTAGACATCCCGGGGTGCTATGATCGCCATCCTGAATTTCAACTTCCTAGTACCCAAGTCTTTCTTGCTAAAAATCCCTATACTGTTGCAACCTCAGACCAACAAGCGGAAAGATCGCCACGACCAGCGTAAACTGCCGCCTTATGAGCCAGACAACAACCCACGTGATGAAGAGATATACAAAGCAGTATTTATAAGTGATTATCTTAGTCTTGAATGCTATGGATAATGGGTATTTTACAATGCAGATCGTCATCCCTCCACAAAACATCGATACCAATCACAACAAGATATGCCTGATGAGAGCTATAACTGCCCGGTACGTATCTCCTGTAGAGCACGGATTATACCTTGTTGTGGCGAAGGGGGTTTCAAATCAGCCAGGGCCGTAGTAGATATGGTATGGTGCAATCTGCGAAGAAACCCTGATGGTGGTGGGAACCGTATCAACGACTCCCAGCTAAAGAGCGAAAGAAACAACATCAATCACCTCCAGTACATCGATTGAGAACTCGGCACCGCTATTCAGGGATGAACGGCGACGGACCGAGGATGTCGAGTATCCGGAAGAAGACGAGGTCCATGCAGGAGATTGCGCTGGGAGAACCGCATGCTAGGGCTGTGGGGTTGTAGCGGATATATTAGAGGAGCAGATGGCAGAGTGGAACTGACGGGTTCTAACTTCTGTCCGACTCCTATGCCATTGCACCGGGATATTTTGGGGATGTTGACGTGGTCCGGTTCTCTTGCTGCCTGATTTGAGAAGGAGAGGTGTGATCTGGAGGATTATGCGGCCAGTACTACGCGCGAGAGCTTCTCCAATGATGAGGAAGGGCCTTGATTGACGGATGGTCATAGGTGCTGTTGGTTATAATTGTTGAATCCAACACAATGTATGTCATTAGAACTAAGATTAGGGACGGCCGTGGGTATCAATCCTCCATTCACTAGCATACAAGTCTAGTCAGTCAAAAGTCGGCTTCGTTCACACCTGTCGCGGTGGCCAATTCCTTTTCAAAGGTCTCGACACCGCGGATTGGTTGGACCAGCATGAGAAAACTAAACAATGTCTCGTTGTACTGGAACCGCAGATCCGGGGGTAACCGTTTATGGATCTTCAAAAGCTCCCCCGTTGACCATCCTCGTTCTGAATCTTTTAGATCTATGTCGCAATTCTCTTCTAGAAGATGCCATATAAAGCTCTCGCACGCTGGAAACCTGTCCAACTCGTGCTTCCTGACGAGGTTATTTAAGTAGATGAGAAAGCGCTGCGTCTTTCCGTGTGAATCCTGAAAGTCCCAAAGCGCGGCGGTGATGTAGATGAGTGCGGCAGTGCGAGTAATTTCCTGAGTGGGAACGTTGCGGACAACGTATATGCGAGAGTCGTGGGGAACGCGGGAGGGGCGGGGCCCGCTAGAAAGGAGAGAGAAAAGGGGGCTTTCCATCTGGAAAGCGGCGCGGCGTTGAGGAGTAGTTGTGAGATATTTGTCGTTGTTATGCGACAACATTAGGCGCTCGGCTGCGCGAAGGAAGGTGACTAGCCATCCCTGGCCGTGTTCTGACTGGCCCAACGCCAGAGGAGAAGGGACCATCACATATCGGACGTAATGGAGGAAGACCTCAGCAAGGCCGCTGGAGCGACGACCAGTGCGGAGGATCTGAACTGCCCGATCTTCGTATTCAGCGGCCTTTTCTTTGGATCCGAACCGGTCTTCTTGGAGCGCAAGGCCTGCGAACGCCATCGCTAAACTTTCGCCGTCAATTTTGACGTGGCCGTTGATTGCGTCCTCCACCCCTTTCCTAGCATTTCCCAGATGAAACTCTATTTCTCGGGTGTTTGGATGGTTGTATAATTGCGCCTTCCATCGGGCGCAATATGAGAGTATGACCGCTCGGAATGATAGCGGGTGGGCCATGGCGGTTTTGAATACGCAATCCTTGATGTGTGTATTCTGGCCGGACCAGTAGGTCAACTTATTGGCCCAGTAATCTGCCAGTTCCATATCCAAGGGTGTTATGGGAAGGACCTCGAAAGGATCTTTTCTGGAGGCACTGAGCATGGTGGTGAGTGATGGCAGAGGAGGGCTTGCCAATGCGACGGGCTTCAGCCTGGAGAGCGTGTTTTCTCTGCTGTCTGGCTAGGTCGAGTTAGCGCGCATGATTGGTTTGTACATCAATAATTGACCTACTGGGTTCAGAAGGGGCGCGTGAACGCGGCGGGGAGAATCATCAAGAGACCGGCCATCTGCGCTTTCTGGTAACTCCGCCCTCTGCTCCCAAGGGAGATATGGGTATACCCCATTCGCCCTCACCTCACTGCCACTGCGGGAATGTGAATGCCGTTGCTGCCTGCGCTTTTCCTGGACGTGATGTCGCATCACATGAGCGCGCTTTTCCCGGGATGACGAGTTGGAATCAACAAAGTAAAAAGTCTGGCTTTTGGACTGGCTTTTGGGCGTCTCGTCGGTCGAGATTCGCTTCTGCCGCTTGAGCCTGAGGTTCTGGAGGTCTTCACTAGCGCTCCCTGACGAGTAGACATGTTAGGAATCACGAATCGCGGAGAACAAGAGTATAAAATGCTCGGTGACCAACGCCGTAGATGAGATTCAGAGAAGGCGGCACGTGGTGCAACGACGGTCTCAGTTTGAATGGGATCGGCCGAAAGACACCTGTCGGCGGCCATAATGCGGGGAAGCGAGTGAAGCTGAAGGGGACAGGCTGTCAGGACCGCATAGCTGGAGGGGTTACGGGGTAGAAAAGGAGGAGAACGGCATTGACGGAGGAACCCCAGAGTGAGTCGAGAGTCGGACAGGCGCAGGCAAACAGTTCGCTTATCTGTCGCTGCATTCCAGCAGGGCGCCCCTTCCATCCACTCCGCTCAGGGACGATGGCTTGACGAGTGGGGGTCGAATTCGACAGCTCAGAGCCTTGAATCGCAAACAATTCCCGCATGGTTTATTGGCCCTTGGCTGGGTCTCCATCCGCTCAGGCCTTGTCGGAGCTGCCAGTTGCAGTCTAGCGGGGCCTAGGAAAAGGATCCGTGCACTGACCCGCGCGAAGGAAGTGCGAACTGCTGACTCAGAAACCACTTAACGCGTCGGAGCAAAGTATTTCCAGCCCGACGCGTCTCGTGTCAGGCACGCGTGCGAAGAAATATTGACGAGCGGGACTGGCCAACCTTGCCGATTCACCAGAATCACCACCATTGCTCTACCAGTACTAGATTACTACAACCAACGAAACTTCATCCAGCAGGCCTGACCGATTGCGATATCTGACGATTGGCCTCACTGGCCTACCCAACATGTCCTCCCTTTTCGACGCCGTCCTCCAGTCCGAGCTGGGCTCAGTCGCCGGCTCTCGAGACGACCGACTCCATTCAGACGCCCTGCCCAGCTCACGGCCTCAGCCGATGTCCGAGAGCAATGCTCCAATGAGTGACGCCAATGCCTTCCCGGACGATCAGGTTCCCGAGACGAATAGGTCGACGTCCACCCGCCTGCGAAATCCTTACGTTGCTGGGGCCCCGCCAGTGGTTGATCTGGCCGGAGAAAAGGTACAGCAGGCATTCGAAGAATTACTGGAAAGCTACCAGGAAGAAGCTGCGCCCACATCACACCCCCCGCCCTCTTCCGCGCCGATGAGCGACAAATACTACATTGCACAGATCCACGGAATGGCAAAATGGGAATTGTCGACATTATATGTGGACTTTACACACCTCACGTCGTTGGACAACCCCATTCTTGCGGATGCAATCGCAAACCAGTACTACCGTTTCCAGCCATTCCTCGTCAAGGCCCTCCACAACCTGATCGCGAAGTACGAGCCAGAATATTTTGTCTCGCACCGACAAGCCACCAGCAGCGTCTCATCCCAGGCTGGCACCTCCATGATGGCTGGCGACTCTAGCGTTTCCGACGACCCCAAGTTGGCAAGAACGATCCGTGAGAAGACCCGACACCAGCAGACGGACAAGCTGTTTGCCCTGGCGTTCTACAACCTGCCTCTGGTTTCAAGACTGCGACAGCTTCGAACCCAGCAAATCGGAAAACTGCTCTCCGTTTCTGGTACCGTCACGCGCACATCTGAGATCCGACCCGAGCTTTCACTCGGAACGTTCATTTGCGAGGCCTGCAGAACGGTCATTTCCAACGTAGAGCAAACTTTTCGTTACACCGAGCCCACGCGATGCCCGAATGATACATGTGGAAACCGATTTGGGTGGCGCCTCGACATTGGAAAAAGCACTTTCGTTGACTGGCAGAAGGTCAAGCTGCAGGAGTCCTCACACGAAATCCCGACCGGCAGCATGCCCCGGACGATGGATATTATCCTGCGCGGTGAGATGGTTGACCGTGTCAAGGCTGGTGAGCGGTGTATCTTCACTGGTACACTTATTGTCATTCCCGATGTCAGCCAGCTTGGCTTGCCGGGTGTTCGCCCTGAGGCCGTGCGCGACAACAGTGCATTCCGCAGCAACGATGCTGGAGGTAGTGGAGTCACGGGTCTCAAGGCACTTGGTGTACGAGATCTTACCTATCGACTAGCTTTCTTGTCCTGCATGGTTACTCCTGACACAACGACCCCTGGTCAACAATCGAACCAGCAACTGAGCGGCCAGTCAAACCGAATCCTCGGCTCGCTGAACCAGAACCCCGACCCCGAGCCCGATGATGATAAGGCGCAAGAGGCGTTCCTTCAGAGCTTGAGCCCGTCAGAAGTCCAGGACCTGAAGAGCATGGTTCATTCCGAGTACATCTACTCCCGCTTGGTGGATTCCATTGCCCCGATGATATACGGCCACCGACAGATCAAGAAGGGACTGCTTCTGCAGCTTGTCGGAGGAGTGGCTAAGCAGACAGACAAGGAAAGCCTGCAGCTCCGTGGTGATATCAACATCTGTATTGTTGGCGACCCGTCAACAAGCAAGAGTCAATTCCTCAAGTAAGCCACCTAAACTCAGCGAAGCATGACCCCAGCTAACCAGTCAGATACATCTGCTCCCTCCACCCCCGCGCCGTCTACACCAGCGGTAAAGCCTCATCCGCTGCCGGTCTCACTGCATCCGTGGTGAAGGACGCCGAAACAGGCGAATTCACCATCGAAGCTGGAGCCCTCATGCTCGCCAATGGCGGCGGCATCTGCGCCATCGACGAGTTCGACAAAATGGACATCAGCGACCAAGTCGCCATCCACGAAGCCATGGAACAGCAAACAATCTCCATCGCCAAGGCAGGCATCCACACCACCCTCAACGCCCGCGCCTCCATCCTCGCCGCCGCAAACCCCATCGGCGGCCGCTACGACCCCAAGACCACCCTCCGCGGCAACCTGAACTTCAGCGCGCCCATCATGTCCCGATTCGATCTGTTCTTCGTCATCCGCGACGAGCCAAACGAGGAAGTCGACCGCAACCTCGCCGATCACATCGTCAACGTCCACATGAACCGCGACGAGGCCGTCGAGCCGGAATTCAGCACCGAGCAGCTGCAGCGGTATATCCGGTTCGCACGAACATTCCGTCCTGTCTTCCGCGACGAAGCCAAGACTCTCCTTGTGGAGAAGTACAAGGAGCTCCGTGCGAACGATGCACAGGGTGGCATGGGACGATCATCCTACCGCATCACCGTCCGCCAGCTGGAGTCATTAATCCGTCTCTCCGAGGCCATTGCAAAGGTCAACTGCGTCGAGGAAATTGTGCCCAAGTTCGTCCGCGAAGCCTACGACCTCCTCCGCCAGAGTATCGTCACCGTTGAAAAGGACGACGTCGAAGTCGACGACGACGAAGACGCCAACGAAGACGACGACATGCCCGACCGCGACCGTGACGGCGACAGCCCCATGCGCGAAGAACCCGAGTCCGCAGCCGCCGCTGAACCCGCTGAGCCACGCGCCAAGACAAAGATCACGTACGACAAGTACATGAAGATCCTGAACTTGATCGTCCGCCGTATCCGCGAAGATGAGGCGCAGGCTGGCGAGGGTGTCGAGCAGGAGGATCTGATAGTCTGGTACCTCGAGCAGATTGAGGCGGAGCTCAATGATGAGGAGGATCTCCAGCGGGAACGTGGTCTTGCGCTCAAGGTGCTGAAACGCATGGTTAAGGATAACATCCTCATGCCGATTCATGGCGAGGGGCTTGTCGATGAGGCCGCTGACGCCCCGTCTGACAAGACAATTTACGTTCTGCACCCTAACTGCGCGATTGATGAGGAGTAGGCGGCATGAGTTTTGCACCATGGAGTTGGTAGAGGGTCTTTAGTGATTATGAGTGATGATACCTACTTCTGATTATAGTAAATAATGTGTTTCTGGCATAGAGTCGCTTCTGGGTCCGGTGTCTTGTTCTTGATATGCTAAATCAACAAATATATCTTTCTACCTACCTAATTCTCTTTCCCTCCCTTAGTCGCATATGCCTGCTCAGTCCCTATCCTGGCCTCACGGCCTTACCGAGGTCTACTCATAAACGCCGTCACAACAGCTGCGAACATCTCCGGATCCTGCAAGGGCCTATATAAATCAGTCCCGCATTACACTACGTAAAGACCTCCGGCCGATACATACCCAAAGTGACTCATGCCCGGCAAAATCGCCAACTGCGAATTCGCAATCTGCACACACACCCATCAACATCAACATCACCCTCATCTCAAAAGAAGGACAAGAGCATTGGGTACATACCATCCCATGAATCCTGCCAGGCACATGCGGCAAAATCGCCTCCTCATGATCCCCCGCCGCAACAAGCACCACCGGCGCATCCCCATCCCCAACCTCATACAGAACGGGGATGCGTCCAAAATCCTCCCCCGTCCACCTCGGCTCACCAGCCTGCATGGCCTCCACCCGCGCCACAAACCCCTCCCAGTCCGCCTGGCCCCCTGCCTGCAACCCAACATCCCTCTTCAACTCCTCATACTGGCTCCGTTCGCGATCCACAAGGTCCGCACCAAAACTGATCCCCTGCAACCCTGGTAAATTGACGTTATCCGGGCTATAATTCGCGCCGTAGACAAACACCCTGTCGACGCGCTCAGGATGGTCCATTGTAATCTGCAACGCGGTATTCGCGCCATCGCTCCACCCGACGAACCTTGCTTGTCGGATACCCAGGTAATCCATCAGGGCGATTGTGTCCTGCGCAAAGAGGGCGTAGGATAAGTCCACGGAGGGATCATCGGAGGAGCGGCCGTGGGCGCGCGTATCGATTGCGATTACGGGGAAGGTCGTTGAGAGAGATGGGATGAGGTGGCCGTACCATCTTGATGAGATTTTGCCGCCGTGGAGGAGGATTATTGGGATTGTGTTTTCGGTGAGAGGGGGTCCGTAGAGGGCGTGCCAGAGGGAGATGTTGTTGATGGGGGCGTGTGCGGAGGAGTTTGGGGTGGGGAGGGATGGGGTTGCGGGGAGGGTTAGCCAGGGGGGGAGATTGGTTGAGCTTGTATTTGTGGTCATGGCTGAGAGGGTGAGGAGGAAGAGGATGGAAGTGTGGATGAGTAGTCCAAGCATTTTGGAATGGATTCGAGTTGGGCAGTTTGTTGGGCTGGCAGGTTCATATACTGGGCGAGCTGAGACAGAGCCCGGAAGTCCGAGGGCAGATATAGCGCTACGACCATCGGGCATAGACATAAACCAAGACAAACAAATCAAGTCCCTATTATATTATTAGACTACCGCCAAGCATAAATATAACATAATCTCCTCAGCACCTTAGGAAGAAGACTGTAGTGCGTACATCAACCGTGGTCCATGGACACTGGGTATCAAGCATATCGAAAAAGTAAAAAGCGAAAAGACAAGGAACATCCACGTGAGAGCGTTTCCAAATGTACAAAGGCCGTTTAGTAGTAAATCTTCTCTTCAAAGATGGGAGGGACACCCTTTTCAACATTCCAAACGATGTGGTTCTTCTCATCCAACCAGGCGTCCTCGTCGGTGATGGCAATGACGCGACTGGTATGAGCAATTTCTTGAGCACTAATGCCCATCTCGTCACGGGGAATCCAGAGGAGCGGCGCCTGGGCACCGATGGCAGGGTGGTAGTAAGCGTTCCGCTCGACCTCAGGGGGGTAGGTAACAATTTCCGCGCCGTTGGGCACGAGCGTGCGCAGCTGACGGTACCCGGCGTACTTGTCGGGTCGGAGATACTTGGCAAGGAAGTTGGCCTTAGGGTCACCCGGGGTTGCCAGAGTGAGACCCTTTTCGGCGGAGTCGACGTTGTCGGCGGCGTGGCCGTCGGCCGCGGAAGCGGTGGCAGTTCCGTCGTGCTCGCCGTTGGCCGCAGTAGCCTCCCGCGAGAGAAGCGCTTCCTCTTCCGCCTCAAGGTTCTTGGGGAGGTAGTTGATCAGAGGTTCAAGGGCAGAGTTGAGAGAGACGTGGTAAATGATCATCGTGATGAGGAGGATGATGGCGAGGACTAAGGGACCAACGGCAACTGCGTTTCCACCAGCCCCGATAGCAAAAAGACCGATCAGGCAGACCACCAGTAGGTAGCATCCAACCAAGATGTGCTTCAAGGCCCGCGCGAAAGCCCTGCCTTGGGTGTCGATGTTGGCGTTGGACACATAGAGCAAGTTGTACCGGTAGGCAAAATAGAAGAGGTACAGGCCAATGGTTGCGAAGCCAAGAACCAGGGGTGCGATGCACGAGTAAGTAATTGCTAAGCTGGTCAGTTCGTGCTGGCTAATTGTATGAGGAAGGTATACGCACCAATGACACTCAAGAGGGTGACAACAGGATACACAGTACCCCAACCTAGCCCTGCAAGATTTGACCACCGGCTGTACATCTTCCGGGGAGTCTTATCCAAGAGACGCCCAAGGATCTTTCCAACAATCAACCCCCCAATCTGCAAAAGGGCACCCGAGCTGAACGACAATCCCTGCAGAACAATGTACGAAATGTAAAAGTTGGATGACTGGGGAAGATTGTTGGCGAGCAAGTCGACTGCAGACGTAGGGTCGTCGATAATCTTGGTAACAACACTGGAGGCCGAGGAAGCAAGAGTGACGACCAAGAAGACTTGAACCACCTGGAAAAGGAAGTAGAAGTTTTGTGTCGTCAATTCAACCTCAGCCAGGGTAGGTGCACCACCAATCTTCGCCATTACTATAGAAAATTATCAGTTCATGGTCTGTCTGGATTAAAGAGGTTGCTTACATCGCAAAACAATGGGGACCAAGGCCATAAGTACGGCCATCAAGATGGTAGGAAGTAGACCGGTAATGGCACCCAAAATCCAGGATGGCACGTCTTCGATGAAACTGAGGAAAGGGACCAGGTTTGTCAGGTTGTTAATGTTGGAGAGAGAACCAACAAAAGCCGTGGGAATAGCCCAAAAGACAACCATGGCTGAGACAAATGCAATCGATGCTCCGTATCGGATGATGCGCTCCCACCACTTGATTCGTAAGTTGGACCAAATGACTTGAGTAGGCTCGATACCAATGTATCGCGGAGCCATGTGCAGGGGAAGATTGTGAGCCACGGACTGGAAAGCCGCTTGCGCATCGGCCTGCGAGTAGAATTCAACAAAAACGGACGAAACTAGTTTGGCCTCGCCTGCTCTGTGTTGAGCTTGGAGCTCCTCAATCTCAGGCGTGAGACGTTCGATTTCTGATCTGGCCCAGTTAATCGTATCGACCTTCTTGCCGATAAGGAACTTGAGTCGATGAGTAGGTCGGTCCTTGGGTTTCACCCAGCGAGCCGCGACAGAGCCGGATTCGCCATCGTCCTCAGTGGTTTCCAAAGTGGTAGACTGTTCTTCAGCGCCTCCATTTTTCTTCAGTTGTTTGAGTCGAGCAGCATTGGCCATTCGAATCAGCTTCGTTTCAGCAGCCTCGAGTTTGATGGCTGCAGATTGGCGGTTGTCAACCTTGTCTGCCAGATCGGCTGTGTTCGTCGTGAGCCACACATTCTTGATTTTGTCTGCGCCAAACATGAATCGGATCTTCTCAACGCTCTGATACTCCTCTGGAACAGCCGTGAAAAGGACAGTCCGAGAAGACAAGCGACTTGCGTAGGAGCGAGAAAGCGAATATGCCTGGCGGAGGTTTATGTAGAAAAGACTCTCGCGGGTGACGGTGAAGAAAACAAATCCAACGAAAACCCAGGCCACGAGCGCATGCGCAAAGTAACGTGCGTAATCTGAGGAGTCAACATTGGACATGCTCAGAATATCCAGCTGTTCCTTCCCCGCACCACCGGTTGCATTGATTGGGAATAGGATCGGGAAGGTTATACACGCGCCGACGAAGCAAATCATCGTGATGATCTTGAGGAAACGAAGGAGGAGGTAGGCGTCCATGGAATGGTGTTGGAGAACGTATTCGTCGGGCAGCTTGTACATATCCTTAATCCAACCCACCAGCCCAGTCGATGAAGGAGGCGTCTTCTGCCGATCGCGGAGGAAACCAAGGTAGGTTCGAGGCATATACATCCGGCGCTCGCTCCGTCGCAAGATCACGAAGACCAAGACCATGGCGACTGCGACGATCAGGGAGGGGATCAGCACGGTGACGAGACTGGAGGCAGAATTGGAGGCATTTTGAGGGTTGTCGTCCTATAATGATCAGAAAGGTCAGAGATGCTTGCGCGACCGAACAGTTTGGCAAGACTTACAGCCATGATGACGGTTGACAGCTAGTGACAGTCGTCAATGGCTCAATCAGGGGACAATTGCGCGCTCAGGAGACCCAAGCCGCAGAACAGAGAGTTGGCCAGGCAATAAAAGTGCCAAAGCAGAAGACGGAAAGGATGACGATGATAAGGAGAAGAAAGAGAAAGACTAGAGTTGAAAAGAAAAAGAAGCGAGAGCTGGAGAGGGGCAGCTGGCAACGTGCTGGCACTGCTGGGAGTCCACCTCGAAACGACGTCGAAAAAAACAAATCAACGGAAAAAGCAAAAAACCTTAAGCTGCGACGGGGAAGGATGGGCAATTATGTAGAACGAGCGGAAAGCTGCCTCAGCCTGGTCCAGCCAAGGAGATGAAACGCGGTCGAGAGGAAAGAGAGTGTGAGCTGGTTAGACCAGCAGGAGGTGGTTGGAATTTGCTGGGCTGGCTGGGTCGATCCAGATCGTCGATGCATTTCATCATGACTACACCACTGCGACTGTACTACTTCTCTACACCGTTCCTGCTGTCCCTGGCTGTTCCTGGCCTGATGAATGCCATCTCCAAGTACAGCTCTCCCTTGTAGTTATCACTATCTCTCCTCAGTTTCTGTCGCGAACTCCTTCTCATAAAACTCTGCGCAAAAACGAGAATTTGAGGTCCCAATCAGAGTTGTCAATAGATCGGTTTAGCGCCAAGCTAGTGCGGGAGTCAAGCTGCGATTTGGCATTCATCATCGTCGTCCATGTGGCGAATTTCAACTGCTGATATCATTGCTCATCCTCAGCTGTTCGCGTCGATTGCCTTTTGTCCTTGACCACACCACCCTACCGAAGGCCAGAGCGCAGACTCGCAGAGTGATGTTGCAGCCAGTTCATTGTTGTATTTCAAGCGAGTGGACCGGAAGACGTTTCAGGGGAACATGTGCCACAAGCATCACATGACTCGTCCAGGGCCCCGTCCGGCGATACGCCCAATTTCTAACTCCGAGCAGGCCTCCTGTCGACTCGTCAAGATCTCTGCGAATTGAAACAGATCCACGCCCTGTCACTGGCAGTGTCAATCTGTCAGGATGCCTGTGGCTGCTCAGTGCGCAGCGATGAGCGAATCGATGATGCAGCTTGAATCGTCATCGATCGACAGTCCGACACTATAAGACCTCCCACTATCAACAGGGTTGAAATCAAGCTTAAGGTACAATGCCAGGACCTGCCCGTTCGAATTCCATCGCTTTGATCTTGAAGTCCTGGCGACCGGAACTGAAATAATGCTGGACGATGATTTCCAGACTTTATCGTGCTGATCGCCATCATCCCAACCATGATTTCCGGGACACACTATCTGCGGAGACCTTTGGGTCGTCCATCCCGCAAGACCTTCAGCTCAAGCTTCAACGCAGCAACGCTATGAAATGCTATTATCTTACAATGAACCTCAATGTTACACGGCTGAAATATGAGGACAAAATAACTCAAAGGAGCTGGAACACCCGGACAACGCATTTGGCCAGGACGGGCGCAAACATCTGTCGGCTGGGATTTCCCTGTCTAATGCTTCAAGCTCGTGCCACGCACAGCCGCATTGTGGCGTAGCTGAACGGACTGTTCAGCAACTTCAGCCTTTCCTGTAGCCTTTGGATCTCCCGTGTACTCCGCACGTTGAACCCTTGGAATCGCATTGGCTCGAGCGCTCTTCGTTGGGAGCATCTTTCAACTTGACAGCCAAAGGGTTTGCCCTGTCCTCCCCCGAAGAGCAACCTTCCAATTAGACAGACATTCATATTGACCTGAACGCAAGAAATTGACAGCCTGAGAAAAGAAAACGCGCCGTATTCATTGAGACAGTCCATAGAGGAAGCGCCCGATCCTGCTTGAACTCACCATCTTCGCAAATCATGGGCGTCAAGACAAGCCGTCTTTGCCAATGCCCCGGTTGTTTTGTGAGCATGTCTTTACTGTGCACTGGCAGTAAACATAGTTTGAGTGGCTCTTTGACACGTTTGCTGCCAGTGGGATTACTAAATAGATCGCTTGATCCTTCTCTCCTCAAGTATTCAACCTTGCGGCCTTTTCCACGAGGACTGCTGCGTTCTCCAGAAAAGTTATCTACGACAATATGGCATTAATATGCTTCTCTGCACCTGCTGAACGGAGTGCTTTTTCTGAGACCTGCTCTTTTGAGACCTGCTCCTATTCCGCCTTGTCGGCTCAACTTGAGTATGGTCACAATCGGGCTGGACGAATGCTTGATGACACACAAGCCAGGTTCATCTCCGTGATCAGCAAATGCGGCATTCATCATTTACCGAGCCAGGACTGGCTAAAGTCAATGTAGGCCTGTTAGCTCGTGTCCTCGTACTCAGATGTCATTGATGGCAACTTAGTTGGCCCACGGGCACGGGAAACCCGCGACATGTCCAAGACGTAGCAGGGGGCTGATCTGGGTTGCTTCTTGAACGAATGGGGCAGACTACAAAGTATGGCAACAGACTGCAGTAAAAAGCTTAATCTAACAGCACCATCTGCCGCCGTACGCAGGGCTGTCTCCCTTGCGACCAATCTCCGGGCCTGGGATGCGAACATTACGTTGAAGATCTTCGTAATGTATGGAATGCAAGGGATGACCACCAACATCTCATCTCTTCTCCAACCATTTGTTTCCTCCTCTCCTCTTCTCAGGGTCTCTCCGTCTCCAATAGTCTGCCACACTCACCGATAGATTGATTTGATACGTAACCACCATGCGCACAGCCAGTTTCTCCCTCCTCGGCGTCAACCTGGCCCTCTTTATATCCTCCACAATCGCGAAAACGACTACGGTAAGACACCAACATGACCTGCCACCTCCCGGCGCTTTTGAGTTGAATGCGCTAATATTGTTTGTTTTGGTTACAGATTGGTCTCGAGACGCAAACAGAGAGCCGCGGCGTTTCGGTTCCAATGGACGATTGCTTTGACATCGATGAGGAGTATGTCACGTTTCGCCTTCCTACTTATCAAGTGTCCAAACGACTCAGGCTAATCAGGCTGTTACTATGCAGGAACGTTTTTACACTAGTGATCAGCAAGAAATGTCGCGTCTTTACGTGAGTCTACAACCCAGCCGAAACCCATAGCGATGCCTGATTCCTCATCCATGCGCTCTCTCCCGGGAACGGATCAATACTGACGAACAATACCTAGAGGCCCAATGTGCACCGGACGAACGGCCCTCCTTGAACCAGGCGAGCATTCAACCGCGAAACCTGTCATGCTCGGGAGCGTGCTCTGCGAAGAGCCGGACTTGTTGTCGACCGAGTTATAATGTTACCATACTACTGCATCTCTGCCGCCGCAAGGAGACCCTGGTCCCAACCCTCAAGAATGGCCTGACTTTCGCTTGCCGAGTTATCCAGCAATCATGTCAGTGTCAGTGTCAGCGAAAGCCTCAGCGTCGGTCGTTCTTGTGACCTTGTCAAACAAGCCAGCTTGCTTTTTTTGTCTTCAGTGCAAGGACTGCTTAGGGAGGCCCGGTCCACTATCTAGCAAATGAAACCTTCCTCCTCTGGACTACGAAATGACCAACATATCTCGTGCACGGATCGTGGCCCTGCCCCCCGCTCGGTGCCAGTAGCAAAGCCAATAGGGTCTGTTTGCTGTACAGACCGATTAAGTGAGATATGTCTCCTGCCCCCAGAAATTCAGATCCTCCTCGGTGTGATGCAGATAGGGCCTTATTAGTCGCCAATGGTATAGGTTCGCTTCGGTGTTCCTCGGGGCAACCATGCAAGGTGCCTCGTGCCAGCCAAATGCGGCAGTCCCCATTGACCCAGCCCTGCTTTTGCTTTTGTTGAAGGCGCTTCTGCGTCGGTTGTCACCGCTCGTTGTATGATCAGCTCGTGTTCAGGCACTGACCCGTTTGTAAAGTGTATATAAACCGGCATCATGCTCTCTCTTTGTGTTCTGAACCAGACAATCATCGGAGGACATCCAGAGAATGTATCTTCGCTCTTCTTTCGCTGCTCTGGCGGCTGTCATCACAATCTCAGCGGCTGCTGCAGGCCCCGCCCCCCTGTGTAACGCAGAAACAGCATCTGTTCGCAAAGAATGGTGTGCCAACCCCCAGACCACGTCCCTCTTCACTCAAAGCCTGTTACTGACCACCGCAGGAGCGCGCTCACTCCCGATGAACAGCTGGGCTACATCGACGCAGTCTGGTGTCTTCGCGGTCTTCCGTCTCATATCTCTAATACGGAGTATCCCGGGGTGAGAGACCGCTACGATGACTTCGTTGCGTACGTTCGTACCTCTCCTTCATCCAGACAAGCAAGCTAATGCATACACAGAACGCACATCAACCTCAGCATGACCATCCACCGCTCCGCTTCTTTCCTCGCCTGGCACCGCCACTACCTGTTCCTCTTTGAAACCGCCCTGAAAGACGAATGCGGCTACAATGGCACCATCCCGTACGCATAGCCCACATCCTCGAAAGCCCATCTACACCTCCACTAACACCCGCCTACATAGCTACTGGGACTGGACGCAAAACTCCAACCTCTACTCAAACCCCATCTTCGACACATCCCAACCCCCAGAAAAGGGCCTTTCCCTCTCCGGCGACGGCGCCTACAACGCCTCCGCCCAGGTCACCCTTATAGACCAAGGGGTGGTTTTCCCCGCCGGCCGCGGCGGCGGCTGCATTCTCGACGGCCCGCTGAAGGACTGGACCGTCCACATGGGCCCGACATCAGTGATTCCCGCGCTGATGAACCCGTACGAGCCCATTCCCCCCGAATTCTTCGCATACAACCCGCGGTGCCTGGAGCGGAACATTCGCCCGTCCGTGGTGCAGTGGTTCAACAACGCGTCCGTGATCGACCGGTTGCTCTCGGTGCCGAGCATCGAGGAGTTCCAGGATATGTTGGATCGGGCCGGCCGGCCACCGACTTGGATGATCGGCGCCGGGATCCATCCCGGTGGGCATACTGGTCTTGGTGGGGAGATGGCGGATTTCTTTACGAGCCCGCAGGATCCGGTGTTTTATTTGCACCATGGCATGGTTGATCGGGTTTGGGATTTGTGGCAGTGTCGTGGGGAGCAGGGGGAGAGGTTGCGGGCGTTGAACGGGACGTTGGTGTTTTTGAATCCGCCTGAGGCGGAGGAGGCGACGCTTGATACGGTTATTGAGTTTGGGGTGTTGGGGGGGTCGAGGAGGATTGGGGAGCTTATGGATGCTAGAGGGGGTGAGTATTGTTACCGGTATGAGTAGAGTGCGGTTTTGGCTTCGGCCGTGGCAGGGTAGGTCTCGGACGTAACGACTCCTGGTTTGTATCACGAATAATGATGGTAATAATGTCTAAATCGTCACTTATCATAATTTGGTGCTACAATCATCTCCTACTCTAAGCCTCGTCAATACTCCCAGACCCCCTAGGCACCCCCTCCTTCCACCTCTGCAAGCTAAGCTCATAAGCCCCACTCCCCTTCCACGCACTCAAAATCAAGTTGATAATATGATCGACCCCCTGATCCTTCTTAACAACCGCGAAAACCGTCGGACCCCCCTCGCGCATCTTCGCCGCATCCCGCTCCATCACAGAGATATCAGCGCCCACCGCCTCAGCAAGATCAATCTTATTCACGACCAGCAGGTCAGAGCCAGTGATGCCGGGCCCTCCCTTCCGCGGCACCTTGTCGCCGCCAGCAACATCGATAACGTAGATGATGAAATCGGCGAGTTCGCGCGAGTAGTTGGCCGCGAGGTTGTCGCCGCCGGACTCAATCAGGAGCAGGTCTGTCTGGAATTGTCGGTGCAGGTTCTGGAGGGCGAGGAGGTTTGCGCTGATGTCTTCGCGGACGGCGGCGTGGGGGCAGCCGCCTGTTTCGATGGCGCGGATGCGGTTCGGCGCGAGGGCTTTGTGCCGCGTTAGGAATTCGGCGTCCTCCCTGTTTTTGTTAGATAGAGCGCGGGTATTGGGGGTTAGGTAGGTGGTTGTACCGGGTGAAGATGTCGTTTGTCACGGCGGCGATGTTGTATTCGTCTCGGAGGGCTTTGCAGAGAGCGAGCATGAGAGCCGTCTTTCCTGAGCCGACGGGTCTATACAGGCAATTTAGTTTGGGCTCATATCCTCGAGGGCAAATGGTCTTTACCCGCCAATGCCAATGGTAAAGGCCCGGTCGCTCCAGTCACGGCCCTCGATCAGCGGCTGTTCGCGGTTGATGTAGGAGCCCGGACCATCGAGGATCTCGTGGGAGTGGCCATGATCGGCGATGTTGTCGTGGGAGTGCGAGTGGTCGTGGGAATGCGCCATGGTTCGTTTGTCTTGTCTTGAGGCTGCTTAATTGACAAAGTAAGAGGAGAAGTGGTGACTGGTGAGGGGTTTGGTGTCTGCTAGCTTGTGCCCCGCTTCCACTGACAGGAACTCCCTCGGAGCTCTCCGCTGGCTGAACCAACGTTCCTCTCAGATCGTCCCAGCATTTCAAGGTCCATCGCTCGAAGGATTCCATTATTGTTCTGTATAGGACTCATGTTGTCAAATTCAATGCTGCTATAGCTTCGAACGACGTCCGTGCAAGCGAGCAGACCAACCTTATGGCTTTTCAGTCCCCGGCCACAACCTCGGGGAGACTCCCCGGCCCAGGCTAAAATGGACTTTATCCAGCCTTCACACGAGCAAAACGCTCGGCGTCTAAACCGAAACCACCCTCTTTATTCCGCTGTGGCGGCATCGCAGTCTCAGACCCTGACTTGGCCGCTCTGGTTGGCCCATGTACGTCTCGCCTGATGGACTTCAAGCGTAGCCGACCCCACGGGGAAGCTTGAGGCTGCCGTATCCATCAAGGAGGAGTGCCGGCTCTCATGAACCAGGCAGGTTTCCGGACGGGGATTTTACCCGTTTTGCGACTCTAATTCGAGGAGGGTTAAACATTGTCGCGCCAATGCAGTGTGCATTCTTCGGCTTGCTTAAGGCGTGGTTAGACGTGAGCTCCTCGGATATATAATGAACTGAACCGCCTGTCTCTCCAGGGTTTCTTCTCCAGGGCCTGCGGACCACTTATCCCACCCGGCAACTTACACCACAAGCTGCATCGACTTGCTTGCTCTTATTCATCATGGTGGTATTGAAGAAGCAGCGCGAAGAAGATGTCTCGGAGCCAATCTTGGAGGAACTGATCAAGAATGATCGCACCCCGTGGTTCAAGAAGCCGAACCTGAGGAATCTATACCTGATTCTTTTCCCGGCTTGCATGGGCATTGAAATCACCTCAGGGTTTGACTCACAAATTATCAATACCGTGCAGATCGTGTATACTTGGAATAAATGTTGGTCGCTATCATCCGATCTTCTCCGCAAGGCTAACATTTGCAGACTTCGGCGAACCAACTGGCGAGCTAAACGACGATGGTCTACCGGCATATCAAATTGCAAGCGAGCTCAAGGGGTTTTTGGCAGCGGCGTACTCTCTCGGAGCTATTCTCTCGCTTCCGTTTGTGCCATGGGTTAACCAGAGAGTTGGGCGTCGGTGGACCATCATGTTCGGTTCCTGCGTGAGTCTTCTGGGGGCTATTCTCCAAGGCTTCTCCAACGGCGGTACGTGACATGGATCGCATTGCAGTGGCATAAACTAATTTGTACAAGCCGCCATGTATTGCATCGCTCGTATCTTCCTCGGTTTCGGCATTCCCTTCTGCATCGTTGCGGGGTCTTCCATGCTCGGCGAGCTGGGATATCCTAAAGAACGTCCAATCCTCACGTCGCTGTTTAACTCGTCCTACTTCATCGGTCAGATCACAGCTGCGGCTGTAGGGCTGGGGACAGTTACGATCCCGTCAGACTGGGCCTGGAGAGTCCCCTCGCTGCTCCAGATCGCACCAGCTATGGTGCAGGTCATCACCGTCATGTATGTGTTTTCAAACCCCTTTCCAAGCCGCGCTAATGGAATCTTTGATTAGGTTCCTTCCCGAGAGCCCCCGGTACCTTATCAGTAAAGATCGAACGGACGAAGCAGTTGAAATCCTCACCAAGTATCATGCCGAGGGAGACCGTGACTCTGTCATTGTGAAAGCAGAAATCGCACAGATCGAGCGGACAATCATGCTCGAGCGGGAGGGCTCCAAGCAAACTTGGGGTGATTTGTTTCGCACCGCTGGTATGCGTCGTCGCCTTCTCATCTCTGCCTTCCTTGGGTTGTTCACCCAGTGGTCGGGAAATACTCTAATCTCGTAAGTCCTCCATGCCTAGACTTGAAGAGATCCTAATGGTCACAGGTACTATCTGAGCGACTTGCTCGACATGGTGGACGTCACGGATTCCGTTGTCAAATCCAAGGTCAACGTGGGTATCGCTTGCTGGGGTCTTGTCTGCGGAACAGCGCTGGCATTGACTGTGCCGCGCTTCAAAAGAAGGAATATGTACCTCTTGACCGCTTCTTCCTTGCTCTGCGTGTATATTGCCTGGACCATCTCCATGGAAAGGTTCATGTCCACCGAGACCAAAGCCGCGGCTGTCCTGACCATCCTGTTCATTTTCCTGTATTCGCCCGCATACAACTTGGGATACAATGCTCTAACCTACAGTATGATCTTCGTCCTTCTTAAAGACCACTCTGGCTAACCCTGCATTAGCGTACCTCGTCGAGATCTGGCCGTATTTCAACCGGTCTCGCGGCCTCTCGTGGTTCCAGTTCTACGGCCGTGGAGCGGCTTTCTTCGCGACCTATGTCAACCCAATCGGTCTCGAACGTATCCAGTGGAGGTGGCTGATTGTTTACTGCTGCTGGCTGGCGTTTGAGCTGGTCTTCATCTACTTCTTCTTCCCGGAGACCTCTGGGCGCACGCTTGAGGAGCTATCGTTCAGTAAGTTTCTTCCTTCCACCGAGCTTGCTTGTCCAGTAACTAACAATGGCGCAGTGTTTGAGGGCGCAGAGAAGGCCAATGAGGTTGCTGCTGCGGTGCATAAGCAGATTGATGGGACAGAGCACAAGGGCGCGACGACTGAGATCCGCGAGGAGAAGGTGTAGTCTAGTTAAGGCTAGTTTGAGGTGTAGTGGCTTGCTCGATTTAATTCACGTCCTTGATATTCCCTGGTAAATTCACGTATAGAGCCCGCACGTAGGTCGGTGGTCATCCATGATGAACGAAACGCAGGACTCCTGGTCATGGCCGGATAACGGCAACGCAGCTCTAGAAGTCACAGTAAGATGACTCGCATCGCTTAACCGGATACTCATCCGGAGCTGGCAAAATCTAAGTGTGGCTCTATCTCATTCTGCGATGATCGTTCAATCGTTGAAGATCGGACCCACCTTTATGTCCATTAATCCCATACTCCGTATAACACCGTTATTTCCACGACTCGAACCTATATCAGAGCCATCGTCACACCCGCCATTTCGTGTTTTGAACTACAATACTCACACGATCTCCCCTTGAACGTCGTACAGCAGCAAACATGACCTGCGAAGCCTGCCGCACCATCCCGCCTGTTATCTCCGAGGGCTACGTCCCGAAGGGAGTCTCGTCTGTTATCGGGGATCTGGGATTCAACACTTGTATCTACACCTCCCCATCGTCACAACATTTCCAAACAGAATAAGTGAGCTAACGAGTACAGACGTGACCGGCCCTCCCACCGCCACAACCGCCATCCTAGCAATCTACGACATCTTCGGCAACTCACCCCAAACCACACAAGGCGCCGACCTCCTTGCAGCCCGCCTTAATGCCCTTGTTCTAATCCCTGACTTCTTCGACGGCGATGGCGCAAAGCACGAGTGGGTTCCGCCAGACACGGACGAAAAGATGGCCGCGCTGATGGGCTTCGTGAACACCAAGGCGTCTTTTGCCGAGGCTGTGAAGAGCGTCCCCGGTCTCGTGGAGGCGTATAAAGCGTCTTTCCCGTCTGTTCAGAAATGGGGCGCTTATGGGCTTTGTTGGGGCGGTAAAGTGCTGGCTTTATCCTCGGGGGCGGGGACCCCGTTTGCGGGGACGGCGCAGGTTCATCCTGGGTGAGTTTCGCTTAGACTTACTTGTTGCTGGCTTGCATTGTTGGATGTGCGTTGCTAATTATGACAATCAATGCATAGTCGGATGGACAAGGCGGATGCGCAGACGTTGACGATCCCGCATGCGATCCTTGCGTCGAAGGATGAACCCGCGGAGGAAGTGGAGGCGTATGATCGGGTCATCAAGGAAAAGGGTTTGGGGGGCTTTGTTGAAACATATGCGGAGATGTGGCATGGGTGGATGGGGGCAAGGGCTGATTTGCAGAAAGAGGGGAGTTTGAAGGAATATGTACGCGGGTAAGTCTCCTTTGTACTCCCTGTCTCCGTTGTATGGTGTGATGGTGGGTGGGTGCTGACGGTGAATAGATATGAGCAGCTGGCCGGGTTTTTTGAGAAATACCTCTCATGAGAAGCTTGCCTTGAACTATGTACTTGGATAGTATTCCATAGCAATCAATAATAAATTACGGACACAACTGTCCTTGATGAGACAATGTACAGTTAACAGAGCAGTGAATTATCCCGAGGGCTTGCCTGGGCTTAATTTGTGACAGCTCGCTAGTCCGCAAGGGGTTACCTAGATCGTGGTCAACGCTTCTCGCTGCTTCTGGACCATTCAAAAAGCGAAGCCTGATCGACCCCTTGCCCAGGAGGCACACAATCGCTTTTCGCATTTGCAGCTGCATCTCACCTCTTTTCTGCATTCCTTCCATCCTCAGTTTGACCTCCAGCATCGTCCTCTGCCGGCTAAACAGTCCCAACTCCACTGGCCCATTGTTCTCGACCGGCCCACACATTGGACGACCGCCCTCGGTTCCACTGGCACCGACTCCCCTCCGCCCACGGCTGCGAGAACCACATTTCTCACGCTTGTTTCCTCCGACGACTCCCCGTCCACAGGCAACCGTTTTCTGCTGTCCATCATAATACAGTCTACCGTCCTCTGCCTCCTCGCCTCTACAGATGAGACGACATCCCCCGCACCGCCGTCGCTCGACCTAGATCCCACATTGTTAACCGTTCAGCATGCGGTGGCGGCTGCCTGGTGCCCGGTCGACCCTACCCGCCAGCGTCGCACTCCTCCTGATCCCCGTTCTTGTTGCTCCGCAGCAGCTGCATGAACAACAATATGCCGATGCTCCCTCCGCCGTCTCTGTGCCTCTGAGGCCGACGGCGGCCCACGTTCCCGCAAACGCAAACCCTTCCCCCTCCGCGTTGAACGTGAAGTCCAACGATGCGAGCGCCCTAGCAACCCTGGCTCTGGCGGGCTCCGGCCGCGCCGTTCGAGCCCCTCCCGCCCAGGTCAGCAGCAGCAGTGCTTCTGCTGGCCTGGCTCCGCAGCTGCATGCGCGGTCCCTGCAGGACTGGGAGGTTGAGGACTTTGTTCTGCTGGCGACCGTCGATGGTACCATTCACGCTCGAGACCGCAAGACCGGAGCTTACCGCTGGGCCCTTGAGGTCCCCGGTAGCCCGATGGTCGAGAGTTTATACCATCGAGCGAATCGCTCGAGCTTCGACGAGGCCCAGCCTGAAGACGACTTTATCTGGATCGTCGAACCCAGTCAGGATGGCAGTCTTTATATCTTCAGTCCGGACCCGAATGCGGGCTTGCAGCAGCTGGGGTTGACTGTGAAGGAGCTTGTCGATGAGACGCCATATTCCGGGACCGAGCCGGCTGTTACCTATACCGCCCGGAAGGAGACGACGCTTTATACCATTGATGTAAGGGATGGTTCGATATTACGGACTTTTAGCTCGAGGGGCCCAATGCCCTCTGGACCTGAGTGTCGTAAGGTCGATGATTTCAGTCCGGATCAGGATGAGGAGTGTGAGTCTCCGTCTGGGACTCTGGTGCTTGGTCGGGTTGAATATGCCGTGGCTATTCAAAATACTGAGACCGGCGATCCGATCTGCACACTGAAATACTCAGAGTGGACCACAAACAACCGGGACATTGATCTGCAAAGCCAGTACTTCCGTACAATGGATCAGAGCCATATCTATAGTATGCACGATGGCGTAGTTTTGGGATTTGACCATTCTCACATGGAGCGCCCTCGTTATACACAGCGGTTTCCCTCGCCAGTGGTGCGGGTTTTCGATGTTGCCCGCCCGGTTACTGTCGACAAGCCCGATGCCCCAAAACCGCTCATCCTTCTTTCACAGCCTAAACAACCTCCAGATCCGGATTATGGCTCGCTCGATGACCTTAATGACCGTGTGTTCATCGATTCTACTGAAGGCGGGGGTTGGTTTGCCATGTCCGAGGAAACCTACCCACTTGTTACTGGCCGAGCAAAGATGGCCCAGTACTATGAAAAAGACTACTTCCGCCTTGGCCAGCCGCTTATGAGCTTGAGCCCGGGCCAACAACGGGATGCACTTGCGGGTGTCCACGCTCTGAACACCCCGCGTATTCCTCGCCGCCAGATTCCCAGTATATCTGGCTCATCATCCGCGGAATTCTCCAACGACACGCCCAGGGAGATTATCCGCACCCCGTCGGAGCTGGCTCTACCACCGGCTCTTCGCCATAGCACTATCATCCGCAAAAGCTGGGATAACGCTGCCGATATCGTCGTTATGCTTGTCTTGTTGTTTTTTGGTACATTCATTTACTTCAACTCGCACAACATCCAAGAGCTCGCCAAACAAAAGCTCGACATAAAGAACATCATCTCTGCCTACGAACAGGCACCTTTGTCTACTCCGTCCACACCGCTCGTTGGTACTCCTCTAAAACGGGAGTCTAGCACCGTTCGCGCCGTCAAGGATGTCACAATTGACTTCAAAGTTGACGAACCCCCAGTTGACGGTGACATGACGCCAAAACCAAATAAGACCGGCGATTCTCTTGAGCCAAATGCCACGCCGCGTGTACGCATCCGCGAGCCATCACGCGGCCCGGTTGACGACAAGGACGTTGAAGAACTCTCATTGCAGGATGGGGAGAAGAAAAAGAAGGCACGCAAACGTGGCAGCCGCGGCGGCAAGAGTCATCGACGTGGAAAGAAGAAGGTTGAAAGCGAGAATGAAGGATCTGACCACGCTCCTGGTAGTCTGCAACCTCCGGGGCTACCCGACGCTGGGCTATCATTGGCCCGTACCGCTTCTAACGAAGTGTTCGAAATGGACGGCGTTATTCAAATCGGCCGCCTGAAGGTCCTTACGAGTGATGTGCTTGGTCATGGAAGCCACGGAACAGTAGTGTACCGTGGTTCATTCGATGGCCGGGACGTTGCGGTCAAGCGTATGTTGGTTGAGTTCTACGATATTGCATCCCACGAGGTCGGTCTTTTACAAGAGAGCGATGATCACAACAACGTTATTCGCTACTACTGCCGTGAGCAAGCAAAGGGTTTCTTTTACATTGCCTTGGAGTTGTGTCCGGCTTCGTTACAAGATGTGGTAGAACGGCCGGACGCGTTTCCGCAGCTTGTCAATGGCGGCCTGGATATGCCCGACGTCTTGCGTCAAATTGTGGCTGGTGTGCGATATTTGCACTCTCTCAAGATTGTACACCGTGACTTGAAGCCCCAGAACATCTTGGTCGCCGCCCCACGAGGCCGTACCGGCTCCCGGTCAATCCGCCTCCTGATCTCGGACTTTGGCCTGTGCAAGAAACTTGAAGATAACCAAAGCTCCTTCAGGGCAACCACAGCCCATGCTGCTGGTACGTCTGGGTGGAGGGCTCCTGAACTGTTAGTGGATGACGACAGAAGCCCGACAATGCAAGGCTCGGAGTCTCAGCACACAGAGTCATCTGAGCCTGCGGTCGTGGATCCTCAGACCAACCGACGAGCCACTCGAGCTATCGATATCTTTTCCCTCGGATGTGTATTCTACTACGTTCTCACCAGGGGCTGCCATCCCTTCGATAAGAATGGCAAATTCATGCGCGAGGCGAATATTGTCAAAGGCAATTTCAACCTTGAAGAGCTACAGCGTCTTGGAGAGTATGCTTTTGAAGCCGATGATCTCATCCGATCCATGCTGGCACTTGACCCTCGTCAACGGTATGTCCAACACCTCTCTTTCTCAAAGATCCCTGTACTAATGATCTACATCAGCCCCGACGCCAGCGCTGTCCTAACCCACCCTTTCTTCTGGAACCCTTCCGACCGCCTCAGCTTCCTCTGCGACGTTTCGGACCACTTTGAGTTCGAACCGAGAGATCCTCCGTCCGACGCCCTTCTATGCCTAGAATCCGTAGCCCCCGAGGTCATCGGCCCAGATATGGATTTCCTGAAGCTCCTGCCCAAGGATTTCAAAGACAGCCTCGGCAAGCAGCGCAAGTACACGGGCTCCAAAATGCTGGATCTTCTGCGCGCATTGCGCAACAAGCGGAACCACTACAATGATATGCCTGAGCATCTGAAGGCTCATATCGGTGGTCTGCCGGAAGGCTATCTGAATTTCTGGACCGTGCGCTTCCCGAGTCTGCTTATGAGCTGCCACTGGGTCATTGTGGACTTGAGCTTGACGAGGACGGATCGGTTTAAGAGGTACTTTACGCCCCTGGAATAGTGTATCTATCTGTTAGATTTTTGTTTGGAATATTATGAACGTGTGGGATCATTTTCTATACCTTCTATCCAGCTGGTAGAGTACTCATGACAACCTTCGCAACCGCGATTTCAGCTGTGCCATCGAACATTCTACAGGCCAATGTCGCGTAGGCACCTAACCATGGCATACCACTGAGGCATAATAAACTAATCCTCTTACCAGAGCATAATATATACAAATTGTTAGCACAGTTGGTCCCAGATAAATCCTCAAGTCCTTGAAATGTGGTTTACATCGTCTTCAGGTTTAGCGCACTGTGACCAGGCTTGACTCCTTCCTTCCATATCTGTACTGTACAATAAGAACTAGAAGTAAGATACAATAGCTAACAGGACTGAGTAAGATCTCTGAAACCGTAAACAGATGACCACGGTTATGCAGCTTCTACCTCTGACCCTGCTGCTCCTGACGCGTATGACTTTCCCGGTTCTGATTCTGATTCTGATTCTGATTCTGGCTCTGGTTCTGGTTCTGGTTCTGGTTCTGGTTCTGACCCTGGCTCCCCTGGCTCCCCCGCTCTTGAGTATTCTCATTCTCCTTATCCTCGTCCGGCGACATACACACCACGGCATCGAGATCGAAGTACCCCACGCCATCAATATCCATGTCGTCTGGATCCTCGTAGATCTCAAAGTAATGTGATTGCCGCGTTCCAGATCCCAGCTCCGAATGCGGATGGACTTCAGTCAACAAACTATCTAGCAATGCGGGCATGTATGCACCTGCCCCCGCCTCCGGTCCCGGTCTTTCAGAGAACTGCGGGAATGGAGATGAGGCTTGCGGCTGCGGCATTGAAGCAGGATGGGCGAAGTACGGCTGCGAGCTGAAGGACTCGCTGGCTGGCGTGGTGTTGTGGATTGTGTTTGGGCTTGGGCTTGGGTCTGGATCTGGATCGTCTCCGGCCATGGCCTGGCATGGTGAGGTTGACTCCGGAGTAGTGAATGAGAACGAAGTCCGGACTTTCTTGCGCGGTGGGAGGTGGAAGGGTCCTGGGCGTGCAAGGTCTGGATTTAGATCTGCGTCATGGTCTATCTTGTCTTTTCTCTCAACGCGGTCTTCATCTTTGTATGCCGGGTTGAGGGAATGGGCTAGGTGCAGAGCGCTCGTCTGCGCTTCTTTGTCAACATCGCCATCATACTCTAGACTGTCCGCTGGCCTCTTTGCGCCTAGGATCTGGAGCTGCGGCTTGTGTTTAACGAGTGGCGTGGTCTGTTTCGGTTTCTGGTTCTCGTCCTGGGTGTTGTGTTAGGTGATGCTAGACGAACACGTTGGATTGTTCCGAGAAGGACTCACCGTTGCAGTAGGATCCCGAGCTGGCGTCGGATCTATGCTCAGACAGAGCTGCAACTCGATTTCGTCCATCATGCTGGTAGTTTTGCGTCGTCGTTTGCCTTCTGCCAAAGTGGTTCGTAGCTGGAGCCTCAGACCGGCTAAGTGTTGTGAACGTTGAGCAGCAGCGAGTTTCTGTTGTAATAGCGATGCATGAGATGAGACAAGATGGGAGGAGATGGACAACTGAGAGATGAGCAAGAGATCGTTTATCGTAGATGGAGGAGGGGTTGTAGTAGGATGCATTGACTGCGGACAGGTCGGGAATCATTCACTTTGGATAATCTCAGCGCGCCTTGTAAATGACCACACATACAAATGGTGAGGGACAGGTATGAGATGCAGAGAGTTAGGGTGGGGAGTTGACGAAAGAGGGGTTGTTGGATTGCTGATGGGTGAATGGGAGATGATGATGGGAGAGAAAAGGATGGTGAGCAAGATTGGGTGGGGGGTAAAGTGCAACTCGACCAGAGACGTGCTACTTTACTAGAAAACTGAAAGCTACAAGAATCTGTCCGCAGAGCTCGATTGAGACTATCCTGGCCTAGATAAAGACGAGTACCGCATTAGATCGCATACATAATCCAGATATCGACGATCGCTATTACTCTCACAGGCTCGCTTCGAAAGTCAAGTCAAGTCAAGGTAATGACGGTTAGACGCGGAAATCCTACCCTCAGCGAGGAAGGCGATAAAGATATACAGACTTGGTTATGTTCCTGGGAAGGGTGAGTGACAAGAAGGCGTACTCCATCGTTGTTTAGAAAACTGCATATTTCCCATACTCTTCGCTTATCTAAACTGTCTGGGTCCCACCATACCGCCTCTGCCGTCAGTCCCAACCTGCCCGAACATATCAAGCAAGTGTCGAGAAGACGGCGGCGGCCCCTGAAGCCCGGGGTTTCCATCAAAAGGTCCCATCAGGTTGTCTCCATTGTGCGGCATTGGCGGGAAGCCACCAGGCGGAGGTCCGTTCATGTAGCCAGGAGGCGGCATCATTCCAGGAGGGATAGGTCCACGTGGGAAGGGCTGGCGCTCATTAAGCGGCATGTTACCGTGCATTGGCATCACGTTAGGGATATAGTTGGGGTTGACGCCCCTGTTCGGAGTTGGAATTCCAGGTGGAGGGGCCAGTGGCGCCGAGGGACCTGCTTGTTGCGGAGGCATATGCGGACCGGCCCAGCCGGGAGGTGGCATGTGTTCGAAGCCAGGAGGACGCTGAATGCCCATGGGCGGCGCTTGGCCTTGCGGAGCACGACTTCCACCAGGAGTAATCGGAACCTGCGCTCCTTGAGGGAACGGAATCTCGTCAAAGTAGCCCATAGGCGGCCCGTTAGTCGGTCTTCGTCGTAGTTGATCAACGTCAGGCCTCTGCATCGTGGCGATTGCGGGATCGTCAAGGAAGCCAGGGCCCTTCATAGAAGGTCCGATTCCAGGAGGATGGGGAATGCCGTCGGGCATATTCATGAGCCCAGGGGTTGGACCAGCGCTTTGTGGCTGGTTCTGAGGGCCTTGGTTCGGGGCAGCGCTGGGGCTGACTCGCACTTGCTGCATCAGCCGAAGCAAATGTTGGCTGTCTCGTGCTTGTGGCTCCTGGCCAAACATGTTCTCCTTGAGTGGGGCATCTGCGGGCCGTGCAGGTATATCTTGCATGGGCATTTGCTCTGGGCGCTGACCCTGCCCTCGTGAAGGAGAGGTCGGGCTGCGCGTTTGCTCTGCATGGACCAGAGATGAAGGACGGTTTGATTGGGCAATGTTTTGCATAGGATCATTAAGAGGCGTGGCATTGCGCGATTTGCCTCCTCCAAGCATCATCAAGATACGCTGGAAGCCTTCTTGATCGGCATCATGAGATGGATTCAAGGGTGCAGGAGACCTGGAGCTCATTGGAGACTCGGGTTCCTTTGCAGGGCTACCCAGGGGAGGACTGAATAAGCCTGCAAAGCGAGAAGACTTTCCAGGTTTGCCTGCAATCGATTCTTTTTTGACAGCGGATTCGGAAGGGAGAGGCGAGCCGACGTCCTGGGCAGGCTTCGAATCGCCCAGCAGGCCAAAAAAGCGCTCCATTGTTGTGTCGTGCAGAGCGGCACCACCTGGGCTAAAGATCTCGCCGTCGGTAGTCCTGGGCTCCGATCTCTGTACAGGCTCGGGAATCGGCTCGCCGGGAGACTCTTTTCTTTCCTCGGGTTGAGTTTGGGAAGAGCCAGCCTTCATCTTTTCCTTCCAGCGCTCAAAATCCTCCTGCGTGTGGACCCTCCGGGGCTCATCTCGATCGCTCGCATCCAGCCACTCAGGCTCTTGTTCCAGCTTCGCTCCACGAGTCCACTCGCGATCAGCGCCATGTCTGTCGCGGCGCCAGTCTCGGCTGCGAAGTGAAGCTTTCTCTTCTTCCGCGTCGGGTGTTTCTTGTCCATTATCGTCGCGGAACCAACTGCCCTCATGTCTAGCACGTCCAGGCGGCACCTCTCGGCGAGTGAAAAAGCGTCCGTCTTTGTCTTTCGCGATGCGCTCGGCGTTGGGGTCTCGCGGGTCACGAGCCTCCCACCTATCGAATTCTCCATTACGCTTCGGCTTCTTGTCCTGTTCATCTTGGCCAATTGTACGACGCGGGCGGCCATTGTTCCAGTCCTCCTTCTCTCCCCTTCGGTTGTTGAATGTCCCCATCTTGCCCTCACGCCCTGCGAAGTCTCTTTCGCCGGCTTCCCGGTCCTTGAAATACTTGAACCGATCATTCTTCGGGTCGTCCGAGGCAGGTAACCGTTCTGTGGCGTCTATCGAGCCTTTTCCGGGTATACGCGAAGCGGAAGCGAAGGCGGTCTTGGGGGGTCCGAGAACAATATCCTCTAGGCAGTGTTAGAACAATCACAAAGGCTTGGTTCATGTATTCGATTCCCGGAGACGCATAACAGCGCAAGAGAGTACGGAGTAGTCTCACCTGAATTTGAATTGCGAGATATGTGGCGGGTTTCGAAAATGCTTGGCCGCCGGCCTGACGTTTCGTTGTGGTTGTTGCTCGGATTTCGTTGAGCCGTACGATCAGGAAGCGGTCTATGCAAAACCGGTCAAGTTAGCTCAAGCAATGCAAAGAAATATAATATGACTAGGGGATAATGCGAAACCGTACCCCATCCATTCTTCCACCGGAGGTAGATTGGCCGGCCTCGTGACCAGCGGTGACTCGCGCAGCCATATCAACTCGTCTATTTCGTAGCGTCGCGCCATTGCGACGGCAGGTTATGTTGTGTTTTTCGCAATCCTCACGTAGTTTTCATATGTTCCGATCGCGTAAGGGACAAGGGAGGAGGGGATAATCGTGGAGATCGTTCGGTGTGCTCGGCGTTGCGGCGAAAGGGAAGGACGAAGGACGATTGGAACGGAGAGGTAGAGCGTCAGGTGATCCGGTGAGAGGGATATGGAGCGCAGGCTATGGTGCGAATCAATTGGAAAACGTCAATTTCGGCGTTGATGGTCGGTAGTCGGTATCGGTCAGGTTGAGGTTGAGGTGCGGATGAGGAGGGGCAGAATTGCCGAATCAGCAGCGGCGAGAGGAACCGAGAGAAGTGGGTGTTGTCGATAGTTGCAGGTTACTGGAGCAGATATCCAAAGTGATATATGACTTCAAAGCTTTCAGGAAAGGTATTGGAATCAGAGGGTGGAGGTTATGGGGAGCTGAGGCGATGAGCCAAGGTTGTTGTTGAAGTCTGAAGTTTCGCGCGCCCCAGAGAGGAAAGAAAACGGGCAGTCGGCTGGAACACTCTGCAGCTGGTCCACGTATCCCACCACAACACAGGACATTTGCTACACTTAGACCTCCTTTTCACATGTGTCAGACATACTACGGGTGGTATCACTATAGATTCTTCTTTTTACTGACGTCCCAATTCAGATCATGTTTTCCTGCCCCAAACCAGGCAAAATCTATCCATGGATTACAAAACTCAACTTATGCCAACACTATATGGGTATATTATCCACAGTCAACCTTCCATCTTAGCCAATCTAAGCAGTTATTTGCTCGACTGCCCGTTGTACAGCGCCTCCGCTCCATGTCCCGGTCCGATCATTGTCCGATGATTGATATAACGACTGCGCCATCGCTGTCAGCGTGGACGCATCCCTGCCAGTGACTGCCGGGAGCTGGGCCTGTATCCAACTGATGATTCCAGCTCTGGTAATCAAAGTCGTACTGCCCTTGACCTGAGTCGAGCGATACACCAGATGCAGAATCTTCTTCTTCGCAGAGAAACCAGCACCCGGTGAATCGTAGAATGACAGGACTCTTTCGAAGACGTTGGCTCGGCGATAGATCTCCATATCCTAGGAATGTGTTAGACAATTGTAGCTTCCATGAATGGTTACGACAGCATACCCGTTCTGTTCTCAGACCCTTGATCAGCAAATCCAATAACCACGCGATTTCTTCAAAGTAGCCGTCATCCAACTCCGGCTCATGCAGCAGAATTTTGTCAATCCAGTAAGATGGGATTTTCTCCACCTCCCATGATGGTGCCTTCTGGAGGAACTTGTTGACCTTTCCGTAGAGTTTATGCATCGGGTCCACGAGCACCGAGAGACAGCTGGAAGCACATTCTCCCACAATCCGTGGCACGGGCGTATCAACCCCAATCTGTTTGATCGTCTCGAGGAACTCTCCAGTAAGAATGTAAACAGTCCGCCATTCGGCGTATTTGGATTCCTGCAGTCCAGAGTTAGCAGTCCGCAAGCAAAACATACAAACAGCGCGGATGGTACCTTGAGCTTCATCATGAATCGAGAAATGTTCGGAAGCGCCTGTCGTCGAACCTCTTCGTGCTCAGAACACAGGCAGAGTAGGAGTTCCCCTACCCGACCCTCTTCCAAAGACTCTTCTAGTTCCTTCTGCTCCCACCGATACAGTTCGTTATGGGTAGTGCCCTCAACCGGCAGAGCCCCAAATATTTCTTCAAGGTCCAGGTCTTGCCACTCCCTTTTCGGGACTGAGGATGGTTGGTTGGATTTTTCGGTGTTCGTTTTCTTGTCTCCCTCTTCATCCTCTTCACATCCCTTCAAGGCTTTCTTGAATCGCGACTTCAGCTTCTTATCCTCGGTGGCATTGACTAATTCGTCCCGGGCCGCCTTCAGGCCTTGTAGATTCTCTCCAGAAGAATGAAGGTCCTTGAGCAAAGTGGCTATGAATTCCCCCACGCTCTTTTGAGTGTTCACATTCCCAGCTTTGAGAAGAAAAGGCCATTGTTCGATCACAGCAGCCACAAGAGGACTGAGTAGCTTGGAATCGTCAACCAAAGATCCGACTAGGTCTTGATAATGGACAGGTTTCTTCGCTGTGCGGCACACGCAATTATCGAAAAAGGCCAACTGGTGCAGGAGGGATTCGGAATCCGCTGCGTCAAAGCTAGGCAGGAGGGCAGAAAAGCTTGAGGGGCGAATAACCGAGTGTTCTGCCAGCACATTTTTAAGGAGCTGGTGGATTTCCTTGAACGACTCCCCAGAGGATGCAGTAGACAGGACTTTCAAGATGGAGGTGAACGCAGAAAACTGCATGGATCCTGCTCTTGCGTTAGGACTATTATTGATATCTAATGACAGGAGGCTTACCAGGCTGATTCCACCAGCGCAGGGATGCTGATTGCTGGGCGATCTTGAGGATATTTTGCAGTTGACTTATCAAGAGTTCGGTATCTTCCGAGTCAAGATTTCCTTCATCCAGTCTTTTCAAGATATCGACGAGAACAAGGGAGACATCGAAGCCCTCCTCAAAAGCCACACCTGGCATGACTTCGTAGAAGGAAGCGAGTAGTTCGGAGACCGCCTCCTGCTGTTGCAGGTCATCTTTGGCCGTTCTTCGGAACAAAGTCACAACGTCCTTCATCTGAGGGCATCTATGACCGAATTCGACAATCAACTTGTCCGCGGCCTGAGCCCACAAATGCTGACTGGCGCCATGATCGCCATTAAAGATCTTCAGGGTCGCCCGCAGCTTATTGAAAGACATAGTCAAGATTCTCACCGCGAAAAGAGTGACGATCTCGGCGTTCATGTTGAAGCAACGACTGAGGACTTTCTGTGTAAGTGGACGCGGAAGAACATTTTCGATAACAACCGAGACAGGTGGAGGCATGACAGGTAGTTTATCCTTCCATCCACAATTAGCAGGAACTGGTAGGCTGACTGTAGAGAAGAGGACGGTTGATTCTGCCATCCATGAAGGTGTCGGCTTCGGATCCGCCATGAAGAGAGACTTTTTGGTATAGTAGTCAGCTATCAGCTCCGGCGCTGCTTTAAAGATGGCTAGTAGTAACTCGATTTGAAGACTATCGGAGTCCGGGCGAAGAACCTGAATGAGGTAAGAGAGCGTGCCATTACGAACAGGTACTGATTCCCGGTACTTGTCCACGTATGCTGCAGAGTCAAGCCCTAGGTCAATTGATGCACCGTCGTCGATAGGAAGTGACTCCGGATTAGTATTGTTTGGATACCATCCCATTTGAGGCAGCAAAACGCCATGCTCGGTTTTCGTGCAGACAGTCATCAGAATCTTATGCGTCTCGTCGGCGAGGGACAAGCCGGTCGTATTTTCCTGCTCAGACTCGCGGTCATAACCATAGAGGGTGACAAGTCTCTCGAGGTTCCAACGACTGAAAAACTTCGTTTTAGTATTCCGAGAAAGGGAGCTATCCAGGATTACATCTCTTTCGATTGCTTTAACGATATCGATAACAATCTCCCGCGGATCTTTTCTTAGATGCTCAAGGAACGCCCTCATGACCTTTTGCTGCTCGATGATATCGGTTTTGTTGGTAGCCTGCTGGAATCTCAGGTTCGCAAGAACATATCGCTGAGCATTGCGCCTCAGTGTAGAGGCCTGAGGGTCGCCAGAACTCTCCTCGAGTTGAGCTTTGTTCGGCGTTAGGAACACGTCCATGCGCTTAAAAGTGATGTAACGCGCAAGATAGAGTTGCCGAGCGACAGCGCCGCCATCAAAACTGACAATCTCCGTGAGAAGACGGAGACAAGGGGAAATCAAATGTTCCTTGGACTTGTTGGCGGTAAGGCCACGGTTGAACAATCGTAACTGATCCTTCTGCAGCAAATGCTTGCACAGGGCGATGCCAAACTCACGGAAATCCAGATTACTGGATACGGTCTTGATGAATATGGCGAGAACAGAAGGCACGGATGTCAGTAAAGATTCATGGCTACTGCTGTCCGCGAAATTCCACGTCTGGATGATCTCCGGGAAGCAGATTGGTTCCTCAGTGTTGCGGGAAATTTGCGTGTCGCAGTACGCCTTGAGGATGCGGAATTTTTTGGCTTTCTCGCCCTCGTTGACTGCTAGTCCTATAGACGTGAGGAATTCTTTGAATTTCCTTATTCCTGTATCATGACGGTCAGCTTCTGATTCATCATTCACGCTTGGCGAAAATCACCTTGCTTTGCCTCTACAACATTTTGTTGGAAAACTAGGAGCGATTGTAGCTGTGTATGTGATGTTACAGGAGAGGAATCCTCAGCCCCCTGTGGGGTGTCAAGTTTCCTCCGCTTAGCAGAATGGAATCGGTCATCATTATGAGACATTGTGACCTTGAAAATGAAATGATATTGATTGATATAGCGTCGACCGGTCCAGATAGATAATTTGGAATCGGCGGAGCAAAAAATCTAAGATACTGGTTTGGGAAACCTCTCAGTGCCGCTATAACAGATTGTCTGGATTAACTATTTTCCATGCCGGCCTGCACTGGCCCTCGTAGAGACCAAAGCATAGGGCCTCGAAACTTTAGAACTAAGAACTTCGCGTAAAACCAATTGTGAAATGGCCCATATCTTCATTTTATATTCTTGAATTTCGAAAGCCAACGAAGTCGGAAAATAATTTCGAATCCTTCACTTTGCCGCTTTGTGAACCGCCTTCCCTTGGGCAAGCACTTCCTTAATCTTCCCCCTCCTTTGCGCGAGTTTCGGCTTTGCAGTGAGTCGCCCTGAAGGATCTTCCTCAACATCGGCGAACAGCTTCAAAAGTTCAATGACGGTGTCCCTTTTCCGGAGAACTTCGTCTCCCATCGTGCTTGTGATTTCCTCCGTTTTCCTGGTTTGGAGTTCCATCATGTATTCATCAATTGACCCTTTCACAACCATTTTAACGCATTCGACCTTCTTTGTTTGTCCGTGTCGAAGCAAGCGACAGAAAGCTTGATTTTGGATAGCTTCATTCCACCAGAGGTCAACGAGTATACACTTATTTGCCGGCGTCATATCAAGTCCTGTGCCGCCTGTGGCAAGACCGACAATCAGGACTGTGATTTCGGGACTATTGTGGAAGTCCTCAAGGCTCTGGTGCCGAGCTGGGATTCTCATCTCGCCAAACAACTAAACAAATACTGTGGTTAGTTGATGCTGGATGTACTGGATGCACAGGGGTTCGGCTCCGCGACTTACGCATCGATGCCCCCAACGTTCTTCTTCACACATCTCCGCCAAGATTCTGATGAAATCCGTGAATTGAGTGAAGATGACTACTTTGGTAGATTTGCTGGCCCTCTTCCACTTCTGAATGATGCTCTTGATCTTGGCTAGTTTTGCGCTCGGCATTCTAGCACCGCACGCACGAATCCAGTCTTCATGCTCTTCTCTATTCTCATCTTTGGTGTCACCTGCAAGAGTCAGCTGGGAATGCCGGTGAAGAGCGCATAACATAAGCTTACTGTTCTTTTTAGCCTTGCCTTTTCGACTCGTCAGCTCCCTTCTTTTCTGGATGTGGGCGGCGAGCGTTGTTGGGCTTTCCGGTACAGGTACTGGCGCCGGCGCTGGTATTGCTGTTGCCAGTGCACTATCCGTGCAGCGAACGGCCATGTCAATCGGGCTCGTGCATCTTTGGCATATTGGCTTCGGTTCTTCCATGTTCTCAGTGCTTTGATCTTCGTCCATGACACCCTCAGCGGTCTTATAAAGCGCCGCATAGCATTCCTGGCAGTACGTGTGTAGGCAAGATGTAACCGCTGCCTTATCCGGAATGATAGTGCAATTCGCGCACATGATCCTGTCATGTAGCGCAACCCAATTGTCGTCATTGCTATGTTTCTCAACCAGTTCTTGGAATCTTTCGAGCAGGTTCTGATCTTCGCTGAATATGCTGTTGTCACTGTCCTCCGTAGAATTCAATCGCTCGTCGTGACGCTTTTTTATCAGGTTCGTGTAGTCAGTCTTTGCTGCTACAAGCATAGCAACGATCTCGGAAGAGGTGGAATCGGTAACGCCATTTCTAGTTACCGTCTTCTGTGAAATATTGTTCAATTCTCCCATCAGAGTGCCTTCGGGGCGCAGGAGATACTTGAGGATCCGTTGCACCGTGAGCGGGTGATTGCAGAACATCCTCAATCGAAGGATCATCGACAGTATGCAATTTGTTTGGGCCTCCTTGTTCCTGCGGTAGCCTCCCATCTCTGCGTTGCCGTTAGTAAACGAAGGTTTCAATCCAGTTGATACGAATCTTACCATTTATGCTTTCGAGGAACATCTGCACAATGGCCTCGTACATGATCCATTCCGCTTCGCAGAATTCGACGATGACCCTCGTCTCCTTGACATCAGGAAGTGCGAGGATAGGGCGTGTAAACAGTCGGCTGGAATGCGTGCGGCGGCACATGTAGGCTCGAAGCATGCTGCTGAGGCGCTCGTCTCCTAGCGTTTCCTGAAATCGTGCATCAGTCTTTCTTTCTTTTTCCGAATCCGAGGTCAAAACTGCTTACATCGCGGAAGAAGGAGACAAAGTCCTGATATGTCGCTATTCCAGGGACATTGAGGAAGGCAAAAGGTGGATACCATTCGTCGTTGGAACTATGAAGACAGATTAGTTTGGCCATCATCATCATAACGACATTATCAAGTCCTGAAGGACCTACTTTGTGATAGGCGTCCCCGACACAAGCCACTTGTGCCGACCGGTGAGGCCACGGACAGCAATCGACACATCTGATTTCCGATTCTTGATCGTGTGGGCTTCTATATCAGCAGGTTAGCACTTGAATAGACTAACCCTGAACGACATATCTCACCGTCAAGCACGATTCTATGGAACTTGATTTGATGCAAGGGACCGCGATCTCTCTTGAAGATCTCTGCCCATTGCTCTCTCAATGTCGCCTCATTAGCGAGCTCCTTTGGAGGTTTGAACTTCGGATATGATCGTCGAATTTCTTCGTAGGTTGTTATCCTGACAGGGACATGAGCCATATATTTAATCGGAGGTCGAATCCTAATCAATCACTAGACTTACACGATGTCATAGCTATTCAGGTCCTCGACATCATTGAGCGTCTCCAGCCTTGCCCCAGCGTGATAATTGACGACTCTGCCAATCGCTGTGCTTTCGCAATGTTTTCGCATTTCATCCATCCTGGAAGCAATGTTAGACATCCGTGAGGACAAAATATACCGTGTCGTATAACATACCAGTGCTTGGTGAGGACTGACGGCACTACAAGCAGAGTAGTTCGAACCGGGTCGTCCGGATCTGAGGGAGGTCCATCGATGATATTCGCTGCCAAATTATAAGACTTGCACCGAGGAGACATGGGCAGGACTCTGGAGCTGACGTACCCAATGCCGCAATGGTCTTTCCGAACCCCATTTCGTCACAATAGAGGCCACCCTTTGGCTCTATAGGCGAGTTCTCACGATCACGCTTTTCATATTAGCTATGGTTTGTCTTTGTTGTGCCTAGGGGCCACTCACCATAAACCCGCAGCCGATCACCTGGTAGTTATATAGGCCTTCCTTGAGCCCCTTCATCGTCCACTTGCAGTCGTTGTCATTTACCTCATCATCGCCCCCTTTAGCCTTCCTGAGTCGGTGTGTGAACTTCTTTAGGGCATCGTTGAGCAACTCAGCGTCAGCCTTGGCCACCTCTTGGTCTCTAGTAGGGATACTAGCAATGATTTCGGCAAGAACATCCTGTCGCTTGGTGGCCGTGATGCCTGTGAGGGCTGGCATGGACGCACTGGCATGCGCCTCCTCAATCACATTAGACGACCAGTTCATTGGTGCCGGTGGAGCAGCCGCCTTGCCCTTGGTCTTTCGTTTCTTGGCTGCTGGTCCAGCTTTCCTACCAGGATTGGCAGGATTGACCGCATCAGCCCGCGCCTTGCGTTTTCTACCCCCTCGAAGCTTCTCGAGGATCGTTTCGAACCCGACTTCCATGCTTTTCCTGTACTCGGCAGCAGAGAGGCGATTGACACGTCTTCTCTTGATGACAGGGATCATCGGAAGCGGTGCCGCAGTTGGTATGGGAATCATTGTCTGCTGAGGATCCGGGTTGATACCCTGGTCGTTATTCTTGACGAGCTGGTCCTTTAGTAACAGAACTCTCTGCTCAACGCTTTGCTCTTGCTGGACAAAAATCTCGTTATCCGCCTCTGGCACCTGTGCCTGCGCATCCTGTCTATCCTGCAAGGCCTGCGCGTTTCGCTGCTCTTCATCCTCCAAGTCCTGTAGTTGCTTGCGCTGTTTAGAGATCTTCCTCTGGATTTCCCACTTCGTCTTTGCAGTCGCGTAATCGACCTTATGAGCCAGGGTCGGGGTCGGCAGCCCTTGGAACCACTTCTCGACGGCCTCGAATCTGCAATCCCGTTAGCATCTGTGGCCATGGTTCATACCATCAACTTACGCCTCCTGCGCGTCTCTATCCAGTGCGTCATCTCTCGCCTCCGATTCGGGCGTCAGGACATGGTCGGGTAGGGGGTCACCATTGAGATCAGTGATAGGTGGAAGAGAGGGGATTTCGGGGCTCGGGGTATTCTGTGGGACTTGCACGTCTTTGGTAGCGGTAATAAGGGCGCGCGCGCGGTCAAGGGCGTCCCTGGCGTAGGCTGGGATTCTGCGCGCTCGTGCGTCTGCTAGACGGTCTGCCTCTAGGAAAGGGAGTTGAGGGGGCACCTGAACTTTTGCCATTGCGTTTGGGCGTGGTCGATCGAAGGGTTTAGTGGTGAGGTTGAGGGTTTAGGTGAGGATTAATGTCTGAGGATGGAGATATGGTGAGAGGGATCTGAGTAGAGATGCCGTCATACGTGATTATTGAGCCGCTGGAGGGCCTCTAAGTGTCTTGTAGGTGGTAGAGAGTGTAGATAAAGACGGTGTAAAGAGATGAGGGCGTATCTATACCTCGGCCTTTATTTATAGAGAGAGAGAAGAGATAGGCTTAGGTATCTATACCCAAGTAATAGCAGGAATTTTTAGGAAAGATGGAGAACTGTGGCCTTCGAGGGCCTTATATAGTCAGATAAGTAAGAGAATTAAAAGCATAAGATGAGGTTTAAGTGAAGCAATGTTGATATAGAACGGCCGAAACTTGCACTCATACTACTATGTTTGATAATAAAGTAACTTACCCTGAAGGAGGAAGCATATTGGAGCCGCTCGTAAGATGAGCCTAGCTAACCAGGTCAGTGACCACAGTTGTATGTCTAGAATGATATCGGCTCTGCCGTTAGTGCAATTTGGTCCGCTGCAAGTGTCCCAGAAGTCTGCCTCAAGCTGGGAAATCGACCATGTTCGGAACTCGTTTCTTCGAAGGAATCTAGATATAAGCATCTCCTATAGTGGCTGGGAATAGGGGTCACTCGGGTGTTCGAAGGTGTAACTATGAGGGCCAGTAGCAACTTATCATTATGATACCAAGTTTATGTCAAACTGAAGGAAAGGACATAGCAGCACTTTTCAAGCCCTCCAAAATTAATATTAAACTAGGGGTATGCGAGCGAAACTATCTACAGTAGTATATCACAGAGTTTCCACTTGACACGCATTGCTCAACGGCCCCTCACATCATCAATACAATCAAATCGTAATCAAGTACATAGCCTCCAGCCAGTAGCACATATATCTTTCATCAATAGCCTTCCCCAAGCACATAGTGCTTCAACCGCTGAAACTGTTTATATGGCGAAACGGTTCCTCGCCGCAGCAGTGGGAGAGATAGAAGGAGAGGGGACGGAGCTAGAAGGTCCCGCGGCCGCAGAAGTCCGGTTACCAACGCTACCAACGAGCGGGCCAATGAAGAAAGGCTGGTCGCAAGGGCTCGAAGGCGCCGACACGCAGTTCGGAAGGTACCGGCCAAGTCGTCCAGTCTCATTGCCCAAGCCGAGAACATAGGCCGGGTTGAAGGCGGGCACCAAAGACGAAGTGTTGGATGGGAAGATGATGCCCTTCTGCCCCGCGGCGAGCCAAGTTGTATCGGCAGTGTGCACGGCTGCCAGTCTGGCCAGTATAAAGGAGACTTCCGGGGACTGGGTGTATGCAGTGGCGCCGATGAAAGCGGCGGCAACGTCGGCCTCGAGCCCGAGGGCAATTGTCACGTATTGCTCGCCGCTGGAAGCCCTTGGGACCGAGTAGTTACATCTTGGGTTCGAGTAGCCAGGGACTTTGGCGCCAACAACCTGCAGAGCCCGGACGCCCAGACGGTTCTGTCTCTGGATGCCGAGGAGGTTCTGGTAGTATTCGAGTCTGGAACCGTTGGTGGCAGTTTGCAAGAAGGTCTGGTTGATGGGTTGGGAGGTATAGTATCTCTCAAGCAGGCCCTGTAGTGCATAGGCGTATTCGACGACTGCGGCGTCCGATGACTTGGGAGAGCAGCTGGTGTTCTGAGCAAGCGCAGCCCCCGCAAGCAGGAGACCGCCGAACATAGAGAAGAAGCGCATGGTGGCTGATCAGACTTTAACCTCGACTATGAATCTTGAATGAGAGAGTAGCCAATATGAGATCAGCAAACTGCTTCAAGTTCGGGAGAGTAGATATATAAGTATGATATGTGGATTGACTGGCAGCCGTGGGGGTACCTCGCCGTCAGAGCGACGTGAGGGCAGCTATATGATGCAATTGAACTGTATGTGAGAGGATCCAAGCTCGCTCTGCACTTGAGGAAGTGCGCGGAAGCTTAAGCCGACCTTTGCATCATGACATACCCCGGCTCGATGCTCTCATAGGCAGAGAGAAGACCACACGTCGTGCTCACCCTAAGCGGCGGGGGCTGCGGACTTCTCATCCGCCATTGACAGCAAGCAGAGCGCATTGAATGCTGGTTCATAACATGGCCACTGTGATATCATGACCTGCCGGATCACGGTAGGGCTGCTTGCGGTCGAAGATGCAGTCTCGGCCAAATCTTGGTGTAATCGAGCTCGATCGCGGCCCGCCCTTCCCCGTCTGATGCGGGAGACTAGATCCTTTAGTCAGATCTATCTTGGAGGCAAGGGTTGATCTAGATCAGGATCCAAGATCTTCTATCTCAGGCTGGCTTTGTCCTTTGGTCAGTCTGCGGATGGCGCGGAAGACATAACCATGAAACCAGACGGGGTGCTGTTTGGGTCGACTCAGGCACGTGATCAAATATGCGCGCGGACTTAGGAAGACTTAGGCAGACGACGAATTTAAATTCAAATGGGTTTTCATCGAGTTTCATTGAAAAATCAATCTATGCCATGTAGTATAAAGTGACCAAAGATAGCACTCACTGCCTGAGTGGCGGTTACACAAGCAATCGAGATAAGATAAGCCAACCAAAGCACGGAAACGAAACCATCAGAAAAGGAGCCTCAAAACATATGCCCCCCGAAGGTCTTTACATAGCCTGGGCGAGAATACCACCAGCCTTGAAGGGGAAAGAGTCGACCAGAGCGTCGCTCTTCTTGTAACCACCCTTGGCGATGATGTCACTGTAGTTAGTGGAACCACCACCGTTCCAGGCGAGGAGCTAGTAAGGAAGTTAGTTAAGGCCAGTAGAATCCGAGATGGCGCGCAACTTACGTTGGGGGTGTCCGAAGGAATGTCGGTGAGGACGCCTTCGGTGGCAATGGAGATGATGTCCTTCTTGAGCTTCTCGGGAGTGAAGTCAACGGCGAAGGCCGAGTCCTTAGACGGTTGGAGGGAAACGAAGTACGCCAAAAGACCAGCAATGTGAGGAGAGGCCATTGAGGTTCCGGAAATGGTGTTGACCGCGGTGTTGCTACCGATCCAAGTCGAAAGGATGTTGAGACCAGGGGCGAAGATGTCAGTGCACTTGCCATAGTTAGAGAAGTAAGCGCGCTCGTCAGCAAGAGTCGAGGCTCCGACAGTGACAGCCTTCTCGGCAGCAGCAGGAGAGTAGCTGCACGCGTCAGCGTTGTCGTTACCGGCCGCGACAGCAAAGTGGACACCAGCTTCAACACCGGCGTTGACAGCGTCTTCGAGGGTCTTCGACTTGCCGCCACCAAGACTCATGTTGGCAACACTGCCCTTGAAGCCGTTACCGCCCTTCTTAGCCTTCTTGAGGTGAGATTCAACGGCCCATTCGACCCCCTGGACAACGTCGGCCATGGTACCGGAGCCGCTGGATCTCAAGACCTTGACGGCATAGATGTTGGCCTTCTTAGAGACACCGTACTTCTTTCCGGCAATTGTGCCCGAGCAGTGAGTACCGTGTCCGTTTCCATCCTCGTCAGCGTCGTTGTTGGGGATGGTCTTGCCCCAGTGAGCACGGCCCTCGAAATCATCGTGCGCCACGTTGATACCAGTATCAATAGTGTAAACGTCAACTCCCTCACCTCCCTCAGAGGCGTATAGGTACTTGTTGAATGTACCGAAAGTGAGTCTATCCCGGTGGGAGATACGGGCCAAACCCCAGGGGGCGTTCTTCTCGGTGTCCGTGTCTTCCAATGTATGAACTTCGGAGTTACGCTCAATGTATTCGACCTATAAATGCCCAGCGTCAGTTTGAACCAAATAAATAACGTTATATTGCACTTACGTCAGGGTGGTTGCGGATCTCCTCGATCGTTTCCTCGTGGAAGTGTCCCGAGTATCCCATCAGGGATCCAGCAATGTTGAAAGTATCTTTGAGACCATCATATATTTCCTCGCCAAACCCGAATTCGAGTCCGAGGAAGGACCGCTTCTTCAGGTCAGGCCTAGCACCGCTCTGCTGACTATGGATGTCCTGCACCCAGCTGTGGTGAGCAGAGGCTGCATCGGTGTCTACGTGCTTCTTGAAAACAACGATGTAGGAGTCGGGGATTTCTTTGGCGTTCGTGGATGAAAGAATGGGAGCGGCTCCGTTGTGAATGGACTCGACAACAACGGGCGAGGCTGCAGCCAGCAGCGGGAGCAGGGAAAGGCCGAGGATGCCTTTCATGATGGGCAACGATATAAGAATGTAGCAGAACTTGACAATACAAACAAAGAGAGAATAACCAGAGACGTGAATGACGAAGGCACGATGGGTTGGATAGAGATGATGGGAGAAGACGAGGATGGGGAGAGGATGAGGAGTGAGGAGGAGGTTGGATGGGGAGGAGAGCCGAGCTTATCAGTCAGCTGCACCAGCAAGGGTGATGTAAGAAGCAACCGGGGTGATCAGCGGTAATATTACGCAGAGATACATGTCAGGTGATTCAAACTAAGCCACTTGCTCTTTGAAGGCTGGTATTTTACATATCAATTACAGATTGCGGCAGTACGCGGCCCCGTCACGCCTTGATAAGGACCCAGGTTGAGCAACAGGCCAGTGGGGGCAGAGTGTGCGGAGAACAAGCAATCCACGGTCATCAGGTCCATTTATTGACTCTATTGTCCTACACAGTGGTAGTAGGGGCTATGTCTTTCAGTAATAATCTGCACAGATGGAACCTGCCAATTATTTCATGTTGCAGAAACAATCAGCAGCTGACGGAGGACATTCGTCCAGCGGTAACTCAGGCCCTCAGAACCCAAGCGGCCAAGTTCCAGGCACCAGGAGCTTGCGCCTTGAGGAACTTGTAAGAAGTTCACCAACCAGGAGGACTAGTGTGGAACAGGGCGAAACTGGTCACTCGGCCAACTTCCCTTTCAACCCCAGCCAAGCTGTGATCGCTGATTCCGCCTCATCATTCCTCATTCCTGCTTCTTGCTTCCGAGATCATGCCAGCCGAGTGGCCTCGGGGGTTCCAAGCTGTCTTGAGGCAGCTAGTCACGACTGTGGCGTAGTTAAACGAGACTGACGAGCTGATATCTACCATTGGTTTGCTCTTCTTCTTTTTGAGCTGTCATCATCATTATGAGATGGTGCAGGCTTGCAGCAGGTTGGTGCGCCATCGACTTGGCATGCTGGATGATAATATATGGGAACCGGACAGCTTGTAAGTGGCAATTAAAAGGTAAAAAGGCATGTATTGTTGTATTTGTTGTCGGTTGATGTACTAAGGAGGAAAGGTTTGAAGGTCTCATCCCATGCTTCTTACCTATCCTACCATACCTAGGTAGTTCCGTGGATCTCATGAGCGTTGAATGGATGCACGCGAGCAGGAGCTACCAACCATATATCCATTGTACACGGCGCTTGTCATGGAGAAAGCCTACTAGTAAGATTATCTTGCTGCAGAAATGCGCGACATATGACAAAGGTACATATACACCTTACACGCACCAGAAAATTTTCCAAGGCGCGATATTCACAAACTACAATACGGAGTACGTGGGGGTCAGTCATCGAAGGGGATGGAAATATATATTCCGGCCATTAAACATAGCTCCTCCAATCCCGATAAGCACAGATACCAAAAGCCAAAAAAAATATAAGCCAGAAGAACATAATAACTGAGAGCTATATAATGGCCATCTTTTGCTCCCCGACTTCGCGCCGATGCAGGTACAAGAAGCTGAGACCGGGCAACCTGGATGATGAAATGCTCAAGCGGCGATAAGCGCTTATCGATAAGGATGGCGGAAATGGCAGTAGTGGGTCACATGAGTGGTGCACTCGAAACGGATCGTTGCTTCAGCCTCTGGCCAAGCGACACTGCCTGTTCGTCGGCGGCCGATAATTTTAGCAGCTTGATTACGGTCGGTAAATTGCACTCAACAGTACTTACTTATAACCTTGAGGTCTTTCTTAGTGGTGTTCGCGTCCAAGAGCAATTGCTGATCTGACATTAAAACAGGCCCTCGGTCCCGCCCTCCCGCCTCTGCCGACGACACTGCTTCCTCGACCTGCCAATGAGGACTGTTGTGACACCGAGTCGAAGTGCTGGTTCATGTCGGATGGTCCTTGACCGTCAATCAGGTAGCCGGGGAGATTCCGCGGCGCAATGAACCGGGCCGTTTCCCTCTCGCCGCATTCTTCCTCGCTTACCCAACGCCCCTCTGTCGAGCTAGCCCCGGCTATCGATGAGTTGAATACCATTTGCGATGAATATGCTGTGGACATAAATCTTACGACTACGGCTACGGAGAGTCTACTTCGACTGCGTCACACATTGATAGACAACCAGCGCCCCCAGGAAGCGAAGGAGTCGTTTCGCCAACTGAACGGATTTCAGACGCTTCTGAGTCTTGTCAGAAAGCTTTCCGAGGTCTACACACCGGGTGTGCATACAAAGGGTGAGAGAAGGAGCTTGTTGGCCGTATACAAAGACTGCTTAACGGTTCTTGCGGAATGCCTCAGGGGTAATCTAGGGAATAAGAGGCATTTTGCCAATCGGATCCCAGGCGGAGGACAACCAGCTCTTGAAGAGGCCTTTTCGATCCTGATTCTTAAGCTGGATGCTGCTGAAGGCGATGTGGAATATTTCTGCGGCAGCATTCTTGCAGCATCACTGTGCCAGGAAACCGTCGTAGATGTCTTCACAGCGCTCTCGACAAAACTTCAGAGGACAGACGACTTAGAGACAACTCCTGATGCTGTCAAGAAGGAAGTCGAACGTTTCATAGGTGCGTCGGAGATCATTGAAGCGCCGGAGCTTCTAGGTCCATTTCTTCGCGTATGGCTGAAGCAGTCCTTTCTTTTTAAGCCTGTGCAGACTGTCTTGAGGCTGGCTGTACCAGCATGCCTCAGTCGACTTGCTTCGCAATCTCAACGGAACGTCTTGACTTTACATGACACAGGAGCATTCAGTCTTACCATTCCGCTCTTGCTCAGTGATGATCTTCTCCATGCGGAAAAGCTATTCTATCAAGAGCTTGCCCAAGAATTGTGCACCCAAGGGACCAAAAATGTGGATGACGCGGTATATCTCTACAAAAAGGCCCACAAATGCCCGGAGACATTGAGGTTCCTTGTTGATATGCTCAAACGCTCCAAGGAACCCTCAGTGATTCAATTTGACCTGTCATTGCATGGATTCTGCTCTTTGGAATTTGCGACAATAGGCCGTTCATTTCCCCCAGTCACATCAAGTGGATATACTCTCGCGGTTTGGGCCCGCTTCGATCAATTCGACCCGAGCACGCATACGACCATCTTTGGCGCGTTCGATTCGAGTCAGACATGTTTCCTCCTAGCCTACTTGGAAAAAGATACTCGCAACTTCATTCTGCAGACGTCGATCAAAGGCTCACGCCCGAGTGTGCGATTCAAATCTATAGCATTCGAGTCTAATAAGTGGTATCATATCTGTGTGGTGCACAGGAAACCTAGACCACCATCTCATTCTCGTGCCCTTCTCTTCGTTGATGGAGAGCTTATCGACCAGCAAAGGATTGAGTATCCATGCGTGCCTTTGCCTAGTGCCGCGAACCGTTCGCCGCGGGTTCAAGCTTTTTTCGGCACTCCGCAGGATCTGGCAATGAAACTCGGGAGGGGGGTATCTTCTAGCCGGTGGTCTTTGGCGAGTGCCATGCTATTTGGAGAGGCCTATAGCGATGATATGGTTGCAGTTTTCTATAACCTCGGACCTCGATACTATGGCAATTTCCAAGATTGTCTCGGGTCTTTTCAGACGTACAGAGCATCGGCAGCGTTAAACCTTCGCAACGAGCTTCTTCATCCCGGCAAGGAAGAACAATCGGATATTGTTACTGCGATCCGTCGGAAGGCGAGCGCCTTGGTTCGCGAAAGTGGTATTTTAATCAACGTCTCTGCGCTAGCTATTCTAGACGACGATGACAACAATTCGACCGACGAATCCCAGCTCATCAAATCCCTTTCAACCCAAGCAGGGAAAAAACTCACTCAATTGACGAGAGGCGGAGGAAACGCAATAGCTATTAACGGTGCGAATCCCGCCATAAATGAGGCTCTAATCCAACCACATGGTATTGGTATCTTGACAGGTGATCCGGTCATTACCTCGCCGCATTCTCTGGATGATATGAGCTGGCGTGTTGGTGGCTGTGCCTCGGTGCATTTAAGTCTCCTTCATGCGGCTTCCACCGCGGAGTCTACCCTTCTTGCCGTGGAAGCGTTATACGAGGCGGTCCAGGACAGTTGGCGGAATAGTGAAGCAATGGAGAAAGAAAATGGCTATGGAATCCTCGCTACCATAATTCGTGAGAAACTTGGTTATGGCTGGACCTCAACCAAGGTGGCCGCTGTTTGTTCCGATACTGAGCAACGGTCTGCTCTTTCGCTTGACCTTCTACGTTTGACCTTGAAGTTTGTTGGGTACGACGTTGAGCAGCCAACGCGGTCCATGATAACGAATCCTCTCGCTTATAGGGTGTTGCTCGTGGACCTGGAGATATGGAGATACGGTGAACCTCCTCTCCTTGAATTATACTACTCGCAATTTCGCGTCTTTGCAAGTGAGAGTCAGTTCCGCCGGTTTAACTCTAAGCGCCTTGCCCGGATGCGTAAGTTCGTTCCCCAGTCTCAAATGCCTGGCTGACAAGAATAGGTGTTAATAAAAAGTTGCTCGAGGCCCTCAAAGGAGGGAGCATTACGCCGGAAATGCTACGGCCTTTCGTTTCTGCGTTTAGATCATTGATGGAGAGTTGTCTTTCGACGGATCTGCTTCGTTCTCTGGCTCTTTTTATCACATATTCCCTACACAAGCCCAAAGACCCAAGTGGATTGCAGAAGAAGAAAAGTATGCGATTTAGGACAAACTCAGCGCAACGAGCTCTTCCATTGGACCAGCAGGGCCCTAGCATGCCAGCCATTCAAGTTGCTATTGAGATGCTTCGAACGTTGTGTTCACTTTTATGCGACACTCATGATCTCGCGCCGATAAAGAAGTTCGCCAAAACTGTTACAAATAAGGTATGTGAGCCTGGGAACACGCTCTATTGTGTCTGACTGTATCACAGTGGCTTCTCTATCTACTGTGCGAGGACGAGCCGGAAATCGTTGTTCTGGCGAGTAGGATACTCGCTAGGGTGATCGTGACCCACGGCAGCAACTATAACAAGAGATTCATCGAAAAGAATAATGGGTATCTTATCATGCGAAGCTGCATGAGGAGATGGTGGAATGTACCTGTGTTATGGCCTCTTTGCTTTTCGATTCTATTTGGCCTCGATCTCAGCAAATCGATGGCTGATAAACCATTCGACAAAGCTTCGCTCTTTGACGTATTGGTGGGGAACGGAGTCGAAGTTTGTTTTCCTGAAGTGTTCCCTGTCATTGCGGAGATGATGCAGAGCGCTTTGAGGAAGTCTGTCATGGCCAATGGGCGTTCGCATTGCCCGGACTTGGACCAAAGTGCGAGGCTCCTCATGGCTCGCCCTGTACCTGTCAGCACCAGTGATCAAGAAACCTCCCTTCTGGCGACAGTCATTGAATTCCTTGCTGGGTTGCATCTGAATTCAGAGGGGTTCCGTGAGTTCATGTCTCAGTCTGAATACATCGAACACTTGTTTTCAGTCCTGTTTCCGGTTGTCGTCGGCTCGGACCCTGTAACTGCGGACATTGAACTATCCTATCGAGTGAGTGGTCTTGGCCTTGATGATTCACGCACTACGAGCCCTCCCCATTCTCGCAGCTCGAATGAGGTGCATACGACTACCGTTGAGCGTTCCGGGACTCGCGATGGAACTAGCCCATCTTTACCCCGATCATCCTCTTTCATCCTTGTGTCGCAAGATGGTGGGAAGCACCCACGCTCACCCTTACAGATGAAGCATGCGTTTGCCTCAGGAAGTGTTGACCTTGAAGGGACTACCGAACATCCGTTTTTGTCCCGTATTTTATGCTTGGCTCTGTCTATCCTTTCCGAACAAATCCTCGAGCGGAAAGACTTTTCTGGACTTGGCCTTTTCTCAAAAACTCCACCTGGATTCTTAGAACACCAAGCATACTTCAACTCTTGGGTTCTGACAAGACTGCTTCAGATGTTAAGAAATGTCGTCTTCTCAAAGACTGAGTTGTTAGCAGAGCCACGTGTTATTACCAACTTGGGACGCTTTATAACTCATCAAACGGAAGCGACATTAGAGGGATGGTTCGTGGACGGAGCGAGTGCTACTCTTGAGTTTGCGGGGACGATCCTGGAATATCTCCAGCGCCCGGACGTCTCGTCCTTGAAGAGTATCAGGCTTTGCAGCCAAATAATCGCTACGATCCACTCGAACGTATTCCGCGTTGTTCTAGTTCAACTTTCTGAGGTTCAAGGCTCAGATGCTCTGTCTTTCCTCAATCGCTTATCCTACTGGCAAGTAGTGCTTTTGCAGGCAGGCGAGGCCCAAACAGATCATCTGCAGTTGCTATGCTATCTTCTTTATATCAAGCTGATAGACCAGAGCAAGGCCGTGCGTGTGGCTGCCGCGGGTCTCTTCCGAGTTATCATGGTCCAAAAGCCAACAGAACTATTTATGATCCTGAACCATGCAGCGGCCCCCCTCCAGGAGCGTCTTGCAGGGGGCTTTGATGCCCTTGTAGGCATGGATGATACCGCCTTCTTGCAATGGATAGACGACCAGGCGGACGACTTGAATGCTTTGTTCCTGAGAGATGTGTCAAAGTCCTGGGATGACTTTATCCAGAAGCAGAACGTACTTGTCGAAAACTCGTCAAGTATCCACAGGATGAAGCGTCAGGAAAAGCTGAAACAAATAAGCAAGCTGGAGAAAATCAGGGATGAGGTGACGCGCAGGCACGAAGCCACGTTTCCTCATTGGAGCTCGAACATTGCCGCCTCTGAGCTCTTGAGGTACCAGAGATCTCTACAAGACCAACAGGATAGCCATGTGTTTATGTGGAATACATACTCGCGCTTAACCATTGACTTAAGGCGGTTCTGTGGTATCTTAGCTGAAGACAAAGAGAGAAAATGGCGGCTTGATCAGACGGAAGGACGGAGCCGTATGCGACTACGCATCGTTCCCGACGATTCAGGGGAGAGACAGGACTACCAACCGAAACGGAAAGCATCTGAACCTCCGATTGTCAAGTTGGATGCAACAGGGCCCTCTAATGGCAAAGCTCTTGCAGCTCCTCTGGACGACGAGCGATCAAATGATAGCCCTGGTGGCATTGGACCTGACAATGCGAGTGTTATGGAAGAAAGCTTCGAGATGATTGATGATCCGAAGGCGGATCTCGAAGATTCCGACGACAAGAACCGGAAAGTTATGAGGAGCCTACATCGCGGCGACCAAGTCGAGGACCTTTGCAACGTGTCCCGGATTGTTGGGCTGGAAGCTTTCGAAGGGCTCTTGATTCAAGGCAAAGACCATATCTACATCCTTGATAACTTCTTTCAACGCATTGATGGCGAAATCGTTAATGTTTCGCAAGCCCCAAGTGACGAGCGCGACCCGTACGTCCGCATGATTGCTGGCAGAGAAGCAAGTGAACGAAAGCCCCAGGAATACGAAACTAGGAGCTGGAAATGGACAGACCTAGTCAGTATATCCAAGAGACGATTTTTGTTTCGCGATGTTGCCCTCGAGATTTTCTTCACCGACGGAAGCAGCTATCTATTGACTCTCATTTCGTCCAAAGCTCGAGATATTCTGTGCAGCCAGCTTGCTGGTAAGGCTCCGCAGGTTACGGGAAGCGTGGGACACTCCCGGCCGGAGGATGTCTGGCGATTTGAGACTCTCCGAAGTTCTGAAGATGCGCCGCAGACCCTCGGCTCAAAGTTTGCCAGCGTCTTCGGACACTCACCAGTATACCCAGCAACTCGCAAATGGGTAAAAGGAGAGATTTCTAACTTCCACTATCTCATGTTGATCAACACCCTCGCCGGCAGGACATTCAACGATTTGACCCAATATCCAGTTTTCCCCTGGGTAATTGCCGATTATACAAGCCAGGAGCTGGATCTCAGAAACCCGAAAAGCTTCCGCGACCTGTCGAAGCCAATGGGCTGTCAAACACCTGAACGAGAGGCTGACTTTAGAGAACGGTATCAAGCTTTTGCAGAGATGGGCGACGGGGATGCTCCACCATTCCATTACGGCACTCACTACTCCTCAGCTATGATCGTGAGCTCCTATCTGATCCGATTGCAGCCTTTCGTGAAGTCGTACTTATTACTGCAAGGAGGCACATTCGATCATGCGGACCGTCTCTTCTATTCTGTTGGGAAGGCTTGGGAGTCTGCCTCACGAGGCAACATGTCGGATGTGAGGGAACTGATACCTGAATTTTTCTACCTGCCCGAGTTTCTAGTCAACTCCAACAAGTATGACTTTGGCATGCTCCAAAACATGGCAACGGCAATTGACTCGGTAGAACTGCCACCGTGGGCGAAGGGTGACCCGAAAATCTTCATCGCCAAAAATCGAGAAGCGCTAGAGAGCCCCTATGTGACTCGGAATCTGCATCACTGGATCGACTTGGTTTTTGGCTGCAAGCAAAAAGGCGAGGCGGCTGTTGAAGCGGTCAACGTCTTCCACCATCTCTCTTATCAAGGCGCCAAGGATATTGATGCCATTGAAGATCCAGTAGAGCGGCTGGCCACTATTGGGATTATACACAACTTCGGGCAAACGCCACACCAGATATACAATCGGCCCCATCCTCAAAGCGAGGTACATAGACACAAGATTCCACGATTGGACACTCTTGCTGAGTCACTTACACAACTCCCCATGGCGCTCCTAGGTAAGTCCACATTCCCAGCAATTCTACCTCAAGACTAATGCGCTCCTAGAAACAGGAGAACGGGTCTCGTCTCTGTGCATGCGGCATGATCGGTTATTATGCACTGCTGCGTTACGTCTCAACATACCACCAAACTATGACAAATATTTGGAATGGGGATTTTTTGATGGCAGCGTCAGATTCTATTCCGCAGACCACCGAAAGGTAGGCCTATTATCATCACCTACCTTCAACACCTTAGCTAACAACAAAAAGCTTCTTGGCCATTTTGAGCATCTCCACGTGGGCCAGCTGGCCGCTGCCGTCTTCGCGGACTCCAGAACATTGGTCACCTCAGGCGCCGATTGCACTATTTCAATCTGGACGTTCACAGCAACAGCAAAGTCCGTGGATTTAAAACCTTCAGGATCTTTGTTTGGCCATCGTACGCCAGTGAGTGTACTTGCCGTCTCACGGTCTTTCAGCACCCTACTGTCCGCGTCTCTGGACGGTCAACTCATGCTTTGGGATCTGAACCGTCAGTGCTTTGTGCGGGAGCTTCCCGTCAAGGGGCCTGTTGACGTATGCGCTAGCTCTCCTCATTCTTTTTAAAACTTCAACTAACGTGAACCCAGTGCGCTCAGATAAATGATGTGACCGGAGAAATCGCAGTGTGTCGAGGGAACCGCATCACAATATACACCCTGAACGGAGCTGTATTGCTTGAACAGGTCGTCTGCGATTCAGCCGATGACAAGACGATGACTTGTGTCTTCTACGAAGGTGTGGGCGATGAATGGCAGGAACGAGACCTGGTCTTCACCGGTCATCGGAGGGGAGTTGTCAATGTAAGTCGTGAAATAGTCCGTCGTCGAGGACATACTGATTCCTTGTAGGTTTGGAGCAAGATCGTCCGGAATGGTCGATTCGAGCTGGAGCTGATCCGCCAGCTTCATCACGTTGATAACAACCGAGACAACGGTGCAAATATTGTTGCAGGAATTAGTTGTATCCTGGCGCTACCCCAGGTGGTCTATACTGGTGATGAGATGGGAAGAGTGGTAAGTGGCCTGGCTTCGGGGTGATGTATAGCTATGCTAATCGTTCTTATAGTACGAGTGGAGTTGTGTCCAACGTCGATGACCTCTGCGAGGCTCTTGTCCTGGTGACCTTGACAGTCTTTTTTTAAGCCATGCTTCCTAGATTTCGTGTTTCTGCGGGGTTCCTACGGAGTATGCTTACCGTTTCATGCTTTCCGGAGGTTATGGATTCCAAGCTATTGCCTTTGTTCTTTGGACTGAGCGTTCCAGTTGCCTATATGTTGTTTTGGGTTCAATAGATACAGGCGGATATTCTTCCCTCAATGGGCAGCATGCAAAAGTTACTATGGATATACTATGTACTACACCCTCTGTACGGAGCGTTGTGCTCCTATACTCCGAAAGGGAGCCTATCACCGTTATTCCGGGGCATCCGGCCTCGATACGAGCCCCTAAGATGGGGAGATGTGGAGATGAGGCTGATCACGAGATGCACTGCCATAGCCCTGACCCCTGTCACGACGGACTCCTGATTCCGGTGATTCGGTGAATGAAACAGGCCCTGGATCGCTGCATGTGTGGAAGTGCAGGAAGAAGACGGAGGTGGGGTGGATCGGCCATCCGTTGCCGGAGCACTCTGGGCCGTGTTGGGAGAGAGCAGAAGGATAGCTCCGGGAGATGTACGGAGTATGAATAGGTAATGCAGTTTTGGTGGTGTTGCATCAATGGGTGATCATTATAGAGAATGGTGAATAGGCACCCTGTGAGCAAGCCCGCTAGGATGATATCAATTATCTATCATCATGGAGCACATGGAGCACTATCAAGGAACACCTTATAGAACTTGCATTGTTATGCCCCTCCAGTCAGCAACAACAAATATCTTAGTCATGGCTTTACCCCTCCGGAACCGCTGATAGCGTCATAAGCCCAGTCTCGCCCCACCATGTCTGGGTGACCTCAACATGAACCGCAAAAACATCAACGCCGCCACGTCTCTGCAATTTAAGTTCATTTAAGAACCATCTTTCCACTTTATCCCTTCTGTCTATTCTCCTATTTGTCTTTTGAATTGATACCATCTAAATTCATCACCCCCCATATACACACTCACAATGTCTTCTTCTCTTGAACAGCTCAAGGCCACCGGCACCGTAAGCTACCCCTCTTCTAGAGTATCATTTCTCACGTTTCTCTGAGACGTCATTGCTAACGAGCTTGATCTTAATTAGGTTGTCGTTTGCGACTCCGGTGACTTCGCCACCATTGACAAGTACAAGCCTCAAGATGCCACCACCAACCCCTCCCTCATCCTCGCTGCTTCCAAGAAGCCCGAATACGCCAGCCTGATCGATGCTGCCGTTGAGAAGGCCAAGAAGAAGGGCGGTTCCGTCGACGAGCAGGTCGATAACACCCTCGACTACCTCCTTGTCGAGTTCGGCAAGAAGATCCTCGACATCATCCCCGGCAAGGTTTCCACCGAGGTCGACGCCCGTTTCTCTTTCGACACCAAGGCCTCCGTTGACAAGGCTCTGCACATCATCAAGGTGCGACAATCCATCAAATCTGGCAGTGGCGAGCCCAATTGCTAACCCTAAGCAGCTCTACGAGGAGGCTGGTATCTCCAAGGACCGCATCCTCATCAAGATCGCCTCTACCTGGGAGGGTATCCAGGCCGCTCACATCCTGCAGAGCCAGCACGGCATCAACTGCAACCTGACCCTCATGTTCTCCCTTGTCCAGGCCATTGCCGCTGCTGAGGCTGGTGCCTTCCTCATCTCTCCCTTCGTCGGCCGTATCCTCGACTGGTACAAGGCCGCTCACAAGCGGGACTACTCCAAGGAGGAGGACCCCGGTGTCAAGTCCGTCCAGAGCATCTTCAACTACTACAAGAAGTTCGGCTACAACACCATCGTCATGGGTGCCTCTTTCCGTAACGTCGGTGAGATCACCGAGCTCGCTGGTTGCGACTACCTGACCATCTCCGTATGTTGGCCCTCGTTCTATGTGTGGGGTAACTGTCACTAACAAGCGCACAGCCTGGTCTCCTTGAGGAGCTTTACAACTCCAAGGACGCTGTCCCCAAGAAGCTCGACTCCGCTTCCGCCAACAGCCTCGACATCGCCAAGCGCAGCTACCTCAAGGACGAGGCTCTGTTCCGCTTCGACTTCAACGAGGAGGCCATGGCCGTCGAGAAGCTCCGCGAGGGTATCTCCAAGTTCGCCGCTGACGCTGTCACTCTCAAGGACATTCTCAAGGCGAAGGTCCAGGCGTAGATGTATGAACTGTCAAGAAGGGTACTGGCTGCCGCTTGATGAGAGTCATTTCGTTTTGTGTAAAAATTGGCGACTTGCAAAATTTGCTCTAGATGATATGAGTTACGGAATACTACGTCTTATATAAGTTCATTTACTTTTTCTTGGGTGTACATCTATATCTCCAACTATGCGGTGATCGAGTTCGGGAATTGCGTGAGATGGCGGGTGTGGGTTCGGAGTTTATCTTGAGCTATCTTTCCGGGCTTGAAGCCGAGCACCTATATATTCTATTTTTCAGGGTTCTCGGCTCGATCAATTATCGCTATGAAGAACAGTGCGAGCTCTACAGGATAATGCACTAGCCAAAGGCTGAATAACCAGGTCAATTGAACTGATGCCGGTTACACCGGTTACCAACATGGAGCTATGGTGGGGTTACTCGGAGACCTCCAATTTGAACAGGCGGAGTAGGACTGCTGTTCCGTTGCAGCATTCTGGGTGTCGCACCCGTACAGAGCAGTATAGGAATATAAGATTGTCCGTGTGATCCAAATACGACTTCTATAGAGTTACTATTAGTTAGAGTCTGGAATGCACTGCTTAGGAATCGGGCCTCAACCCCCCTCAGCAGCAGCGAAAACGTCATTCCGACGTCCCGCAGGGTGGGGTGCTCACGAAAACCACCAAGAGGGGGAGAGTTGAGTGGCAGGAATTGCGAGGGTCGAAGCCCATCGAATAATCCACCGAGAGGCCCTCATCCTCAGCCTATCCATCCAGTCAGCGACTTGGGCTACCCCTCGTCCCTCTTCTTCCCTTCGCTCCCCCGTCTCCCTTCCACTCACTTCATCTCTCTCCGCTGTATCCATCTTCCACAATTCTTTCCAAGTTTATCATCCAACTCTAGAAATCCATCAAAATGGTCAAGGCTGGTAAGTCGAGCTCGTCTACTTCCATCTTGTGTTGTTATTGGCCTTTATCCTGGTTGGATCCACGATCGACCGTGGCCGGAGGACCTTGTGTGAGCAGATTTGAGCACCTTTCGAGCTCTGCCCTGACCCGACAGCCTATCAACGTCTCCTGCTCCCCTGCGAGGCGTCGGTATAAGCTCTAGGATGATGAAAAGCTCCAGCTAGCTAGCTCGCTCCTCCTGCTGTCACGCGGCCAACGGCCCGGTCGCTGGGTCTGAGCCCAGGAACGTCGGACCACCCCAGGTCCTCATCTCTACCCCAGATCTGGCAGTGGCGATCTCGATTGCCCTGATCCTGATATCAAACCAATTGCGCGCTTTAGCGTGGTGTAACGTCACTGACATGGTTGGTCTTAGTTGCTGTCCTCCGTGGTGACTCCAAGGTCGCCGGCACCGTCACCTTCGAGCAGGCCGACGAGAACTCCCAGACCACCGTCTCATGGAACATCACCGGCAACGACGCCAACGCTGAGCGTGGCTTCCACATCCACCAGTTCGGTGACAACACCAACGGCTGCACCTCCGCTGGCCCTCACTTCAACCCCTTCGGCAAGACCCACGGTGCTCCCGAGGACGAGGTCCGCCACGTCGGTGACCTTGGTAACTTCAAGACCGACGCTGAGGGCAACGCCAAGGGCTCCAAGACCGACAAGCTCGTCAAGCTGATTGGTGCTGAGAGCGTCCTGGGCGTATGTGATTCCTATTTCTCATCGCAGTTCGAGAAATGCTAACGCGAGATAGCGCACCCTTGTCGTCCACGCTGGTACTGACGACCTTGGCCGTGGTGACTCTGAGGAGTCCAAGAAGACTGGTAACGCTGGTGCCCGCCCTGCTTGCGGTGAGTAATTTATTCTGAGATAGGACTTGACAGGATGGGAGCTAATGGCCGTCTAGGTGTTATCGGTATCGCTGCGTAAATGCACCTCGCAAGAATGATGATATGATGATTCAATGGATAATGTGGAGGACGAGTATTTAGGTAGCCCAAAACTGTCTTCAGATGCTATTCCTTTGCCTTGGTTGAGAAATGTAAGGTGCTGCGAGCTAGCCACATTTAAATTGAACGGCAGTGTCATGATTGTCTTTATGTGAATTATTCCTGCCAAGTCAGCAGTAAGGACTGTAAGCAGTGAAGGAATACTTGAAATATATATGCTCTGTGAATGAGTAATGTCTTTGCCCCTGGCTCAAGATAATCATAGCTTGGGGCTGTCACGTACGGATAATGGCTAGACTCTCCCCACATTCACTAAAGCCGGAGCCAGGAGTCCGCCACAGCTCCCGCAGTTTAAACCACGTTTCCGCTTGTGTTCTTTCCAATTACTATTTCTTTAACACCTCTTGCCTTTGTGCTGAACCCCTTTCTCTCTTATTCTCACTTTTTAATCCTATCCTGCTTTACTGGAAAAGTCTCTCTTTGGTTATTTGCTTTGGGTCCCTTTTTCCAGCATGCCTCTGGAAGCTCGTGTGAAGTCAGTGTTGTCTGGCGACACTGTTGTCTTGTCGCATGTTAACAACCCTGCACAAGAGCGTGTATTAAGTCTTGCATATGTGTCGTCGCCGAGACTGCGCAAAGATGGAGATGAGGTGAGACATTCTTTATTTACCCCAATTCCTTTCTGTATCCCAGGCAATTGTCAATAGGAGTAGAGTCGACTTGGCGGCATTGGGCAACTCAACACCTTTTTTTTGTTGTTTTGGCCTGCCCTACTATTCTATTCAAGCCGTGCTACTAATTAATTTATAATTCTTGAATTGAAATCATTACTGACATTTCTGTCCTAACAGCCTTACGCCTTCCAATCCCGTGAATTTCTCCGCGAGCTTCTTGTCGGCAAGGTAGTCCAATTCCAGACTCTGTATTCCGTCCCATCCTCGCAACGCGAATTTGGAAAGGTCAAGCTTCCGACTTTCGAAGTTACGCTGCCCGAAATTGTTGTCCAAGAAGGATGGAGCCGCGTCCGAGAAGAAGCCGGCAAGCGAAGCGACGACTCGGAAGAAACTGTTGCGATGCTCGAACGCCTTCGCGCACTCGAAGACCACGCTAGAACTGAAGGAAAGGGTGTATGGGGAACCGAAAGCGGCCGCATTGAAACCCGCTACGATCTTGACGATGCTAAGGCTCTAGTGGACCAGTGGAAGGATAAACACCTCGAGGGTATCGTCGAGCGAGTCCTGACTGGAGACCGTCTCGTTCTTCGACTGCTTATCGACCCGGCAGAGCACCTGCAGGTCGTCGCTGTGATGGGTGGTGTTCGTGCGCCTGCAACCAAGCGGGTAGGTGCCGATGGCAAGGAGCAGCCTGCCGAGCCCTACGGCGAGGAGGCCCACCAGTTCGTCGAGTCCAGGATTCTGCAACGCAAGGTCCAGGTGACTCTGTTAGGTGTTACCCCTCAGGGTCAACTCATCGCCAGTGTCCTTCACCCCAACGGAAACATCGCCAAGTTCCTTCTGGAAGCCGGTCTCGCCCGGTGCCACGACCACCACTCTGCTCTCCTTGGTGCTGAAATGGCAACCTTCCGCCGTGCGGAGAAGATCGCTAAGGATGCCCGGTTGGGTCTTTTCACTAACCTTGTCGCGCCCAAGGGTCCTGCTGGCGGGGCCGCCGAGGACTACATTGTTGGTCGTGTGCTCAACGCCGACACCATTTTCGTCCGAAACAAGGCTGGCCAGGAGAAGAAGCTTAGCTTGAGCAGCATCCGTCAGCCCAAGCCATCCGACCCCAGCCAAGCGCCGTTCGCCGCCGATGCCAAGGAGTTCCTGCGCAAGCGCATCATCGGAAAGCACGTCAAGGTCACCATTGACGGCAAGAAGCCGGCGAACGAGGGCTACGAAGAGCGGGAAGTTGCTACGGTTGTTCAAGGAAACACAAACGTTGCTCTTGCTTTAGTGCAAGCTGGATACGCATCGGTTATCCGTCACCGTCAGGATGACAGCGACCGATCTCCTGTTTATGACGATCTGATGATCGCTGAAGCCGAAGCTCAAAAGGATGGAAAGGGAATGTGGAACCCTAAGCCCCCGAAGACCAAGCAATACCAGGATTACTCCGAGAGTCTCCAAAAGGCCAAGATGGAGGTTTCTATTCTCCAGCGCCAGAAGCGCGTTCCTGCCATTGTCGACTTTGTCAAGTCCGGATCCCGCTTCACCGTTTTGGTTCCTCGCGAAAATGCTAAGCTTACCCTTGTTCTTTCTGGGATTCGTGCTCCTCGGTCTGCTCGTAACCCTGGTGAGGCCTCCGAGCCATTTGGTAACGAAGCCCATGAGTTTGCGAACAGACGATGCATGCAACGTGATGTCGAAATTGACGTTGAGACCATCGACAAGGTCGGCGGTTTCATCGGCACCCTTTACGTGAACAAGGAGAACTTCACCAAGTCTCTTCTTGAGGAGGGACTGGCGACCGTCCACGCATACTCTGCAGAGCAGTCCGGTCACGCTACGGAGTACTTTGCTGCCGAACAACGCGCAAAAGACGCCCGTAAGGGACTTTGGCACGACTGGGATCCTAGCAAGGAAGTTGAAGAAGAGGAAGAGGCAACCAGCGGCAGCGCCGTTGAGGCCGAAGCCACCACCCGCCGCAAGGACTACCGCGATGTTATGGTCACCTACGTTGATCCATCCACTGGCCGTGTGAAACTCCAGCAAATTGGAACCGGCACCTCGGCCCTGACAGAGCTTATGAGCGCATTCCGATCATTCCATATCAACAAGTCAAATGACACTCCTCTCCCTGGTCCTCCCAAGGCCGGTGACTTTGTTGCCGCCAAGTTCACTGAAGACGGTGAGTGGTACCGCGCCAAGGTCCGCCGCAACGACCGCGAGAAGCAACAAGCGGAAGTCCTTTACATCGACTACGGTAACTCTGAAGTTCTGCCCTGGTCCGCTCTTCGACCCCTTGGCACACAGTTCTCCGCCCAGAAGCTCCGCCCTCAGGCTGTGGAAGCTGTTCTCTCATTCATCCAGTTCCCCGCCAACCTTCCCCACTACATGGAAGAAGCAGTTTCTTTCGTTGAGGAGCAGACCTTCAACCGCGAACTTGTCGCTAATGTTGACTACGTTGCGCCCGAGGGAACACTGCACGTTACTTTGCTCGACCCCGAGGGATCAAAGACCCTGGATCAGAGCATCAACGCGGATATCGTTCACGAGGGTCTGGCTACCGTTCCTCGCAAGTTGAAGGCATGGGAGCGCGCTGCTGGTGAGACACTGTCCAACCTTCGGGCCCTGGAGGATGAAGCAAGACAGTCGCGTCGTGGTATGCACGAGTATGGTGATGTTGGTGAGGAAGATTAGAAGACGTTCGGCCTGGAAACACGGTATGGTGTTTTCCCTTTTGTTCCTGTACAAATATTTCTATTCCCATAAGTTGGTCGACGTACGAAAATGAACTGCCTTGAGACTTTCAAATCCTAAGCAACAGAGAATCATCTCAAGAGTGAAACACCACTGAGTTGTGTAGATGACATAAATACTTCATTAAAACATTAAAGCTGACTCAGCAAGGGTCTTGGACAGTTTATGCAGATTCTTCCAACATCGGGGCTGGATCGATTTGCCGAACTCCTTCCATCCGCTGGACATTTTGATCTTCTTGTTTCAAGGTTGACATTTTCGCCCCCCACGTCGCTCGTTTGCCCCTCCGACACTCACTGCTATAATTGCAAGGTTTCCGACGATACGTGTCGTGATCCACGTCGTTTGTTGATCCCGAGACCTCCGAAATAAACTATAACTCAGCTCTGCTTACGCCGGACCAACCACAGCCCAACGCCACTCTTTTCCTCAACTTTTTTTCTGCGACAGCCTCCTCCGCTCCAGACACTCCTAGCTTCCATCAAACAAAGCATACCGACACCATGCCGCTGTGGAGAACGAAGTCAAACCACAGCCAAGCCGAGAGCGATCCCGCCACCACCGCTGCCGATCCCAAGAACGATCCCGTTGCGTCGGCATCCCAGGCTGCGAGCGATGCCTGGCTCGCTGGGCATTTGAATCACCTTACCGGGGAGCAGGATGGGAAGTTGACAGAGTTCAAGGCCTTCTGTGAGAAGGAGGGGTACTATAAGCCTGGGGGTGAGGGGGAGAAGCCGAGCCATGATGACGCGACGATGCTGTATGTTTGCTTCAGCTTTTATGTCCTGTAAAAACTGGATGGAGCATGGCTAACGCGATGACAATAGGCGATTTCTGCGCGCGCGGAAATTCGACGTGAACGGTGCTTGGGGTCAGTTCAAGGATACGGAGGACTGGCGCAAGGAGAACGCCATTGAGGCACTATACGAGAACATCGACGTGGATTCTTACGAAGCCGCTAGAAGGATGGTGAGTTGGCTGACCCAGTTTATGTTCCTGAGTTTGAGCGTAACCTTAACTTTATGGATATAGTATCCGCAATGGACCGGCCGTCGAGACCGCCGCGGTATCCCGGTGTACGTGTTTGAGATCAAGCATCTGAACAGCAAGAACATGGCAACATACAACGCTACTATGACCGATCCGGAGGCGACGGCGGAAACGCACAAGTCCTCGGCTGTCCCTCAGCGTCTCCTGCGCTTGTTCGCGCTATACGAGAACCTTCTTAACTTCGTCATGCCGCTCTGCTCAAAACTGTCCCGCCCGAACCCGGAGACACCCATTGTATCTTCGACGAATATCGTGGATGTCAGCGGTGTCGGATTGAAGCAGTTCTGGAACCTTAAAGGACACATGCAGGACGCCAGTGTTCTCGCAACGGCCCACTACCCGGAGACTTTGGACCGCATTTTTGTAAGTGCCATGGTCAGAACTTATAACTGAGGTGCTAATGACAGTAGATCATCGGTGCTCCCGCTTTCTTTCCGACCGTCTGGGGCTGGATCAAGCGTTGGTTCGATCCTGTCACCACTTCCAAGATCTTCATCCTCTCTGCCTCAGAAGTCCTTCCCACCCTCAGCTCCTTCATGGAGCCCTCCAGCATCCCCAAGCAATATGGCGGTGAGCTCGAATGGCAATGGGGTGACATGCCTTACCTCGACGAGCCGGCTCGCGAGTTTATCGGTGCCCTTGAAACCGCACCCACGGAAGGCCAAACCAAGCCAGGTTTCATCAAAGGCCCGGTCCTCTTCAAGGGCGACAGAATCGAGATTCTTGGCAAGGAGAACGGAAAGAGCAGAGAGACCACCATCCCTGTGCCCGAGTCTAAGCTTGCACAGGGAAACGGCGCTTCGGCCCAGCCTGAAAAGAAAGAAACAGAACAGCATCAAGCTGCGGATGATGTGCAGCTAATCTCCGAGAAGGTGGCTGAAAACGATGAAGCAACGACCACTCCTGTTCCTGCCCAGCCTGCTGCTTGATGGAGTATCTAACAGCTTCTTATACATGATTATACACCATACCTTCTTGCATTGCACTTAATTATTCCACGTTGGCTTATTTTTGACATAGCTTGCATAGATACATACCCAAACAATATTTCTTTGTCTTGTTCTGAACCGCCTATTTGTTTGGCTGGGTGTCGGTTTCCGTTATAGACTCTACCCTCTATTCCGATTGGCGCTTCTATCCATGTTTTACATTTGCATAATAGTAATCGAATGGAATTGAAATCAGGGCGTTAAAAGGAACTGTATTGAGCTACTTTGCTGTCTTAGTAACTAGTGGTGTACGCCTACCAGGCGCCTTCAGAGGATCCAGATAAGCAGTTTTCGCCGCACTCGGTTCAACTTTTTGATTGTACATGAGAATAATATAGTCATTTTGTAGACCGGTTCATACTCCGGATTGCTGAATGATGATAATAGATAGCAGACCAACAGGAATGTTTCAGAGTGGGCCGTGGTTCCGCCAGGAGAGGGCGGACAAACCACGGAAAGCCCCCGACAGCCGCACAGCCTCCTAGGCTCCAACTCCCTCCGCCCTCCGCCCTCACCTTGACGATCTCCAATCACTCCACGGGCTCGTGCTCCTTTCTCGATTGGATGTGATCATTGCTCTCGGGCGCCGGGACACCTCTTCGTCTGTCATTAGTACCTTATCCTACCGATAGGCTTTCCACTCGACCTCAACAGCCAACATCTCGGCCTTGAACCGCATCCGTCCGCTCTCTGCCGTACCTTTCGAGCTCCGAACGCAGGAAGCGCATCCGCCGCCCGCACATCTCCTTTTCCGCCTTGCTTCGCGCGCATATGAAGAAATGAACATTCGGACACACTGCTGATGAGCTCCACGATCGAGGGCCGCGATGACTGGGCCCGAGAGGACGACCTCGACTTGGGACAGGACCACGACCAGGACGAGGACGAACTGCAGCAGCTTCCGGTCGCGGTAACCAACGGCACTGACGCTGTCAAGGACGGGATTCCGTCGGAGGGCCTGAAGAATGGGTCAATTGCATATGTGGAGGAGGACATACCCGATCTCGCTGCGCAGAATCATGTTCCGGGGATAGAAGCCGACTCGCAGTCGCCGTCACAGTCGCCGTCACAGTCGCCGCATCCTGCGAAGATAGGCTTGGGCTCGTCCGAGGGTGTCGATGATATTGCTTCGAATCCAGATGATACGCCATCTTTGCGAGTGGGTAGTGACAAGTCCTGAGCTGGTATATGCTAACTGTATTGTTTGACTTAGGGATCGATCCAATCGTCGCCGAGTAGCAGTGCGCTGGCACTCCGTGGCTCCTCTACTCTTCCTAGCCCCAGCCCCAGCCCGGCGCATCGTCCCTTTGACCTTCGGTTCCAGTCGAGGCTGTCTGTTTCGTCACTCGGCAGCCTCCGGCCGTCGTCGCCGTTTCTTACCCAAGTCCACTCGCGAAAGTCGTCGCTTACAAGCCGGTTGTCGCCGGCTACTCTTGACTCCGACCGGGATGGACAGCAGGACCCTTGGGAAGTTGTGCGTTGGACGAAGTTGAGGAAGATAACTGGTCAAGCATTCTCAGAGGTCGGCAAGCGGAATTTTGGCTCTCCTACGTGTATGGTTGTCTCTACATCGATCGTTGTTGGGACTTCAAGAGGTATTGTCTTGGTGTTTGATTATCAGCAGAATTTGAGGGCTGTTATTGGGCACGGAACAAAAGGTATGGCATATCTCTAGTTTGTTCAGGCGCTGTGGACAGATACTGACTTTCTTGGTCTCTTTAGCTGTAGAATGCGGAGCAATCCAGTCTCTGGCACTCTCTGCGGACCATTCGACTGTTGCCACGGGCCATGTATCAGGGGATATTTTCACATGGGAGATATCAAGGCCGGCGCGGCCTTTCCTTACCATCCAGCCAATACCTGCGAATCAGGTCGAGACACGGACTTCTGATGGCCATATTTCCGGGTCACCCGTAATACACCTGGGATTCCTGGGAACTAGACGCACTGCGCTCGTCTCTGCGGACAAGCGGGGAATGGCATTCTCTCATTTAGCGACGCGCGGTATGGGTGCTATGGGACGTACGGTGAAGACAACACGAATACTAGGCCGCTATCCACAACCGTCGCTGGAAAATACCAAGCCACGAAAGCCGAGCTCTGTGCTCGCCTTTTCGCCTCTCCCCCTAGGCAATGTTGAGCAGGCAACGGATTCTCTTGGTCTGGCCGCCATGCTTACCCCATATCTGCTCGTTATCGTCTCTACAACGCCAGTAGCACAGACTCAGCACAAATCACCGCGTCCGAAAGAGGTTGCCGCTCATGGCGCAATGACTGGCGCTCTTGCCTGGTTCCCCGCAATCAGATTAAAGGGAAATGAATCGCAAACATCCAAGACAAAACTTGTGTACTGCTGGTCAAACGTACTGACAGTGATGGATGTTTTGGAGGTGGAAACTGACGATTCATCGTCCAACGACCGCCCTCCCAGCTTGGAGTTCCGACCCCGATGTAGATGGCGAGCCGATGAAGCTATTGTGGCCGTACAGTGGTTGAGCAGATCAGTACTTGCGGTCCTTACAATCACCCAGCAACTGCTCATCCTGGAGGACCATACGATGCGGGTGACCAATGCTGTTGATCTTCTGAACCGGCAAATTTACCATGTGGATTTGTTCTCAGCTCAGCTCCATTCACTCATTGAACAGTTTAATGAAGAGGATACGTCCATGCATGGCGTTGTGGCCGATGCGTTTTATATGAGTTTCCGATCCTACAAGGGACGATTGTTCATGCTTGGCTATAATGAGTTGTTGGTTGGAAGTCTATCGAATTGGGCAGATCGACTGCTCGCTATCATGGAAGCTGGTGATTTTATCGAAGCTATCCGTCAAGCAACGGCCTATTATAGTGGAAACTCGGAGAAGCTGACTGTTGGCCTTCCCGACGAGGACTCACTAAGGCAACCTATCGTGCGAGAGAAGCTCCTGGAGATGATCTCTGCTTCCCTCAAGTATGCTTTTGGCAGGAACGAAGAAGCCCCTAATGATCGACTTGAGCGCCAACAGCTGCAAGAGCTAGCCGAGGTCTCTATCTCGGCCTGTGTTTGCATGGCTGACGAGGATTTCTTATGGGATGAGGTCTTTACTTGGTACGAGGAGCACGTGTCTGAAGGGGTCTTTCTTGATGCCCTGGAATCCTTCATTGTCGAAGGGACGGTTTTGTCGTTACCTCCGACTGCTGTCAAAGCCCTGATCAACCATTTCGTCATCACCCATACTGCCAGCCAACTGGAAGAGATAATTTGCCTGCTTGACACTAGCACGATGGACATCGACCAGGTGACCACATTGTGCAAGCAGCACAACCTCTATGATGCCTTTATATACGTTTGGAATCGATGCCTGGGGGATTATGTCGGGCCGTTGGAGGAGCTGATCAAATTGATCCCTTCTCCACAGTCTTTGACCAATGGCAATTCCGTCTACGAGCTGCAAGACTACACGAACGCGATGAAGATCTTCCCATACCTCTCCTTTATTCTCACATCACGTTCGTATCCGACAGGTAGCGATATGGATGATGCCGATGCCTCACGAGCAAAGGCGGCCGTGTACAACTATTTGTTCTCTGGGACTCGCGGGTCCTCCTCTCCACTTGAAGTGCTACTGAAGTTTGACGCATCCAGCTTCATGAGCATGCTGAACGAAGCGTTTGAGGACAGCTTCCTGAATGAGCAGGACCCAGACGAGGTCCCTCATCAAGGGGTGTCTGTCAATCGACAGTATTTGATTACCATTCTACTCCAAACCATGACGTCGGCCTCCTTCGATAACTCTGACTCGATCTACCTGGATATGTTCATTGCTCGAAACCTTCCGAAATACCCACAGTACATTCTGCTCGCCGGCAGTACCCTCCATCAAGTCCTTGAGCGGTTGTGTTGCTACCCGACTGAGGATATGGCAGAAGACTGCGAGTTGAGTGCCGAGTACTTACTGTCCATCTACCATCCGCCAGATATTCAACAGATGATTCCTCTCTTCCGTGAGGCACGTTTCTATAGGATCCTCAAATCGACCTATCGCGCTGAGAAGCAATTTCCGGAGCTGATACTCACATACTTAGAAGATCCAAGTGAGCGAGAGAAAATATTTACTTGTCTTCAAGACTGCCTCCGCCCCGGCTCTAACTTGGGAAAGAAGCAAAGGCAGGCTGTGGTCGGTGTGATTAAGGCTCGTTCCCATGACATCGCGGCTATAGACGTTTGCATGGCGGCACAAACGATGCGTGATTTTGCGCCAGAGACACATGGAACATTTATCAGGGCGCTAGAGGACGACAGTTATGGCCAGTATCAATACCTGAGTGTTATTGTTGAGCAGAGGATGCAGTCTGCACCGGAGAACCACCAAGCTCGTCCTATCGAAAATTGGATGATCGAGCGTTATATCCAGCTACTCTGTAGGCATGATCCAACCCAGGTAGCCAACTTCGTGGATACCCTCCGTGAAGGTGACATTAGACTCGAAGAGCTACTCCCGTCAATGGAGGAAAGCGGGGTGGTGGATGCTGCTGTGATTCTCCTGGCCAGACAAGGTCAAGTGAGGGCCGCGATGGACCGCCTCATTGCGCATCTGAAGACATTGGAATCAGGGCTGGTGGGCATTCTACAGTGTGTGCAGGAGGCGCCCGATTCGACTACCACGGCGGAAGCAATCGAGGATCTTCTCGAGTCTCTCAACAAGTACGCGAAGGTTGGAACGTGGCTGTGTCAGGGCCAGAGCAAGACGGCCAAGAATTCGCGTATCGAACGTAACGGTGGCGGCAAGAACGCCTTACAGCAACCTCTTTCTTTTGACGAGGAGCTATGGCTCGACCTGCTCGAGGGTATTGTGCGCATTGCAAGTAGCGTGTTTGCGCAGATTCAAGGCGGGCTTGCGAACCAGGTAGAGATGGCAGAGTCAGAGCCCACTCCTTCATTCGGCACGAACGCTTCTCAGCTCGTGTCGTCGTTTCGTTCCCTAGTGCAACAGGTCTTTACTATCCTCCTTTCGAGCACGGTCCGAACTAGCGGTTCAGGTCCGGCGAAGGGCGAACGTAACGACGTTGCGTTTCTCCGTATCCTTCGTGCCTTCCTGACTAGGGCAGCAAGTTGGTCTCCATCACTTCTCGAACTGCGAGCCGTCCTTGCCTCGGTGTTTTCCGCCTACACCTACGAAAAGTCACTGTTATCTCTGGCCAACGGGATGCTGGACCGCGATCTCTTCGTGCATGTCGATGAGGTGACGCGCCTACGGCAGAGGGGATGGCGGCCGCGAGGCCAAGTCTGCGAAATCTGCCGGCAGCGCATCTGGGGCCCTGGGGTCGGCCCCCAACATTGGCATGCATGGGAAAGACGCCAAAGCGACCTGAAACAGCACCGCCTCGCCCGACAGCTGGAAGAACGGGTCGACCCTGCGACTGCCAGAGGGAAAGGCAAAGCGGCAGTAACCCCGACTGATGCGTCTTTCCACCATGACGACAGGCACATGGGCGGGGGCACGAGCGAAGAAGCGGTAATCAAACTTCATGAGGAGGAGGCCAGCGTGACTCAAGGGCCGGTGGTGGTGTTCTCATGTCGACACCTATACCATCGCCAGTGTTTAGTGGACATTGGGCAGTCACGGCCGACACGGCAGCGGCAGCATGATGGGGAGTGGGAAAAGCTGGTCTGCCCTGTTTGTCCTGTACATAGCGAATGAGCATGAGCGATCTGCGTTTTATGTTACATTATTATAGTTTATATAGGCGTTATTCCATGTCGGTGGGACCGAGAGGCTTTTCGAGATGATCACGGAAACCAAGGCTCTCATCTCCGAGCCCTACCCTGAAGTGCCAAGATAGGAAGGTGTCTATTGCAGGCCATCTGATGAGTTAAAAGATTATCGTTTGGCGGAATAGACTGCGACTAGAAACACTGGCGTCGGGAGAGAGAAGAAGAAGAGGAATAGTCACGACAGGCGAGAGCGATCAGCAGACCCAATCAGGCACTGAGGCCGCCTTCCGTCGTGATCGCGTTAAAGCTTGACTTCTTCCTCCAACTCCTTCTCATCTCCTGCATCGCCAATCATCGCTTAATTGTTTTCTTGTCCCAGCCACACTGTCCGGCTTGCGCATGTCCAAATCACCTGCTTTTTCCCCACGTTACATGTCAACCCGTGCCGGACGCGAGAGCAGCCCTGCAGCATGATTCCTTGAGGAATCTCGAGTCAGTCTCGACGTCCGAAGGAACTACCCAGGTGGAGGAGCGCTAGAGGTACTCGTGAGTGCGACGCAATTGCGCCTTGCCTGAAAGACGCTTTCCTCCGTACTGACAACCCAGTCCAGCCTGTCCAGACTCTAGACTTGATCATGGGGCCGCCTTGTCCCGTCTTTCTTTGTCAAGAACAAGAATTCTATTGGAAGCAGCCGTATACCTTCATGTCGGTTCCTGAATCTGTCCCTGTCGCATCCTTCGCGCCGGGAGCGTCTTCCATAGAAAAACACTATCTCTCTACTGCTAGGTCGAGGTCTCTGTTCCCGTCTTCTCCGCCCCCTTGATATGCTTGCAATCTGCGCCTCGACCAACCCGGTGTCTACTTCACATTCCTCGCAAATTCGCTCGGCATGCCAGAGATTAGCATTTTTCTGGGGCCGGGGTCTAGTCCCAAGACCGGGTCCGGTGCATGCAGTTTATGGCCGATGATACCTCTATAGTTTTGTCTATGCCGCTTGTTCTCGATGCAGCCCGACGGGGGCGACGAGGGGGGTGTACGCTGGCATATATATTCTCAGAGAAAGTCCATTCCGAACATGGCATTTCAAGACGAGTGCTGAAGAGCAAGGCTTGCGCTGTCACTCCTTGTACCATTCTTCACGTTCCTTTTCAAGTTTGCGCTGTTCTGCTAGTTTTTCTAGCTTTGGCTTTACTTCCAAGATTATATACCCTTTTCTTGTCTTTGAAGATGCACCTTGTGTCTGCCTTACTTCCAATCGTGGGCCTAGCAGCTGAGCTTGCTAGTGCTGCCTATGTCCTGCAGGACGACTACAGCCCAGCCGTGTTCTTTGACAAGTTTACTTTCTTCACGGCTGCTGATCCGACAAATGGCCATGTCCAGTACGTTGATCGAGGTACCGCGCAGAGCGCAGGCCTGATCTCCACCGGTTCCTCCGTCTACATGGGCGTCGACCACACCAACGTCCAACCCTCCGGCCGCCAAAGCGTGCGTCTATCGAGTACGAAGAGCTACCACCACGGCCTCTTCATTATCGACCTCGCACACATGCCTACGGGATGTGGTACCTGGCCTGCCTAGTATGCCCCATCTACCCGACCCAGCATAACCCCAAACATTAAGAGCGATATGTTAACAAAACACAGCTGGATCCTGGGCCCCAACTGGCCCAATGGCGGGGAGATCGACATCATCGAGAACGTCAACGTCGCAACAACAAACCTCATGACCCTGCACACCAGCGACGGCTGCACGATCAACAACTCCGGCTTCAGTGGCACCCTGCTCACATCGAACTGCTTCATCAGTGCCGCAGGCCAATCCAACAACGCAGGCTGCGGCATTCAGTCCCAAGACACAAGATCCTACGGCGCCGGTTTCAACTCCAACTCCGGCGGCGTCTACGCCACCGAATGGACCTCTGATCACATCTCGATCTGGTTCTTCCCGCGCGCATCTATCCCCTCTGATATCTCGGCCGGAAATCCGACCCCAAGCTCATGGGGAACACCTGCTGCACGGTTCGCGGGAAGCTGTGATTTCGAGAGCCACTTCACTGACATGCAGATCATCTTTGATATTACGTTCTGCGGCGACTGGGCGGGCAACGTCTGGGGAAGCTCGACTTGCTCTTCCTTGGGCAGCTGCAACGATTATGTTTCAAATAACCCGGGGGCGTTCTCCGAGGCTTATTGGGATATTAACTCGCTGAAGGTTTATCAGGATTCGGCGAATGCGAAGCGCGATGAGGGCCGTGACCGCACGGCGCGCGGGTTTCCGAGGAAGTCCATGAGGGCGAGAAGGGAGGCTAGTCTGTCCGTCTGATCAGGGAGATCTCTCTAGTACATATTTCTATACATCAGGTTTGCTTGGGGTTATGGGCGGCTTGGTTGGGACATATATATACTCTTACTATACCTCGCAGATTGTATATATTTCTGATGTCGCAGACGTGAGTACGGTTACTGGATCTTGCTTATTTGTTGTTACAGTTCAATGATTTATGCACTGCTATTAAAATGAGATGTATTCAAGAACTCAAAGTAGCAATTTACTTGAGTTTAGATTATCTTACGCAGTAGACTTGTTCGAAAGCAATGAACTAGGGTTAGGTGCAGAGAGGACCATCGCCGCTCAAGCCTTGGCAGACTGCTGAGATTATGAGATAGCATACGAAGTAACAGAGTACAGGCGCCACACATATATATATGGGAGTCTATCCAAATTAATAAAATATTGGACTTGATTGATTCTGAGATCCGATGTTCTAAGTTTGACGAATGAAGTTTCTGCTCCAGTTCCCCTTTCTCCATCCACCAAGCAAAGCCGACCAGGACCAAGATGTGCTTTCCTAACCCCGGGAACTGTATACCAACTGCAAAAGAGTGTTGAAAAAGGACCAATGCGCCCAAGTGCTGAACAGCTCTTCATCTTTCACACCGCGACATCCCACTCGGCTGTATCTCCGACCACGGTCTCTCCAGATTTAGCTCTACCCTCTAATAGACGGAGAAGAGCACTGGCGCAAGAAAAGGGGTCTTGTTCCACCACTATGCGGCCCCTTCAACCTTGGGCTCGTCGTCGAGATTGAGGAACACTCCATATTTATCTCGTTATAGGCAATTGACGAGGATTGCTGTTGCTGTGGGCAGGAAGATGCCGCCAAGCTGTAGTTGGTGTTAGTTTGCGCTCTTATCTCTGCGGAGATATGTTCCATAGGTGGAATGGGGACAGACAGCACTTTCTGGATCGCCACTCTACAGTGTAGGGGTCCGTGGGACTTCTGGTATCCGTGATGGAGAGGTAGGGAGGTCGTGTGCGCGCTTAGTTGATATAAAGACAGATAGAGACCTAGGTGCTACATTGGACATTTAATTGGGGTCGACAGAGATTAGCAAGCTAGAAATGCCTGGACCTGAGTCTTCTATTGGGACTTACGGGAAGCAAAGTGGTAGTTCTCTAATAACACAAAAAGAAGATGAAGAAGAAGCTTCAATTGAGTGTTGCTATCTTGATACAAGACGCACAAACATCCCTGCAGATTCAAAGAGCCATAGAGACAAACTCAAGACTGTTGAACTGGGGAAAGTGACATGACATGACATAGGAAAGACAAAAGAAAAGATGTAGGAACAGCAACATGATAGTCGAAATGCTTATCACAGACATGCACAGAGGCTATCAAGCAACAAACAAGTATGCCAAGGGGCCTAGCACTTGTAATCGTCCTTCTCAACAATAACACTCCACAGATCAGGTTGGTGAAGGTCACCGTGAACCAACTTGTCGTCCATATGAACTCCAGCGCAGTCATTCACGATCACACTAGCGCCCTGGGCAATGTTTTCGAAACTAGGTAAGCAGCGCTCGCCTTTTCCCTAGATAGATAGAAGCATGGGTCAGTTCATCTGTTGAAACGGACGGTATTTTGAAGATGGCTTGGATTTACTTACCCAGTTGCACCACTTAATGGCCGCCTTGTAGGAGCAGCTAACCCGACCACAAGTTGTTTGAGGGCTGCAAGGCTGACCCTTGACCTTGTGGAGATAATTGATGCCTTCCTTAATACGCTTGGTTCGGGCGGCACCAGAGGGTCCCTTGCAGTCAACAGTGTGCTTCACATTGAAAGGAACATGGTGATCGATATCGGTGGTCTCCTCTTCGTCATCCTCATAATCTTCCTCTTCCTCAAGATTGAATGGGACGTCAGTGTTGTTCCAGTCCGCGTCGTAGTTGGGGTTCAGTTCCAGGAGCTGGGCGTAAACAGACTGGACGGTTCCGTTGAGAATGATAACAGGGGCGCCGGGGGTGACCTGCACCTTCCAATAGACATCGGAGACGGTCATGCCGGAATGTTCATCAGACTGAGCATCCAGACTAGGAGTGGAGGGGGCCTAAAGGGAAGTCTGTTTAGTATCGACATGGCTAGATGGGAGGATAGATTGAGAGATCACATACACCCAATGCCAGAAGGGCAAAGAGACCCAAAATAAGGGTGATAATAGTCAGACGCATCGCGTACACAAGGCCGAAGTTTGGATCAAGATTGATATCCAGAGTTCGAGAGACGAAGGACTTGAGAGGCACAAAGCTTGAAGGATGAGAGGCTTCTGACTGATGGGTTGAGTTGAGAATTCTCCAGCGTTTTTCGGCGGGCAAGATGCGGGTTTATATAGCTTTCCTTGAGCACTGCTGCACCCCGGAGCTCTCGCTAAGCACTAGCGTGCTTCACTGATCTTGTGTGAATGGCATCATGAATTCTGGGTCAAGACCAGGGATAAGCCCGGTAGAGTAAAATGATACTGCACCCCACAGCCAATGGGCGTTGAACACTCAGGAGCATCCCCCCACAGTGGCGTGAGGCTGTTACTCTTTCCCCTCCAGCTGTGAATGAACAGCCCTGACCAGAGCAGGTGTTACCTGCCAAAGAACCTTCCAGGGCAAACTCCCCTCCTTTCAGTGAATGAATAGGCCTGCCCAGACCATGGTCTTTACCGTCGGAGGGACGGCCATGACACACAGATCACGTAGATGTAATCATCAAGTCTGACTCTCAAGTAAGTGAATGAAGAGCTCTGGCAGGCTCTGTGTTTGAGAGACATGATCCCTGTGCAGAACCTTTGAGTTCGAGAGACACTTCTCGCTGATCACCAGGTACTGCTGGCGGAAAGTAGCCCAGAGTTCTGAGTGCTGGTCCGGCCTTGGACAGAAGGGGTCGTTTTTCAAGAAGGCTGTCACTGCCTGTCTGACACCTTGCTCATCCATCGTCATATCTCGAACGAGGTCAAAGTCCAGCAGCCACATCTGGTGCTCACCGAGTGCGTTATGCCATATCCTTCCCTCCATGTCCTTTCTCATTCCAGTGCCATTGTTTGGCGTCGCAAGAACAAACTCGATGTCATTGCCATCTACCTCCCCAACCCAGTGCATCACCGCAAGAGCCTCCGCCATCGCCCGAGCATAATCACGAATGTCATCCTCCGGAATACCCAGCTCTTCCATCTGATCGATATGCAGAGGATAATTCCTCAAGGAAAAGGCCCTGAATCGGGAAGGACGCGAGATGCGGCGTCGGCCTAGATATGGACGGATCAGGCAGTCTCTGTTGGTGTCGCTTTCTAGGATCTCGTTGGCTAAGCCCGGCGGACAGAACCGTATGGTGAGAAGCTGTCTGATCTCGCCCCTGACGGCAGGTATCCGTTGGGCGTGGATCATATTGCATGGCTTATAGCCTTCTGGGAAGCGGCTAAGGTTCCTGCCCCACCAGTCATCGTTCGGGGTTATGAAGTCGTGATGGATTGGGATTTGGACAATGGTGTCTCTCATACAATCTGATAAGCGCTGATGCATGTTGCTGTCGTTTCTTAACGACCGGTCAGGGCCCCCGTCTTCGCGTTTGTAGGCGGACCCTCCTTCTGCTGCTGTCCACACTGTCCCGCAGAAGCCCGCTCCGATGCGGCGGAATTTTGAGCTAGTGTCATCCATTCTTGGTCTTCGGGTTGATAGAATGGCTGTTTGCTGACAAGTTATTATCTTCAGTAGGTAGCGATGAGGATTGAAAAGGAAGAGGCGGGATGTGTTACACTTTTGTGTCGAACCGGAAATCAGCTCCGATTCATGATTCCACCCCACGGAGTTTGAAAGATATATTCGAAGGACCTAGAAGACTAGATTAAGCATGCATCATCGCTAAAAGGCTGTCAAAATCAACAAGTCTAAATACATGGTATGCCAAAGGTGCTAGTATATCACTAGGGGCGGAGACGAACTAGGTATGAATCAACCATACATAAGCGAAGAGGAAAGGCCATTACTTCTGTCAGATCAGGAGGTCAGGATGAGAGTTTGAATCCCAGCGTATCCCGTCTGTCATCAGTCAACCGACCCCATTCTAATAGAAGGCGGAAGAAGTAGATCTCCATGTCTTCTTTTCGCAAGGCAGTCTTCGCCCATTTGCGGCCTTCTTCGGCAATCCATCGGCCTTGAATATCATGTCGCTTCATCTCGACTTTACGTCCATCAACCGTGGCATCAACGCCCGCAAAGTAAGCGAGAGTACTCCATAATCCGTGTAGGCGGACATCGATGGGGGCGTAATGCAGCCAGGGCGTGACGCGCGAGTCGAACCATTGTCTGAATAAACCGGTTTTGAACGGGAGACTACGGCTCTGCAGGAAAGGGAGAAAACGGCCGCTGAAGCCGGCGCCATCCGAGTCAAAGAGGTAGCGATACTGCCAGTGATCCTGAAAATCGACCCGGCCGCCAGTGCCGAGTTCGTCCTCTTGGTCGGTACAGTCTTCGTTCCGGCAGCGGACAATGGGATCCGTAATGCTTATGGAAGCGTTCAGGCCGAGAACTTGGGTGGGTGCCATACCATCGAAGATCTGGTATGAATGCGATTTCGGTTCCTCGGTGGGCAATAGAACCGAGACGTGCGTATATGTGTTGTTATTGACCAAGTGTGCGAGGCGCTGCCGCGGCATTCCTTTCCATCTACCTTCGTGACTTACGCCTTCCGTCGTGCTACCGATCCAGAAGAGGGTGTTCTCTTTTTCCGTGTACCTAGGATCGGGATGCTCATCGGAAGGTCCGTATTTGATTTTATCGACATAGTTCCAGGGGCTCGGGAATAAAATGTCGCTGAAGACGGATGTCGAACTCTGGCTAAAGACAGGTAATAGTTCCTGGGTGATTCTGAATGTTGCAGGCGATAGAAAGAGCCCATGCATATGAGCGAGATCAGGTTGATGGCAGACATCGGACGTGATCCCCCAATTCGTCGGAAACTGGCCCATTGAATGCGCGCGGATGCATCCAATACAGAGATCTTGCCTGTCCCAGACACGTTCTGTTCGGGCTTTTGACCTAGGTGGACAAGCAGGGGCAACATAAGCGTCCCATACTTTCTGAAACGAACGGTCGATAAACATGGTCTCTGGTGTTTGGTCGGCTGGTTCAATGGGCGCCCAGGTTGCATCGCGATCCGCCGTCCATTCGCCTGAAATGTCATCATCAGGTGGTAGTTGTTGCGCTTTTGCCCGGTCGTGAAGCTCGGCGATCTTTTCCCAAGGAGCTATAACGCGAGGCTCATCGTCCAGGTTGAAAGCCAAGTCCATATCAGGAAGATGTTCGGAGAAGTTTTCGATCATTTTGCCCGCACTCTGAACCATCCAAGCATGTGTCGGTTTAATGCCTTCTTGCACCCTAACCGTGCCATTTCGAATACTCAGTGCGCCAATGTCATTCAATGGGTTTGTTGCTAGCTTCTGGGTCATAGTTCGAATCTCGTGGGGTGCTAAGGCGCGAAACGGAAGAAGGTTTGTGTATATGCCGTCAAATTCGTCAATTGTAACCGAAGACCTGCTTACGGCATAGTCATACCATTTATCAAATCCCCTATAAGATGATTAGAAGCGAGCTTCGCACGTTGTATAGAAGGGACTAACGGTGGGGGATTTTGATTGTATCTCGAACGATATTGCTGAACAGCTTCTGCCAAAGTACTACTCTCCTTGGCCGCCTTCAGCCACATGTCATGACTCTTTGCGGCTTCGTGTATCAACAGTTCGATCGGATGCGTATGCCCCAGACTTGATTGGCCTAGCACCCAGAATAAACCAGTGCCAAACATCATGATGAAGACAAGTCGTAAAACGAAATTGAGGCGATGTAGGAATTGCGGCTCGTCTTCGGAAGCCGTCCGTGATAGCAGGAACAGTAGTCCCCCCAAGCAAGAGCAGGAGAGTGCGATAAAGGCATGGGATGCAGGAATCATGGGAAACGGCTCTTGGCCATCGAACAGTGTCGAAATCAAGTTGAAGTAATTCGCGACGAAGCCGGCTAAGACACAAAGCCCGACTAGACCATAGAAAGGGAGCTGTCTGCATCAGCCCTGACTGCAACCACATAAAGCCCGCCAAAACCTACCAGCTGAGATGCCGACACAATAACAATAGAAACCAATACAGCCTGACCCCAGGCGCTTCTGAGATAATGCGAAGTAATAAAGGTGCCAGCTTCAGCAGTGGCTGTCAAGTAAATGACCCAACCTGCTAAAAGTAAAACCACTCCCTGCAAAAGACGGCCGTTAGGCTTGATGTGCCGGTGATAAGCTCGGGTATACTCACCAAGAGGCAATATCCCCAGGAAAGCAGTGTATGTTTCTTCTTCCCTTCCCGACGTACTCCTTCGCCGGACAGTTCAGCTGCGCTAGTTAGAAGTAGACAGTCAATAAGTAGACAGAGAATCCTGAACGTTTGCAACCTCAGGTGTTTTCCCGATACTATGGGACAGATATAGGTCGATTGCCGAGCATGCTGAAATGTTGCAACTAGCACGCCGCCTATTGCTAAAGAGGCCGCAGGTATGATATATCGGACGCGGCTTTGTAGAACGAAAAAACGAAGGCGGCTGAATATTGTGACAGGTATGCGAAATAGGTCGTTCGCCGGCTCGTCTGGTCGAATCCAGCTTTCAGCAGTTCGCTGGATACGCCAGAAGTCATAGAGTGCGGCATATAATGGAAGTAGGTACTAGAAAAATTGAAGCATGGTTATCATCTATGCCGACAATGCCTTGTTCCGCTGAGCAGCTTACAGTGTAACCAGCAGGTGCGCACTCGATGTTATCGGTGATATAGCGAAAGAGAATTATCCGCGCACAGGCGATTGTTGAAAAGACACCTATTTTCAACCACCATCTCAAAGTACGCCGATCCTTTGCGGCGTCGTCAATGCCGACAGCCGATAATGCTTCCGCGCTGGACTGCTCAATCTCATTAAGTGGTATAGCAGAGTATTTATCGGGAGGAAGAGATATGCTCGGTATCTGATGGACGAATCTGCTCAGAACCAGGAGAGAAATTGCCGAGAGAAAGCAGGTGAGGGCAGCAGTGTGGAGAGGATGGTCTAATGGAAGAGAAACATTAACGCCAGCAACCTTAGCCTAGTCTCCCCGTTGTAGGACATAACTTACCGAAAGCAAATGTGGTGTTATATGAGGTAGTAATAAACGTGCAGCTCAATAAGAAACCCCTGCAAAGTTTAGATCATGAGACAATGTGGGGAAGCTCATGTACACCAACCCCAGCAAAGCGCGAAGGCCGTTTTCCACAGATAGACGAATCATATTGGCGCTCATTAAAGGGCAGAGCCCATTATTGGGACACTATCTGCCAATCGTCGACTGAAGCTCCCATTTACGCCGCCACATGCAAGCGGGTAGGTAGGTGATATTTGACGAGTACCTAGGGGATATGGAGCCTAGATTAGCGGGGTCGACAAGGGTCCGACAACAGTGGAGACTGCTCGAGGTTGACGGGAAGAGCTTGAAGTGGTTGGACAGCATCAGGAATCGAAAATATCAAGCCGGAAAGGGGCGTCTATAATTAGGGAAAGAAAGGTTTCTTTGAATGACTTGAGCAAAAGGTGATTGCGTCAACTACATGGGAGGACCATGGACGATGGATCCAGACCCGCGCTTGACAGTGGGATCACCGGCTAGGGAACGCTAGCCTGCCCACTAACGTTGGCCCCGAGGGTCCCGATAAGCCACCAGGCACTCTCAAGTGGGGGTCATGCTATCTAAACAGCAAGACCGGGAAAATCTTCATTGCAACATAGCAAGGAAATAATGGGGCTGCCTCAGATTGATGACGACCACTGTGCAACTTACAGGGACTTCAACATCCTTACAGCAGGCTTATGGTCCATATGCACCGTATGCTACATATTCTGAAGCTAGTTATTGGCAGTTCATACATAAGGTCTCACAGGCAGGACACTAAAACACTGTCATCAGACCATATGTCATGCCAACCAAGCCTTCATAGGTACTCCAGCTCGGAGTAAGTCCATCCAGTTAAAGCTATGGAGTAGGCCGGAGTACAAGACCACGAATTTCACGTGATCTTACGAGCGGGCTGCACCTTTGGCGGTAGTAAAGGCGGTGGGTAGTGCCCGGCAAAATAAAACACCGCCAACTTTTTTTCGGCGCAGAGACTTTCCATGCAGCAACTTTCAAGCTTGGGAGTTCCAGTGGTCGCTTGAAAAATGCCTCGGAAAGCGATTGACTCGCGCATCCCGGCGCTCATCCAAAATGGCATCCAGGAGAAGAAGCGCAACTTCTTCGTCATCGTGGGCGACCGTGCGAAAGACATCATCGTCAACCTTTACCACATCAGATCGCAATTCGACGTGAAACAGAACAAGTCCGTTCTATGGGCCTACAAGAAGGATCTCCTAGGCTTTACAAGTCACCGAAAGAAGCGGGAGGCAAAGATCAAAAGGGAGGTGAAACGGGGCATCCGCGAAGCGAACGATGAGGACCCTTTCGAGCTGTTCGTCACTCTCAACCAGATCCGCTATGTGTACTACAAGGAAACGGAGAAGATTTTGGGAAATACCTACGGCATGTGTATTCTCCAGGATTTCGAGGCCATTACGCCGAACCTCCTAGCGCGGACTATTGAGACCGTCGAAGGTGGTGGCACAGTGATCATGCTCCTGAAGAGCATGAACAGTTTGAAACAGCTCTACACACTGTCGATGGACATTCACTCGAGATACCGGACCGAGGCGCACGATGATGTGGTTGCGCGATTCAACGAGCGATTCATCCTATCTCTTGGCAGCTGCGACTCCTGCCTGGTCATCGACGACGAGATGAACGTCCTCCCTATCTCTGGCGGCAAGAATGTGAAACCGCTCCCACCACCCGAGGAAACTGATGGGAACAACTCGGGGCCGAAGAAAGAACTAGAGAAGATCAAGGATGACTTGGCCGAGTCCCAGCCCGTTGGATCCTTGGTCAACCTAGCCCGGACCGTGGACCAGGCCAAGGCATTGCTCACCTTCGTCGACGCGATTGCCGAAAAGACGCTCCGAAGCACTGTTACGCTGACCGCTGCCAGAGGTCGTGGAAAGTCCGCGGCTCTAGGTGTCGCTATCGCGGCAGCAATTGCCTACGGCTACAGCAACGTCTTCATCACCTCACCAAGCCCCGAAAACTTGAAGACTCTGTTCGAGTTCATCTTCAAGGGTTTCGACGCTCTCGGATATGCCGACCACGCAGATTACACGATCCTCCAGTCCACCAACCCTGATTTCAACAAGGCTATCGTCCGCGTCAACATCCATCGCCAACATCGCCAAACCATCCAATACATTCAACCTCAGGACGCCCACGTGCTAGGGCAGGCAGAACTCCTGGTCATTGATGAAGCTGCGGCCATTCCGCTACCACTCGTCCGAAAGTTGATGGGTCCTTACCTGGTCTTCATGGCTTCTACAATAAACGGTTACGAGGGAACCGGCAGGTCTCTTTCTTTGAAGCTGATTCAACAGCTCCGTGAACAGTCAAGAGGTGGCGCCAAGGTTGCCGGAGACGACACTGATGTTGCTTCACGAGCAACCGGGAAGATCGAGAAGAATGCCGATAAGGGTTTGGGTGGACGATCCTTGCGAGAGATTACTTTGTCCGAACCCATCAGATACGCCCCTGGTGACTCCGTAGAAAAGTGGTTGAACAAGGTTCTGTGCCTGGACGCGACACTACCGAGGTCGAAGATGAACACTCAAGGCTGCCCGCATCCCTCTCAGTGCCAGCTGCTCCAGGTCAACCGAGACACCCTATTTTCTTTCCACCCTGTCTCCGAGAAGTTCCTCCAGCAGATGATGGCTCTCTACGTTGCCAGTCACTATAAGAACACTCCCAATGATCTCCAGTTAATGAGTGATGCCCCCGCCCACCAGCTGTATGTGCTCGTCCCACCAATTGACGAAGATGCCGCGAAATTGCCCGAGCCGCTCTGTGTGATACAAGTCGCCCTAGAAGGCCGCATTAGCCGACAGAGCGTCCTCAACAGCTTGAGCCGTGGTCAACGGGCTGGCGGCGATCTGATCCCCTGGCTTGTCAGCCAGCAATTCCAGGATGAAGACTTCGCCGGTCTTTCTGGAGCTAGAGTCGTCCGCATTGCCACGAACCCCGAATACCTGAGCATGGGATATGGATCCCGCGCTTTGGAGCTCTTGGTGGATTTCTTCGAAGGCAAATTCACCGATCTTTCAGAGAACGCGATGAACACCCAAGAAGAGATGGTCCGGGTTACTGATGAAGAGCTCGCAAACTCCAACCTCCTCGATGACAACATTCAAGTCCGCGATATTCGATCCATGCCGCCGCTTTTCGGCAAGCTGTCGGAGCGTCGACCAGACGAGCTGGACTACCTCGGTGTCAGCTACGGTCTCACACCGTCTCTTCACAAATTCTGGAAGCGCGCTTCCTTCCATCCCGTATACCTCCGCCAAACACCCAACGACCTCACAGGCGAACACTCCTGCGTCATGCTCCGAACACTCGCCACTGGCGCCAACGACGCCAGCTGGCTCGGTGCCTTCTCGCGCGACTTCCACCGCCGTTTCATCTCCCTCCTCTCCTACCAATTCCGCGCCTTCGCCTCCGTCCTCTCCCTCAGCATCGGCGAGTCCGCAACCGCAGGTGCCAAACTTGACCCGTCCCTCGCCGCGCCGCTCCTCACGAAATCCAACCTCGACGCAGCCTTCTCCCCCTTCGATCTCAAACGCTTAGACAGCTACGCAAACAACCTCCTCGACTACCACGTCATCCTAGATATGGTCCCCACCATCGCGACATGGTACTTCTCCGGCCGTCTCACCGGCAAAGTCAGCCTCTCCGGCGTGCAGCAGTCCATCCTCCTGGCCATCGGTTTGCAGCGCAAATCCCTCGACGACGTCGAGAAGGAACTGAGCCTCCCCTCATCTCAGCTGCTGGCTATGTTCCTGAAGATCGTCCGCAAGGTCTCAACCCACTTCCGCTCCCTCGAGGAAACCGCTGTCGCGGATACCCTTCCCGCAGACCAGGTTCCCACGACCTCCGCGGCAGCCGATGCCCATGACGAAGTCGTTGACGAGCGCTTCAAGCCCCTCGAGACCAGCATTGATGATGAGCTTCGCGAAGGCGGCGAAGTAGTCAACGCCGAGATGCGTGAGAAGCAACGCGCGCTGATTGACGCGTTGCCCCTCGACAAGTGAGTCCTTCCTTCCCCGCCACCATCTGCAAACTGCGAAAACAAAGCCCCTGGCGAGCGAACAATAACTGATTTACAGCCTCCAGATACGAGATAAGTAATGGTGATGCCGGCTGGGAAGATGCGGAGAAGCAGATCCGTGCTGGCGGTGCCCCAACCGTCAGCGTCAAGTCCTCGAAACAGAGTAAGCGCAAGAAGGGCGAGACTGCGCGCGACATCTACGAGCAGGAGGTTGAGTCTAAGCGACAGAAGGTCATTCAGAAGGGGACCGAGGGGAAGAAGAAGAAGAGGTAGTGGTCTAGTCTCTACCTACCAGTAGTTGCCTTGGGTTCTTGTGCATCTTCTAGGAATGCATGACGGTGTTCTGTTCGTTTAATGTCTTTGTATATAGGTTAATCGGGTATATCCAAAAGTTGAAATAGAAGCTACGTATGTATCCACGTTTATGAGGAACAGGCTTGGATTTCGGCTAAGCTACTTTACGCCGCGTAAATACTCATCATTTGCACTTGCCTGCATAATTTACAGTTCGTCATGGTCAGTTTGCTTTGCAGGCTCGTCCACCGTGACCACAATGCCCTCTGGGAGCTTGTTTCGAGACCCTTCGCCCAGACGAATAGCATCAATCCATGCTTCTACGCGTACTGGGCCAAAGTCCGCACTATCCGAGGGGTCATAGTGTCTCCACCATCCCCTTCGTGCGTTCAACGCGACAACCTCGACTGACTGCGCATCCTCAGGCAAGCCGAGTCCAGCCCTGAGAGCTTTGGCCGCGGTGTTTGATGCAGGGATACTGTACAACGGGAAGAGTTTGGTTTGTTTTCGAGCGTGCTTATGCGCAATCTCCGCTAGAGTTTCGAGTGCCTCCTTGGCGGGCTGAGTGGGCTCCGCATCAGACTCTGGCAAGAGAGCGAGAACACAAGTGCCAGACTTTGGCGCGAGGCAGGCTGCCTCCAGGGCCTCGGAGGTTTCGAGGGTGTCAATAGCGGGAGCGGGGGCGGGTGCTTGGACTGGGACGGAAGGCTTGGCTTCTGCAGTAGAGTCTTCGGGCTCAGAAGGTTCGTCTGATTTTGGCTTCTTTTCGGATGCGCTTGGCTTCTTGCTCTTTGCTTTTTCGGGGGCGGGAGCGGGATCAGCGTTTGGAGGCGCCACTTGGCTCAGAAAATCGACCATCGGACCTTTCTTGAGTTCGCCGTCGAACAGAATATGCTCTTTTCCGTTTCCAGGTAGCAAAACCAAGGTGGGGAACTCCGTGACACCAAACTTTTCCACGGCGTTCGATTCCTTGTTGCGAATTTGAGCGACCTTGATGCTACCCAAGAAGTCGATAGCGAGGGCGCGAATCAGGGAGCTCGTTGTGCCCTTCTCGGTGAAAAGGAGGGCTTTTGGTACTTCCGCGTCCTCAGAGAGCCATTCATCCAGGTTCTTGTCTGTCACCCTCTTCACATGGTTCGGGATTCTCTCTGCCACCGCATCGACAATTCCTTTGGCGGTCCTAGGGCCTTGGTAGTCCTCGACTCTTGGTTTTCCGGCTTTCTTGGATGGGGTCACAATCTTTAGGGTCGGGAAGCCCTGAACTCCCATTTGTCCACAAAACGGCTTGTTCGCATCGTCGTCGCAATTGATGGCGGCAACCTTCGCCAGCCCGTCCAGATTCTTCGCTGCTTTCTCGTAGGCGGGTTTCAGGTTTTGGCAATGGCCACACCAAGGCGCATAAAATCTATGAGGATCAAACGGTCAAGAAAGGACTTGTAACAGGTATATGAGATTCGGGGACTTACTCGACAATCTAGTTCCGGTGTTAGCTGGATTCAAACAATTGGGGGCCGAGAGATATCACTTACGGAGGTGTAGTTTGAGTTCGCAATCAGCTGGTTGTAGCTCTTCTGATCGATCTGAAGAACGGGGGATTTCTTAGTATAGAGCCCATCGGCATTGACTGGCAGAGCGGCCAAAAGCGACGCGACAAGGAGAAGCGCAGAGCGCGGCAGCATGGTGGAGTTAGTGCGCAATTACTTCCTGGGTGATGTACGATCTGGAGTGGGAGATCGGTGGTCATAGGTCGGACATGTCAGCGAGGAAAAGAGCTGTATTTATAGTATGAGAAGTGATGCAGGGATGAGGAAGTTGGTGAAAGGTGTCCTGACACTCTTGAGTCTTGGCATCATTCACACTCCCGGCTGCCACTTCCGCCCCCGCATTATTCGAGATCATCTGATTCTATACCCACTAGGGTGCTTACATTTTGGACCCTGATCGGGTACCACATCGCTTCGCCTTTTTCTACGTCATGAGTCGGTGTGGGCATCGTATTCTCAGAAGCGTCGTTCCAGCAGCTATGAGCCAGTGAGCTACTATATCGTGCAATCTTTATACTATCTTCAGTCACCATGTCAGACTATCAGGATGCCCAGAGTTTGGATCTTCCGTTGTTGCCGAGCGAGCTCTTTTGGATGGTCTTGGACCATCTTGGGCCCAGGGATATAGTCCGTTGTCGACGCGTCTCACGGTTGTGGAACGAGGCTTTCGGAGATCCATCAAGTTTGATGCCGCTATTGAAGAAGTTGTTCCCGCAAGCAAGCGAGATCAGGGATCTCTATTCTGGCCATGGTCTGCTGGAAAACTCAACGAACAATGAATGGCGCTCACTGTTCGATCGAGTCGCCTTGAGGTATCATCACCTCAGTCGTGGAAAGCCCAAGTCAATTCAGAGGCTCAATCTGTGCGATGAATTTGGTATCTCCGGCGAGAGAGAATGGTTTCAGGTCCAACCTTGGGACATCCATGCCAGTCATCTTATGCAGCGTGTCGATCTGCCATTTTCCGAGTCCTTTTGGTCCTATGATGGCGGACTTTTGGTGTACCCAAGCGCGGACCACGCCTGTTTAGTCCTTATGGACCTCGAGAGCGACAGAAAGTTCATGGTACCATTTATCATCACAGGCAAGGTAATACGCAGAGTTAGGCTACAGCGACTGGTCCTCGTGGTTGAGTGGGCAGAACCGAAAGCCTTCCACTGGCTGAACGACAGCGACGGCGTTCATCGCCACTTTGCTTCATCATTCGACGTGAGCAAGACATCAAGCGGCTGGAGCATAACCTTCCGCAACGAGTGGAAGATCATGTTTCTTGGTCATCCTCTTAGCGAAAGAGACCGCTTTTACTCAACCCATAGTCAGACTCATTATGCCATCTATATCTGGCAGCCCAATCGCAGCCTATACACCGCGGATGACGATGCTCCGATAGAGTCGTTGTCGGTTTGGGATATTTCCAAGCCTTCCTCGTATAGGCCGTCGTTGGATCCAACCGGGCGCTTGCGGGTAGAGGAGGAAGATACAGGCCCCTCCATCGTTTCACGGTTCGGCTTCAGGGAGCTAGGGTTTTACTCTGTCAGGCAACGAGGCCTTCCAGGCATACAGTGGCTGAACATCACGGAAGACAACCAGTCGATAGAGATATATGAGAACCTATGCACAGGTCCCGTGGATCGATTTGTTGGGCCCGCGGAATGGACGTCGCAAGTCCAGATGACGAGCATCCCGGTCAATGGCTACGGGCCATGCTGGAGACAAAATATTGACCTTGTCCTACCACCGTATAGAGGGAATGGTAGCTTACAGGCAAGCCCATTGACTCTTCAAGTCTGCGACGAGCCGTGGTATACCATCATCTCAGAGTCATCTGATGAAAAAGCTCAAGTAGGCTTTTGCCTTCATCTTTCTCAGGCCACATGGCCGTTTGACTTGAAAGCTTCACTGAGCATCCGGACACCGTCCTCGGCTATTACTTTGAAGAACTCAGACATTTTTGAGCTTACGGGCAAAGGAAAGATATGTGGAACCGAGCGGTACCTCCTGGGTGAGAATGGAAATCGCGAGCTGGTCATTTACCGGTTTGATAGGTAAACTTCTATATAGCCGGTGGGCTGTTCTTTCCATATGGAAATAGTGGCTTGCTGGGCACTTCCGGCACACCCTCGCCTAAACAAGCTTTCTGTTTCCTAATCATCCTTGAAGGATGTTGACACTATACCCTGCGTGGCCACAGTTCTTAGCCAGTCTCTAGAATAGGATCCCTCTACTCCTAAGCGCGCTATGGCCTATCAAGATCTCTGGCTCTATCCGCATGCTGGGCAAAGGCATTATTAATCTGGCCAGGAATGACTCTCAATGCTAGTGGTCGTGTCTTCTCCGCCAGGGTTCTCCCCAGCTCCCTCCACATGCACTCTACTAGCGCCCCACGGTCCTTTACCCCGCTGGAGAGTCTGGAGTTTTCCCATCCCCAGACTCATTTATCCGGGGATTCAGCCGAGAACCAAGGCTAGTGGACGCGGGCTCTTACCACCCGCCCGCGTGCTGACAGACGACGCCGATCACGGGCGAATAAGGGCATGGTCCTGGTCTTGGTTAATCCCCGAGTGGCCCTTCAGCTCGCATCCTTGCAACCCAGTCATAGCACCATGTTGCAAGGGCCAATTTCCCGGCTCGTCAAGAGGCTAGAAGTGGGACGTTACCCGGAAATTCATGCAAAAGCAGGGATCTCTTGAGAATAGCGTTTCGACAAATAGCCGGAATCATGACTACCATTTCGTATGAAAACCGTGCGTCATCCGCCTGAGTACTTAGCTTGCGTAAGGTGGTGTCTGCTCTAGTTCTGTCTCTTTTTCTTGCCTCGCTGTGATCCTCCAACGTACAACATGGGTGGTGCTGGTAATACCTCGGCGGCTGTGGACGCCGCCGCGCAAATCCGCAAGGTCAATCTGAAGGCGTCATCTGGGCTTCCAGGTTTGATCCAGAACAGGAAGGTCTTTGGTGTCGCAATGTTCGCATGTCTGGGAGGGTACTGTTATACTTATACATGCATCGAGGTAATTGCTAACAAGAGCGCAGTCTCCTCTACGGTTATAATCAGGTATATTGCTCTAGAACTGTGGCCGCCATTGAAGGCTGACTTTCCTTTTCCGCAAAGGGCGTGTTCTCTGGCGTCTGTGAGTCAAGATTCCTCATTTACTTGGTTTAGTGTTAACATCTTGACATCCTAGTGGTCATGCACTCCTTCGAGGAACATGTAAGCCTTCGTCTCTTTGCAGCGACTCGATCCACGGTATTGACTGTTCCAGATGGGCGACGCTGTCACAAACGAGACCAGAAAAGGGTGGCTTACATGTATGGTCTTATCGCATAATAGTCTAGCAGGCAAGGCTAAGAAGCTGCAGCTATCCTTGAGCTCGGAGCGTGGTTTGGCGCTTTATACTCTGGTATCCTCTGCGAAAGGTTCTCTCGGAAATACACTATCCTCGCGAATGTATGCATTTTCTGCATCGGCGTCGTGATTCAGCTTACCGCGGCTACCGGCAATGGGAGCTCTTCGAATATCCTAGGAGGTCGATTTGTTACGGGTATGGGTGTCGGAAGGTAGGCTGGCCATGCTGAGGTTCCTGGCATTGAGCCATCACTGACTGAAATTACCATTAGTCTCTCGATGAGTGTGCCTACATACAACGCTGAAGTAATCTATTCCTGGAGTGATTGATATTTGCCTCTATCTAACTTCTCGAAGATTGCACCCCCAGAAGTAAGAGGTTCTTTGGTCGCCATGCAGCAGCTGGCAATCACCTTTGGAATCATGGTCAGTTCCCTTATACCCAGAGAATTGTAAAGCTTTGCACATTATGTCGCTAACAGTACGAATAGGTATCCTTCTGGTACGTCCTCATCGCGGCCTACTCTTTCTCATCCTAACCTCCCCAGGATAAACTACGGAACGAACCACATCGGCGGCACCGGCGAGACCCAAAAAGACACCGCATGGCTCTTGCCCCTGGCACTTCAGCTCGTTCCAGCAGTCATCCTAGGAGTCGGCATGATCTTCATGCCTTTCTCACCCCGTTGGCTTGTACACCATGGCCGAGAGGAGGAAGCTATCAAAGTCCTTACGAGCCTCCGTGGCTTGCCCGCAGACGATCCCATCCTGCAGCTCGAGTTCCTTGAGATCAAAGCCCAGAGTATCTTCGAGAAACGCACTGAGAAGGAGAGGTTTCCTCATCTAGAGAGGAATAGTACCTGGAGTTACTTGAAGCTGGAGGCAGCCGGATACAAGAGTTTGTTCACCAGCTGGCCGATGTTCAGGCGGGTGATTGTTGCTACGGGTATGCTTCAGCCCTAGCATTTGCTCGCAGCAACGTTTAATGTTCTCCAGTTACCATGACCTTCCAGCAATGGACAGGCGTTAACGCAATCCTCTACTACGCCCCCACGATCTTCGAACAACTCGGAATGAGCAACAACACCACCTCCCTCCTAGCCACAGGTGTCGTCGGCGTAGCCATGTTCCTCGCAACCGTAAGACCCTCCATCCCTTTCTCTCTCTTTGCAGCCCTCCCTAAAACATTCCAGATCCCAGCCGTAATCTGGGTCGACAACGTCGGCCGCAAGCCCATCCTCGTCATCGGCGCCATCGGCATGGCCACCTGCCACTTCATCATCGCAGCCATCTTCGCCGAGAACGAGAACCAGTGGGAGTCGCACCGTGCCGCGGGCTGGGCCGCCGTCGCCATGGTGTGGCTGTTCGTCGTGCACTTCGGATACTCGTGGGGCCCTTGTGCTTGGATCATCATCGCGGAGATCTGGCCGCTTAGTGTGCGTGCTATTGGGACGAGTTTGGGCGCTTCAGCTAGTATGTTTGCTTCTTCCTGTTCCCTCACGACTAGCCTTGCTACTTTGGTTGCGTACGTTACTAATGAGGTACGTAGATTGGATGAACAACTTCATCGTCGGTCAAGTCACGCCGGATATGCTCTCGGGTATCCGCTACGGCACGTATATTTTCCTGGGTCTGATGACGTCGCTTGGTGCGCTATTCATTTTCTTCTTCGTTCCCGAGACAAAGCAGCTCTCTCTCGAGGAGATGGATGTCATTTTCGGCTCGGAGGGCACCGCTGTTGCGGATTTCGAGCGTCAGGCTGAGATCTCGCGAGAGATTGGGCTTGATGAGGCGCTGGCGAGGTTCTCAGAAAGATCAGGTGTCGTTCTTCCAGAGGTGGAGGGGAAGCATGCTTGAGATTGGCCTCTGTAAACGTGACCGATGGAGAAATAGTGGTGTGAAGCCTGTTCTTTAGCTTTTTGAGAATGATAGGAGTGGCTTGAGTATGAACTGTGTGCCAGTGCAGCTGGCCAAATGCAATTATTTTGTTCCTTTCTGTAAAAAATCACTATCTCACAAAGTTTGATTCTTTTTCCCTCTTAGTTCACTGCCAAATCTCCCTGCCAACATGCTTGAGATGCAAGCAAACAAACAAGTTCAGTGCTAGTGTACATCATCGGGGCAATGCGTTGTAAATATGTTCCAAACAAACAGGAGATCGTCAAAAGGCAAGCGAAAACCACCGAGAAGATAGTATTATATGATATACCGCCCTCTTCTGAGCTCGCCTTTCAAGACCTGGTATAGGGAGATGACGATCCAGATCACTGACCTCTCTCGAACTTGCATCTCACGCACCTCTTGATCCCGCAACCAGGACAGACGAGCATGTATATGGGCTTCCACAAATTACATTCCTCGCATTTCTCGTGGCCCAGGTCTTTCTTCCAGTATCCGAGGTGGCGGCAATCATGGGAGTTCATGGGGCGTATGGGGTCTGGTGCACCTGGAATGGTTACACGCAAAGTCTCCAGCCAGCCGCAGTATGTCTCCATGACCATGCCTTTGAGTTCACCGTGGAGGTCTTCTTTGCTATAACAACCATCTGTATCTGCCAGTTTCGTGGTGAAATACGGAATGAAGGGTGCTAAGTAAGGGTAGACGTTTGCTTCGTCGAACTCGGCGAAGTCATGCCACACAGGGATCGGCGAGGCGTCGCTGGGAGCGGCGCTGGACGTGTCTTTGGTGGATAAATCATGGTGGTCCTGGCTTCCTGGACGGTTTGATGGAAGTGATAAGGCATCGCTGAAGTCGTAATATATAGATCCTGCGCTCTCATCGTCTGCCGCAGGAATACCATCAGCTTTGAATGGGTGATCGTTGCTTGAAGGGGCCCAGGCGCCACTTATCGAGCAGTTGGAGAAGTCTCCAGGTGCCTGCGGGTCTTCTGGCGTAAAACAATCGGGCGATGCCGTGTAAACAGAATCGGTCTCTTCAGTAGCGGTGTCGATGTCAATATCAGTCTCATGGTGTCTAGGCTTGGCCTCATGTTCTTTCTCGAATGAGGTCTCTTCAATACTGCCGCTAGTGGCAGTATGACGGTTCCCAATTTTATCGATGATGCTGTTAGCGTCAGACTTGGCGTGATGAGCAGATCCGGCTCCGACTACAGCCACTGGTTCCATATCAGGTTCAATATCCCCCTCACCCTCAAAGCCAGCGTCGGAATGAGCCTCAAGGTCGGGATTGATTTGCGCTTCAGTAGTGGCATTTCCGCTCACCTCGGACAGGGTTTCAATGTTGAATCCGCGCTCATGTTTCTGTTTAGATCCTGCCCGAGGGTCAACCTCAGCTTCACCGGCAAGATCAGGCTCTAGCACACCCTGGCTACCCTCTTTAGGCTCTGCTCCAGCGAACCAAACGGGTCGAAGGCCGCTGTGTGCCCCACCATTGTATGTCTGTCTCGGCGCTCTGAAAGGCTTCGCGTTTGGGTTTAGCACAGACTGCCATGTCTTCCAGTTGTTTGCCTCCTTCGTTGATTGTTCCGCAGCAGAGTTCTCGGCAGCTCGATGGATATTTTCTTGCTCCCTTTTCTCTACCTCTTCCTTCCGGACTCTTTCGCAGCGAGCTAGTTCTTCCTCGTCCGGGTTCCAAGTTTCCCGCCAGGTTTTCCGACGGTTTGTCTTCCTTGCTGCAGTCTCGGCAGAAGTTTTTTCAGCAGCCCGGCGTAAATTCTCTTCTCTCGCCTTCTCTGCCTCCTCCTCACGTGCTCTTTCGCAGCGAGCCAGTTCTTCCTGCGACTCTTTGGAAGAGGGATTCATGTGAACGCTTTCGCCGTAGCTGAACTTGTACCGATCCTTACAAACGTATGTGCCCCTACACATGCCATTCGGTTTCCATCCTTTGTAGTCTGGGCGGGCGAACAGACGCTCCTCTTCAGTTGGATGTTTGTATTTTCTACCGAGCTGCTGGTCGTGTGCTCGGCGCGTGGTTGTGTCGCGGAGAACCTCGACGGCTTCGGTAATCTGTTTGGTGTTGTTCCTTAAGCTTCATGACGAGGGTTTGAATGGGTTTGCAGAACAACTAGGATTATTTACCTTCTGAAATTTAATGACAGCAGAGTCATCCCCTCTTGTTTTGTCCGGATGGAGCTTCAAAGCGAGTCTTTTGTAAGAGCTGTTGATTTCCTTGAGCGAGGCATCTGGTGAGATCTCCAGGACCTCATAGCAGTCCATCATCGGCAATCTGGACAAACTCGCCATTGGTGCGTGTTGGTGAGGATAAGGCAGTTCTGGAAGAAATTAAGGCAACAGCTGGTTAGGCAGAGAGTTGCAAGTGTTAGTCCATGCACTCAGCGGAACTGAGAGGAACAGGTGGGTAAACTGAAGGCCACCATTCACTAAGGGTTGACTTCTAGGAGATAGGAAAGAGTAATGAGAAAGTGACTGGTGTGACTGGTTAGAAAAGTCGCCAGAATTGGCAAGAACATGAGTGAATGAACCCACAGCCCCTGGGGAAACCTAGAAAATCTTCAGTAAAATTGCTCAGCTCATGGTCAAGTTGGAAACCCCGTTAAAAGTAAAGTCAATGATGAAGAGCTTGTACTTAGATCGCGGAGCTTTGAGGCTGTATTGAAGACAGAAAGAAGTGAGGATACAAATGAAATGTATAGAGATAGATTTTACAGGTTGGTGAGAATCTAGGTACGTATGAGTTAGTCTACATATGGTGACTCCCTCCCAAGAGATATCGTAACAGCGTCTATTCGGCACTGGCGGCGGCACCGGTAATAATCTCAACCAGTTCACCGGTAATGGCGGCTTGACGCTGACGGTTGTACAGAATCTGGAACCTGCAGGGTGTTAGAAGTCTGCTACATGCCGAAAAAATGCGTTGATACTTACTTGTCGATCATCTCACCAGCGTTCTTTGAGGCGTTCTGAAGAAAAAGGTTAGTCAGGTTCAAATTCCACTACATGCTCTCCGAAAATACTTGCCTCCATGGCATTGCGGCGGGCCTATTACTTGATTAGCTCTGTTCAAACCAAGTATATCACGCAAGATGAATAGCTTACCGAAATCTCACAGGCGTGGCCTTCAGCCATAGCCCAGAACAGGTTGTTGGCGAGAGCGTACTCGCGGAGGTTGGAGAGGGTCTCCTCATCGGCCTCATAGGCAGAGAAGTTGGCTGCAATAGCATCAGCATTGAATAGGTTTCGAAACGAAATCGCGTCACTAACGGGACTGGGTGATGGCCTCCTCGGAGTAGGCCTCGATGGTCTCGGGCTCGTAGCTCTGGGCGTTGACGAACTTGTTGTAGATAACCTTAACGCTGGCGTAGTCGGTGGGGAGCAGAGCAATCTGGTCGGCAACGGCCTGGGCATCAGCGAAAGTGGGGATGTCCTTGCAAACGTTGGCGAAGCTGAGGACGATGGCGCCGGGGTTGGTACGAGAGAGTTGGGCCTTGGCCTTCTCGCCGAGGATGACAAGATCGGCGCCAGGGTTGGCCTCAAGGGCACGACGAGTGGCCTTGCTGAGACCGGAGTGGATACCACCGCAAAGACCCTTGTCGGAGCTGGCAACGACGAGCAGGGTCTTCTTGTCCTCGAGAGCCTTGGTCTCGGCTTGTTCGAAGAGAGTGTTGGAAGTCTGACCGTAGGCACGGGAGTCCTCCATGGCCTTCTGAGCGCGGGTCAAACGCGTGGAGGCAATGACCTTCATCGTGTTGGTGATCTTCTTGATGTTCTTGATAGATTTGAGACGGCCTTCGATTTCACGCAGGGTCGCAAAGTTGGCGGCATTGGGAGGCGCAGTGCTTCAACAAAGTCAGCAGTCATCGCCAAGTTGCCCACATATCCGATGTCCATCCTCTCTAGTGCTTCAATGCCGAAAGTCGTAGAAGCTGTGGGCGGGCTGGTTACCGGAAGAGAACTTACCGGGTGACCGCAGCGGCACCAGCCCTGACGGCCGGACGAACAGCGCGGGTAAGCATATTGATATCGGACCGTGTGACTGAGAGAGATATATCTCCGGTGATAGAAGCGACGAGACGGGGAGGATGGGATCACCACGGGGTTCAATCGCCGGCGGAGGTGGTCAACAGTGGATGATGGGAAGTGGACGAATTCGACTCCTGTTTCTGTTCTTCCGACACCCGGAACGCTAGTCCTAACCGGGAAGCTACCACGGCAGCTCCTGGAGACCAGCAGCGCAATTCACGTGATTTCTCCCGGATTCCCGGCCAGTGGCACAGACTTTCGAGAAAAACCTGAGGAATGAGGCCGGCATTGTCCTGCAAGGCTCAAGCAGAGTGGCTGACGGTTCGGAGAAACATGGTGAAGGCCGGATCGCCTCAGAACGTCTAAGACAGCCTTGCTTTCCATTCCTTTCCTCTCTTCCTTTCTCCTCGACTCTTCACTTTGTCACTTGTGTGTGCTTTTTACACTTTGTTTTCCTCCCAACTCGGGCATGTCTCTCTCATTTTGACCCTTTCGCTGTCTTTTCCAATTCTCTTACTTCTATCTTCTCTCCCTTTTCATTGGTCAATCATCATTGACTTCATTCTTCGTCAAGTTATTCGAGCGCCAGCGTCGCTCTACAGACCAAGTCGCTACCTCGCCGCGCCCAGAACTCGTCCCCTCTCTACCCTTGCTTCTCGCAACAGTCCTGTACATCACCTTACCAAAACAATGAGCTCCTCGGAAGATGACACCCCACTTGTCAAAATGAACGGCAGATCTTCTGGTAAGTTACGGCTTGTTCTCGTACGCCGATGCGCATGGTACCCCATCTTGGCCTTCCCTTAAGGGATTTTATCACGTATCTTCACGGTTCTAATATGTATCTCATCCACACACAGGTCGTCAATCTAATGCGAAAGTGAACGGCGCAACTGACACCAATGGTCATGTCGAACCTGGCATCTCCATCAGATTTGGACCGGTGCAGAAAGATGGAGACGTTGAGATGAATGATTCGAACGATGTCGCCAGTGCTAGCAAGAGAAAGGCGCGAACCAGTGTTGGTCAAGCAAAGTCGTACGCGGAACCCGAAAGTAGCGAGGAGGACGAGCCTTTGGTACGCCCACCCGTGACCCCAAGCCCCTACGGCATTCTTGCCGTCGCTGTTTGTTTCGGCGGCTGACTCCCCGGCAGAGCAAGCGTCGACGCACTTCAGTGAAACACGAGGATCCAGAGACGGATGACGATGTACCACTCGCACTCAATGGAAAGAAACTTCCCAAGGCTTCCGAGACGGCCATTGGCGAGGAGTCCGACTCCGATGTTCCAATCGAGAGGAAATTGGCCGCCGAAAAGAAGAAGATTCAGGTCAAGGCAGAAAAAGACGCGGAACCTGCCCGAAAGTCTGCCAAGCCAGCATCTTCTGCTAAGAAGCAAGCGAATGGAGTGAAAAAGGAACCCACTTCCGCCAAACAGACCCTGAAGCAGGTCAAGGCCGAGCCAAAGTCAGCGCAGTCTACCGCGGCAAAGAAGAACGGGAAGGCTACGGCGGTGAAAAAGGAGGAAAGCGAAGAGGCCGAGGAGGCCGAGGAGGAGGAATACAGGTGGTGGGAGGACCCCACCAAGGGCGATGGAACAATCAAATGGACAACCCTCGAACACAACGGCGTTGTTTTTCCTCCGCCATACGAGCCACTCCCAAAAAACGTCAAGATGAAATATGACGGCATCCCCGTCGACCTTCATCCGGATGCAGAAGAAGTTGCCGGGTTCTTCGGTAGCATGTTAAATTCGACGCAACACGTGGAAAACCCCACGTTCCAGAAGAACTTTTTCGCGGACTTCAAAGATATTCTCAAGAAGACCGGCGGCGCAAAAGATCAGAAAGGGAACAAAGTCGATATCAAGGAATTCTCCAAGTGTGACTTCCAACCCATCTTCCAGTACTATGACACGCAACGTCAGGAGAAAAGGGCGCAACCACCGGCCGAGAAGAAACGTCTAAAGGCCGAAAAGGATGAACAGGAGGCCCCCTACATGTACTGCATGTGGGATGGTCGCAAGCAGAAAGTCGGCAATTTCCGAGTTGAACCCCCTTCGCTTTTCCGAGGCCGCGGTGAGCACCCCAAGACGGGTCACGTAAAATTGCGAGTGCAGCCCGAACAAATTACCATCAACATTGGCAAGGAAGCACGCGTTCCTCCTCCGCCAGAAGGCCACACATGGAAGGAGGTGAAGCATGACCAAGAAGGTACATGGCTTGCCATGTGGCAGGAAAACATCAATGGCAATTACAAATACGTCATGCTCGCCGCTAACTCCGATGTCAAGGGCCAAAGTGATTACAAGAAGTTCGAGAAGGCTCGTGAACTCAAGAAACACATCACTCGAATTCGCAAGGATTACCAGAAGAACCTGAAGCATGAGTTGATGGTAGAGCGACAAAAGGCAACTGCTGTTTACCTCATCGACCAGTTTGCTCTTCGTGCTGGTAACGAGAAGGGCGAAGATGAGGCCGAAACGGTTGGATGTTGCTCATTGAAATATGAAAATGTCACGCTCAAGCCTCCGAACAAGGTGATTTTCGATTTTCTTGGTAAAGACAGTATCCGATTCTACGACGAGGTCGAGGTGGATGCTCAGGTGTTCAAGAACCTGAAAATCTTCAAGAAGGCTCCCAAGAAGGAGGGCGACGAGATCTTTGATCGGCTGACGGTAAGTCTACCTTTTGGACAATCCACAGTCTAACAAGTTACTGATCTCCATAGACATCCGCCCTTAACAAACATCTCTCCCAGTACATGCAAGGTCTAACCGCGAAGGTTTTCCGTACCTACAATGCTTCTCACACAATGTCGGAACTGCTCAAGGAAATGCATGCTACCGGTACCAATGCAGAAAAGGTTAAGGCCTACAATGATGCGAATCGAAGGGTTGCTATTTTGTGTAACCACAAGCGCACAGTGGGGGCAGCGCACGCCAACCAAATGGAGAAGATGAGCGAACGAGTAAGTCCAGGCCCTTAATCGAATTTGAGGGCGCATATCGCTAACGGTCAACTCTTGTACAGATCAAGGGACAGCGGTATCAGAAATGGCGTCTTAAGCAGATGATGCTTGATCTGGATTCGTCCTTGAAGAAAAAGAAGGGTCCTCAATTTTTTGAATTGGACGAAGACATTGACAAGGAGTGGATTAAGGAACACCAGGCTTTCCTGATCGAAGAGCAGACGCAAAAGATCAAGAAGAAGTTTGAAAAGGATAACGAAAAGCTTGCAGCAGAGGGTGAGAAGGAGATGAAGGCGAGTGAACTCGAAACCCGCCTGGAGGCTGTCAAGGAATTGGAGAAGAAATACAACAAGGAGAACAAGACTGGCAAAGTGGAAGCTGAAGGCCGAGGCCCAACCGTGGAGAAGCTTGAAGCTTCCATCACCAAACTCCAGCAGCGCATCGAAAACATGGAGCTGCAGGCTCAAGACAAGGAAGACAATAAGGAAGTGGCTCTTGGTACCTCGAAGATTGTGAGTCTTTCCGTACACTTATTCTTTCTCGTCGACATCTAACGCTCAGTAGAACTACATTGATCCTCGACTCACGGTCGTCTTCAGCAAGAAGTTCGACGTACCGATAGAGAAGTTTTTCTCGAAGTCCCTGCGCGAGAAGTTCGAATGGGCTATCAAGTCCGTCGACGAGAACTGGGAGTTTTGATATGTACCACATTGGCTCCTTTTCTGGTTATAACTTTCTTCAGCCAGGTACAGCTCTTTTAACATCCTTTCGCATTTCTAAGCACCTGTGCTTTTGTCCTCTCCATCATCTCTCTTGATTCATTCCTACATGTAAAGCACAACGTCAGCGCACTGAACCCTCAAGGCTTCTCAGCCTCTACCTACAACTCGTGACGTGCGGGAGAGACTATTAGCGAAAGAAGACATGCGACAAACTATACTTACTATATTATACATTGGGTTTGATCATGATGCCCCTACGTAGCTAGTCTTAGAAGATCTCAATACATTTGGCTCATTACCAATTCCCTCGCCTCCCGAGTTCCAATCTCTGTTTATGCCTTCAACTCAATCATTGTCTCCGGTCTCCACGCACACGCCATCTTTTAATGTGTAGCACGCCCACAGTCCCGTCCCTATGTAAACCCCCCAGAAAGCGCGACATGAATATAAGGAGACGCTAAAGGTTAATCCTATTGGGATTATGGTATAGTATCCATGAATAGTAAGCTGGAAGACTCGAAAACCAGAATTTCGTCCAGGTATAATTCCACACTGCTCAACAGACCAACTCTAAACAGTGCATATGCTTGATATGGCATTGCCATGACTGACTCAAGGCCAGGATGAAACGCCCACGAAAAGGTACTCCGTAGCAAAAGGAGAATGGTATTGTATGGACAAAGAAAAAGAGAAGAAAATGCTTCAGGGGGGTGAGAGCACACAGACATGTAAATATAGCTGACAAGAAATTGGGATGGAACAGACCCTGTGTTCCAGCCCAGCTGGATAAGTCGAGACAGATGCACAAGCAAAAAAGAGAGAATATTATAAATTACAGACGAGCCGCCCGGGTGCGTGAATTTGGCCGTTCAGAAACGAGAGAAAGATGGCGAAGAAATGCGGTCTATATGTAGGTGAGTGCTTTTGATCGAGAGGATCCGAGGCCGAATTGATCTATGGTGTGGTGATGCAGATTCCGTAGTCATACGCGGTGTTTTTTTGGATACCACGGCTTTCGTTATCAAGGGTCATTAGCAGTTTCCATCGTTGCCTGCGCTGGGGGGCTCGACAGGTCGACATGGCGAAGGAGATACGTTAGAGCCTCGGTTTTTATGGCCACCAACCCATCCGCTTATAACTTTCAACTATATCGCGAACACTCTGGGCGTCGAAGTTCCTGGTCGGTTTCCAACCTGTGGTTGTCTCGAAGAGACTACCATCAAGCGACATGTCCTGGTCTTGGATAGCATCCCTTTCAATGAACGGGCTAATTGGGCCTGGGCGTTCAATACCCTTTTCTTCGACCAGGTCAGACCAGCCTTGTAAAGACTCTTCGTTTATGTCGTCAATAACATCGTCCAGGTTCAACTTAGCCAATTGGGACGCCAGGGAGCCGAGGAATGAGCATTTGATCCCAAAGACCTCAGTAAGAGCGTCAGCCACGTGTTGTTGGCGGGTATCGTTGTGATCGACAACGTTGAACAGCATTGGGGCGGAACCATCTGTAGGGGCACTGTATCTCCATTCTGCGGCTTTCCACAAGGCGCTAGCGGCGTCTTTGACATAGAGGGTGTTGGTCTTCAGGTCCTTGGAGTAAAGAAGCTCGAGATCCCGCTGCATATCCAGGTGAACTCGCGCAAGACAGATTCCCATCGCAAAGTATCCAGACTCATATTCGCCAAAGACGTTTGGCAGTCGCAGCACAACATGATGGAGGTTAGGTGTCTTCTTTAGCTCGTCGTTCGCCTTCAGCTTCCATTTGGCTAGTTTGTGCCACGCTTGGAGCTTGTCATCTTCTTTCCGCGGGGTCGAGCCACCTTTGTAGACATGGGCAGTGGAACATTCGACGAAGGACTTGATTCCTCGGCGAGCTACCTCGCGACCAAGAGACACGCTGAGGTTGTATACTCGAGCTTCGTAGACGTCGTCCGGCTGAGAGTATCGCGTCTCACCACCGCAGTTGATCACGTAGTCGAACTGTTCACCATTGGCGCGATCGAAGATGCGCGGGAAGTGCTCTAAGCGGAGAAGAACAATTATAAGCTGAGGCCCCTACCACAAATTCAACTCAAATAAAATAGGGCACTCACGTTCCCGGCTAGCGTCAGCTTGAACGAACTTGTCCTTCGAGCAAGCTTCTTCGAATTCGGGGGCTAGCCAGGCTAGCTGCGGCAGGACCTTGTCAACAAGTCGCACTTCCGAGGCTAGGTTGTTTTCGTGGATGTAAAGGGCGAGATGGCGACCAATGAATCCTGCATGACGACATATAGTTAGATATCTCGTCTCTTTCCCCATGTCCGAGGAGATATGTCAAATTTTGGTGTAGGTGCATACCCAAACCTCCGATGACAAGAACGGATGGCTTCTTGTCGGTCATGGCGAAAGAGGGGCGATAAAGTGTATAGATTCAGGAGGTCCGTTGTCTGTCGCAAGCGAAATATTGTCCAAACTACAGTCCAAGCAGACAGTCGCACCCCGCCTCAAGCACTGCCTGGTTAATATTGCGGGGATGAACGAAGGACGAGGTAAGACTCGGTGTGGTGGTCGTGATGGTGGGAGCGGTACGGGAGAGCCGACGATATGGACTCGATTTCCGGTTGCGGCCGGGTCCCGGGGAAGTGTATTTAAGGCGTATGCGCTTCAGGGAGATGCAAGAAGGTAAGAGCAAGGAGGAAAGAAGAGAAGGAGAAGCGAGAAGCGAAACAACCAAAATGGAGGGAGAGGAGAACCTTAAGTTTAAGGGGAGTAACCCGTTTGGGCGGAGGATGATTCGAATTTCAATAATCAGATTTCACAATTTGATTTGCACCCCGGGCGTTCGGAGGGAAGAACTGTGTCAATTTGACCTGTTCCTTCTCGAGAGCTAGGATGTTGACCCATGTCAGTAGTGTCAGTGGCCAGGAAAGCGACCCTGGCCGTATACTCCGCGGCGGACTTTCGTGAGCTGTTGATCCCTTTCTTCCTGCCAGCTACACTCTGACCACATCACGGGCCATCTTCACACACGGACTAATACATTTACGACGGCTATTTCCAGATTATACTTCAATAATATGACCGGTGTCAGTGCCTCTCATCGATCCTTCAAATCCAAGCCACAATTGCATTGCTGGGGAAGCGAGCGGAAAAAGCAAGTTCACCGCGAATACGGGATGACGCTCACGTCCAAGCCATCGCCGAGCGAACGCCGTTAGCGCTGCATCTAGAAATTTCGGCGGCATCGTGGGTTCAGGTCATGAGGACAGGTCAAACTGTTGTTCCCCTGCCAAGCGACGCGTTGTGGGACGTCTGCACTTAACGCTCCACCCAGGAAATTTGACTCGGAGTATCTCAAACTGCCCGGAGTCCCCGGACGTGCTTTGCTAGCGAGATTTTGGATGTTGAAGGCATTGAGTGCATGCAAAGCCCAAAGGCGCAGCGCGCTTGCGGCCTCGAAACCAGGACCATTTGCAATAATGTCCCAGGAAACGACATTTGAGATCGAGTATCTATCTGAAGCTACCACGGAGTGCTCCGTACTCCGTATGTACCAGAGAAACTACAACCTCGATCTCCACACAAGGTTTGATATCCGAGGAGTAGACTACACCATGGATATGGAGCATGATCCATGCGTTCGAACCTCGGTCACCGTTCGCCACTTGGACCACTGCGCACTGAGCAGTGCCTGGGCTTTGACTTTGCGCTTAAATCTAAAACTTTGACGAACCGTCTCACTTCCCGAAAACTGATGCGACAGCAGAATTAACCTTGCTTGAATCTGTGCCTTTTCCTTCCTGTCATCGTCGAGGCCGTTTTCCCGCATCACAGGCGGCAGAGCTGACTGGTGGAATAAACGAATGTTGCGCAAGGCAAAAGCTAGGATGCAAAGCGTTGGGGCCATGTGGATAAGGTGCCTCGACTGTGGCCAGACAGACGCAAGTCTGCAACGCGCTGCGCAGTTGGCGACGGGGATCGATCATGGGTCAATAATTACCGGTATGAAGTTATGAAGTAGCAACTGCCGGTTCCTGAAATGCCCGATGTCCTTGAGCCTGAAGGGATGAGTCTAAACAAACGAAGTCCAGGAGACAATCACGATAATGAGACACGCAGACTGCAGAATGCAGAGACATCGCATCCCTTACTTGAAGCATCTAAATAGTCAAACAGACCGCGATTCGGATAAATTGTCCCTTGCCCAACGTCGCCCCTTCTCCAAATTAAAACTCCCTTGACCCTGCATCGGCACAGCATCACTGCATCAGCGCCGCAGCGGAAGATTTCCCGCTTGATCATCTGCAGGGAATAGGCCAGGATCTGCGGTTCAGTGGGGATGTTTAATCTCAATCCACTCTATTATTTGCTTGCCAAGTTGCGATGCAACCCCTCGATGTCTCTTGGAGAACTTTCCAAATTGCCCCAGTTGCTGTCGCTTCCGATGTCCTGTTTCAGACGGGCTAGATGATGATCAAACTGCGATAATTAGTGACTTTTGGAACGCATTTGGAATTCTGGAAGCTGTTGCTGAAGACGATCCATTGACGTCAGTCGCAGCAAATCTCCGATCTATATGAGCTTCGCGTGCTTTGTTCCATGGTTCATGCCAGCCTAAGGCCCTAAACTAACGCTGGGCTGGAAATTGCGGAGAAGACCGAGTCGGAGCTCCTGACTCTCTCGATCGCTGTTTAAGGTCTGTGAAGCTAGGGAGGCTAGCTCGCTACAGAAGATTTTCAAAGTTGGAAGAGTCAATCGGGCCTAATAGCCCAACATTATCTCTTCTCGCTTACCAGAGCTGTACCTTCATAATGACCTCGACTCTGCCACGGTCGAAAGAGACAGAGGTGGGAGGGTTCAAGATCATGGACTGATCACAATTCAAAACAAAGAGTAGGTGGTATGCGACTGTTTTACCCATACGAGATACTCTAACCTTGGTCTTCTGTATAAACAACGCCTGCTACGGAGAGTCCAACTTCAAATCAGAGATGTAATATTGAGAACTTCGCGCAAAATACCTCACTATCTGTTCAAGAAGCTGTCAATAGATCTCCAATTACCAAGTCAGCCTGGTTAGCAGCCCTGCTATATTCAATCCATACATCATCATTCGTGTCCAAAGTATGCCCTTATGTCCTTCAACCTTACTGCTCCAGGTGAAGGACAACACGAATCTCGAATGTCTCAATGAGCTGGTGACCGAAATCCTTCGCAAGCCAGGCCTTATGGATCAACTGCATCACAATTCCCCAGTCGCTGTCATTCTCCCACCGCACAAGAATCTCCTTGCCAGACCACTCGAGCTTAACGGAAGCCATAGAGATGACCTGCTGAGCGGCAGCAACATGGTCATCAAAGTTAACCGCAGCCTCTCCCTCTACCTCCATCTGGGCATTGGGAGTCCACCACTTTTTCTCGAGGCCGCGAGCACGACCCATCTCGAGCAGGAAGGACGAGGCAGACTTGTAGTTGACGAATTTGGTCCACGCGGGAGCGGCTTTGGAAGTGTCGGTTGTCACAAGGAAGAAAGTGTCACGGCGCCACTTGGATCGGAGGGCTTTCTCTAAATGTGTGTTAACAAGACTAAGACTGGTCATGCTCGAGATCGCGGGGGTGGCGTGAGTGTCTGTATGGGTTGAGTAGGGCGAAAGCGAAGTCGTCTCCGAAGTCAAGGAGCTTTCGTCTGATGTGGGAAGTGTGCGGATGGGGAATATGGCGGTTCGGCGCTTCTTGATCGGGCGAGGTGCAAAATTGTCTTCATCCTCTTCGTCGTCTTCTTCCTCGTCGTCGTCTTCCTCATGGTGTTCGGTGGGAGTAAATTCCTCAAGTTCCTCGGGGGCTTCAGTCACGGGTGCAGTTTCAATTAGATGCGCTGTCTGTGCTGGTATGCGTGCGAGAGCAGTAACTGTGGCTTGGGAGGATTGGGGCTCATCCTTCACAAGGCTATCAGCCTTCTTCTTGAAAAGGAGGACTAGGGCCTGGCTAATTCTAAGCCAAACCGTCAGCCCAAATCCAGCACCTTACGGTAAAATAAGGAATGGGAGGCTTGGATGAAACTTACTCATGAGCATCCTCAGGATAGCGAACATCATCACCGCGAGCAATCGAGTCTGACATAATATACTTTTCGCGATTCTGGATACCCCAGTACTCTTCTCCGTAATGGTCCAAGAACTGATCAACACAAATTTTTGTGGTAGTCGGCGACTCTCGAAGCTCTCTCCATGTATGGAATGTCTCAACGTGCTCTCTGATTCTCTTCAAGAAAGCCGAGTGGTATTGGTATTTGATGTCGAGAAGGTTGGTGAAATCCCGATCCCGTCTGCAGGAAGAAAGGTCCTCCATATTTAAGCCTGGCTCTCTGGTCAAGATATCAGTGCTCATTGCCAGGCTAGCCCTGGTTAATCTGGCCATTGTGACAAGGTAGATGAAGGTGGAGAGGTTCCAAGTGATGAGGGTTGACACTCATTGGGTGGTATAGGGAAACAAAGCAGAAGTGGAGTATAAGAGATGTAGGCAAGTGTGCAAAAGTAAATGGCGACAGTAGTGTTGCTATTAGAAGTGGTGAATAGCTTGTTGAGATGGGTGTGTGCAGGCTGAGAGGATCTGTTGCAGGCTCTCATTCATCAAAAAAGCTCTGGAGAGTGTGGCCTTTTAATTTTTAAAAGAAGCTAATAACCCCCAGAGTTGCCTGCTTCACTTCTCTGTCTAAAGTTTTTGCTGGGTAAGGTCCACTGGGCTTGAAATCATCAGAGCACGCTGAGAGAGCGACGGTTAGGAAAGTCGATTCCTACGAGGCCTCCAGAAAGAGCTTGCTTGTAGAGGACGAATGCTGTAATTTCCGCAGTCGAAGTAGGTGACTGTGATGCTTTTTGTGCGGAGATGAGCCCGAAGGTATTTGTTGCTCTTTTTACAGAAAATCCTCTAAATGACTCGCGCCGGTCTAGAAGGCTGTCACTGTATCATGATAGTCTTTATGTCGAATGGAGATAATTTAGGATACATACACTGGCCGCCGTCGCCTGAACGAATACCACCGATGCAAATACTTTGCATCCAATGCTGTTCTTCTGATCCATTCCAGCTTGATCCCTCGCAGGATTTTGTCACTCCGCACCAAGGTACTTGAGAGAGTTCCGCAGTTCCTTAATGGCTGTGTTGACATCGTCAAATGTGAGGGCAGAAACAGCCCATCGCGCATGCTTCTGAGCCAGAGAAATCGATTGGTCATCAACGTTGTGCGAGTCGGCTTGTGTGGGGGGAGCGGGGGGTGCAACGGACGCTGACGCTACAGGTAAAGGCTGATATGTTGGAATTGCCGCTTGACTGGGCGCGGCGGGACGCACAGGTCGCGAAGATTCAGCGGCGCTAGGAGCGTTATAGAAGGAGTTTACGTCGTGTGAGGCAGTTGGTGGGCTCGTGGGGGGTATCGCAGATGGTGGAGGAAACGAATGGAATTCATTAGAGGGCTTGGGGCGGTGATATCCTCCAATGTTGGTGGGCGTATCAGGAAGATTCGGCGCCGCTGAAGAAGTGAAGGTATTGGGTGTTGACGGAAGGTTAAGGGATGATTCTTGAGCTGGATCCATGTCTAAACCCCGGCTAGAGCCTGATGCAGGACCCTGAGGGGTGGAGGGTAGCTCAGTAAAGGTTGTTGGCGGCTGTGGTAAGATAGGCGAGGGGCCAGACGATTGCCCGTATTGCGATTCGTCTGGGTCGTCTTCAACCTTCGGTTGCAACGCTGCTTGCGACGAAGACGCAGCAGCGGCCGCATCAAGTTCGGTTGGCTCTTCCGCTGGTAGCTCCGCCGCTGGCTCCTCAATCTTCGGGTTCGTTACGTTCGGGTCCTCTCCAGCCTTTATCGCTTTCACGATCCTCAAAGCATGGTACTTCGCGAATTTCACCTTCGCAGCGACCTCCCCTTCAAGAGGGTTCCAGATCTGGCATAGCTCGAGGAACGTCGCAGCTGCCTGAAAGGTATCTGCTGTTTGTCTGCCTCACGTCAACTCCACGTCCAACTTCAATATAGAAGCGCACGAACTTGGTCACTTTGTCGGCCCGCATGGCGGCTTCTGCACGACCAAAGACTTCAAGGCCAAACTCCTCCACATAGGCACTGGCTGCCATCGAATCCGTAATAGCATCATTGTCGCGATTCCCAGTTTGAAACTTCAGCGCAGTTAACCGGTCAGCACCCTGCCTCCGAGCCACGCGGGATGTTAGTGATTGTTGTCCGCTAACGTACTTGTTCCAGCTTCTCCATCAAGTCCGTCGTGTACAGTTTCACTTCTTCGTCCGTTGTATGGAGGCCTTTCTCGATAATTTGGTTGACAATGTAGAAGTTACCTATCGCACATTGCAGTTACGTTAGTCAGGCCTGTCAAGAGCAGATCACATCGACTAACACCAGTAGGCAATGATAGGCTTCGCGTTTTCGAGCTGAGCTGCCCGCACGGCAAACCGCCCAATGTCCGCAGACTTCAGGGCGGCGGGAATACTGCTCGCCATGACTATGGCCTTGCAAAGACGCTTCAGCCGGATGAGGAGCAATTGATGGGGAAGGGACGCGATGTCGGGTGGAGATGACGTTGAAACTTGGGAGGTTCCTGCGGGACGGAGCTAATTTGCGGCTGCCTCCCCGCACTTCCTACTGCGGACTACCGAATGTAGGGCAGTATACCGTGCTCCAGAGCTAACTGTGCTACGCAACAAACGGTTAATTTGCACCTTGGTATCTGCAAGTCCTGGGAAAAAATCCATCCAGGGCGATAATATTGTACACACATAAGAAGCGTCAACAATCATGCATCTTCAACTATCCATTCCCCGATTTCCACTTTCTCTTCGCCCAGGGCTTCCACCTCAAAGTGATCTTCCACTTGGCCGCCAGGCCCTCCAATCCTTTCGAGCACAATCCACACTCCGCCCCTTCCTTCCATGCCAGGCTGAAGATCAAAATCTCCCACGCGTACCCCGGATATTGAGTCGCTATGCTCCCCATCTTCTGATGTGGCCAGAATCTCTTTGTACGGCCCCTGGCCGAGCTCCACGCTCATCAAAACGGGCGAGGGGCCAACAGGTCGATTACCAATCCTGGACTCTCGGCTCCTCGCAATAAGCTTGACTCGCGTCAATCGAGAGGTTTGCAAATGTGCGAGCATCCTGTCCTGGCCAGGGAGTAAGATTCCAATATCGGACAATACTGTCCGCCGCCCAGCCGCTTCTGAAGGGAGCTGCATCACCTCACAAGGGATGTTGGTCGAAACCCAGAGAGTGAAAGGTCCAAGTTGGTCAGGAGCAAATGTGGAAACAACAATGGTATACTTTCCCACGTCCATGTCCTTTTTTTCAGCTAGAGAGCCTCCGCGGCGATAATCGCCGCTATCTGCGACGATGTCGCGTTTACGGACCCTGGCTATGCGTTTCCCATCCGACCAGAACAGCTTGACATGTGTGGCGAGCTCAGGGTCCGATGGCTCGAGGACAATTGAGATATCGGTTGGGTCAATGAGCGATATATTAAATTGCGGATTTAGCGAGTAACGTGCCGATTCTGCATTGCCCCCAGCTGTAGTCGGTGTCCAGGAACCTTGGATTTTGGTTACACATTTATAGTTGTTTGGTGCAGGTGAAATCTTCATAGGCGATTTAGAAAATGCAGAAAGTGTAAAGTTCTGACTGATGGCAGGTAAGGACTCCTCGGACACAACAACGGTGTAAGGCGTTTTGGGGGGTATATTCAGTCTCATGAGAGTGTTTGGAGAGTCAACATAAGGCCCTCGGTGAAGCGCGCCGTCACTCAGTGATACTCTCTTCCCTCCTTTGAACACATATATGCTGATAAATCCGAATCCATGGTCCTCCTCTGAGGTGCGGGATTCGACCGTCCTGAAATGTCTTCCCAGCAACAGCCAAACTTCTCCGCCGCGCTCAGCAGAGACGGAAAACTGTGGATTCTTCACAAAGCACCCTGCCATTCCCTTACCAGTTGATAGATCCCATGTGAAATGGACGTCCTCCTGATAGGTGAACCGCCCGGGATTCCAGTTCAGATAGAGATTCTCGAAGTTTTGGAGGACCTTTCCGCAGTCCATCCAAAAAGTGCCAGGGGAGAGCAAAGGGGAATTGGGAAATGGCTCAGGGTCGGCGAAAAGCGCTGGGTACACAGTATCAGTCCCAGCCCAAGGGTTTTTGATGAGGATTTGACGGCGTCCTCTGAACTCCTTCATGTCCAATATAGCATAGTCGTGCTCACTAACAAGACCCAGCTCCTTCTGTCCCTTCTCCGTAAGCTTCCCAGTCCCAATAGTTAATAGGACGTCTCCACTGTGGAACGACTTGACCAGCCTCGACCAAATCTGGTCAGCAGTCACATCATCATTATGGAGAAAGACTTGCTCGGGTATCCAGCCCGTCAGCACCCACAAGTCCGTCCCAGAATTACTTCCAGGAAATTCATAACCTCCGCGGAGTTTCAAGTATGCCTTCTCTACAAGAGCGGGCCATAGAAAGTTATCATGATTTCGATCGATCATGTACAAGGATCGTGAGGTTTTTGATGATGGAAGGCGATCATCAACGATCACCTTGCGGAAGCACCCATTGAAGTAGAAGCGGAATATGTACTTGCCGGACGGGGAAATGCCAGGCTTCATTGATTCGTACTGGCAGGGATATACAATCGGAAGAAGGTACTGTATCCGTCAGTCATCCGTGATGCTTGTAAAACACAGCGCCGTCTCACATCACCAAGGCCCCGCTCCGACCTCGAAGTTGTCGCGCAAAGGCTAGCGACAACGGAGCAATCCGTCAATACGTCCTGCACTAGGTCTGTATTCCCGGAGACGGACATCACGGGAGTGAGTCGTGTTCCCTCGTCATCCAGCTGCCCGGAGAGCAGCTCATGCGGTCGTTTCCAGCCAGCAAATATACCTCTCTGCAAGCTGGACAAGTGGAGGTCTGGCTTATCCCTGCTGTGCTGTTAGAATGCGCATGGATGATTCAAGTTCAAGCTCAGCGCCTTTAGGGACAATTGCTTGAACGTACGTAAATAACTCATCTCCGTCAGTACCGATATTGAATTCTTCGTTACTCGGTTCCTTTGCCCATGGCGGAAATTTGAAACCATTCAGTTTCGAAGCCTCTAGAAGGAGTATCTCTTCGCGATTTGTGAGTTTGCGCGTTGACGCTGGAGTCCAAAGTCCAGAGCGTCGAGTGCGTGCAGCGGCACGCCAGTCTTCAGCCCCTTTGATCTGTTCTGCTCTTGTAAGCCACTCTTTGAATTTCGCGTCCAATAGAGTTTTGTCTGTTGAAGAGGTTGTTACGGCCAGGGCGCTCATATAGTGTTCCGCAACATCTATGGCAGCGTCCAAAGCCTGCTGCTGAGACGATGCGACGGAAACATCCTGTTCAGCTTTCTGACGCGGAGTTAGTTGGCCATCGACGCGATTGTGTAAAGATAATCACCTGTGCTCGGGATAGCAACGACTTCAGTGAGGGTGCACTAGATGATCTGGACATCCTGGTCCCAAAGCGGAATAGTGGTTTGAACAACCAGGGTCTTCGCTCTTCAGCAGCGCCCGCGCTCCCCAGATCCAGTCATGCAGATACACCGTGCTCCTATCAGAGAGCTGGGTGCGCAATCCTGCCTGTGCTCTTTCCGGAAGCCTCCGCTGATCAACCACAGCTTCACATCCGAGGTCAGGATGAGGTCAGTAACGACCGTTTCCCCGGATCCACAGAGGGTCGCGGAGTTGGAATGAACAAGAATCCGGCTAGTGGACAGTAATTGTACAAGAATATAGAGCTTATAAGGGGTATCGGCAAGCAATGGATGGATAGAATGCCATTAACCAAAGCTAGTACGGGATAAATAGCGGGTGTTGGTCAATGCTGGTGGTGTTGCTCGGCGGGGACGGGACGCAGAGAGTCGAAGCAAGCCGATAAGCTCGAATCTTGCAGCCAAAAATTGTCGCCAACTCTTAACGATCATCTGGACCTCGGCTCGTTTCGTCATGCGCGCCGAGGTGAATCTCCGGCTCTCTGCCGTTTTTCAATTTTTGGCTCTAACTCTCTATCCCTCTCTAGTATTGAGTCTGTTGGTTGTCCCCGGCTTCTTTCACTGTTGCTCTTCATATTCCTCTTGAGTGGTGATTTCTCTCTTGTCTGGGTTCTTGGAATTCCTTGCACCTCGACATCGAAGTAATTCCTCTCCGTCTTCGGCCCTCAATCAAAGCGGAGTACAGAGCCAGACCGAGATCGCAGTAGACGGACGCCCGCGGACTTTGGTCGTACTTGTCTGCTATTCTAATACCGTCTATTCCTGTTCGATAACTGAAATCAGAGAAGTCCAGGGAAATGGCTGGTCAATCAAAGCCTGCCCTATCTCCGTGGGGCAGCGCCGTTGCGGGTGCCACTGGAGCGGTTCTGGCTAATGCAATGGTCTACCCACTTGATTTGTATGAAACCTCTTCTTTGGATTTTCAAAAGAAACCAATACTAACCACTGCGGGGAACCTTAGGGTCAAGACGAAGCTCCAAGTTCAGGTGAAGAAGGCCGGCGAAACAGAAGAGAAGGGCTCGGACGATGTACACTACAAATCAACTTGGGATGCGATCGCGAAGATTATGGACAAAGAGGGTATTGAGGGACTATATTCGGGCATGACTGGCTCCCTTATTGGCGTCGCCTCGACCAACTTCGCCTATTTCTACTGGTACAGCGTCGTGAGGACGCTCTATATGGCATCGGAACGTGTGCCCAAGCCGCCAGGGACAGCAATCGAGCTCAGCCTTGGTGCAGTTGCCGGTGCCGTTGCTCAGATCTTCACCATTCCCGTTGCCGTCATCACTACGCGCCAGCAGACACAACCGAAGGGTGATAAGAAGGGCTTGATTGAGACCGGGAAGGAGGTGGTCAATAGCGAGGATGGATGGTCCGGTCTATGGAGGGGCCTTAAAGCAAGCCTGATCCTCGTCGTGAATCCTGCGATTACATATGGTGCCTATCAGCGTCTGAAGGACATCATCTTCCCCGGGAAGAAGAGCCTCAGGCCATGGGAAGCATTCCGTAAGTGACATGGCAACGGCGTTCCGTAAGTACGTGGAAATACTGATCTCGGTCCTAGTCCTCGGTGCTCTTTCCAAGGCCATGGCCACTATTGCAACCCAGCCGTTGATTGTTGCCAAGGTTGGCCTTCAGTCGCGCCCTCCTCCTGCCCGCAATGGAAAACCATTCAAAACCTTCAGCGAGGTTATGCGTTTTATTGTGCAGAATGAGGGACCTCTGTCCCTGTTCAAGGGTATTGGGCCGCAAATTTTAAAAGGCCTCTTGGTCCAAGGTCTCCTGATGATGACGAAAGAAAGGTATGCTCTGGTTCCACACCACTGTCCCAGTATATGCTGACGGCCTCAGGATGGAACTTCTCTTCATTGTTCTATTCGCATACCTCAAGAACCTCAGAGAGAAGAAGCTTCGCAAGGCCGTTGATGCAGCGGCTTCCAAGGCTCAAGCCAGCCTTCCAGCGACTCTGAAATAGGCACGAGTCCGCGCGCTCTTTTCACCTTTATCACTGTCGATTTTTTTTTTTATCTTATGGCGCTTGGGTGTAGATCTCTTTATTTATGTTTGATAACCCGAGGGCACGTTTCTCAACAGACATTTTGTATATATTCGCAATGTATAGAAATCAATATCCCTCAGGTCTTCCGCACGTAAGTTTACATGTGGCCCGTCTAGCCATGGATATAGAAAATCTGCGGAGTTGAGAACCACATTGTTGAACCTAAAACTATATATTTTGACCGCCCTGCACCCGGACAACCGGCATAGCAACCTTGGTAACATCCGGCTTTACTCCGACCGACTCAACTTTCTTAGTCTCCTCTTATTCCCCAACAACTCTGGACAGAGTTAAGAGCATGAGCCGTCATGCGATGGCCGCCATGGTCTTCCAAAGCGCAGGACCCCGCCGATACCGATGACAAACAATCCCTATTCCCGTTCATAACAAACAAATCCGACAATAACCCAGACAACAAAGCCCTACTCGACTGGGCCGCCTTTACGGAACCGCGAACCCTCATCCCAACCCTCATCCTCACTACTGCAATTCTCAGCGCCGCGAGTTTCCACCGCTCGTACCTCCGTCGATTCCCCGACGCCCCGAGTATTGATGCAGCGTATTTCCGCCGCCGGAGTATACTTGGGAGGGTAACGAGCGTTGGCGATGGGGATAACTTTAGGATTTTCCATACGCCTGGTGGACGGCTAGCTGGATGGGGATGGTTACCCTGGAAAAGGATTCCGAAGGAGAAGAAGGAGTTGAAGGATAATACGGTGCGTTTGGACATGCGATCACTTTTAAATTTCCTTGCTCGAGTCTTGGTTGTCGAGACTGCGCGGGTGGCCGAGAAATTTCACCGCATTGCTGACATTCTAGCTACATAGGTTCACGTTCGCCTAGCAGGCATTGACGCCCCCGAACTGGCGCACTTCGGCCGCCCTGAACAACCGCACGCGCGCGAAGCGCACGAATGGCTAACATCGTATCTGCTCAATCGCCGCGTGCGCGCATACCTGCACCGACCAGATCAGTACCAGCGCGTCGTCGCTACAGTCTACGTGCGCCACTTTCTTGACTTCCCAATCCCTTTCCGCCGGCGGGATGTATCATATGAGATGCTGAGACGGGGGTTGGCGACAGTGTATGAGGCCAAGTCGGGCTCTGAGTTTGGAGGTGAGGCTACGGAAGTCAAGTACCGGAACGCCGAGTGGTGGGCAAAGTTGAAAGGGAATGGGATGTGGAAGGGGTACCGCCGGAACAAGGAGTTTGAGAGTCCGAGGGATTATAAGACGAGGGTGGGCTTGGAGGACCAGGCGAACGGGAATGGCAATGGAAAGAACGGGAATGGTAAGAATAAGAAGTGACTGGGCTGGGGCATATTCTTAATGTAACTGCTTTTATCTGTTCATATTGTTGATCATGATGTTTTAGTGATACCTAGCTGACGCTCGAACATTTGTTCGGAAAACGAGCGCAAGTGCTACATGCGACGGAAATGAGATAATGACATAGAGGGCTCAATCATGAAAAGGCATTAATTCCACAATCAAACAGCGGGGTATATATGCCCATAAAGGGACCGCTAGCTTTGGCGAAAATCGGCACAGTGGTATATAGTACAAGTACAGGAATGCATACACCATCTCCAGGGTTGACTGCATATAACCAACAGATACCTTTTCAATAGCCACTCTGTACGGCCATGGTCCTTGGTGGAAGCACCAAAACAGGCGGGTCTTGGTTATATGCAGGCCAGAAGGGGTATATAATGAGTTAGGCCACACCCAGCCTAGCAGAATTTCCGCTCAAACTCCGCAAGAAGCTTCGGAGTAATCTCGTCACTCGAGTCACCTTCCACCCGCCATAGACAGCCCATCCGCTGATAATGCTGAAGCAGAGCTTTGCTCGTTTCTTCGAACTTGTGGAGTCGTTGTTTCCATGTGTCTATTGAATCATCTTCTCTCTGAGTCAAAGGTTCCCCTGTCACATCATCCTTGCCAGGAACCTTTGGAGCATTGAATTCGGTATTGTACACCCTCCCTGATGGCTCGTGGACCCAGCGCGACGCTATTCGAGAAAGGATTATAGAGGGCGGAGTGACCAGGTGGACGACGAAGTTGATAGGGACAAGGGAATCCAAGCTCGTGGCTTGGGACGCGGTTCGTGGAAAGCCGTCTAGGATGAAGGAAGCTGCAGGAGATACAGACGTGGTCCGGCTTTGAGTTTGTGAGAGCCAGCCTCTGGAGTTGAATTCGGAGGAAATGAGATTGAGGATCATAGAGTCGGGGACGAGGTTGCCTGCTTGGATTGTGGCTTCAGCCTCCAAACCTGTCGAGTAACATTAGCGGCAGCTTGTGAGAGACTCAGGAGTCCACATACCCAGTGTAGTCTTCTTTCGTACATTCTCCCGCAAGAGGTCGCCTGAGCTTATTGACGCTAATTCAGGGAATTTTGAAAGGAGTCTTTCGGTTTGCGTTCCCTTCCCCACACCCGGAGCACCGATGAGGATGATCCGTGCGGCTTTCTTGAGCTGTCTGGCTCTGGGACTCATTGCGCTGAGTACTCCACACCGTGTCGTTTGTATTTTGGTTGGGTCGAGGTCAAAAGCTCGGGGCTTAGCGGTATTTATCAGACTCGAATGCTTCGGAGCACACGAGATGGGTTCTCAAAACGATCAATCTATAAGATACCCATCTTGGCTAATTTCGGATGGATGCTAGGAGAGATGTGTCAACCGTGGCACTGTTTAACTTGCGAAACAGTTGGTATAGTGGAGGAGGTCCTGCTCAGCGCCGAGGTGATGCTATCCCATTAACCCGGGGAAAGCAGTTGAAATCCGCGGGGATTATGTGTACCTGCTCCCTCTTAGGAAACCGGTGAGTAAATCAGGTTCCTGCAAGGGCTTTCGGGGCCTTCTCCGAAACTCCGCCCCAACCGCGGAGTATACACCAACCGGCTGCCAGAAAATGTGCTATTTCAATGTCAGGGGGATAGGCATGGAGTAACACGAGAACGGGAATGCTGAGGTCTCTGATACAATACTTACGTTCGAATTGAAGCCCTGTCACATGCACTGGCGGGCAAAGCCAATGCGCCCGTTTGGTGCCTGGAAACAATGGCAATCAAATGTCCCTCGGCTCAAGTCAAAGAACCGACCCCACGTGACCCTAATCTGGCGCGTGCCCGTCGCGTCCGGTCGCGTCGTCCAGTGGCGGTCATTTTGATAGAGGTCTCGACTTCTCGACTTCTCGATGCACGAACTTGGGACTTGACGGTTGATCTCTTTTCGACACGCGAGATTTAAGATGATTCGCCAGGAGTTCAATAGAGTTGATCCCAAGCGAAGGGCCAATCTCAACTACAAAAAGACGCAATTCGCGACGCCGACTTTCAAGCAGCAGGACTATCCCCACCGTTTGAACTTCTACGACACACCACCGACTGCAGAGATCACGCTCGAGCAATTCGAGCAATGGGCCATCGACAGGTTGAAGAGTACGGACCCTATCCGACCATGCCTTATGTGACTCGACATTGACTGTAATAGTTCTCGCCGAAATCGAGGCATGCTCCTATCGCAACAAGACCGCTGCTGAGACGACGGCGCACATCACCCCTCTTCTCCAGAAATTCCTTCCCCTTTCCGCCAATACATCATCTCGAACCGGCGCCACGGATCCCAGACTCAAGAATGAAAGACAGAAAGACCATTACTCGCATTTCATTCTCCGCCTGGCCTTCTCGGCTACTGAAGACCTTCGTCGGCGATTCGCACGAGCAGAGACAATGCTCTTTAGGTTCCGCTTCCAAGCAGACGACACCCGTGAACGGCGTGCGTTTATCGATAGTCTGAACCTCGACTGGGAATCCGTGAGCGATGACGAGAGGCGGGAGCTATCTGAACATCTGGTCGCCGCGACACCAGGTTTGCGTCGCTCTGACGAGGAAACGTGGTACAAAGTGGACTGGGAGAAGGTGCCGGAGCTGGTTGAGAGACGGTCTGTTTTCCTGTCCAAAGGAAAGGCATATGTGCCGGAAAGAGAGCAGCTCAGCATGATCATTGCTGAATTCACCGCACGCCTTGAGCGTGCCCTGGAGGTATGTAAAAACCGCTCTGTAGCTGAGTACGGGTCTTGAACTGACTATTACCAGCTCACAAGTAGAGCTTTGCCGCGACTAGATGAGGACGATCGCCTCTCTCCCATTCTTAACCACCTTTCAAAGAATTTCGGAAGTGCCGAGTCCGTGTATACGGAAGGCGAAGGATTCGTGGACGGCGCTCCCATCACCGCCGCCAGCATCGATCACCTTTCCCAACATTTCCCGCTCTGCATGCGCAGCCTACACATGTCACTACGGAAGAATAATCATCTGAAACATTATGGTCGACTCCAGTACACTCTATTCCTCAAGGGAATCGGTTTATCCCTCGAAGAATGTATCTTGTTCTGGCGGCAGTCATTCAAGGGCTTCACTGACGACGAATTCAACTCCCGCTACAAGTACAATGTCCGCCACGCCTACGGAGATGTTGGTGGTGATGTCAACCGAAGGGGTCGCGGTTACCCACCGTACTCGTGTCAGAAGATTCTCAGTGACTCGAATCCCGGGGTTGGACAGACGCATGGTTGTCCGTATCGCCACTTTTCTGTCGATAACCTCATCGGACTCCTTCAGTCCACTGGCGTCCATGACAAGGACTTGCTGCGCGGAGTACGCGAGGATGTTGAAAAGACTCGGTATCACATTGCCTGCAATCGGGTTTTCGAGTTCACTCACAAAGCTGAGATTAAGAAAGCCAAAGAAGACGGCTCGGCGAGCGAGATCGACCTCGACACCATTGTCCATCCGAATACCTATTTCAAGCGCAGTTATCTCTTGAAGCAGGTTGGAAAGGCACAGAAAAATTCATGAGGGTTGCCCCGAGCCCACCACGAAGATATGTTTACGTTCTTTTATTGTGTTTGCGTTCGCTTGCTCTCCCGCAAGGTATATGGCGTTTGGGATGGAGTATGGTTTTCAGGAACATTCGTCTGGACATATTACGGTTGCCATAAGTATCAACACAGTGTAACAGCAATCATTATTCTCAAATCTCAAGTGATTCAAAGCTATCATAATTCGACTAAATATAGAGTGTCATAGGAAGGGATTGTGACCACAGCTGATTCCCAGTTTATCCAAAAGGATCGGAACGACCTTTCAAAGCCAGGTGCCCAGCAACGGGCCAAAATCTTTCTTCGCTCGACAGAAAAACAACTCCGTCACTGATTTGTCTCGAAGCTGAGTGTTGAGTCGGCGTGATTTTGAAGAAATTTTAGTAAAAAAGAAAGAAAAAGGAAAAAAGCTCGGGCTGAGTGGGAATTTATAGGCCACTAGCGCGGGTCTGCTACGGTAACCTGAGCGGACCCATCCCGTCGTGCTGCAACCTGGCCTCAAACAGACTCATGGTTCACACAACACTCCCCGCATTACTAGCCTTTGGACGACTTCAGCTGTCGGCGTCCTTGTTTGAATAAAGACTGTGCTTGGAGTGGTCTTCCAGAGCTTATAATCTGTGTGATAAGGGATAATTGCTCCCGATTTTGACCACGTCCCTTTAGTCTTCGCTATATACCCACCTGTTCCCCAATTACCCCAGCAAGATGGACTACGAGGGCTTGAAGGACCAATGGAGCGATGTCGAGGATCGCGATGGAATCAGGCTGAGCTGGAACACATTTCCAAGCTCCCGAATGGTAAGCCCTGTGCGAGATGTGTCTGTCCCTGTGCCGGTATTGAGCTGTCAACAGGAAGCGTCCCGACTCGTCGTCCCTATCGGTGCCGTCTACACCCCTTTAAAGGAGAGACCAGATGCCCCCCTCCTGCAATATGAGCCAGTGACTTGCAAGGCGCCCTGTCGGGCGGTTCTGAACCCTTATGCGTATGAAGACTGTTCAACTTGCATTGGCTCCTGTGACTAACATGGCTCTAGGAACGTCGACGTGCGCGCCCGCATCTGGATATGCCCTTTCTGTCTCATGAGAAACCCACTTCCGCCACACTACAAGGATATCACAGAGAGTACGATACCTCCGGAGCTTCATCCCCTGAGCACAACAATTGAATATCAACTCGCTCGTCCCGCTCCCGCTCCTCCGATCTTCGTGTTCGTCGTCGACACCTGCCAGGAAGATGATAGCCTGAAGGCTGTGAAGGACTCATTGATCTTGAGCTTGTCTCTGCTACCACCGAATGCCCTTGTCGGCTTGGTCACATTTGGCACCATGGTAGGATCCTATTGTCCTGAGTAAACTCTCCCGCATGCTGCTGACACATTTGATAGGCACAAGTGCACGAACTTGGGTACACTGAATGTGCCAAATCATATGTTTTCCGCGGTAGCAAGGACTACAACGCAAAGCAAGTCCAGGAAATGCTCGGCCTCAGTTCTGGAATCCGCCCTAATATGCCAAATATGCCACAGCAGCCCGTCCGCCCGCCACTTGGCGCTGCCGCACGATTCCTGTTACCCGTACAGCAAGCCGAGTTCCAGATCACGAATATGCTTGAGCAGCTGCAGCGCGATCCCTGGCCTGTGGCGAACGACAAGCGTCCCTTGAGGTGCACCGGTGTGGCTCTCAGCGTTGCCGTTGGGTTGCTTGAATCCTCCTTCCAGAATGCCGGAGCGCGTATCATGATGTTCACAAGCGGCCCTGCTACTGAGGGTCCTGGTCTTGTTGTGAGCCCTGAATTGAAGGAACCCATCCGCTCACACCACGACATTGACCGCGACAACATCAAATACTACAAGAAGGCAATGAAGGTGGGCTTCACATCGCCGGCTCCAAATGTGCATTCACGCTAATCGTATAGTTCTATGATGCCCTGGCCAAGCGCGTTGCGAACAATGGCCACGTGGTCGATGTTTTCGCCGGCTGCCTCGACCAAGTTGGTCTTTTGGAAATGAAGAACCTCGCTAATTACACTGGAGGTCATATGCTCCTCACTGATAGTTTCACCTCATCACAGTTCAAGCAATCCTTTGTCCGAGTGTTCGACAAGGATGCCAACGACAACCTCCTGATGGGCTTTAATGCGTCTCTTGAAGTTCTCACTACCAAGGAGCTCAAAGTTACTGGTCTTATTGGCCATGCTGTCTCTTTGAACAAGAAATCCAGCTCTGTGGGTGAGACAGAATGCGGTATTGGCAACACCTGCGCCTGGAAGATGTGCGGTATCGATCCATCTTCAAGCTATGGTATTTACTTCGAAATCGCAAACCAGGGTGGGCCGGCAGCCGTACAACAAGGGCCTCAGAGGGGTATGATGCAGTTCTTGACCTACTACCAGCACTCGTCCGGAAACTTCCACCTTCGCGTCACCACCGTTGCACGAAACCTGAGCGGTCCCGCTGGCGATCCCACTCTTGCACAGTCCTTCGATCAGGAAGCCGCCGCCGTGCTTATGGCCCGTATCGGTGTCTTCAAAGCCGAAGTTGATGATGGCCCGGATGTCCTCAGATGGGTCGATAGAATGCTCATCCGACTCTGCTCACGCTTCGCAGACTACCGCAAGGACGACCCTACGTCATTCCGACTCGAGAAGAACTTTACACTCTACCCCCAGTTCATGTTCCACCTCCGGCGAAGTCAGTTCTTGCAGGTCTTTAACAACTCTCCCGACGAGACTGCTTTCTATCGACATGTCCTCAACCACGAAGATGTTGGCGACTCCCTTGTTATGATCCAGCCAACACTGGATTCATACTCACTAGAGCATGAAGGAAGCCTACCAGTCTTGCTGGATTCGGCCTCCATTCAACCCGCTCACATTCTTTTGCTTGACACCTTCTTCCATATCCTGATCTTCCACGGTGAAACTATTGCCGAATGGAGAAAGGCAGGCTACCAGGACCAGGAAGGCTATGAGAACCTAAAGGCCCTTCTTGACCTTCCCAAGGAAGATGCGAGGGTTAGTTGCACACTTTCACGACGTATGCCCAAACAGTACTGACAAATACTAGGAACTTATTTCCGAACGTTTCCCGCTGCCCCGATTCATCGTTTGCGATGCCGGTGGTTCGCAAGCGCGTTTCCTGTTGTCTAAGCTCAACCCGTCCACGACGCACACGACAGGAGGGTACGGTGGCGGTGTGTCATCGCAGACCATCTTTACTGACGACGTCTCTCTGCAAACTTTCATGGATCATCTCATGAAGTAAGTCCCTCGCTCACTGGCAAATATCACCCGTGCTAACTGGACCTTGCAAAGGCTTGCTGTTTCTGGAACGAGTTAAGTGATAAAGTGAGGTAATGGCGATTACGAGTATAAAGGGGTTGATGTGTCCTCGGATCGTGTGTATCTTTAGCGGTTATTTGTTGCGCTTCGTTACCCCCAATCTAGCAGTTACTTTTACTAGGATTCAACCATAGAAGAGACAAGCTTATGATTTACGAAGTCTTGACGGCCTTCAAGCTGTCACCGTACCAACAGGCGCCCACGAATTTGGGCGACATACGAAGGCAAGGACATTGCGCAAGTACAAACAACTAACTAGCCATTTTATTCCACCATGGTTGTCATAGCTTCAGTCGCCTGGCGGCATACTTGACCACGTGACTAAGGTTGAGCCCTACTAGCCTTTCCCCATCGGGCGGCTCGCTTAGCCCCTTAGCTCGGAGGAGCGGACCCATCAAAACCATTTGAACTTCGGCCTCGAACTTTTTTTTCCCTTTCTACACCAACCACCCAACAACACACCAAGGTAGATCGACAACCTTCGCACTCGCCATGCGTAAGTATCATCACCTTGGTCATGTCAATCCTGGCGACTAACAAACACCCATTGGGCAGCTCCCAAGTTCGACCCCAATGAGGTGAAGATCATGTAAGTTTTGCGAAATTCGTGAGCATGCGAGATCGAAACTGACAATGCGATAGCCACCTGCGTGTGACTGGTGGTGAGGTCGGAGCCCAGTCCGCCCTGGCTCCTAAGATCGGTCCCCTCGGTCTGTCTCCCAAGAAGATTGGTGAAGACATTGCCAAGAACACTGGCGACTGGGTAAGAAGCGGTTATACCCGACCGATCAATGGAATAGCGGCTAATGTGTTATCTTCAAATAATATAGAAGGGTCTCCGTGTTACCGTCCGCCTGACCATCCAGAACCGTCAGGCTCAGGTCTCTGTTGTTCCCTCCGCTTCTTCCCTCGTCATCAAGGCCCTCAAGGAGCCTCCCCGTGACCGTAAGAAGGAGAAGAACATCAAGCACACCAAGTCCATCGCCTTCGACGAGATCGTCGAGATTGCTCGCAAGATGCGCTCTCGCTCTCTCGCCAAGGAGCTCAAGGGTACCGTCCTCGAGATCCTCGGTACTGCTTTCTCCGTTGGTTGCAAGGTTGATGGCCGCAGCCCCAAGGACGTCTCTGACGACGTCAAGGCCGGCGAGATTGACGGTAAGTTTGATCTTCAGCAATCTCTCTGTACCCCTCGGTGCTAATAAATGTCTAGTCCCCTCCGAGTAAAGAATGGTCGTGATTCTTATGGCGTTCATCAATATGTATTGGGATGCTAGCTACAGCGAATAGGATCATTGCTCTACCGGTCAACAAAAAGGTTTACGATTTCATGACTTAGGATTCCCACTTGCGCGTTCAATGCGAATTTTCACGTTTCTTTCTATGGATACGGTAGTCTTCTACATGAAGCTTCGTGTGGCTTGTTGGCTGTCGTCTCAAATTGAGGCGATGAAACCGCACACCTCTAGTACCTTTGCAACACTCTGGCTCTTACCGTTCCTTCCCGCCTTCGGGCCTGGATTGAACAATTACTACGTGGTATAGGCTTATTTTGCGCAAAGGAGAACAACGACCTACTACTCACCGCGGTGTTCTCGGGTGAAGCTTGCTTCGTCTTGTGGATACAGTGGTCCATTTCATCGGTCTACATCTTGTAATCAACCATCTGGCATGTCGAACAGAAGGTCACCTTAGATCAGATAGCAAAAAATATAATCGTTGTTGATCTTATTCTCTTCCAACATTATGATTGATTTCGCCATTCGCCTCTCACCGAGAGTGTGGCTTAGATCGTCGCGGACTTCGTTTATTCTGCATTAGTGCCGTTAGAGAGACCGGGGTATGCTGCACACCTAGCAAGGTATGGCATCGAATCAACGGGCCAAAGCCCAACTTATGCGCCAGGACCTCGTGCGCTTTGCTGTGGCTGAAATCGGGCGCCGGCATGAGTTTTTGGACGAATAATGGGCAGAAGCAGCGAGTGTTGCTGATATAGCCATGGTCTGCTTAATCTGACATACAGGCTTCAGCAATCGCTATCTGTGCTCGACCGTAACTATAGGAATTGCCGTGATGATCTGGCGGACTGCCACACACTGTTCCTGGTACTCCGTACAATGCGCCGAAATGCAAGTATTCTGCTTGTTGTGGAGATATCATTCGATGTTCCAAGCTTGCCAAGCATCTTCACCTGCCGGTGGTTACGGTTCAAGCTGGAGGTTTTAAGAAGCAGCCTCATTAAGAATGGTACGAATGCTGCGTATCCATGATGACCTGTCTATTTTGAGGCAAAAGAAACACCCTTGCAACAAGCAAAGTTCGCCGATCGCCTTTGATAGATTGCTTGTGCTGCCCACGGCAGAAGAAGGTTCGTCTCGTAGCAACAGAGCAGCATATAGTTCAAAGTCTAATCTACATTGTGGACATTATGCCCCAGTTTTCGGCACTACTCATACGGAAAAGGTACTTTGAATGGCTGAACCCAATAACAAACGTCGCAACTTATTTCGCACAGAGTCAGATAGCGGTAAATGTGGCGATCGTAAGTGACAGAGGTATCTTGGTAGGTATTCACTATTCATACTCCGCTTGGCTTGCATACGTGAGCTTCGAACCTTGTTTAGCCAAGAGGGCATTCAGGCAAGCAATTGACCTATCTCTATACCATGGAACAGAAGTACGGCTATCTAGGTAAATGTATAGTGATGACTCATAGAGTATATTGGAAACGGCCTCTCAGATAATTTACTCTCATCCGGTTTTCCAGCATTATGCTCCATGGCCTGATTTCTTTAATTTCTTTTCCTTGTTGTTGCACGGAGCTGCTAGGCTGTCACTGGCGCTCGGAATCCAGCGAGATCGCCCTGCCTTGGATGGATCTGCTCCATCAACTCCAGACTTGAGCTGATGGCCGTTGGATCGTCGTTTTTCGGCGGGACTGCACAGTGATCATCTACAGTCCCGTTGCCAGAGTAGACTAGATGCTGTATTCTGTAACAGTCTGCGGTCCAAGTTAGAACATTTGGATGAGCACCTTATTACTCCGTATTAAATGGCAGAGGTCTGTGATATCTCAAGAAATGCCCAGACACGTTCGGTAGATCCTGGCGCCTCAGCCTCCCCTCAGGCCTTGTGGAAGCCTCCCAATCCGGCCAGCCTGTTCGCTGGCTCCACTGCCGCTGGCTCCCTTATCCACCATCCTCCTCATCATCCATTCAGGCCGTGGCTTCTAGATCGTCATTGGCCTCTGCCACTTCAGCACCGGTTACCATCGAGATTTCTTCCCCACCACACAAGCCACTGCTCCCCTCCCAAGTGGGATCCGCCTCAACGCTACTAGTTGATTGATTGCTGTCGTCTGCGAGCCTGCGAGGCTCCGCTCTGTCCGAAACCCCAAGTTCTCGACTGACCATCATGACTCTGACTCTCTGAGCTGCCGAGTGTCTGACACCATCAGTCGATGCTTTGAATGCTGTCTGAGAGCTTCCCCAGCCCCCGAATGCCAGAACTGATACCCCAGACTCTGCATTTCCCATTTATCAGTCGTTTTAGAGTTGCTCCCCCTTTCCTCTCCTCTCCGCCGACCGTTGGGATCATCTCCGCCCCAAACGAGCTCCTTGCGTCCGCCTTCACCTTGACATCTCTTAGCACCGACTAGCCCCAGCCTGAGCTCTCTAATCCAAAATCAGCGCTGAGATAATTATTACTATATTATCATAACTTACATGTAAAAACGCTGCGCGATAAAAGAGAAAAAGAAATAAGAGCATTAATATAGCGGAAAAAGCAAAAAAGTCAACCAGAAAATACTAAAACAGACTTGATGATCACTGGTGCCATGTCCAGCCATTTCCTCCACTCTCTCTAACGCAGAGTCCACTTTCCTTCCTCCGATCTTCATCTTTTTGTTTGTGATTCGTATTTATTTTCTCCAATATTATACGTATCCTGGTCCTTATTCTGATTCCTTCTTTTTGCTTCTCTCTTTTCCCTCACCCTCCGACTTTGCCAGGCTCCCACCGACCCTCTGCTGCGGTGGCCCATAATCAGCATCCAGCATTGCTGCCAAGCGCCTCCTGTCTTCGTCGCTGATCGTGTCTTGCGGGCACCTGCGTCACTTTCCGACTAGGGCTGTGACTTTGAATCCCTTTCCACTCCCTTGCGTCTCCTCTTCTCATCGCAGCAACTAGCGCCTCTCCGAGCGGATCGCCTGCGTGTCTCTTGCTCGCCCTCAGGAATCCGGCGCTTACATACAAGCATACCTTCGGTCGCTCCGCTCCGTCATTCATCTGCCGGCAACCTCCTCCTCCTACCTCTTGGATTGGTCCCTGTGTCGAATATCTGAAATCCGTCACCGCCGCCCGCGTTCATGTCGAATCCTGAGACAACCCGAGGGGGGCGTTTTTGAGTATCAAGAGAGTTGGCCCGGCCCAGGATGAGGTGTAAGAAGCGTTTCAAGAAGGATGCTCGTTGTCGATAATTCCACACTGGACGTCTCGACACTCTTCTGACCGCTCTCTCTGTCTTGGGTCGTTGGCTGGATTCTATTGAAGTTTCTCCGACCACCCCGCGTTGTCAGCTCCTCTCTATACTTCCCTCCGTCGTTCTTTTATCCGGGAAGCATTCACTCCATTACAGTCATATCTATATATCCTTATTTCCCGACACCGGGTGCAAATCCTGCGCGGATAGTGCGGTGGGTATAACGCAGCAGGAAACATGTTACCCTCCGTGGCGCCTTTCCCGCCAGTTCAACCACACCACCTCAACCGATACCATGATATCGAATCGCTTAATGGACCGTACGGCTTGGATAACTCGCTTGCACCGACGAATCCTCCCTATGACTTCTCCAACAACAATCCGTTCCAATCGATCCCCCGAACTCGACTACAATATCCCCACCCCGTCCAGCGGCCCGATATACGTGATCCCAACAACTCAACGGCGTTGACGTTGAACAATGTTGGAGAACATGCGCTGAGGAGGAAGACGCCGAATGGGACGCTCGCCGCAGGATACGATGGGACACCGGGAGATATGAATATCCAACCGCCGGCGACTAAGCACATACTGGTCTCGCAGCTGGAGCCGGGCCAGTTGGTTCCCCCTCAGACAGGCTTTCCGATCGACCCCTGGCACCAATCTACGCTAGATCAATCGTCCTCCGCGCAGCCTTTGAACTTTCCACCTATGCATAAAGCCGATCTGAGTCGAGGCAACGTTGGCCCGGGGGAGATAGCACAAGGATTCAACGGCATTAGCTGGGTACGCTCGTTGAATGCTGCACCTGGAATGGACTCGGTACTCAACCAAACCTTACCGATGCAACCGTCACAACAGAGGTTCTACTGGCAGAACGGGGCGTATGTGCCAACAGTGCTCCCGGCTACTTTGCAACCATGTATTGGGCCTACGGCTTCCGCAGGTACTGGACCATACGGGCCATATTGGCCAGATGGTGCATACATCCCGTATCGCCCTGCCGCATTTCGAGAACCCCGACTCACTCTCCAAGGCCCGTTCGGGAATCCGATCAACCATTCTGCGCCCCAATTTTTCGATGCTGGACAGCAGTCTTTCAACATCGGAACAGCTCCTTCTAATAATCATGAAATAGGTGATTGGAATCAGAATTCCCTAGGCGCATTCAACCACAAGGGTCCAGTGAAGAACAATTTTCCACCACGCCATTCAGATCAGAAACCATTCGACTCCTTGAGTAACCAACGTGTCCTGCCGTTTCATACCCGACAAAGCAACTCTGTATCTAGTTTTTCCTCGCGTCCGCCATTACATGAACCCTCAGCGTCATGGTCAGGTACGTCTACAAATGGCGGAATCCAAAATACTGGACCAATTCCCGGTTCCAGGGCAGCGAATGCCGAGTTTAAGGAAAAAGTGCTATCATGGGCTCATGGCGTCTATGTCGATCTTCTGGCATCTATACATCGAGCACGGCGAAATAGTGCTTCAAATGCTTCTCAGGATGGCCAGACTCAGCGGGCCCCAAAACCCAGCATCTATCCTAAACCACCACGTCAGCCAGGGCTTGATTTCTCACATACGAATGCACCTGAATTCTCTCGACACAATAGCTATCCGTCACACCAGTATGGGCTCTCAGCTTCGAACTCCCTGTTCTTTGTGCGAACCAACAATAACACTAACTTCCGCAGAACTCATCGGTATGACCGTCATTCCATATCACAATTCCAACCGACAGGCAACCATCTGGTTGAACGATTACGAAATACTGGTCGTTTGAATTCTATATCCGGCTCGCCTTCCTCTTCCAACTCGCTAAATGAGAATACGACTGTTGTGAATGCGGCGTCTTCGTTAGAGTTATTGTCGCATCTTTGCATGGAAAGCGGCTGGGAATGGATTGACGGTATGCTCCTTGGTGGATGCTTGGCTTATGGGCTAGGGGACTACAACAAGGCGATGAGATGGTATTCCAGAATTATTGCGCGGGATGCAGCGTGAGTTCGCGAAATAGTGTTCTCGAAGCATAACATAAGCTGACTCTTTCTTTCCAGACATGTTGAAGCAATCTCGAATCTTGCAGCCACCCTCCTGGCCTTAGACCGGCGGGAGGAAGCATTGCAGCATTGGCTGCGTGCCGTTAAACTGCGCCCGAGTTACTTTGAGGCTGTGGAACATCTTATAGGCCTTCTATGCAGCAGCCAACGCGGGAAGGAAGCGGTTAACATCATCGACTTTGTGCAGAACTCTCTACGGTTGTCTAAGAATGGGGACTGTTTCAAAGCGGACGAACATGCGAGTGAGCCTGAAAGCGACGTGGAGAGTCGGGTTTCCAGCGCATCTGACTTGGGTTCATACGAGAAGGCCACCTTTGATTATGATGACGACTTTGGTAGCTCGGCCTTTGCCAGCCGCCAGTCCGGGGAAGGCGCTGCTACTGGGTATGGCTCCAGCGGCTACTCCGTCCCTGGCTGCGACAACGGTCGGATGCTCGCGCTCGTTCACGCTAAAGGAAACATGCTGTATGCCATGGGCGACTATGCGACGGCAGCAGCAGCTTTTGAGGATGCAATCCTGATTAGTGCGGGTCGAAGACGTCACGGCATCCAAAGCATTATAAAGCAAATCTTCGACGCATTTTCCCAGGGATCGCGCAGCGGGTATATGGGCGCCGACGTTCGCGATCAACAAGAGACTATTTTGTTGTATCCCGATAAGGCTCTACAGACGTCAAAGTTGGTCTTTGCACCTTGTGGAACGCCTCCAGGAATTAAATATGTTCCTGAAGGGCTGGCGAGGAAGGCAGCTTTGTCCACAACAAGCAATTCGTTACTCTCGCTGGCGAAAATATATCAAGATGGCATGTCGACCGCTCCGGCCAATGGCCCTTCTCGGTCCGCGCCCAGTGTCCGGGACATCCTCGCTCTTTACTATCTGTCGCTCTCCCTTCAACCAAGCCCATCTACGGCCAACAACGTTGGGATTTTGCTTGCAGGTATCCACAATAACGCACCTGGGAAGGGCTCTGCTCGCTCCGCCGGGGAGATGCAGCACCCGGACATACCTGGTGTTATTCCTGGCAGTGGAGTGTCTCTCGCTCTAGCTTACTACAATTATGGCCTGCATCTGGACTCACGACACGCGCATCTTTATACAAACCTTGGCAGTTTACTCAAGGATATTGGTCAGCTACAAGCAGCCATTCGGATGTACGAACAAGCCGTCCAATGTGATAGCAACTTCGATATCGCATTGGCGAACCTGGCGAATGCTGTCAAGGATGCAGGACGAGTCAACGATGCCATCTCATATTACAAGCGTGCTGTGAAGGTGAACCCAGACTTTGCAGAGGCTGTGTGCGGGCTAGCCAACGCCCTCAACTCGGTATGCAACTGGATGGGTCGCGGAGGCGTTGCCAATGCGTTCGGCTTCCGAGACCGTTGGCATGTGGACGACCAGGGCATGCTTCGTGACTCGTACGGCATTGACGTGGGTTCTGGTTGGATAAAGCGTGTGGTGGATATTGTTGATCGGCAGCTCAAAGAAGGCGAGACTTGGGGTTGCGGCGTCTTGACGTCCAACACAATAGAACAGTTGTGCGCCCAGCTGGTTCCCGGCGCGGACGGCCGCCGTCGGTCCGCCACTGGGGACTTGGCTATGATTCTCAAATCTTGGGCAGGACAGAAATGGGAAGGCTCTCGCATTGTCAAGCTAGTGGAACGTGCAATTAGGTCCCTCACGTGGCAATGGTATCAGGATCGGTACATTTATGGCCGGGAATATCCCTCGTCCAAGTACCGACGACCGCAACTGCCTCTTGGTCTAACCGCACCCAATGCACCCACTGTGCTGCCGTTCCATACGTTCACGTGCCCGCTCTCAGCGAAGCAGATTCGACAAATATCCCAGCGAAATGGGCTCCGCATCTCTTGTGCGGCTTTGCGATCTTCCTGGCTCCCGCCCACGGTTTATCCACCACCGCCACCTCCGAACCCGTACCTTAAAGTCGGATATGTATCTTCTGACTTCAATAACCATCCCCTTGCCCATCTAATGCAATCAGTTTTTGGATTGCACAATCCGAGCAAAGTCAAAGCTTACTGCTATGCTACAACAGCCAGCGACAAATCAATCCATCGGCAGCAGATCGAAAAAGAGGCCCCAGTGTTCCACGATGCCAGCGCGTGGCCCGTTGAACGCCTCGTGAGGCAGATTGTTGAAGATGGGATCCATATCCTCATCAACCTCAATGGCTACACTCGAGGTGCGCGTAACGAAGTATTCGCCGCGAGACCGGCCCCCATCCACATGTCTTTCATGGGGTTCGCTGGAACACTGGGTGCGGAATGGTGTGACTACATTCTCGCCGACAAGCTGTCGATTCCTCCGGAAACGCTCTCGCCTGGGAACCGCAACACGCGGGTCGAGGACCGATGCCTCGAGGAAGACCATAGCGAGGAGGCCGAAAACTGGGTCTACGGAGAGAAGATAGTCTTCACCCGAGATACCTTCTTCTGCTGTGATCATCGACAAAGCGCGCCTGATGCGAGAGATCCGTATATTGCTTGGGAGCAGGAGCAATCAAGACGCTGGCGAATGCGGAAGGAATTGTTTCCTCACCTTAGTGATGACACTATCATTCTGGGCAACTTCAACCAACTCTATAAGGTAATCTCCTTCTTTCTGGATTTGACTGGAGAAAGCTAATGATCGATAGATTGAGCCTACTACTTTCCGGACATGGCTGCGGATACTCGCTAGAATTCCGAATGCCGTTCTTTGGCTTCTCCGCTTTCCTGATATTGGGGAACAAAATCTCAGGGAGACGGCTGTAGCATGGGCAGGTGAGGAGACGGCTTCTCGGATTATCTTCACTGATGTTGCACCTAAGAACACACACATTGCACGGGCTAAAATCCTGGACTTGTTCCTTGACACACCGGAGTGCAACGCCCACACAACAGCAACAGATGTCTTGTGGAGTGGTACTCCGCTGCTGACTCTCCCACGCTACAAGTACAAAATGTGCTCTCGCATGGCAAGCAGCATCCTCAGTAGCGCGCTACCCAGCAATGAGTCTGGGCAACAGGCTCGCGAGGAACTGATCGCCGACTCTGATGAAGATTACGAAAACAAAGCGACCCACCTATGCCGCAGTTTGTATTACGAGCCTGGAGGAGGTGGCCGAGCGAGAGGCAGGTTGTTTGATCTCCGCAGAATGCTATTTGAGGAGCGAAAGAGAAGCACTCTTTTTGACACCAACCGCTGGGTTCGTGACTTGGAAGACGCCTATGAGCGAGTGTGGAATCAATGGGTGAATGGTGAAGAAAGTGATATATGGTTGTGACGCGCGCATCTTGAAATATACCCCGTGAGCGTTGATTTGGATTCCTTTTGTCTTTTTGTCATATTTGTGATTTGTCTGTATAATGACCTGTCTCTCTACGCTTTTGAATTTGTGGACCTGCCTTACACAAAGCCCTCACTTGTAGGGACTGTATTTGCATACTGGCGTTGGATGTGATGGAATTGGGTGCTGCACAAGGCGGCTGGTTGTTCTGGACTACGGTTATGATGAGATATATCAGATATCTTCCACTCGGATAGGATAGGCGTTTGGGATCGGACTAGACACTCTCTTACCACTGACGTATAATGCATCTACTCACCACCCGTTGTCTCACTTTCAACTGCTGATCTCAAAACAAACAATAAGCCACGGAATATAAAAGAACGTGGCCTAGATGATGGCGGTGTTATGTTAGCTGGAGATCTGCTCTGTAGGCGGTCTGTGGAGGAAGTTTCAGTAGCGTCATTCAGTGCACTCAAGAATCAGTTCTCTTTACTCGATTCACATCTTAACTTTCCTTCTTACTTGCCTTTATCCTTCAATTTTCTTTGAACTCTCGTGTATAATCTTACACATACATTCCGCTAGTCCTCCTAACTCTAGTTCTCCAACATTAGAAGGCGCGACCGTCCAACACCACCAAGTCAACCTCCTTCACACACGCTGAACACCAAAATGGATATGGACATGGACCTGGACCTCGGTCCTCTACCGGAGCCCGAGCTAATTGACACTGTAAGCTACAGCAATGCGAAGAAAGGGCCATTCAGAGCTCAAACTGACCGATTGCATATAGGAACAAACGCTTCAAGCATCTACAGCCGTTCCAGTAGACGGAGCAATCCTCGATCCTCAAACAGCCGAGACACAATCCGAGAAAGTACACATACGCGGTGTTGACGAATTGACGACAGATAATATCAGAGAATTTGCGATATCCAATTTCCCTCACGAACAGCCCGCCCGCATCGAATGGATCGATGATACTTCCGCAAACATAGTCTACTCAGCCCCCGAGATTGGTCTACAAGCTCTGGCTGCCATGACGCATGACGGCGAACTCGAAGGTGGTTCCTCCGGTGACACAGCTATCTCCAACGGGCTAGGCGATATCCCCGCGCTCCGACTGCGGTCGGCGAAGGTACTGGCTTCACACCCCGACTCTGTCCTGCAGGTGCGCTCAGCGGTGAAGACGGATAAGAAGAAGCCTCGCGCGCACGAGGCAAGCCGTTTCTACATGATGCATCCAGAACACGACCCACGGGAGCGCTTACGGCGCGAATTAGCGTCTGATCGGCGGCGCAGCGTGGGAGACAGTGACGGAGACTATCAGAGGAGGCGGTTTGATGGGCGCGAACTGCGTCGCCGTCGAGAGCGGGATAATGAAGGCGGTATCAGCGCGAGCATGTATGATGATAGCGGCGCCGGAAGCGCAGACCGTTCAGATGGAGATGGGGATTGGGATCGCGGAAGGCGGAGGAGGGGAAGCGAACGCCGTGACCGCGATATGGAATTGTTTCCTGATGAAGGCGCTAGGTCTGGGCGACTGCGCCATCGCAGCGCGTCTCCTGGCCGCGACACGCTGATGATGGAAGGGGGCTATATCGAAGAGAGGCAAGAATCACGACGCAGATTCCGGGAGCGCAGCCCGCCACCACGCCGGCGCAATGAAGGCCGGGAGCTCTTTGGTTCATCTGATGCCGATGCGAACTCGCGCGAACTTTTCCCGAACAAAACTGCGAACACTTATCTCAAGAAAGAACTCTTCCCATCCAAGGTCAGCAACCATCGCCGATCGGACGCTATCGACGTCGCAGATGAGACGGCGGACCTCTTTGCCAGGCGTATCTCAATCCCACTGGTAGACGGCGCCCACGACACGAATAACAATGCTTCGAAACGTAATCGCAACATCGAACTTTTCCCGTCAGACAAATCGGAGCGAGCGTCTGTACATATCCGCGGCGCAGCGGGTGGTGGCCAAGACCAGGGCTTCGCGATTCGCGGCTCCGCAGAGAATGGTATGTCTATCAAGGGGAGGGGTGGCGCATCAGTTCGTGAACTGTTTCCGTCAAAGTACCACAATAATGCTGGCAAGGAGTTGTTCTCCGATAAAATAGAGGGCAGGGGAGGGCCCCGCCGGAAGGCGGAGGATATGTTCACATAGGGCCCTTGCGCTCCTCTTGCTTTGCTCTTCTACATCTCGGATGTCATAGCGGTTGCTTTCTGGTTTACTCTACATCTATGATAGTCTCAACTACCCAATGGAAATTAATGGAAGCGAATAATGTCCTCCTTCACCGTGGTTATTTCCCGGTTCAATCTACTTAGCATGCCCTTCTGGATTATCTTTGGATGTATGAGATGCACAGCAGCTCAATTGGTTCACGACTACCCGAGCCATAGTTATCTAAGTACATAACAAACCATGTCCTAAACACCCGTCCCGACTAAAACAAGATATATAACCGCCAATAGAACAGTAACCTATCTCATTACACATGCTTCAGGTTGGTTTCGCTGCCTGTCCATTCTCCGCTCCGCCCATCATTGTATTGACGAACTCCTGGTATTTGAGAACTTCCCCTCGCTTTCCGCCTCCCTGCGTCTTGCCGCCCTTTCCGCCAAACGCTCTGCGGCTTGTAAACCCATTGAGAACCTCATTGATTTCGCGGTCTGATAGTGGGCGCTCTCCGTCTTCTGGGGCAGTATTGAGAAGGGCATCGCGTAGCTCTTCTACGTCGACCTGGCCACTGTCGTCTTCGTCAAATGCTGCTAGTGCATTAAGAAGCTCTTGCCGCGAGGACAGCGGTGAAAGTAGCTGCGAAAGTGTGTTCAAAAATGTAGGGAAGTTGATCGTGGAAGCGCTTCCTGGAGGGAAGAACTGGGATAGAGAGGACGGGTCTTGGCCTGTCCAACATAATTAGCACCTATTCTGCCGTATAAAAAGTCGCAAGATCCGAAGCGCCACATACCAACATTCACAAGCACATCCGCGACATCATCCTTATCCACAAAGCCATCGTTATCCCGATCCAGAACCTGGAAAGCCTCGCGGATCTCTCTAAGTTGCGCCGGAGCCAACCTAGCCGCCGCATCGGATGACGCAGCCATCATGCTAGTCGCCTTTGCAGCTATACTCGACGGCGAGGTGTTGAGTGTGCTGGCGCCTCTGCTTGGCGATGATGGCGGCTCTCTGGTAAATCGCGGCTGGGGAATTGGCTCTTGGCTCTTGGGGGACGCATCTTGGTCGTCTTCAACAGTGTATGTCTGGTTCAACTTGCTGGGGGATACAACGGGTGTGTATCCCCTGCTTGGGGAGCTCCCTGGTGTTGTTGGGCGGGCTTGTGTCGGAGGAGAGTTGGGTGTTGATGGACGTCGGAACGGCGATGCACGAGGGGAGTTGAAGGATAGCGGGGAGGGACGGAAGGGAGCGTTGCTGGAGGGGACCTGGTAATAGATTAGGAGAAAATATAGTCCAAGGCCTAAGTAGACGTACCATGATGAGTGGAATCTGGTTGGGTTGGCTGTTGAAAGAAGCTCTGAGGATAGATGACCTCAGTATAGATCCAAGCAAAACAAACAAACTCCGAGTCGAGGCCGGGGATACGGCGGCTGAGTCAGCCCGAGCCCGAGCGTGCACGTGCGGGGCCTGTATCCAGACTATACGCTATGTAGTATGCAGTCTTGTACGCCAGCATGCAATCGATTTTCTGAAGATTGAGAAGATGGAGACGATCAGAAACCACGCCATTAGAAAGTTAATCAAGCATGATTGCCCATCATCAAAGGTGCCGTGCGATCTCAGCACCGACTCAAAATTCGGCGCTGAGGGCTTCCCCGCTGTGGAGATCGATCGGTTCGTTCCCTTTCGGCGGCCGCTCGGTTTCCCCCCTGAACTCTTGAGTTTCGATCATATTATTCCGGCAAGACATGCTTTCGATCTAACTGCTGATAATCCTCCTATCTCTCCCTGACGTCTTTCTCCGCACCTTCTAGATGGATTGTCGCTCGCCTATCTCTCCATTGGCCCATTGATTGAGCATGTGCATGCCATTGCCGCTGCTATGCTCGCCGGCTGCCTGGAGCTTCACCAACTAATCACCCGCACTCGACCCTCGTGCTCTCCGCAGAACCCTGTCCGAAAATGAGCATCTCACTACCCATCCGGACTTCAGACGGCACGGGCAATTCCTCCAGCCCCCCAAAGTCAACCGGGCTTCCTCACCTCTCGCCTTCCCCGTCCTTTATCCACAAACAATCGCCCAGAAGCTCCGACAACTCGGGCCTCCACCGCTCCGCCAGCCAACACATTGTCCCGCCGACTTTCAAGCGACGCCGCTGTAAATCGCAGTATCCCCATGACTCCCCCGAGCGCCATGTCGAATTCATCCTTGTCGCCTCTTTCCATATCGATCGGGGTCCGATTATGGAACATCAGTACCCTGGTCCCATTAGCAGCGACGAGGGCATGCTGGCGGAGCTGATGTTGCCGGACCAGACCCATGTCCGCAGTCAAGATTGGACTATCTTTTTCCTACATAAGGACAACGGCGCGGATGGAGAGGACGAATCGGCACCGGGGAACAAAAAGGAAAGGAAAGGAAAGAAAAAAGAACGGACGTCTTCGGATGATGATGATGCAGAGGGCAGTGCCGGCGCGAATGATGATTCCGAGATCACAGAGGAGGAGGAGGAGGAGGCAAGCAGTGATGAGGAAGACGGCGGGGAGGGACCGCCATTGATGTATGTGCTTAATTTGGTGAACACAAAGCAAGATAATACAGTCAAGCGGTATGTCTCAAAAAACCCCTTTGGTGCGAAGATTACGGCTGACTTTTGACCAGAGGCGCTGTAGTCAAGGCTATGGCGATATGTACGCGGCATTCTTTCCTACATATATACAAAGTATGCACTCGATGAATGACGCTGGATGTCAACTAACAGGCAAATAGCCTATTTTGCTTTTAGCCCTGGAGGACTATTTCAAAAATCCATACCCCGAAACCCTCGAAGCACTTTATAATGCTGTGAACGCCATGGACCTGTCACCGATGCCGAAGCTGAACCTGCTAGAACGTCAGATACTGCAAGCTACCAACAGCAAAGACATGTTTATTGAGAAGTTTGAGCAGATGGTTCACCAACGAGCGATTGAGGACGGCGAAAATGAATTCGACGAAGACAATCCACCGTCGCCGAAACGAGGCCCTGCTCCCCGCTATACGCTCCCACGAGATACCCACGAGTTTGAGTCTAAAATTATCTATAACGACATTCCAATTCCGGTCAAAGTACCGACAGTGATATGGCCTGAAATCGTGGGCGACTTCTCGCTGGTCAAGCTCGTTCAGATCTTCTCCGCGCCACATGCCACCCAACCACAGCCGTTCCCTCTCCATCCTCATTTGACTACTAGCGGCCCTCTCACCCACCCGATTATCGTTCTCGTCAATGCGATGTTAACCCAAAAACGTGTAATCTTCCTCGGTCACAACCGACCGTCCGGGGAAGTCGCAGAGGCAGTATTAGCCGCCTGTGCATTGGCGTCTGGTGGAATTCTGCGTGGATTCACCCGCCATGCCTTCCCCTACACAGATCTGACCAAGATCGATGATCTCTTGCGGGTTCCAGGATTTATCGCAGGTGTCACGAATCCTACGTTTGCCAATCACCCCGAATGGTGGGATGTGCTATGCGACCTGCCTACGGGCCGAATTAAAATCAGCAATCACATCGAAGCTGCACCGGTGACCGACGGCCAATTATACTTTCAGCAGCAGAGCCCAGTCACCGCAACAGGCCTTAACGCCGATCCAACCGGAGATAACCTCTTTATGGAGGACGTACTTCGCAGCATAGCGAATCGATACGGCGAAAATGCTATCAGGGCCAAATGGCGCGCATACATCACGAAATTCACGCGAACTGCGGCCGCATTTGAGGAAATAGTTTACGGAGCGTCAAACATCTATATTATCGGACCTAACGAAGAGCTTTCTCCTGACAGCCCCAGCGGCCTACAATCGGATCCTGGTGATCCGACAACAATCCGCGGCCACGGCTACGTCTGGCCGGACGAAGCCTCTAAGCAGCGTGAATTGATGGCATCCGTCTCTCGCATCGAAGGCTGGCGCACTACTCGGTCCTACTACTCCTTTATCCAGGACATCGCAGCAATGTACTGGCCCTCCCGTCCCATCCAAAAGCCTGACCTCCACCACCACCACGACCGTCTTCGAACCCTGAAGCTGCCCGCCTACGACGCCGGTCAAATCTACCTCGCTTTCTCTCACGCAATCAAAGACTACGCCGGCATCTGCCAACTCCTAACCGTGACCCCCGAGAGCCAGGCAGGCCTATTCTACCTCGCCATGGGCCTCCTCCATCCAGACCGAACCGTCCGCGAGGCAACCGCGGACCTACTCGAGCGGATCGCACTCCACCCCGCAGGCCGCCATTTCTGGGCGCAGCTCAACCGGTTCGCGAAAACGGCGTACTTCCGCATCAAGCGACAGCGAGACGCAGCTGGGAACTCGTCGCCCGTGGTGAAGTCACCAAGTGACAGCATCGGCCCTCCGCAGAGTTTAGTAGGCGTTGCTATGAGTGGTGTGCGGTCTCGAGGGAGTTAACCGCCCACGACTTTTGACGGTACACGATTGTTCTTATTCTTCATTTCATCTCATTCTTTTTTCGAGCGGCAACCTTTTTTTAATGCTCTATCATGCATCTTCATATTTATTTGTTCACCTTTTTTCTTCTTCAGGCTACGTACATGGTGATATACTTGAGTCGGATATACCTCACATGAGTTAGAACTAACTAGTATATGATTTACTATATCTGCTGGCAGAGAGTCCGGTTAGAATGGAAGTTGAGTATGGGAAGACGAGAATAGCCCCACGGCATGATGAATGAAAGCATTGACTATCCATCTAGTTTCTTACAACTCGACTCTAGTTTGCCATGTTATAGTGCAGGTGTTCTTGCTCGGTACAGTCCATGATTTTTTGCCAGCAATGGAAGGACAAGAGTTGATCCTGTAGAGTATAAGATTAGGTATATGTAGTGTGTACTGTAGAAGTCTAGATATTATTAGATATCAGGAAGTAGTCGCTGTCATTACCAATGCATGACCAAAACCGGGACGACAACGCTCAAGACGAAGGAGTGTAATGTGAGCAGCGCTTGCTAAGTAAGAGGTATAAGGCATACAAGAATGAGGGTGGAAACGAAGAATGAGTAGCGGAGCCCGCTAGAAGCTCAAGACCAAACTGACACCTATCGTTAATGAAGAAATCCAAAGCGGAAGAGATAGGGCTAGCGGCGGTGAAGCCGCAGACGGGAAATCATCCTCAACCCCAACAGTGATGTTAACATTTGCAAAGTCCGAGCCGCATTTTGTATTAACCGCCTCGGCAGATGTGAGATACGAGTCAGCGAGCGGCTGCTTTTCGACCTGCGCCCATTCGCTGAAGATGTCGAGTGTCGCCTGCAGACAGGAGCTGCATGTGGGCAGGGTCGTTGCGTTGTTGATTGTGCTGCCGTATGGGAGAGAGTAGACGTCGTAGTCTGCCGCGTTGGAGGTATTCGTGACTGCATCGACGAAGCAGTAGTCTGACGTGTCTGGGTTCTGGAGACAGGTGGCGCGGTAGATGGGTTCGTAGGTGATGAGGTCAACATAGGCGTTTGTGACGAGCGGGTTGCCGTCGGCGTAATCCTTTCCGCAGTTCGAGTCATCGATCAGGTTAGATGCGAGGTCGGAGAGAGTGGAGGCGCAGGAAGTGACGTTTGCTGCGCAGGCAAGGTCTAGGACGCGAGACGTCGCGGCGGCCGAGGTAAGGGTGTGGAAGAAGCCTGTGGAGTCGCGAAGGAGTGTAGAGATAGCATAGCAATTTGTGAAGGAGTCGTCGGAGAGGAAGTCTTTGAAAAAGGTTGGGCAAGTAGTAGTGGTGAAGTTGTTGGAGAGGCTGGTGTCGAAGGCTGTGGGGAAGGTCGACGATGAGGTTGAAGAAGATGATCGAGGCTCAACAATCCGATGCTCGTGCTCGTGGTGTCCGTGATGGTGGATGGGTGGAGCATCCCTAACGGACACTATGTCGACGATCGTTTGGTCTGGGCCTAGTCGCGACGCATCGGCAGACTTTGTCGTTGTCTGGCTCTCCTCAGCAAGGGCTGCTGGGATGATCAAGGCCCAGAGGACAAGGACGATTGCCCATTGATGGGCGAGATTGATCCGTGAGTGTTGGTGCATTCTGATCAGGGCGTGGATTCGTTACGGTCGGTTTTGGTGGAGGAGGGTCGATGGCATGAAATGAGTGACAGCAGGCATGAGGCGATTAGGATTAAAGTGTATAGAGCAATAGCAACAGCATATAGCTGAAAAGGCAATGAAGGAGAGTGGTTATTCGAGAATTAAGGGCAAGACATGATACTGTATGCTCCGGTGGGAGAGAATGGACGGACAGCGAGTCCAAATCACATGGAATGAGTGATTGATCTATTGATCTAGAACAAGAGAGCGAATGACAAAAGCATAACGACGAAAGACAGGAAGGGAGGGAGGGAAGAGGAGAAGAAAAGAGAAGGATAGGGGATGTTAAGGTTGGAGAGAGAGTCGTCTCAGGCCGACGTTTAGTGTGTTCCATCGAAGCGTCTGGACTCCGCGCAGCAGCCACGCTCTGACACCAAGAGCCAATGACCGCGTGTCCATCACTTTGTTTCCTTCCAAGGCTGCGATGCCCGAGAGTACAGACGGCAGCCCGGGAGGACAAGGTACCTGACCTTAGGGCTGGCTGCAGTCTTTGTGCGCTGTTTGTGTTTGGGAAATGGGAACAGAGCCGGCATGAGACAATTCATTGTGCGCCTGCAAGCTCGGTTGAAATGGCAATGTTTGAGACATCTTCGACGATAAGCGATCGCATCTATGAAAAACTATAGATCGCACTTTGGCATGAAGAATGCTTCAGTGCATCGAAGCCACGAGGCCCCGGCGCCTGCCAATCAGCGAGTGGAGTTCTCCTCCACAAAAGTCCACTTTCTCTATCGCAGTCGCAGTCAGCAATCATGACTTGACAACCCCTCCTTCGCCCAGGATTTAATCGCATCAGATATTAAACACCCCTACTTGAGACTCTCTCCTCCCATCATGTCCGCCGACCTGGTCCCTGAGACAAGGGTCCTTGCCGTTGCCAGCCATGTATGCGCTCCCCCACTATGACAGCCCACTATCAGACTCAGACTGACAAATCCAGGTCGTCTATGGGTATGTCAACCTTTTTTATGTTGCACAAGTCTGTATAAATAAGTCACCGATAGCTGAAACAGTGAGAATCAACCAACAGCCATGTCGGCAACAAAATGGCAACCCTCGTCATGCAGTCCATGGGCTGCGATGTCGCGGCCTTGAACACCGTCCATTTCAGTCAGTATTTACATTCAATTTACCTTACTATCCTCAACTAACACTTCTCAGGCAACCATACCGGCTACCAGCAGTTCAAGGGCACAAGAGCCACAGCCGAAGAAATCAGAAACCTCTACGAAGGATTATGCATGAACAACCTTACAGATTTCGATGTCATGCTCTCCGGGTATGCACCTAGTGCTGCTGCGGTTGAAGCCGTTGGGAGTATCGGGATAGACTTGCAACGGAAATCTGCAGACCGTTCTGGTTCTTTCTTTTGGGGTGGGTTGTATTTCCGGTCCTGTCAAGAATATGCTAACGGATCATTAGTTCTGGACCCGGTCATGGGCGACCAAGGCCGGCTATACGTCAACGACGACGTAGTCCCCGCGTACAAGAATATAATTCAGCACGCTGACTTGATTCTTCCTAACCAATTTGAGGCCGAGTATTTCACCTATCCGTATCCATGTTTCTGGATGATGAACTAAGAACAACACTAGAGTTTTATCCGGGATCCAAATAACCTCCCTCGAGACCCTCGCAAAGGCCATCACAGTTATACACGAAACCTACAAAGTTCCGCATGTAATAATCACTTCTGTGCAGCTATCCAAGCTCCTTCCATCCCCTGAAAATCCCTCTCCAAATTCGACACAAAACCTCCTAACGATAATTGGCTCGACTACACTCTCCACGGGTAAACCGCGCCTGTTCCGCGTTGATGTTCCAGCTATAGACTGTTTCTTCAGTGGGACAGGCGACATGTTTGCTGCGTTGACGGTTGCAAGGCTCCGCGAAGCTGTCTTTGCCGATTCAGACAAGAACCTGCGCAACACAAAGTCGTGGGTTTCGGCTGACGACGTGAAGCCAACCGACTTGCCACTTGCGAAGGCGACAGAGCGGGTGCTGGCTAGTATGCACAATGTGCTGGAAAGGACCATCGAGGCGCGAGATGCAGAGCTTGTAGCTACTGCGGCGGCGGCGGCTGCTGGAGCCGAGGGGAACGAGGAGGAGCTAAAGAAGAAGGAGCATTTGCGACGAACGAAGGCGGCTGAAATACGCCTGGTGAGGAATGTGCGGTTTTTGCGTGAGCCAACGGTGGAGTTCAAGGCAAAAGAGTGGGAGGGAGAGTATTAGAAGGCTTTACTTGCTGCATTGCATTGTTACCCTTCTTTTTTTAGAGTGTAGTATAGAGTATCATTATGAGAGGTTATTTTGGTCTAGATCATGGGAAACGTGACAGTATCCATCTAAAGCGTCATTCTTACATTACAAGCATTTTCAAGCTTAGTTGGTACCGGTGCTTCCAAAACCGCCAGCTCCTCGCACACTCTCTGCCAATTCCTCAACAACCGCAACTTCGGGAGTGAAAATCTACAAGCATGTCAGTAACGAAGCCCTATAATAGCACGAAGTCGAATCCAAGAAATTCTTACCCTCTCCAAAACCAGCTGCGCAACGCGGTCTCCCTCCTTGATCGTAAAGTCGACATCGGAGAAGTTGAACAGCAGCACCTTCACCTCACCCCTGTAATCGGCATCGATGACACCAGCACCGACATCAATAAAGTGCTTCGAGGCGAGACCACTTCGGGGTGCGACACGGCCGTCTAATGAGATCGTCTGTTAGCACCATTTCCCAAAAGGAAAAAAAAAAAAAAAGGCAAGACCGCGAAGATAAACATACAGGTACCCTCAGGCACCGCAACCGCCAGCCCAGTATCAACAAGGCCCTTCCCCTTCGCGGGGATAACAATCTCCTTGGCAGCGTAGAGGTCGTAGCCCGCCGCGAACGCCGAGCCGCGTGTTGGTGCGCGGGCGGCGGGTGTGAGCTTCTTGACTTGAAGGGCGGGAGTAGGCGTTGATGCCGTGGGAGCAGTGGCGACAGGGGCGGCGGTGCTGGTAGAGGCCATCGTTTCTGTAATTGTGTTGGAGGACTTGGGGCGTTTGGCGATGGGGGAGGCGGGGAGGGAGGGAGGTTCGCGAGTTGCTGTTGTGGTTGTTGATGGGGGTGGTGTGGTCTCTTTGGTCATGATACGGTTGTATTGGAATTGGCTGAAGAGGAAAGAAGAGGAAGAAGAGGTGGAAAAGCGAGAAGGAGAAAGTGCGGTGTATGATTTGCAGCGGAGATGCAAGCGATTGATCGATCTCATCCTCGAGTCTATTCTCGGTGGGCGCTGGGACGCGTCTGGCGGCACGCGTAAAGTGGCTGGCGCGTGTTTAGCTTGTTTGCAGTCGGTATGAGACATCTTACTAAGCTGCGCAGATGGCTTGGCTGGCCGGCCTGGCGTACTGCCGACCCCGCAGAAACCAATTGTTAAGTCCAGCTGGGCCTCGGTCCGGGGGAATGCTGGAGACGCAATGCTCTCCGAGGCCTCTTCTTAACCACCAGGGACGTTTTCGACCTGACTATGAGTCTTCTTTGGTCTCGACACCATATTCTAAATTGTGGGAGGACCGATCCTTAGCTTGTCGCATATCAGATTGATTTCAACACAATGGCTGGAGCTGTCCGGCAGCAGATTGATATTCCCGCCCTGGAGCGGTATATCGAGCTGAATGTACCCCTTATCAAGACGCCGTTGGAGGTGAAGCAGGTATGTCGCGGGCTCCGACGACCCCAGAGCCATGAATGATGGCTCATCCCTCGTCCACAGTTCGGGTTTGGCCAGTCGAACCCGACGTACCAGCTCATTGCCGCCGATGGGAATAAATTCGTCATGCGCAAGAAACCGCCAGGGCAGCTTTTGTCAAAGACGGCACATAAGGTGGAGCGGGAATATAAGATTATTCACGCGCTGGAGCAAACGGACGTACCTGTTCCCAAGGCGTATTGTCTCTGCGAGGATAGCAGCGTTATTGGGACGCCCTTCTATATCATGGAGTTCCTAGATGGGAGGATATTCACGGACCCAACGATCCCAGACGTCGCACCAGGAGAAAGAACAGCTCTGTAGGAAGCTCATACCTGTGACGGTATATCAGCCGCTAACTTCTTTCAGATGGAAAGATGCAGTCCGCACTTTAGCAAAGTTCCACCGCGTGGTCCCTAAATCTGTTGGCCTAGAAACATTCGGCAAACCAAGCGGCTTCTACGACCGTCAGATTGCAACATTCACAACTGTCTCAAAAGCGCAAGCGCAAGCCGTTGACGTCGAAACAAACGAGCCGGTCGGCGATCTCCCACACTTCATGGAAATGGTGCGCTTCTTCCAGGACAAGTCTGCGCAACCTAAAGACCGCGGCACTTTAGTGCATGGCGATTACAAAATCGACAACCTGGTCTTTCATAAGTCCGAACCCCGCGTTATTGGTATACTCGACTGGGAAATGGCGACCGTCGGCCACCCGCTCTCGGACTTTTGCAATCTCACCAGCCCGTACTTCCTCGAGGGCACAGAGTATAATGCGGAGAACTTCCAGCCGGGCGCTGTGCCCGGTCTCCCCACGCGCGAGGACTGTCTGCGCTGGTACAGCGAATTCGCTGGGTATGACCCAACCCCGGAGATTGTTTGGGGCGATGCCTTCTTTTCGTGGAGGAGCTCGGTCATCATGCAAGGTATCAAGGCTCGCTATGCGTTGAGACAGGCTAGTAGTGCGCGGGCGGCAGAGTACGCCCAGAAGACGGTGCCCTTTGCCCTTGGAGCATGGGAGCGCGTGCAAAAGGTACAGAATGGGCTGCGGCAGAAGGGCAAATTGTAGTCCCTACCCTAGCCTTCGATCTCGAACGTTCGATGTTCCGGTCTATCTACCGGGATCTTTAGCTAGGTAAGCGTATTCCGGGACTACAGCAGAGCCTTGGACTTGTGGTGTGGAGTACCTAGATTCGAGAGGTCGATTGCGTGGCGTGCTGGCGTTGCAGCCACGGATGTGATTGTTTGCGAACGCGGGCCATAGCTAGAAGCCGACAGTAAGCCATCGACACCACATCCATGGAAGCGACAATCCACGGTGTGCACGGGCTCCCTCTTCTTGTTCTGTATATACATCCACCTACATATCACAGTTTGCGGGAGGGATCATCCGTCTCAATCAGATCATATGATAATAATATAGATTCACCTTTAAGGCGTTCCAAGTTTGGTGTCTTACCACCCACCTCCAGCTAGCTACCTACCTTACTTCCTCTGTTTCTTGTCTACCCCGCCTTCCCTAGTAACTAGCAACATCAGACTTCGGAAGCGAACGCGAAGGATGGAGGTGCCCTTTGTATTTGTCAGTGTAAGCCAGCCAGCCATTGTGTACCAACTGTCTTCCGTAGACCGCAGCAGGCTACTGCCCACCCTGCAGCGGGGTCAAAACACCGAACATCCGGAGGGATGCGATGCCGGCGAGTCGCGACTCCAGTTCCCACACGCATACTTATCTACTGACTCAAATGTACAAAAGCTTACCGTACAAGGCTAGTCCAGATGCAGGAGAAGGAACAAAGAACAGGGATGTGGGAGGGAAGTGGAGGATACGGATACGCCCGACCCCCGAGCGATCTCGGATCAGCCATGATTGGGGGGTCAATGACGAGTGAGGTGCGGTGAGGTGATGGTAGTGAGATGAGCGACGTGGGAAGACTGCCTTGCCTTACCTTACCTTGCCTATAGATGGGATTGCAACTGTGATAATAGCTGCATCAGTACGGAGTACGGAGTAGACCAGACCTGGAGACTTCGTATCGAAAGCGCCAAGAGGGAAACACCCGGGCCAGTGAGGCGTCACCAGCGCATCTCGCACTACTGTAACTGCCAGGTAGGTAGTGTGGTCTGTGGGTGTCAGCAAGCATGGGATTGGCATTGGTGAATCATGAGGCGCGGCGGCGGGAGGTTCTAGCTTTACCGTTGAACGAGGCGGCGACTGAAACAGAACTAATTGGATGCGGCTCATTCGGTGCTTTCTTTTCTTTTTTTTTAATTTCTTTTTCTTGTTGGTTTTTCGTCTTGCGTTGCGTTGCGCAGACAATTGCTGATCCGCCCGCCTTGACCCGCCTCTGAGTATACTCCGGATGTAATATACCTCCTGACTGACAGGGAGGCTTTGTGTATCGGCCAATGAATTGAAGGGTGATCGGGTCACTCACAGGCTTGTCTATCTTAGGGACCTGCCCAAAGGAGGGTACCGGTATGTCCACGCACAACGTCGCACTCCCCGAGGCTGCATGGTTTGGTTTGGGGGAAGACCGGTTGAAATGATGATGCAGCAGCTGGTGATGGAGAACTGCTGACACCGGAGAAACAGTGGTCGGAAGCAGACTAGGCCGGCGCCAGCACCCGAGTGAGACAGCGCCGTTGAACAAGACATGACCAAGAGTGATGTGATGACAATCAACGCATGCTTTATCTGAGACTGAGGCACTGCGGAGCGGCTCGTCAATCGGAGGAGTTAGTTTAGGGTGGTTTCAGTCCTCCGTAGTTCCAGAAGGAAGGAAAGAAGACGCCCAGGCCGGTAGAAGAGCTGATTGTGGTTAGAGTTGAAGAGAGAGGGGGCTGGAAGCAAATAATGATTCTGATTCCCTGTCAGACAGACAAGCCGGCCCAGATTGATCCTCGTAGTCAGCGGCATTTTTGTGACGTTTGTTGCCGGGGAATTTCAAGCGTCTCAGTCTCTTGCGGAGGAGTTCCGAGTTTCTGCTCAAAACACAGATGAAGGATGCTCCGTGGAAACCCGTTTTATCAAGCGCCTGAGCGTCTTGGATTTAGTAGGTGGGCATGGACGATGAATCATGATACAGCGGCTCTGTTGCAGAGAAGTGAGGAGTGAGGAGAAAAGTGGTCCGTGGAGAGGGGAAAGACAGGGAAACGTGGCCGATCATTTCTGCAGAGTGACAGTTGTATCCAACCAGCGCCTGCCAAGCCGCGTCCAACCTGCTGACTGACTCTGACTCGGAGGACATTCACATTCTGACCATGGGCTTCGGACAGTTGAACACTGCCATGAACGAAGATGGTCCAGAAGAAGAAGCACTGGGAAGCAAGGACGTTAAATATTCGACAAGAAGCTGCAGTGCAGAACTCAACTGTCGGTGCAGAGTCAGGCCATGCCAGGTTGTACCCGGGAGGCCGTAATTGGCGTCCCGCCGGCTGCAACAGTTGATTTCCTGATTTTCCTTAGCCCGGTCTCCCTAGCTGCTTCTTTTGTTCTTCGCGTGGTTTCTTTTTCTTCCCCTCCTCCGCAACCAGGTTTGCGGTGGATTCGCCGGCTTCGTGGCGGTCAGCAGTAAGGGCGCATTGCAGCCTTAGGTACCAACTGCTGACAGCGCACTGTCACAAGCAGGAATGGAATTGGGGCTGGGGTTGGGATAACTTGGGAGGACATTGTTAAAGAGTATTGTTGAAGAGCAAAATATGAGACCCAGAGCTTCAACTCTCAAGTGTGGTAGAAGTGGTGGTAAGTGAACAAGCAGTTCCAGCGGTTCTCTGCAAGGAGCACAGTTCAGCCTCCTTGTCATTGCATCCAATGGCCGCCGCAAAGACAGAGCCGCATCGGTGTGAGTGGGCCGTCAGCTGGCTCTAGTCCGTCTAGTCGCCTGCTGCTCGTGCTCGTGCTGGGGACGTGGCATTTAATCTTACGCACTGCAAGCCGCCGCCTCTAGGAGCTTCCCTCTTGCGCTCTAACGCCTGCTTCAAACTCTTTTAAGCCCCTTTTCATCCTTTGCTATCCACTAGACTGCCATCGGCCCTTTTCTCGGGATTAGTTGTCAAAACGAGCTTCACCCCACCTTGTTGAGCCGACTATTTTATGTTTGCCTAGGTGGCGCGCTGCAGTCAGCCTCCCCTCATTATTCTTCTTGCCTTTGCTTTTTCCACGTATACCTATGGCTTTGGCACCCGTGAATTCGCCGAGTTGATCTGCTCTTGAGCCCCCGTGGATCAGTTGGATTCAAGACTGGGCTCATTCTCAGAGTGGGCTCCCAGAAATTAGCCTGCCCGTCGCTTCGAGGTTCGGGGACCTGACGGATTCACGGAACTGCCACTGCTCCACTCTGCGGCGCTTCTGCTTAAATTATTCTCTGAATCGCTGGCCGGCATCGTCGTCATTTCTTCAGTCCATGTCCATCAAGCTGACCGCTCAGAGGCTCTGAAAGTCTGCAGCAAGCCAGTGTCCACCCTTGCCAAGCAGTCGAACAGGAACTGCCGTACGTTGCATCCCGTCGCCCGCTCATTCTTCCATCTTCATCTACGCGCCGCTCCTGCTTTTCTTCCTTCTCTCTTGTTCATTCCTTCGTACACTCCCCTTCTGTCCCTTGTCTGTCCTGGTTCTGCCCCGTGTGGTCGTTTTCTGCGCCCTCCGGAATCTCCGAGCCTCTGATTCTGCCGGCGCTTCCACCAGAATCATCCCAGCTCACTGGCGATCGACGCTGGCGTCATCCCATTCCTTGAAGAACAAAATTGTGCTGCATTCCAGGCATACTGGCCTCGTGTTATTTTCAATACCGTGAGCGGAGCGGTTTGTTTATATCGCTCATCAGCCTTGTCTCTTGAGCCTCAAGCGGTGCGCGATTCGACTCCGATTGAGCCTCATCCGTTCCTGGAACCCAGGTGAGCTTATTTCGCCTCCGCTTTCAACATCGTCAACCCTCTTTTCAACCTTTCATCCTTCCATCTTTTTGTATTCTTACCCCGTCCGCTGTCATTCCACTAGTGGCTCTGCCATCATGTCTTTACCCGTCTGGCCTGTGTAACTCGATGCTCTTGATCAAAGCCACTGTCGCACCTCTTGCCATGATGATATACTGCGTCTTGTAATAGTCCACCCCACTGACACCACCATAGATAACCCTCGACCTAGTAATTCAATGGTCTAAGTGCAGAGCCCCTACTATTTCAATCTGGGTGCTGTTTTGGCTTGTCTACTAGGAACAGCCAAAAAAGATTAGCTTATGCCCAAGAGGGCCAACTAAACACACCCAACCGCTTAGATCAAGACTGGCGCTCCTGATGCGCCATAAACCACCTCCATGATTACCGACGCAATGGATCACGAATCCTCACCTGGACTTAAGCCGTTTATACCGGACTACACGCCCAGGGCCCCATCGCCTCCGCCATTCGCTCATCAAGGCCAGTCACCGGAGGGTGATGCAAAGCATGCGGACAAGGATTTTCTAAGATCTAATAAGCCGTTGAATATTCGAATTGGAGGGAAGGAGGCCCATGCTGCCCTCCTCCAATCTGACTTTGGCGCCAACATCCCAGACCTCTGGAGGCTTGAAAGAGAAAACCCATCTTCAGACCCTTCTCCTGTCGATCAGGGCTTTCCCTCTAGAGGCTCGGAACTGGTCAGAACAATCAACCCTTCCAAGAAGCTTCCGGAGCCTAAGCCCGTGGAACCTGGATTCAAGCCCGACCTGAAAGTTCTTGCAGAAGAAGCACTTGACTTGGACAGCAGCAGCCCGGAAGCTGAGCCACCACAGTCGCCACCTCTACAACCCCCTGGAGAAAAACGGGTCGTACTTCCTCCGCTGTCTGAACTAGTCAATGGTCCGGTAGAGTCAATACCTCCGCCTAGACTGGATCCGTCTCCATCATCTATCGGCCAGGCTCATTATAACTCGCTGCCTGCGCTTCGTAACCCGTCAGCAGCTCAATCGCCAGAAGATTCCGGTCTGAGGCTACCCCCTATACAGACCAAGCTCAATCAGCTCAATGAATTTGGGCCTGTCCTTCCGCCACCGAATGGCCCTTCTCCACGTCCTGTGGGTACACCATATTCTCTGCCTTCCGTCGCCGCTGTTTCCCCGCCTTCAGCGAGGGTTGATCCCAGCCCTCGGGAACTATATCGAGCTCCCTTGATGCCATCCAAAATACCACCTAGCCCTTACTCACATCTTTCGCCTGCAAGCACGCAAGCCATATCTGCCGTCTCATCCCCAGCCTCGCAGCAACCTTACTGGCGTACTGTCAAAGCACCCTATCCGTACGATCCACCATCCACAGTCTCTAACAGGAGTCCGGCGTCGAACTACCCAACGCCAATTGAGCGCGCCTCGACAGGTGCTTGTGAGCCAGGGGCCTTCACGCCTTCGTCGCAAGGCAGCACGGCTGGGCCAACAGGTACATTTAAATGCTCACACCCAGGGTGCACAGCACCTCCCTTTCAAACGCAGTATCTGTTAAAGTAAGTCAAATTATGATATCAGCAATACCTCTACTGACGGTCTTAGTTCACATGCAAACGTCCATTCGCAAGATAGACCTCACTTCTGTCCAATTGAAGGGTGTTCGCGCGGTCCTGGAGGAAAGGGATTCAAGCGCAAAAATGAGATGATTCGCCACGGACTAGTCCACAACTCCCCCGGATACGTTTGCCCCTTCTGTCCAGACCAGCAACATAAATACCCGCGGCCTGATAATCTCCAAAGGTAAGCTCTCATTCTGTGTCCTTGAATTGTATACGGCTGGCTGACTGTTGTAGACATGTGAGAGTCCATCACGTGGATAAGAACAAAGATGACCCTGCTCTTCGACACGTCCTTGCTCAACGACCCGAGGGGAGCGGCCGAGGGCGACGACGTCGGATGAATCCTCAATAACACCTACCATTATACGATGCTTGCCCCCATTACCATTACAGCGCTGTTCTGTTCTGTTCTGTTAGGAGACGGCTTTCTCCGTAGAATTTTCGGAGAATAACGCGGCCATCTCATGAGTGGTTCACAGCACATGCATTATGATACCTATTCTGCTCTACTTGTCCTACTCTGATTTGCTTTTCTGCTTTGCTCCGACTAGCGATGCGATACCAGATGTTAATGTTAGAACATTTGTGCTCTGCTTGTCATCCGTTCTTGCATTCTCTTTCCCTGATCAGAAAGGGCAAAGATGGAGCGTGGAGTATATGCTTGGTTCCGGCGTACATTCAAAGTTTCTTCGTTCGTTTCATTTCTGTGAATTCTCTTATATGTATTTCCTTCAGCGTTTCAAATGTCTGCATATTTATGGGAAACCCCGCTTATTTATTCAGGGGCTGGCGTCTAGGGCCTGATTTTTGAGAGCGAGTCGTGGTTTGAGGGTTCGGGCTAAGCTGGACTAGTCTGGATGGCGTTTGAGGGAGGAATGGATGAGGAAAGATGGTCGGACCGAGACAGAATGGAAGAAAGAAAAAAGTAAGGTTGAATTGAGATGAAAGAAAGAACCGCTAGCCAGCTAGCCAGGACTATGACCATGACTATCAATCCAGTATTTAACATATTTTCAACAAATAACATGCTATAACTTCAGCAAACCAGAACCATAGTCAGCCATAAATTGTACTCAGATCGATTCCGAACCTGCAAATTGAGTAAACCAAACGAACCATCTCTTGCGCCGTTCTATCCAATTTGTTTTCCGTAATCCCATATCCATACAGTCGTCACCATTTCCATCTTGGGATCCAGATGGAAAGGGAAGTAAGCGGGTAGACGGCCACCGTCCAAGAGCCAGCTCCATAGATAGATAGACACCACCTTCCGCTCGACACTCAAGAAAGGTAAACCTCAAACGCCCTTATGGATCCGCCGAACATGATCCTTCATATTATCGACCCGTGAGAAAACCCTCGTGCAACCCTCACTCGCCCACTCACAGACGATGCCCGGGTTATGCTTGGCCTCGTGGCGATCGCGGTCCTTCTTGCTACTGAACCCTGCTCCGGGCATCTGCGGGTTCGACTGCGGGCACCCGTCGTGCCGGCAGAAGAGGTGCTTCCGGTGTCGGTTGTAGTGCTTGCGCAGGTCGCAGCCTCGGCGGAAGAGCGAGGACGAGGTGCAGGATGGGTAGGCGCAGCGCCAGGCGCCTGGGTGGGTGGGTGAGGGTGTGCCGTAGAGGGAGAGGTCTTTGCTGTTGCTTGCGTTTGCGTTTGTGGAGGAGGCGGAGGTTGTGGAGGGGGTGCGGGTTGGGACTTGTTGGTTCAGCTGGGTTTGGGTGGGGTCGGATGAGGTTGGGGCGTAGGGGTTGTGGTTGTGGTAGGAGGGAGAGGGCGAGGAGAAGGGGCCTTGGTCGACGTCGACATCGAGATCGAGGTCGAAGTCTGGGTCGATGTCGGAGGATGGGATGGAGTCTTGGTATGTTTGGGGGTGGTAGTGCGATGAGGCTTGTGGGGGGTGAAGCCATTGCGTGTTGCTGTTGCTGTTGCTGTTGCTGTTGCTGGGGGTCTGGCTCATGGTGGTGGCAGGGTAGTATGGGTTTTGCTGAACGTAGGGCTGAGGTTGAGATGCTGGGTAGTAGGAGGCCGTTGGGTCGAGTTGACTGCTAGTGCCGTAGGAAAGATACTCGTCCGGGACAGAGACGGCATGGTTTGGCAGGGGGGCAAAGGACCCTGGCGATGCGTAGAACATTGTATTGTCTGGCGCGAGGATGAGAGGGTGCTCCATCGTGGTTGTGTAGGGCTCTGGGTAGCCTTGTCTTCTCTAGGGACTGTTAGTTTACTCGAAGACGAGATTATAAATGTGTACGCGCGACGTACAGCTCTGTTGTCTTCCATGTTCCATGTCTTTCGCTGCTTTATAATGTGGCAGTGGTCGCGGTGGTATCGGGTTCCGTGGAGGCCGTCGGATAGGTTTGTTGCCACCAGCATGACTTTATATTCTTCGGAGCAGGACGCAGTTGCGTAGTGATGATATACTAGCGGTTATCGTCGTGTAGCGCAGTGCAGTGCAAGATCGAACTTCAGATTAAGCCCCAGGTCGTTTTAATATTAGCACCCGGCATCGAGCCAGGACGGACCCAGGTCAGACGTGGCTATGCACGATCAAATGTCTCTGGCTGACAACCAACGAGGAAGCTGAACGATATCCCCAGATACATGTCCCGTTCTGCTTGGCCCGAACACCAGATGGACTGGTTGCAGCGGGAATGTCACTCTACCTCAGCTCCGGTGACGATCTATGACCGCACAGATAGCTGAAATGATACGTTTACGTGGAATGAGCAAGAACGCGATGATTCTTCAGAGTCAGACTAGTCCCAGGGGGGCGGTATGCACGCGGCTCATTCGTTGGGTTGTGCAGTGGCCGCATGGAGTCCCGGTAGGGCTGAACATCCCTACCCCTCTGTCAGAAGTACCTGAAGGTGAAACCGCGGCATCGCCGACATTTACCGCTTCGTCGGAGCAGGGCGAAGGGACCGGGGCTGCAGACGAACCTTGCTTCAGCAAGACTTACCAGCCAAATGGCCTTGGGTGTCCAAGATGCCAGCAAAATGCTTCCATGACCGCTACAACGAGACTTGGGGTAAGAAAGTCATCCACCACCACCAAAATAACCCTGTCTCCCGACTTGGCATGCGTTCTATCATTGGACAAGTCGTATGATTGTGGCTGATGCTTCCAGCCAAGGCGCAGGCTGCAGACGCACACCGCAGATCGGGAGCGCGAGTCTTTGGTCTTTACCGCCAGCTTTTGGCTGAGCCTCAACGGCGATTCGTGCATACCCCGGGCACCCCTCCAGACTGGCGGTCCTCGACCTTTATATCCTTCGACCCTCGGCCCAGTGGCAAGTTGTAAACAGCGGTGTCGGTTTAAGCTCATCTTGCATATTCAGCACCAGGCTTTCGCTTTCGCCGACTCCGTCTTTTAGTTTGAGGTATCCATGGATCACTTTCGTCCCTCATCCCATTCCCACGTCCATCGTTGATCACGTGGCGGAGCTCGCGAGGTTCCGTGCGCAGCGAAACCAACATCGTCATCCTCACGGGCAGCAAACACGAGATTCCTAAAATATCCCATGAGCCTTTCTTCTCGTCTCGTATTGACTCAAATCTGGACCCCACGCGACTCCGCCAGCTTGGCTGGCGACTCGATCGATCCTAGAAACAAGCTCTGGGTTGCTTGCTCAGCGCCGCAATGAAAACGGGCAGTGTGTCAGCGAGTCTCTGTGATTCATAATCGCTGATTCCGTCGTATGGCCCAGGGGTTAGCTGCATGCCTGCTTGTCCCTGTTTGGCGGTTGGTGTATACGGAGTACTCCCCGCCTCCGTGTGATGGTGCACAAGCATTTGTTGGAAGAACCTCGGGTTTCGGGAATTCTCGTAGATACCACGTCGTGGCTTACTCTGCCTTAATTCGGAGGCACACGACAAGGATGCTCTACGCCGTACTCTCGCATATGTACCTGACTCGCGGGTTAACACCGTGTTATGTCAGATTTCTGTGGACCGTGGGGATGAAGGAGTGTCGGTTCCTCGTGTGTAAGTGGCTGAAATCCGACGAGTCAGGAGGCCAAGATTACGGGTAGATCATAGGTCCAGGTTCGCAAATAGGATGTAAACCATGTAATTGACACTCCGATTCTGAGTTCTGAGTGTTCGTTTTCTGAGATCTCCAATCCGCAGTCAACTTATCGACCCAATTTGTCGGATTTGAGACAAATAAAAGTGTATCGAGGCTATCAAATGGCCAAAATCTATATTTAGGAGCATAAATTGCTTCAAACAGCGTCTATCCAACAATGGCCGGTTAGTGTAGTTGGTTTATCACGTATCGTTAACACCGATAAGGTCGCCGGATCGAGCCCGGCACTGGTCATGCAAGTCCTAGATCACCTCTAGATTTCTTTTTTTGCATTTCAAACATCTGGAGGATTCTGTGCCGACAATAGCGGGCTGTAAACGCTGGGACCGTTGCTCTTGTCGTTATCTTCGGCATCTCGGTAAAGGATGTAATGCTGCACCATGAAAAGCAGATCGAAAAAAATGCTCACATTCGACAGGAGAAACTTGATAGGATTCCCGGCAATACCGCTCCAATCGTCTTCAAAGGAGGAGTCGATGACCAATTGAGCTAGCGAAAGCACACCTCCAGTGAAATCGAGCAAGATCTGGACAATGCTCCAGCCACGTGTGGATTTCCGCTTATAGTTGACCCACGCTTGCGGCACGTACTTGACAACCGTAATCACTAGCTTCACGTATGAAAGAGCGTAAATCTGGGATTTCATGTCAGATCTGCCCAAAAATAGGCCGAGGTCCATGTGTGTTCCTATTGGCTGTACTTACTACGTCGATCCAAGCCCAGCTCAACGGTTCATAGCCATCGTCGGGGCTCTTGGCTAAGACAACGCAGACAACCACGGCCACTGCGACAAACGCACCCCAGAAGAGCCCTGCAATCGGCGTACTGACTTTCTGGAAGCGCGATACCTGGAAGCCCCATATTTTCGGCCAAAACTGCGAATAGACCAGTCCGCTCAGGATAACGGCATGCAGGGTAAAGGCAAAGTCGTTGAACCGCACTGTTGGCTCCTGAGCCAAGGGATGCCGAGCGGCATACTGACGACGGATCACGGGAGAGTATAAGAATGTCCCCGTATATACGGCATAGCAGACGAATCCGAGGACATTGATCGTGGGGAAGTCGATGGCCAGTCCGGTGGTCGCCTTTCGGCGGTAGTTCTCAATAGGTTGGGGATAGAAGGAAGCGGACCAACAGAGTGTGCTTGGAACTGTTAGTTCGCCATGACATAGCATAGAGCACTGTTGGACTTACTAGATCCATCCAAGAAGGCTGCTCGTTAGAAAGGCCGGTTGTCAATAATCAGCCTTCGATTGTGGGAAGTTCAACGCCTAATTAAATAACCACCTACCGCGAAAGAGCCTTGATAAAAGCTTCGAGTTGGGACATCGCGCCGTCTACCGTCAGTCCATGAGGGGTTGATCAAGTTCAGGCTGGGTCGCTCAGTTCGATAAGCTTGGAAGGGACCGGCGGAATCGCGTGATGTCAATGATAAGATAGCAATCAGCTACAAACGGCAGGCGGTGAAGGTCAATAACAAAGTGACTCCACTCGTTGCTCTGGATATGTGCTGGAACGCTAGTCCTAAAAGGGCGAAATGTTGTTTGGCTGTCGTTCATCCAGCCACTCGCTTTTGCGATCTGAGCCCAGTCAGTGTCAGTCTCGATCGCATGCTCTTGCAGCTCGCCTTCTTTCATCTCCTGAAACCTCCCTGCTAATTGACATTGTCTCTTTCTTGCGGCTGAGAGTTGTTTCTTCTTTGCGTGGTGATTTCGAGTCTCCCGCCCGCCTCTATATCTATCATCTGTCTACCAAAATCCAGCCATATTGATTACCCCCACCGATAGCTCGATCGAATACCAGAAATCGGTACATTCCTCGACCCCATACGATCGCGCTCGAGCAGGCACCAGCTATCCACCAAGAGACCAATCCCTTCGATCTGACCCCATCGTCTATCGTCGCATGGTGCATTCCTCGAAGCGGGGGGTCTTAATAGATCTCCTTCGGTAAACTCGATTACTATCTCAGATAGCCTGAAGATTTCCGGCGCGACAAGCCACTGCAGTCATGTCGGACAACTCGGGGCTTACGTCGCCTGGGGAGGCCACCTATTCCTCCAATACCTTGCATGTTGGAGATGGAACATGGGACACCGACCGCGACACCTTTCTTCTCCCCAATCTCATGGGTGTGAACTTTGAGACGATGAGGTACAATGGTATGTGACAAAGTAGCCGGCTACCTTTGATTTTTCGCACTAACTTTTTTGTTTACAGGAATGGGAAACAGGTTCCGAGACATGCCTCATTACCACACCCTAATTATTGCTCATGGTGTTATCGCAGCGATTGTATTTCTCGGGCTGGTTCCCTTGTCGATCCTGCTTGTGCGATATTACTCGCTCCGAAACCCATACCAGGCCTTCAAATATCACGTTTGGTGCCAGGTTCTTACCCTTTTCTTGAGCACAGTTGTGTTTGTTCTCGGTTGGTTTGCTGTCGGACCGAGCCGAAGCCTTACGAATCCGCACCATGGTATCGGTCTCGCCATCTATGTTATAATAATTTTTCAGGTCATATGGGGCTGGCTTGTTCATAAAATCGAGCGGAATAAGAAGAGATTCCATGTGCCTCTGAAACTAGTGGTAAGTACTTCGCTGCCTTCATCATGCCAGCCCTAATCGGATCATAGATTCATCGCTGGCTGGGACGCGCTCTGGCAATTTTGGGAATTGTGCAAATCCCCCTTGGACTCACTCTGTACGGGTCACCAAAGGTGCTGTTCATCTTATACGCGGTTGCTGGGTTTATCCTTCTGGCAATATTCTTCGTGCTGTCGTATCGATATGATGAAGACGGTGGTCCGTCTGGGGACGGTGACTATGACACCCGCTATAGTTTTATTTCCAGGCGGCCGGACGACGATGATCACAGGCGTAGCAGTCTTGGACGGATGGCAGCAGCTGGAGCTGCCGGAGCTGGGTTGGCGACACTGTTCCGTCGACGCAGCCGCGATCACGCCTCCGAGAGCTCCCAAACTTCCTATATGGATGAAAAGTATTCGGATGAAGGGTCACGCCGCGGCGGCTTGGGAAGCAAATTTCTTAAGCTAGGTGCACTCGGTGGAGGTGCTATGCTTGCCAAACGCTTTTTTGACAGGAGGCGAGAACGAGAAAGCGACACCGAATCCGGGAGATATCAGCCTGCCCACCGTAGAACCGACAGCATGACAGAAGAAAGTTTGAGTCGCCTCGACGATCGCCCACCACCGCAACCAACCTATCCGGCTCCCGTCAATCGTCCTCCGAACAGACCGCCGAGCAGAGAGCAGAGCATCAGCTCCTCTTATTACGACTACTCGTACTACTCACACGACGAAGAACGCCCAACCCATACGGCTCGAAACGCCTTATTCGGAGCAGGTGCACTTGCGGCTATCAAGGGTTTCTTCTCCCGGCGCAAAGGAAAAGATGATGAGCAGCGTCATGTGGAAGAGCTGCGGCGTCACGACCTCAAGCATGAGAAGCTAGCCCGAGCAAACAGTAAACGGCGATATACTGGAGATGGGTATTACCCTCAACGCAAGCGTCCAGCTTCCCAAACAGCTACCGATGTCTCGACCGATCTCACACCCCGTCCTCCTCGCGCGCAGTACCCTCCAGAATCGGCCCTTTCAGCAGCGCCTGTCGCACCCGGCGCGGTTGATGATGCACACTCTGAACTACCTCCAGCCCCACCAATCCATTACGATCCAGCCTCAACCATGACTCCCGCACCCGCAACGTCGCACCCGCCACCACCTCCAATCGTCCCAGTTACTGCTGCCCATGGTGGCTCCGCTGGCCCTTCGTCAGGTCACCTACCGACCCCCGGCGGCGCCGCATGGCAACGAGAGGGCCACGTCGAGTCTCCGCCAGTATCAATCAAAGTAAAGATGCACGACGACGGGCGAAACATCACACTCCGGCGGTTAACAGAGGAGGAAGCAGCCGCCGGCCGAGAAGCCCGTCGCCGCGAGAGACGCAACTCGCGCCGCCGAAACGGAAGCGTGAGCTCACTCTCCGGCAATGAAGGCACCGGCAGCCGTGATCGTTGGCGCCGCGTTGAAGAGCTCGAACGCCAGCAGCAGGAGCAAATTGATCGCGAACGCGCAGCAGCAGCAGCAGCCGCCGCCGCGGCCACTACACATGCTTCCCCTGCACCTATAACGCAACCGCCGCTCGCTCCCGCCCCTGCTGCTTCAGGGTACAGCATCCCTCCTCCCGCCTCGTCATTCCTTCCTCCACAACAAAGCATGAGCCATATCCCCCCTCGTGCGCCATCAAGCAACCCCTACGGAAGCATCACCTCGCCTGTGGGAACATACACCGGGACTGACGCGAGCGAGTACGCCACTAATCGGCGCCGGAGGCGAGCGGAAAGAGCCCGAGCAAGGCAGGAGCGGCAAGGGCATAGTGTTGAATTCACATAATACCACTACCCTCGACTCTCTCCCCTTAAAGCTATCTCCTCTTGAACATCTGTACAGATAAAGATTCTCTATTCGATGTATCTACGTCTTTGTTCCCCGCTGTTTATTCTCTTTCCCCCTACATATGTCTGAATGATCTACTAAGGTAATGACATGACGCTAGCGCTAGTTTTTCCCCTGATTTTCTTACGTTGATCTGAGTCGATACGGCTGAATGATATCTACCAGTGTTTTCCTGGCGTGTGCTCTTCTATAACGATCATCGAGAAGTGTTGGTCGATATTGTATGCTATGATTCTTGACTTTCGAAGCGTGAGTTGTCATATGTACTCTGGTATCGCTTCAGACAGGAACTTCAGTAATGAATAAGATATGGTATTCTCTTTCCTGACAATGTGTCTGCTCAACCCGGCCTCATACATCATTCGACCGCCTCTTCTTTCACCTGACTTATCTCCACCGCAAACTCGACGCGGAAGATGAAAAGTAGCCATCGGATAATGATAATAGTGAGACAACGCACAATAGCAACCGCCGTCATGACAATTCTTGAGCGCATGCATTCGCGCAGAACTGCTGCAAGAGCCGTACGGTGCTGAACGAGAAGTAAGGGGGAAATGAAATGCAATTGAAGTACGTATGCTCCGTCGACGAGTCCATGAATTGAAACCTGATCTTGGTCGACAGGGGGCATTTCGCTCCTTGAAGCAAACGGGATGGTAATTGTTGTCCGCACGGTCGGGTTGTGTTTGGACGTGACCAGCTTCCACGGCGTGAAGTAGTGCAAGGCAGTTCTCGTGAGCTGTCTGGGTGAGAATATATTCTGCGAGATGCTCCATAAAGTGTTCAGCGTTCGTTGGAGGGCAGTGGGTTGATTTGTCTCCATGGTGCCGTCTGTTCCTACCGGGTATTGGTCTGCTAGCTTCCAGTCGAAATTTATAATGCCACGACGCAGAGGGAGTTTGTCTATTGTCGGTATCGGGGCGGGAAATGGCATGCTGGGATTGTTCAGCGGTATACCAAGGACCTCCAGCTCCTGATGCGTGAAAGGTCGAGGAAAATAGCGGCCAGGGACGATACTCCTAGTTTCCCAGGATTGCTTTGGCCGAGCCGGGTGATGTTCTGGCGGTTTCCCTGTGACAGCGGGCTCAACGTTTTGGCCGAAATTTCTACTAGTAACCCGTGATGGCAGTGACCGATAAGGCGGTTCTGGCACAGGCCGTCTGTCCTCATCCCTCTTTGGCGGCACCACTTGCAAGGACGGCTGGATGTTTTCTGTCTCACCCTGAGCTGGAATACCGATATCAGCCAGAAAGGGTGGCTTGGGTGGTTTCGGGGGTTTCCATGCTGTTTCACGGCCATTGAAAAGAGACGTAAGTGGAATGTCACCCGGTGCGGCTACTTCGCTCAATTGATGTGTAGCGTGCTTGTCAGATTTGGCAGGCGACAGCACATCCCGCTTGTCTTTTCCAATAGATCCGATTTCAGATTGACGACCGCTTTGGGATATTGGTGTATTATGCGGGTTCATTGGCATCCCGCGACCCTCGAAAAATGGGTCTCTCTCCAATGTCAAATCCGAGTATAGCCTGGGAAATGTAAAGAGAAATCTCTTATAGTCGTCGTCTTCGCTGAAACGGTCAAGCGTGCGCGGACGGTTCTGGATAAAGGATGGCGAGGTAGACCCATGTTGTTCCGGAAGCGTGCTCTTTATATTCCATCTCCGAGGGCTTTCGAGAAGATAACCACGAAGGTAGTCCTCCTCCTCCTCCTCCTCTCCCAAGAACCCCGAATCGTGCGAGAACGAGGTCGGAGGATTTGTTGGCATCTCTTCCGCCATGGTGCGCTGTTGAATCGATGCTTGGCTGTTTAACAGAGATGAGTGGTCGAATGCAGAGGCAACCGATATACTAAAAACAAACTATTCAACGGTGTCTGTCAATTGGAGTCAAAGCGGGGGAAACTCGGAGCTATGTGAGCTGCATTGGAAGTTGGGGGAGATGAGATTTGAGTCAGTGCTAACATGGAGGAAGGAGCAACCCAACCCTTGAAATTAGGCAGGTACCCCCAGATTAGTCCCCCAGTCGCCCGTCTGCGAGTAGATCAGGGATTTGGTATTGAAGGTATCCGATGTGCCAGAAAGTGGTAGGGAATTGTTATAATTCTACAGGTTCAGGGTTGCGAGCGCGAGTGCATATGTACATCAGGTATCTATTTCAGGTGAGCCTGCAGGGTCTCCAGAACCTATAGAACAGTTAGATAAGATGAACTAATGGCTCTGTTTCTCTTGAACCACAACTTACCTCAAGCTCAATCTTGGCCTCGGCAATGTCCTGCTCGCTGCCGTTGCCACCGGCAATCTTCTGGGCTTCGGCGATCTGGGCGCGGACGTTCTAGAGGTGTGAAGAAGGTTTCGTTAGACCTACAACTCGAGTAGTGCAAGGTGCGAGAAGACTTACCTCAGCGCTGAATTCCTCAAGAGGGAAACCCTCAACAGCGTTGATGGTCAACTGGGAGTCGGGCTGGACAACGGCGAAACCGCCAGAAACTGTGAAAGCGATATGTTAGTGATATCACGGATCGCAAACGCAATGTCGATCTAAGCATATATCCGGCAGGGCGTAATTATGTCGACGGTCGGACGTACGGAAAAACTTCTTGCTGCCACCACCCTCCTCAATAATCTCAACGAGACCGGGTTTGAGCTGCTCGATGGAAGGGACGTGGTTGGCAAGGACACCCATCTCTCCGGACTCAGCGGGGATGTTGACCTGGACACTGAATGGAGGTCAGTAACGGCGCGATGGAAGGGTGACGCCGGCAGCGCGCGACCCAACGTGGGCGGTAAGGTGACATACACGTCGGTCGACCTGAAGATGCTCTATTTACCAAGCCGTTGTAAGTCCAAAGCTCTTTAAAGGTATTGTATAAAGTTCACCGGGCGGAGCCGTACCTGGTGAGGGAGCGCAAGGGAAAGCTTGATCTTGTCGTTGACGGCCTCAGCGTAGCCTCTGCGCTGAAGAGGCACGCGGAAAGCGGCGGGGCGAGCCCGGAGGGCAGAGCGGGCGAAGCGAAGAGGGGTCATCATCTTGCAATTGGAGGTTGGGAAAGGTGGTGATGGACGGTCTCCCACTTAGGACTTGGAGTTGCGAGTTGCAAAGGTCGACGTTCGGATGCCGGTTGTTCCCTAGCGCCGTCCGCACACGTGACTGGCAGTAAACACGACGAGGGAGTTCTCCTCCATATACTTCGGACTACACTTTGAATGGCCTTCTGAACTCTGCTAACCGGCCTGCAGATAATTACTTGGAAAGGGGCCCTCAAGCTCATTGCGAAGTTGCTGGCTACGGTACGAGTGAACGATTTTGCTCTTCGACTCTAGTCGTTGCTCCATGGTCCTCGGAAGGTGCCTCTGAATCGTAAACTCTTTGTGGGAATACTCGATTGCTACCCACCGAGCACGCCAGTCGAGCGCTCCGGTCCAAATACTTGTTCTCTTGTCTTGCGTTTACCCTCCAAAGTTTCGATAAAGGTCTGGGGAAGACAATACTTATGGGTATCGAGTATCGACATCTATAGGTCACGTGTAGCAATCGTTCCTCGTCGAAAAAACACTTCCATTATTCTCCGCACAAATCCAGATACCATATGCGAGAAATGAATGCATGGTATAGCTTTAAATAAGCAGCTTTTATATTCCCCGTACTTTGTAGACGCCTTCCCCAGAGTCAGGACTAGATACTTGGGGTCATGGTTGAGTAGGCGCTAGCCATGCTCGGTAAGCGAAATCCCACACAAACTGACCGCCGAGCCCTAGCCGACCCTCATTTGGGTGTGTCTGCCTTTTCCTCAGCTGGATAACCTCACCCGCCAACTCACGTCAACCGTCTTTCAGTCGCGACGAATCTGTCAAGATGGCCAGTACGTTTGCGCCCCGATCATGCTGGAATTTTTTTGCGCTCGAAATCACACCGGCGCGGCCGCCGAGTTGTCGAAGCCGATAGCTAACATTTCTGCCCTTTAGAGTCCAAGAACGCCTCTCAGCACCACAACAGCCAGAAGGCTCACCGTAACGGGTGCGTACGATTCGATTCCCTTACCCTATAATCAGCGTCGGTCGATGGAATGGATATTGTTTTGGGCAGTTGAGCGACAGCTAGCACATGGGATCCGGCAATATTCATTCCGCCAACACCGCAGAATACGACGTCAGCAAGAAGGAACTATATCGCTAATACCTTTTCGCCAACAGTATCAAGAAGCCCAAGACCAACCGTTACCCCTCCCTCAAGGGTGTCGACCCTAAGTTCCGTCGCAACCACCGTCACGCTCTTCACGGTACCGCTAAGGCCCTGGTACGTTGAAATACCGTCCCCACAACCACCGGTTCTCCGCATCGAGTTCGAACACCTGCTAACGGCCCTACAGAAGGAGCGCAAGGAGGGCAAGCGCGAGATCGCTTAAGTCATCTAATATAGAAGTCAAGACGAAAATGAAAGCGATTTGAGCTGGTGATTTCCTTCATCTTTTCACGTGCAATGCAATGAACCCGACCATTCCATCCCGAGAACGTCTGTCGAACGACCCCGGTTTTGTCATATAAACCAAATGGACTCGATTCCGTGACGCTTTTTCTGTTGTTTTTGGTTCTCCGTTGCGACGTCTCGAGGAATCCAACCAGGCATATGTGTGTACAGCTTCGTGCTTAACTCTAATGCGCGCTTGCTGAAGGATTTTATAACGTGCCAAGAAAAGATCCCAGGCCCTCCTATTTACCAATCACCTCTCTTCTCTCCAGTGGCGATGAGGTGCATGGACGGAGGGCTACATCCTTCGTAGGCTAGATAGGAGTAGCTGTTCAATGACATTTGTTTTCTGCCAATTTCAACATGCTTCAGATACCATTGGATAGTGGGTCATGTAGTTAGTCTGCTTGGTCTTCTCCCGTCTTTGGTCGGACTTGAGACTAGATTTCATTGCACCCCTCTCCCCTACAGGGTTGTAACAAGTCTTTCAGGATCGAGACCGATGCATCGGGGTGGGAGATTGGCATGGTCCTGAGCCAACCGGGCAATGAATGTCATTGGTATCCTGGTACCTTTAACCGTTGTAAATCAAACAAAAGAGGAAGTACTAGTAAGACATGGTTGTTTCCGAGTGCTCACGAAGGCTAGTGGAACCCAAAGGACGGTTTGAGATCACGAAATAAGCTTTGAGTGCTTTAATTTACTCCTTATATATGCAAGATCTTTTCAAAAATATAACAATCAGGTGCCGTAGTCTAAAGGTAGGATGCCACGTTGTGGCCGTGTCGGTCCCGGTTCGATTCCGGGCGGCGCCACTTTCTTTTTTGCTTTTTGTTTTCGGGATATGAATTAATGTCAAGCATCCTTTTGCTTCACTCTGAATTATGATCTAGAATAACGAGCCTCATGTTGGCCATTGCTTAGTCTATCCGTCGTTTAATTCTAGAGCGCATATATGATCCGCTGCGTGTAGAGGCGCCGCGTGTTGGAGTAGTAGCTTGCATGAGCTTTGCCAATGGTTAATAGCACAGGCCATGCTTCACCCTGCAGGTAAGAAGGTGTTTGAAAACGCTGGAATGACATCAGCTCTTTCTACATAGTGTGACATTAGTCGACAAAACTGCTGAGGCTCAATGGTTCAGAGGTTCTACTGAGGCTCAATGTCTACTAAGGCTCAAGGTCTACTAAGGCTCAAGGTCTGCTGAAGCTTGGAGGTTTTGGGAGGGCGGATCATATCGAGATCACCCTCGCGGGCCTCTCAAGAGGCCATTGCGGAGTGGGAAAAGAGAAAGAAGGGTAAGACTGAAGTGGAAGATATAGACCTTTGGGAGTGGAGATACAGACTAAGGAGTAATGCAGGTTGGTCGCTGGAGGAGGAAGACGAAGATAATGATTGAGAGTTGAGAGGTGCAAACTGAGAAGTAATGCAGGTTGGCCGTTGGATTGTCCTTTAGTTTTAGGAGCATAGGATCGAAGCAGTAGGAGACGAAATCCGAAAACAGTTGAATTAGAAGTCAATTTTTCCACTCCCTGTGCTCTTCTGTCAGTAAGGTTAGAAGGGAAGCAGGACACTATTAACCGCTTAGGTGCTGTTTCCAGCGCAATATGGACGGAGTATAGGTGGACTTACACCGGTCAGTGAGTTATAGAGGTGATAGAACTCTGTGAACCGTTGCTAATAATACCCTACACCCTCTATCCTGTGTTAGTGGTCTATTTATATATCAATAACAGGCTACGGAGCACCCGATATAGTTGTGTGTGCAGACTGCGGAGGCGAGCCCAGGCGAAAAATTGCCAATATGGATTGCTCAAACGGACGCCATGACTACGGAGCACGCAGAGTATGCACCCCGCTTAGTAGAGCTTCTCTCTGAAGATAGGACTATGGTCAATATGGTAGGAGAGTAGACAGGCGCGCCCGCCCTCCATCGCTTCGGGAAACGAAAACTCAGGACTCAGGAGTTCATATGCAACGCACGTACGTGGGATTGAATCCCCAACGGTCACATCCCGCTATAACTGCAGCTGGGGAACGTACCCCAGGCCAAGACGACAAATGTTACCAGCCCGCAAACCTGTCAATCTCCGAGTGGGAGCCGGAGCCGGAGAAGTCAGGCTTCATTTGCAGGGTAGACGCGACAATTTGAAATGGCGATAGATGCATGTCGTGGAACCCCGGGATTAGCTACCAGACCATAGGCTCATCGCCATGTCTTGAAGGTGCGTCGCAGAGCACAAAAATCCGAGGCTCGGATCCAAGGGCTCGCAAACCTGTCAATAATAGGCGTCTACCCATGGACTCACCACACCATCGGATCAGGTAGGCCAGGACTAGCGTAGCGGGCTCTGGCTCCTCGGGCCAAAGAGAAGGGGAGGCCGACGGGCCCCGAGCGCCAGGAAAAGCAATCATACATGAAGGACTCTCAATCCCGACGCAGGAGCTGTTTGTGCCAGCGGCCGCTCCGCATGGTCTGGCATGAAAACAAAACCGGCACTCGGTCAGCCCTGTGCTTCCGTGGCGCCAGAAGCAAATACCGGCGTTTGGACCCTTTATCAATGGGATTCGATTGACGTAACGGCCGCACGAGAATGTGTGGGCGCGCAGGAGCCGACTGCGTAGGCGAGTGTGGATTACCGTCGACATAGCAACGCAGATAAATAGGCATGTATACCTGGTGGTCTGCAAAGATGAGCAATATGGGTGTGCTCTAGGGTAGGGTACGGGAGTTGAGACACTTGGGCGATGGCCCCCTGGATGGGTCTGACATGACCTCTGCCCTTGTCTGGACCCCAGTGAGCGGAATCGCCACTCCGGCTGAGGAGGTAGGGGTATCCGTACTGAAGAGTGAGATCATGTCTCACTTTATCAGATCCTTGCCTCGCCAAGTCACGTCGCGATCCGACGTTGATGCGACCATGGCCCAAGGCTCAAAAGCGACCAGAGAAGGCGTGGATTGGTGCTTGGTGTTGAGGACTGTCAACCGTTGATAGCAGCTATCAGAGCCATAGGTACAAGGGTAGCATTCTCGCTTCTGTTCCCTGTACAGAGTAAGTAACCTGCGAGCCAGAAGCAACTCGCTCGGGATCGGGGTTGAAAGATGACGATAAACAAAGAGAGGTCGAGAAAAAGGAACCATCGACGCAGGCGCAGGCGCAGGCGCCGGACGCCGAATGCCAGATCAGCAATCAATCCCAATGACCGAGCAAAACGGCGAGCCCAGAGTGTCGGAACTGGAGCATGGTTTGGCGAAAGTAGTACCACCAGGCTATTCTGAGTTCAGTACTCTGTAGCTGGGGATATCGCATGTCGTGAGACATGAACGTATAAGCTCCGGCGAAGAAACAAAGAGGCAAGCGCCGGTGACACACGTGGGGCCCAGTCGAAAACATCGATGGTTCGTGCTTTGGCCTCGTCGGCCTTCATTCTAGTATGAATTCGGCATGGAAACATTGAATGAGCGACTGCATGGTAGAATCCTGCTCGCCAAGGCCCGGTACGTGCCGGGGTAGTCCAGTACTTGCTTGATGAGAGAGAGTAAACCAACGCAAGTCAGGTGCGGGGTGAGCAGTGAGCAGTGAGCACAAGCCGAAGTGTCAACATCCGCTTGCCTTACTGGAGGCTCGCAGACCATACTGAAAGGGTTCAGCATTATTGAAATGCAGTCTGCTGGCTCCTGTGCAACCTGAAAACTCGGTGATGCTCGGTGGAGGGCGTCTGTGCTACCACTGTCGCTCATCTTGTGATTGCTGGGCCATCCATTTCGATGCCTGCTATCCTCCCTTCAAAGCGCCGAATGGCTTATACTATATATCCTCTATATGCAGACAGTCAAAGATGGGCCACTGCCAGAAACGTACAATACCGCTAGAAATACAAAAACAGCTGAGAATTTCCACTTTGATTTTCGAGCTCGATTTGCCGATCACGGGTGGACCGGTCTGCGGGTACACTAGCCCAGTCTGCACTAGCTCCATCGCAATGGCAAAGACCGAGATGGCCCGCCTGCCAATGAGCGCCAACGCAACTTTGTGGTTCACTGGTTACGTTACTGGTTCGGGAGTCAGTGCGTTGAGTTTGGCGTTGGCGTTGACAAATAAGCTATACGCCTTGTTCTGTCTTTCCAATCTGCTGAGACGGGCGTTCCATGGGATTGGGATGGCCGTACCGGGGTCTACTGGAGTCCACTCCCGTCATGTCAACACCAAGAAGCAAGAAGCAAGAAGCTGGTTCGAGACTAGCACTCAAGACAGAAAAGATTAGTGTCCTTTGTTGTTTGCGTCAATAGCGGTCAACACATCTTCGACCAATAACAGCCATCGACGGTATAGGAGACGTCAAGGACTCTCCTCGTCTCTGCAGAGTACGGAGAACTAACTCACCTCACCATGCTTTGCTGCTTTGCTTCACCACAGAAGGATGGGGGGAAAGGCCCAAGCACACACTATCACCTCTGAACTCCCAAGAACGAGCCACCAATAATCATCAAGCCACAACTTACTCGACACGGAATGATCTTCAACTGGAATCATGGCAGAATGTCTCCGTCCCGGGACCTTTACCCGATGACATCCATGGGCGTTGATAGGCAGGCGACGAAGCCCATGGTCGATGCTCGCGGAAGCGTGGGTGATCTGCAACGCTCAGACTCAGATCGCCTGAACCGTGGGTCTTTGTCTTTCCAGGTTTCAGCACTTGGTCTTACGGACTCGGAGCACATACCCGTGGAACTTGCGCTTTTGAGGTCTATCCTGGACTCGCCTCTTTATTTACAGGCTCTTAGTCTGGCTGCTCTGACAGCGGTTGGCGGTTAAGGTTCCGTGGTTATAACGTACTCTCTCCTATTTGGTTCTGCAGTGCTTGCTTCATGACGGAGATTGGGACATGTTTCATCACCTATACTCCGTAGTGCAGGTAAAGATGCGGATGAAGATCGCTAGCCACGAAGTCTACAATCGATACGGACTACCGAGTGCGTACGTCGTCTACTCTTCTAGACGTGGAGAGAATTCCAGTTCATGGCCTAGTTAGGTCATTTGGAATAGCACCCCAACTCGGTACGTACTATATACTATGGGGTGGCACAAGACAATATGCCTCTCTACTTATACTACTGATTTGGTACAGGGATATCGACGGCCATCGAGTAATATGCAGATATATATCTGCCCATTGTCTATACAATTCCGTAGACTACGACCACAGTCCATATCTCCCTTGGCGTACATAGTCTTCCGTCGCACAGGACAGAGGGAGTCTATGATCTGTCTCCGCCGCGGACAACTAGCCAGAAGATCGTCAACGGTGGCTGATCACAGCGTGGCATAAGCATAAGTATGATCTCACCTCGCCCGCCGCGTGGTGAGCCCTTTCTCCTGCGCGCGTCAGATCCTCAATTCGTGACGATGATCGTCCGGATAAATGGCTAGTCCCTAGATGGCTTGAACGGTCTGGCCGTGAACGTTGCTTTTTCCTCTCTCTTCAGGTTCAAATTCAATAGTGGTCGGGTCGAGGTACCACGGGCCAGGCATACGGAGTATTACTTGAGCCTTGAGGACCATTGTCAGAAGTATCTACTCCGTATCCACTAGTGATTGGTGAAGCAGGGTCAGAATGCAGATGGACGCCAGATCCAAGATCTGAATCGACCCCTGCTGCAGCCTGCAGTTCGTCACCGGTTCGCAACTAGGTGGTGGTGCATATGATACGTTCCATTCCAGATCCAACGAGCGCTGCTATGGGTCATGGGCATGGCCAGATCGACGATCAAGACGTGCACTTGCCACTGGCCCACTGAGCCGTCGTGACGATCACGAAGGATCCTCGATTGGCTTTCCAGCCCGAGCGTGACGATCATGGACTCATGGAGCCGAGTGGTTTTGTGGGAAAAGGGATGTGATGGGCTGGGGCCGGGTGGAGCTTGACTCAGGTGCGTACCCAGGAGGATGCTCCTGCCCAAAAACTAGCTCGCATATTGCTTCTTCAAGCCCAAGATCGCAGCACCTTCATGCAAGAACCTTGGAAGTTGGAACTTTTATTTCCTGCTTCTACCAGTAAGCACAGGTTATGTACGATAGTTGCAGACTTGTAGCGAAAGCATATGCAAGATATACTTCGGACTCGAAGCGAGGGCACGGCACTGTTAGAACTATTACACTTATTTCAACCTCGGCCGAGTCGGTATAATCGGAGTGGCATCTGCTGCATTGCATTGGCTGACCATGGTCCATGATCCTACACCCTTGCGAAAACAGGCATCGACTCAATGGAACAGTCGACTTCGATATCCTGTCCTCCCTCGTACTCCTCGCCCTCATCACCCTCAGCTCCGTCCCCATTCCAGATCCTCCACGATGCACCCGCGGGTAAATACACGGAGATCCTCCGCTGCCCTGCCTCCAGAACAGGGGCGACGAGGTACCGCGCGCCGAAAAGATACTCCGAGTCGACCTCCCAGCTGCGCTTGTCATCTGGGAACTCGTAGAAAAGGGTTCTGATGACTGGTGTCCCCTTCTCGTGCGCCTCCTTCATCAGACTCCGCGTGTACGGTCTCAGCTTCTCGCGGATGAAGATGTACCGCTTGCAGATTTCGTACACCTCCTCGCCATACGACCAGATCTCGTTATTGGCACCGGGAGCTGTGGGCTGGTCTTTTGGTTTAGGCTCGCGGTCTCCATGTAGACGCATCACGGGACAGAATGTGCCCCATTGGAACCACCGCGTGAAGAGCTCGCGGAAGGCAGGGTCGTCTGGGTTTCCGCCGTGGAAGCCGCCGATGTCAGTCGTCCACCACGGGATCCCGGCCATGCCCATATTCAAGCCTGCAGAGAGCTGGTTACGGAACGATGACCAGGACGAGGCAATGTCGCCGCTCCAGACGAGGGCGCCGTATTTCTGGCTCCCTGCCCACGCGCAGCGGAGCAAGTTGACGATGTTGGATTGTCCTTCCGCTTGCATGCCCTCGTAGAAGGCTCGCGCGTACTCCTTGGGGAAGGTGTTGCCAATCTGCATATTACTGCCGGCGTGGTAGCGGTAGATATCGAAGTCGTATATGGAGTATTCTGGTTCCGCTTCGTCGAGCCAGAAGATTCGGATGCCCTTGTTATAGTAGTGTGCCTTTGCCTTTCCCCAGACGAACGATCTTGCGGCGGGATTGGTGGCGTCAAAATGCGTGATGTCGCCGTCGCATTGCATGGCGATGCGGAGGCCGCGGTCATGTCGGATCAAAAGGCCTTTCTCGAGCATCTCGGAATAGTTTTCGGACGCCGTTTCGACCGTGGGCCAAATGGAGACCATGAGTTCGACTCTCATCTCCTGAAGTTCCTTGACCATCGCATCTGAGTGGTCAGTATTCGCTCGCTCGCTGGTCTGGAGACAGCTTACCTGGATCAGGCCAGAATTTAGGGTCAAACTTCCATTCTCCCTGGTGCTTCCAGTGGAAAAAGTCACAGACAATGACATCCAAAGGGACCTTCCGCCGCTTGTACTCCCTGGCCACGTCCAACAGCTGCTCCTGGTTCCAATACCGCAGTTTGCACTGCCAGAATCCAAGCCCATACTCCGGCATCATCGGGACATAGCCCGTAACTTGGGCATACGCCTCCTCGATCTCCGCCGGTGAGTCTCCAGCGACGACCCAGTAGTCCAAGGCTTTGGTCGAGTACGCTTCGAAGCTCATCGTATTGGTCCCCAGCACCGCCCTCCCAATCGCGGGATTGTTCCACAAAAAGCCATACCCAAGCGATGACAGTGCAAACGGCACGCTAGCCTGTGAGTTCCGGTGTGCAAGCTCAATGTCACTTCCCTTGAGATTCAGCGCTGGCTGCTGGTACTGGCCCATCCCGAAGATCTTTTCTTTCGGGTCAAGCGACTCGAAACGCATCGTAAGATGGAAGTCGCCGCCCAGGATAGGCCGCAGCTCGCGGGCCTCAATCTCCAAGGCGCTGCATTTCGGGTCAGTCGGGTCGCGTCTGTGCCGGGCGTACTCTTCTAGCAGCTTGCTGCCCTGAGAATTATAGATGGTGAGCTTGCCGCGTTTGGTGACGACAGCTTTGATCTTGCCGTTGACTAGGGTTGCTTCCCCGTCTTTGTCTTCGGGGAGTTCAATGCTCGGATTGCCTGCCTCGGGCTTGGGTAAAAGGGCCCAATCCTCTGCGGGCATGGCCGAAAGCTTTGTGGCTCGGATGCGGAGTGCATTGTCGCTCCAGGGCTCGACCCAGAGGAGGTGGTCGTCGAAGCGGAAGACGAGTTTGTCACTGTCGGAGTAGAGCATGGTCAATGGCTTTCAGACTGAGTGAACACTTGGAATTGTCGATGAAGCATAGCCTGAGGGAATGGTAGTATATATACCTGACAGCAGCAACAGCTCAGCGTCTGCTGCGTCACCCCCACAGGGACAACATGACAGGGCGTGCTTCATGATCGCCGGTTTGGCACCCAATGATATGAAGTACTCGGGGTAACAGCAGCGGCTTTGGGGGGTTCCGATTTGGTGGATGAATAGAATCCTGCGGGGGAGAGGGGGTGTAAGTTGGAGATGAAATTCAGCCTAAAGTCTGTACAAAGACCAAGCAGACCACATGACTCAATGCACAATATGAGACTGATCTAACACGCCTACAGTAATCTTCTGGTTTCCTTCATCTAGCACACCTCTCAGGTAATCTTCCGACTTCTCCAACACACCTCAGATTACATCGAGCCATGTCACCTGTGTGTCTCCTCCTAGCCTCGTCTCTCTCTTTTTACCTGCTAGCACAGTCACTTACTCTTCAACAGTCAGCCATCATTGGCTCCCTCAAGAACCAAGGAAAGCAACATCTTACAAAATAAGCATTCACGTTCACAGACAGAGTGTATGAATTGGAGCCAATGTTCAGCAACAACCCCCAACAATACATGATTACCGCCATGAAGCCCACCTCCAAGAGCTGGGAGAATGACATTCCAGACTCGGAATTCAAGCCCCTGCGGGCATATTCCATACGGACACAACTCCAAGTCTAGACGTCATTGCAACTCACGCACTCGCCAGTCTCAGGGAAAGACCGGGCTCAGTCGGTACAGAAAAGGGCGCTTATCCCAGTGAAACTGGGATATCGACACTTCTGCGTGTGGACATCGATGATGGCAAGGCGTTCCAAGCAGACATTGCCGGAGCAGTAGCCGACACAGGATTTAGCAACGGTAGAATGGCTGTACCTATGCGAATGAACGAGATCTGGGCCTAGCTCCCCAATTCTCATGAGTTATACTAGAGAAGCCCGATGGATTCTCCACGACTAGGCACAGGATCTATAGCTGGCGAAAATGGAGGCGTCGTTGGAGGCGATCACCATTTGCATTGATCGTGTCAAAGTCAAGCAGATGATGCTCGACGAAATACTTAAATCTACTATGGTGGTGAAGTATTTCTCTAGCCGACAGCACTTTGGCCTGGCCTTAATACATCCCAGCGACTCTGGTCCACTTCCTTCTCAAGTGTCCTTGATTATTGTCAAATGCACGCTTGTTGTCCCACGGACAGTCGATTCAAACTTCCATGGAGCCTATACTGGAAATTCCAAAAAAAAAAGGGAGTAAGAAAGAAAAAGAATTGGCGCCGCCCGGAATCGAACCGGGGCTGGCACGGCCACAACGTGACGTCATACCACTAGACCACGGCACCTGATTGTTGAAAAGTCGTTTTTTGTTTGCATAAATAAGCCAAAAAAAGTTAACATTACTGTAGTTAGGCCATGTCCAATCACTCGTGCGGTCGTCTTTTACACCATCATTAGGTCTAGGAATGGCACAAAAAATATGCAACCTTCCAGTAAGCTTGAATCATGCTATCTATCACCACTACTGATGTAACCCGTCAGTCAGTGGCGATTGATTGCTATATGACGTGGGCATAGATAACTACAAGAAGCACTCGGAGGAGGGATTGATATCATCCTATCTTGGATCATATGGTGTATATTCTCATAGTCCGAGATTGACAATATCGAGCATTCTTGGGCTGTTGGTGTTGGCCTATCTAGTCCCGAGGAAGGAGGGGTTGTGATGTCAGAGCATCCCCTGCCAACGCGGCCCTGAGATCGGGGATGATCCCAGTCAATCAGGCTTGGGTGCGCTATCGAAGGCTACTGCTTATGACTGGCTGTTTCTCGACAGTCTCAATTCAATTGTCGAATCAGGGGCAGTAGCACAATGGGAATGCAGTCAGCCCGGGGCATTCGGCAGGGGATCTGGGAGATAACGGTTTGGTCGACGTACATTAGGCCATCGATGTGCATGCACTATTACAGCATTGTGCAGGGGTCCTTGCAGATGGGGCGATGAGCGATATCATGGCCGGGTGGTGGCCCCGTCGCCGCTATGATCGTTTCTGCCGGGTCGCAAATGGGCGTTGCGCCCGGGATCTGGTTCTATATTAAGTCCGTGGCGTGTCTTCGTTGGCCGGAATATATAATATTTCAATCGAGCGTGCAAGCGCTGTGGGTAACGTTGAAACCTGAGACAACCCGGAGCATTGGCGGCGGGGGTATCAATGCACTCCGGAATCCGTAGTGATATGCGGGGGTCATGCAGATACGGCCTCTTCTGTCACGGTGCTAGCATTACATGAGGAACTCGGCGGTTACGATGATACGATCCTGGCCGGTAGACGAACTTGAGTGACTGTGAATCTAGGGTTAGCGGAGTATCAATTGAATTAACCACGGTAGACTGGAGTATTATTGAGAGACAGAGGAGTTGTAGATAGGCAAATGGTACGGAGCAAAAGAAGCGATCTTCGATCTTCATGTGCCAGACGAAGACGTCATCATCGAGGTACCGTACATACTCCGAGTACACACTCAGGAGTTCATTATCAGCGCGAGAGCAGTGTTGACGCGGAGTCGGCATGTCGGTAGATTACGGCAAATCGACAATGCCCAAACCAGCTTCCATATAGACCATGCCTGAACTTGATCAGGATATCAATAAATAGATGAGAGCAGTATCAGATGGTGGTATACTTTGCAGGAGCCACGGAGAGGCCCCACTCTGCTACCCGACCGTCCGACGTGCCGGAAAAAGCCTCCAGAGGACCTGAAAGTGAAGAGTGAAGACAGGCGCTGAGAGCTCATCCATGGATTCCATGGCCGTTGAGTTCGGACTCCATCGGATACTCACCCGCCAATGACAAAAGTATCCGACTTGAATTGAGTTGCCTCTGCTGTGGTACCGTTAGACAACTTGTTCTGCCTGGCAGATATCTTGGGTTCTTAACTAATAACCAGAGAGCACGGGCACGAGCGGGATGGACGCACTGAAACGCCCAATGTGGAGCTGTCAAGTTTCACTGCTGACGACTCTATCTTTGACACCCAGGAGACAGCGACCAGTTAAATATATATGGATGGCATCTGAGGTGAGACGGCAGAAGGTTGTTCAACACAGCCACAGCCGAGAGTACGTTCGTGCCCTTGTCAGCCCGATGCTATATTTACTAAGTTCTCGAAGGGCTGGGAAGCCGTCCGAGAGCATCCGGGGTCATCCATGGTAAATCATGGGGATGGAGTAGAGCTACGCGGCGGATTATGCAAGCGGCAGTCAATTCGAGACAGAGGCCATGGGTAGCGATACACGTTTCCCCGGCTGGATATATGTTCCGCTACTAAGGTCCCTAGAAGATCGCTGATCCGCCATGACGACACGACATAATGACGACTCAACCACATGGTCGGTAGTGACGATGCGATATGCACGATCTCTTGCATAATCTATAGAGTGTGAGTCTCAAGGGCCAGTATAATGACATAGTTTGCGACCTCAACCGTCCCTGAGCATAACAGTAGTACAATCAGACAATCAGTGCGAGAACAATACCCGTAGTTAAGCGACCCGCTAGGCGACCATGGACGGATCTGTCTGAAGCCTTGGTTGACACTCGGTCTCGTTGAGTGGGTGAGCCACATTATTAAATAGACATGTCTGGAGTAGTTGAGATGATATACTCTAAGTTGCTAGAGCACTACCGTTTGTGAAGCAGATAAGACATCAAGGAGTCAGTTCTATAGGGAAATACAAAAATAAAAAATGAATAACCCAAAAGGGTGGGACTGGGGGGAAAACAGGGAGAGCGACCTGAGAAAAACGGAAGCCTGAGGGAAGTGGAGTGGGTCGATCTGACCCTGAAACTCTCTTAGTCTGCCCCCCATACTAAATACTTATACGCCCTCCTCCGCGCTGCCACCTGCTTTCTACACGCTCTCAACCTCTTCAACTTTTGATATCGGCGACACACATACACAACAGAACATACACCTCTACCACATTCTGCGGCTTCTACCTTCTGCACCTCACATCCGCTCCACCATGAGCTCCTCTACCGTCCAAGTCCCCCGCCCGCCCTCCGGCACAGGCACCGGAAAAGACCTCGCTCCCACCGGCGCCCCCGGATCTATGGGTTTCGACGTGAGCGCTTCTGTTCTCTTCGAAATCTATCCTTGACTAACCTCACCGACAGATTGTCAGATGCTCGCGCTGCCAATGCACTATGAGTCTAGATAGCGGATCTACCCCTGCCGGAGTTGTGCGCTTCGGAATGAACGTACGTCGCTGGCTACTCGCCTTTCTTAAACCCACTCGCTAACTTCTCTTTCAAAGAGCTATTACTGTGGCAGATGTGCGAACAGAGTGGGATATACTGGTTGAACAACGAACCCTCGCGCTACAGTTACGACGTGATATCTACCACTCTACAACGATTTCGGATACAAGTTACGGGAAACATATACGAATACAAGTCGAACTCGGACTCACCTATCGTCACCCTCGGGTACTGAGATACTACTTGCAGTATCTCGGCACTGATCGGAACCACCGCCGTCACCGGATCGGTCATACGATGAATGACTGGCATTCGCCCTGGGAATACTGGATACGATGGAAATGTTTCGGAACATCTTCACTGTGCTGGCGCAGGATGGCCTCGCTGAGGTTCAATAGCAATGGTTGGTCTAGCCACTGGTTATCAGAAACTTCGCAGTCGCCTAGCTCCCCCGGATTGTGTCCCATACAATTCGCGGTCGCACGCAGCCTGAACGAGCTTTACTTGCTTATCGGCCCGGACGCCGAGATGCCACTGAACCGCTATATTACGAACTCTACCTCGATTTGATACCGCGCATGGGGATCTACTCGGAAATAGACGCTCGAGTTACCCGGCTCCATACTTGTTCATCGATAGACTAGAATACATTCGGGCTTCTACATTATTGATCGTGCGCTATTGCCAACGCCACAATAGCAATTATTTGGCTCATTTCGCAACACTCATGTATCTAGTCAACTAGCTACAAAACGAGCATTTCGCAAACAAATTCCGTCTGCGTATCCAGAAACTGCCTTAGTGAAACTACTGAAACGACCCAGTTATAATTCCAGACTAGGAGCCAGGGTGGGAATGTGACTCGCCTATCACAATGTCAAACAGCGGTAAACCCCAGAGATCCTCGCCACGTTCACCACGAACTTGTAGATCCTTCGGGCGGGAGGAAGCGCTTGCATGATGGCTTGACTCTGTAGCACAGTCACCCAGCATGCCGGTTCCAAATCACAAATTGATGATCTACGGTGACAGTGTAAAGCTTCCAGCTGAAATCCCCGACAGCGTATAGTCAGGACTCAGGAGGAGTCTGAGAAATGCCGCGGCGGCACTCCGTATGTCTCACACCCCCTTTCCAGAACACACCGTTATGGAATCCCTCTAACCAAATCAGGCCCTCGTCGAAGCCTCCGCTGAATATTCTACGCACCCCGCAGTGGACCGATTTAAAACTCTAGAGTCAAAATCAAAATCTTCAGCTCCATCATTCATGTGACCCTCGAAGAACTCAAAATCTGGAGGTTGGATTTCAATATTGACTGGGGGAGCCTTGGAGTTGGGGCACGGGGGAGGGTCGGCCCCAGAAACTAGCGATCTGCTAGCTATATCAAGCTATCACGGTGACACTACTGGAGCAGTGCTAGTTTCTGTTTGCTTGCCAGATTTCCGCGGCCGCCATGTGCCCGTTGCTCCTTCCCTGGGGTTTAAGGATGTTCAGGACGAACTGGTCTCCGGTCAGTTCGGTCGGGGATTACTACTTCTCCTCCGTCCTCGGGGGCCGGGGCCCTAACTACTGTGGGGGATTGAAGATGAGGGTGAAACTAGCCTACTGTCGCCTTACCTTTTGCTGCGACCCTGTCTCGCCTCAGGAATTCAGGGGCCGAAATCGGCATAGAGATGGATGAGAGCTCTCATTAGAGCTTCAGCCTTCAGATGTATCTGCCATGGAGGCCGCTTACTCCGTGAAACAGCCGATTACCGACCACGATAGGAAGGAGCTTTGGGTCTCGGCCGGGCAAAAAACAATCTAGCTAGCTGTGCCTCGCCGCTCGGAGAACGCCGTGAGAGTGAGACGGTGCCTGGCCGGTCGGGGTCTCAGCTGTTGCTCGGGGCTGACGAAGTCACTGGACGGTCAGCCAGCCACAGCCACGATCCATCAGAAAAAGCAAGCAGAGAGCGCAGACCGCGAATTGGCAATGGCATTTGGCATCCGCAGAGCCCCCTTTTTTTGTTGGGAGTCTTGGGACTTGGGATGGAATTGGAATTCCGAGGCAGTGGGTCGGCGGTTGATCAGTGGGTCTATAGAGCCTTCTCGGCCTGTTTCATGTTTTTGCCACACCTTGAGAACAGAGTACTCTGTAGAGCTGTCTGTTGTGTATATTGTTCTTGAGTGCTGATTTGAGATGCCGAGCGCTTGTCGTCAATAATGTCTTCGATTATCGGCGGAGTTGCTCCCCAGGGCGAATGCAGGCATTACCGTACTCGACTGGGACATTCTATATCCAACTGAGCTGTTACTCAGTAAGCCAAAATTAGTTTCGTGGAGCAACGTGACTATTATTTATCGAGCCATGTGATGTCCTGTTTATCAAAGCATTTCGACTGGAACGAAGTATGTTGGAGATTTACCGCACCGTGCCAAAAACTCGTACGCTTATCTCGTTCGGCATACCCCGGCAGTGCTCACTGCTGACGGCTGACACCACGCATCCAGCGGTATCTGATCAAAAGGCTTCTGCTCGCTGCTTCATCCAGTAAAAGATTTTCTTAAATAAACAACTTACCACTCGAGACGTTCCACAACCATGACTACGCCACGTCCAATGCACTCCGGAAGCACCGCGTCAGCCTCGCCCTGAGGAGGCTCGACCGGAGCCTGCTGATTGGATCCGGATCAATAATACTCTTGAAGATCAACCCCAGTGACCACTCAGGTGGAAGCCCGAGAGTGAAGCTTAGAGTTTCTTGCTGCCCACGCGACGTGATCGGCGTGACCCATGGCCTCGTATTTCGACCCTAACCGCGTCGAGCTGTGACTTTCACACGACTTCTCCAGGGCTCAACAGCCATTATTGCAGTCATGGAGACAACAATATCTTATCTAGGGCGAGGTGCAGCTAGGCCAGTGAAGAAGAGCGTTCATACCCGATCAGGCAAGGGGCCTCGTGGTCGGTCAAAGGCAAATGGGCACAATCGTGTTTTGCTACCCGCCGTGGCTAGTAGTAGTAGGGTCCTGCCATAGAACTCAACAGTCTAGATATCTGTTATGCTCAGGGAAAGCATTGCTGCGGAGCTTAATATCATGGAGGCGCAGGTTGTGTGTGGCCGGGCCTAGCAGCAAGTTGGTGAACGGCCATATGTATCATCACCCTTTTAATCCTCAATCTACTGCGCATCACTGTCGAATCAACACATGGTCGCCCCAGGCTAACAACTTCATGAAGCAAACAGGTGCTGCAGGCTCACACTCGCGTAAACAAAAAGGCCCGATGGCGTCGTGTCGAGTGCTTGCCTGAGAGTCCTATAATAAAGTGCAGCTTGAGCACGGAACTCTGGATGAACCGTCGGGCTTCAATATCGCGCATATGTGGACAAATCTGGCAGTGATCTGGGGCCTTGCTGGCGAATGACTCCACGGTGATGCTGGGCTTAGGGCTCGGTGCCAACGGCGCTCGGTTGTAGGAATCCAGTAAAAAACCCCAAAAGCATCAGCAAGGAGAGCTCATATGCGAGCGCTCGGCGTAATCAGGAGTGTATCTTACTTTCTTCAGCGGTTGGTGTGAGTCTAAGGTCCTCCTGGCGCTCAGCCGACGTGAGTTGCACAATTACCTATAAGGGAAAAAAAGTCAACCATTCATTAATCAAGCCTAATCTGTATCAAACTGTCAGGGGCGGGCCCAAAGAAGGCTTCAAAGTTCATGGAATCGGATTTATGTGCGGGTAGTAGATTGAGCCCCGTTAACCGAGGTAGGATCTGCTTAGGAAAGGCGTCCCTGCTTCGCAATCGGAAATATATTTTAGCCTCGCATCACAATACTCCGTAATCGACAAAAGGCAGCACTCGCCGAGTCGCCGCACTATGCGCAATTGCGCATACCCGGCGTGGATGATAGTCGCCCCGATGCAGCCGAGTACTTCGGAGATAACTATCTCATATGCAAAGAACGAACAGGGATCATCCCGGATGAATTGGGGCCATCCTGCCTTTGCCTTGAAGAGGCGGAGAAGGAATGGGCCACGGCTTCGCTTCCCGCTGCAATGCCCAAAAGGCCTCGAGAGGGCTGCTCCGTTCCGCGGATGACCTGAAGGGTCATTCCGAAGTGTCTGTTCGCCTTGTACTCCGTACCATGTCGATCGGAAGTAAAGAGATGGGAATCGATCCTTTTCTTGACCTGGATTTGTGCGTGTCATCGGACATGATACATCACAATTGTCCCACAACTATCTATTTTTGAAGCAATCAAAAAGCGAGACTCCCATATCGCCTCCGCCAATCATGACCGCACCTGCATTGCCTCAAGTCTTGAGCTTCTCATCGAGTTGACGGCGGGTGTTTTGCTTTTGCCTGGATCTGTCATCTCGGGACTTTCGAACATCAACTCGACCAAAGTTCGAACCCCTCACTCGAGCAGATTGCCTCACTGTGGATACTGGAATGCTAGTATTCACCAACTGGTTGCTGCACCGATAGCATATGCAAGGTCTGGACTCAAAAGGCCGCCACTCAGAAGGCGCTTTTTATCCCAGCTTCAAGGCTCCAGGTTGCTTCCCCTGGAGACCGGCCCGAAGCTCAATCTGGCGGTGTAACGTCCATAGTGCCAAGATTAATTCTGGGGAATTGACGGTGCTGTTCGACGATGGAGATCTGGAGAAGACGAGGTTTGTGCGAGGTCAAGTGTGGCGAGCGCCTGGGGATCTGTCAATGTGTTTGTTTGTGTAGGCTGATAAAGTTTGGAGGATTTGATATGTTACGTCCCTTCATATGCCCGATCATGCAAAAGAGAAAGGGAGGAAAAGAAAAGAGAGCAGATACATGGGACTATCGAGTGCTGGGATGCGGAGAGAAAAAGAAAGTTCGCCGTCTGCTTGTGGCCGTGGCCGGTCTGCTTCTTCCCTTCCACCCTCTGCCTTCACCCTCTTCGATCTTCCTCCACCACCACCGTTGATCATGCACGACATATCAGGCTCAGCAGGCTTCTTCCGATCCTCTCAATTTCAGACCCTGGTCGAGTTGACACATCCTCGTCCTCTCGCGCCGCCAGAGCTGCGCCCTGTTATTCGTCAGCGGGCTCAGCGACCTGTCGGTGACCCTCTTATTCTTACCTACTCTTTGCCATCCGCCCCTCAATGAGGAACTCGCCGTTTTTCCAATCTTCTTCTTCTTTGACTCTCGTTGCTTCACCCGTTTCCACAATCTGTCATTGGGCCGATCCGAACGGCCACCCCGGCGGCTGTGGCTGTTGCCCTCTTTCCGGGTTATTGTGGTTATTGTGCCTCGATGTAGATCGAAGAGCCTTCATCCCAGCTCCAGCTCAGCTTGCTCCTTCTTGCCTCTCGCTTGGATAATCTTGCTTAAAGCCTGGAGGCTTCTTCTCCTTTCCCTGGCATCGCTCTTCCGTGACCTAGGACTTTACTGCACCACACGAGGACCTTTTGCTGTTTGGCTTAGCGTTGGCGACCGCTGATATTGGTACATCTGGAGCAGTGCGGCACGCTTTGCCAGAAGCGAAAAATCTGGCCCTAGTCATCCCTGACTTCAATTGACAAGCAATATCCACTGTCTCACGCCACGGTTGCCTGGTTTCACCACTTTTCCCGGGGTTGTGATATCAACTGCCCGAGCGGATAGGAACTCGTGATTCTGCTCGAGGACCTGCGGCACTTGCATTATATCATTCTCAATCTGTCCACACTCCACCGAGAGAAACTGGTGCTACCAAATCAATGTCTTCTCTTCCGCGCGGAAAACCCCGTGTATCGAGAGCCCGAGGAAGCGACGAAGAATATGTGCTGTTCCTCCAGGGTGTGAGTTCTTTCTGCTCCATTTGGAACCCGTCCTAGTAGCTGTGACTTATCGAGAAGGCAGATTCCATCCCGCTGTCGCTGGCAGGAGCTCAAGGACTTAGTGCGTCAAACGGCACTACACATTCGACAGGCAGTAGTCTACGATGATCACCATGGATTCCCCACCGGGCTGGGCCAGATCATTGTAAAGGAAGAGGGCGAGGCCTGGCGAACATACCGTAAGTGCGATGCATTATCTATTTTCATTACGAATAGCTGACCAAGAGGCGGCTTATAGACAGACTATCCACAAACGGCTGGGAAGGGCAGAGCCTGGTGGTCACACTCGCGCGGACGAGCTCGCCGACCCGACCAATTGCAGGGCCTACAAAGAGCCCAGCATGCGTTATACAACCTAGCTACATAGCAGGTTATTCGACCCCGCCAAGAATGGCCCGAAACAGCGCTATACCACCCTCTCCCATAAATACAGAGTAAGCTTTCTTGATCTTGTGATTGATGTGTGTCGAGTGCCTAGGCTAACCGTACCGTAGTCCCGTTACACCGTCTAGTCCAACCTACCGCAGCGCAGAGTATAGCGCTATGGTCAACCCGATATTTCTCTCGCATCAAGCCTTCATGCCCGCTTTTACAGATCCGTCACAGGTGGTTCCAAGAGTGCCGAGCTCACCCACTCCCTCCTTATGCGACCCAATGGCGTTTGGCCTTATCCCTACATATGCCATGTCTCACCAAATGCAGCAACCCGTCATAGCAAACAGCTTCAGGCCGAGCCACCTCAGCACTACCCCACACAAGAGCCCGTACAGTTACAACACCAGTTTCCCACCGTCATACTCTCGCCAAAATCTCCGCCGCAGCGTCATAATCCAGAATCTTAACCCAGCAACCACGGAGGAGGGTCTGCTGAGCTCCCTGCAAGAAACCGTTACTGTGGAGCATTGCGAAATGCTAACCCCGCACGTGGTGACCACGTCTGATGTTCAGCCCACTCGGAGCAGGCTCACTGCGCGCGTCACGCTTCGCTCTGCAGAAGAAGCCAAGCGGGTTGTAGCTTTGTACAACAACACCATCTTCATGCGATCCAGGATCCGTGTCAAGATCGACAAGAGCACATCGCGCACTTTCTCATACAGTCTTACACCCGATCAATACGCTGCATACCAGAACGAGATCTCTATCTGTGCAAGTAGAATAGATCAGCTGCAGCTCACTCCGCCGACAACGCAGGCCTCGTGCTCAGACACAGATAGACCGGTTCAGGGTCATGAGCATCCACGATCTGACGTTGCCGAGCTCTGTCCCAAGCCAAAATCCAATTCCAAGCCAGCTGATAGCTGCCAGCCACTGGTAGTCAATGGGTCTGGGCTCGGAGGAAGAACCGCCGTGGCGATCTGATGCGTCGCTTTTCCGCCCATGGCCTAACTACCGAGGCTCTAGCTTGTCATATCTTCCTTCTACTTACTGTGATCTACAGATGGTGTGTTATTTGTCGCAACTTGTCCTGTTGGCTGCTTCCTAGTTTACACCCTTTCTATATAGGCAGGCTACGTACCGTTATAATATAGGTGTAAGGTTCGGATATGGGAAAGATTCTTTCAATTGTCTATAGTATAGTCACTTCAAGCAGCCATGATACTTTGCATAGACACCCCGACAGATGGGCTTATCATCATATACCAACCAGAGGGGGAATTTGTTGTCTATGCCAAACGGCCCTCTGGGCTGTGAGCCTGCGACCTGGGTCATCTTTCCAGGTTGTATTAAGGATGTTGGCAGCCAATAACACTTTGGAATTGCTGTCCGGTGCATCTTGTTAAACCATTGTTAGGCTAACAACATAAATAATAATGTCTTTGACTGTAAGCTTTGTTCGCAGTAACCGTTGTTGTTGACTTAGGAGACTCTAAAATCGCTACTAGTCTAGCGCTGCAGATAACTAGCGCGGACGACAAGACAAGATCGAGACTCCGCTCTGCATTCCTGGCAGAAAGACCCGCCACCGAGATATTCTCCAGCATCTGATAAATATTCTAACCCCTTGCAGCTTTGACATCTAGCCGTGGCCCATCTCTCCGGTGCTGGTTGACCGGAAGATGGTGTGTTTCCCACCCCGTTTGCATCCCAGCTCATCGCCGCCTCGACCGACGTCAAAATGTCGTCCCAACCACCCACCGAAGCTCAACTGAACCTGGCTGCTCTGGCCGAATCTCCTTCACCTCGGACGATGCGAGGTCTGCGTAAGATCCAGTCACATCAGCACCTATCCTCTCGCCCTCCTCTATTCTCGCAAGTCTCGTTCGATCGCGCCTCCGCTGGGCCCGAGGGGCTCTCCAAACCAGCCAAGCTGGACTCGCCTGTCCGGCTCCGGACACACCGTCGCGCGAGGTCAAACAGCGATGCTTCGTCTCGAGATTCCCCGAAACTAACAGCCCGGCGTCCTGGACGAAAAACTGGCTCCGGATTTGGGTTGAAGAGGTCGCTTCTTGAGGCTCTGTTGCGAGACGGACCACAACAGGGGAACGTTCAAGAAGCGCTCCAGGAGTTGCGATACCTGGTTCTCTCGACAAGAGTTGAAGCTGACGGTGATGGCATGGTACGATTCACTTATTTTTCGGGACTTTTGTCTTGTGCTAACTAACTTTGTGTGTACATCTAGTCAACGTACCGAGTCTATCTATGGCTGATCCTTCTCGATATTCCTCCCCTCCCTACTGATCACTACCTCTCCCTCATCCATCGCGGCCGTTCTCCTGCGTATGCAAAAATTCGCAACGATACTTTCCGCACTCTCGCCACAGATCCGCTGTTCAAACGTCGCGTCACAGAAGCCAGTCTTATCCGACTGCTTAATGCAGTAGCATGGAAGATCCACGATGCAAAGAACAAGAACAAGGCCAAATCCCGTTCATCCTCACGCCGGCGTGAAATGGAGCTTCTTATCAATACCCCGCCAAGCATCGCTGAAGAAGAGCCCTCCACTGATGGCATGACCCCCGACAGCATGGCCAGCAGTAATAGCGGCACATCAGCAATCAAACCCGGCATCACCAATGAGACAGCAGTATATGTGCAGGGTATGAACGTCCTCTGTGCTCCTTTTCTCTACGCTGCCCGCAGCGAAGTCGAGGCCTTTGCGCTCTTCCACAGCTTCGTCACCCGCGAGTGCCCTGGCTACATTCGCGGCGCTATGGATGGTGTCCATCGAGGCCTCAATCTCGTCGACCGATGCCTGGAGATTGTCGAGCCAAAGCTCGCTGCCTACCTCTTTTCCAAGGGGCTACAAGCGAAACTTTACGCCTTCCCGTCCGTCCTGACTCTCTGCGCCTGTACACCTCCTCTGCCCGAAGTCCTCCATCTGTGGGACTTTCTCTTCGCCTACGGCCCGCACCTGAACATCCTCTGCATAGTCGCACAGCTAATTTTGATGAGAGACACTCTCCTCAAAAGCTCAAAGTACGTAATCAGCGTTTGTCATCTCTGCTTCTCCGATCTAGGTCGACTCGACTAACGCTTTCTCGCAACCAATTTAGTCCAAACAAGATCCTCCGATCTTTCCCACCCCTCGACGCCAAAGAGATCATTGCTCTAACCGTCCTGATTGTTCGCAAGATCCCCGAACCATTGTACGCCGAATTGATTGACCATGCTAAATAATCCGCGTGCATGCACTTCAACCCCAAGCCTCGAAACTTATGAATGCTGTACATGCAACTTTCGGTTCTTGTATTATTTACTTACTCTTTTCCTTTTTTTTCTGGTTCTTCTTAATTCGGGTCTGTATATGTTACCTATTGGGCTCTTACTGCTTATGCACGGCGTTTCGCTAGGCTCGGGTTTCCTTCTCACTCTTTGGTTTCAACTTCATGGAGGCCTTTATACTTATGTTGTTCTATTGATGATAACATGATTCATTGAATTGAATGACTAATGAATGAATGAACGATGGGTTGCTCTACAACTGGCTTCATATGTACTGTATTCATCTTTTAATGGTTACATGGTGGTCTGGACGTAGTCTAAAACCTAGATACTATCATACAGGCCAGAGGTTGTACCCTGGACTCCCGAGACTCCAAATGACCATGAGCCAAAAACGTGCTATTCCAGTGCTGTCTTTTCCCATCCTCAGATGCTTGCGGTAGTATGTATGAATGTCTCTGGACCTGTTGTGTTTACCGTGGCAGCGCAGTATGCTAGCTCCGCCCTCATAACAAGTTCCATCCACTACTGTATTGCACATGGACGCAAAAAACGGAATTTAGGCTAGACAGAGCGTCACGGAGTGTAGGTAGTAAAAAAGAAAAAGAAAGTGGCGCCGCCCGGAATCGAACCGGGACCGACACGGCCACAACGTGGCATCCTACCTTTAGACTACGGCACCTGATTGTTATATTCTTGGCAAAATATTGCGCATATAACGCTAGTAACAAAATGTCAGCTATTCATATTGAATTTAAACTCTTGGCAGCAGTGTCTATTCTAGAGACAATACTCAACAAATTCCCCCCTTGCTTGGCACACAATGATAATCCAATATCTCCAGGTTCATTCGAAGGATCATGTTTGTGCGAAGTGAATCCTATTAAAATTGTTGGGTCATAGATGCGCGTCCCAGGGTGTACCGCATCGTCGCATCCTTCGAGCACAAGGCTACGATTCACAGCGGCCCATTGGATGAAAAGGGGGCAATCAGACAAAGCAGCACACAAACAAGGTTGTCCGGGACTCCTCTCAAATCTCATCGCTCCTGTCAGCCAGTCCGAATCATAAGGCATGGCATCTGTGCGGCGGTACCACCGGAGCCTGGACAGCCTGGCGTCACAGACACTCCTTTATGATGGGATGGCCGATTGTGCGATTCTGTCCAGGCTTTCGGCGAGGGATACGACTTATCCTGCCCCCTGCGATCTCCGATTATGTGTCTTTCATCCTTCGGTAAGGCATCGCAAAAATGGCTGAAATAGCCGATACGGCCGCAAGCATCATCACAATATGGGACCTGGTCAGCTCGGCCGCCAAGGTTCAAAATACACAAAAGAGCTGGCGGCATTATCTCAGTGAGCTTGAGAATCTCGGCCATGTACGGGAATATGCTGCATCTGTAGAGACATTTCTCGACTGACTGCTCGAAGTTCCAGTCCGTACTCGGAGATATAGTTGCGAAGTCACAAGAAGTTCGCAGCCTCCAAATTGAAGTCAACGAGAAGAAGGAAAGCTTCATCGACTATATCAATAGAAGCCTGACGCTTGTTCGGAACCAGGCGCTGTCTATTCTGCACCAAGTCCTTGATCCGAAACAGAACGGGATTCGCCGTCGCGACCGCTTGAAGAAGTTCGTTTCAAAAGGGGCAAGATATCTCCAGTTCCTCCTGAAGGAGAGCGACATTAAGAATCTGTTAACTGCCGTCGAGCACGCCAAATCAACTCTCCAGTCTGCAATCTGCATAGCACATCTGCATCTGGCCATTTCCAAATCGCTGTAGGGCTATTCTTCTCCAGTCATGAGTCCCACGCAAGCTAACCTGAGGGTTGAAAAGAAATCAGGGGGCTGGGAAGCTTGAGGGAAACCTGGACATTGAAAAGACGCTCTTCGGCATCAAGGATCAAATGATAGAGCAGTCTCAAGCTCTAAATGATCTTCACAAGGCTCAGAAGCTCGATCGAACGCCGGTTCAAATCATTCGTTCTACCTCCGTTCTCTCGCTTCCCCTCACGAAGACTATAGAAAACCAAGATGATGCACTAGAACCGACAATTCGGGGCATGGCCCTTAAATCCGCTGAATATCTAACACTGTCTACTAGCCATGTAAGTGGCGGCAGAATGGGCGACATTGCAGACGATAACCCACAGGATTGCATGATAAAAATATCATTCAACCATGGTCAAGAAGACAATAGTCTTTCGAGCAGCAACGACGAAATGTTTATGTTCGACACTGGGAGAGACAACGACGCGCCTGGGACAGACATGGGCACAGTCAATCTCCATCCGAAAGCCGATTATGGCTCGGGGGAATGCGCGCAATTTGATACCGACGAGTCTCTGAGAACTCCCAAAATGACTCCGTTTACAGCGACTTCCGACTTTGAATACGCCTGCAAAGAAACTATAGAATTCGGACAACGATCAGAAATAATCATTGCTGACGGGGTCGACCTTGAACGAAGCAAGGACCCAGAAACCGGGCAGTACCTCTTTTGCGTCGAACGACTTGACATTGCCGACTGCCTGCAGACGTTCTGCTTGCAGGAGCCTTGTCCTCCCTCGCAGCATTGTGGACATATCACGCTAGCTAGTCTAGAGGAGGATCCGATCCAAGAACAGCTGCCGTGCAAATCTCCACCAGAGTATGGCAAACATGATGAGCCCAATCAACGTGATTCTCAGCTTTTGATACCTCTCGAGGGGGTAGAGTACTCGTTGACTGTTTTTAGCAAATGTGGAGACCAGGCCGAATGCACACATACGCTGGTCGAAGCTACGAATCGGAGTGCCTCCCGATGCGCTTCTCCAGTCAAGCTTCTCGCTCTTTTCAAGAGTCTTGATTCGGGTACTCTGAAAATTGACCTTGGGACAGAGATGCTTGCACAGGTGCCGGGAGACCATGACCTTGATCGGGCGGACGCAGATACCAGCGAGGAGATTGTTCGGGAGCCGGAGAACAACGACCGTAGTCGAATGTATGAAGACGCCAGCGAGGAGATTTCTCAGGGGCCGGAGAACAATGACGATAGGCGAATGGATGCACACGCCAGCGCGCCATTTCCACAGAGCCCAGCACCAGGTGACGACGAGTGCGCATTTACAATGGTACGAAAAGTAATCTGCGGCCAACTAGATGAGATACCAGCCACGGTGGAACTACGTACTCTCCTGCATTATGTCTTGCTAGTGCATAAGTATCAGTTAGGAGGCGCACCTCGCGAACAGGCCAAGCTATGGGCTCGATCACTCAGTCTCAAAGCCCGCGAGCATTTCAATTCGGGTGACGAGGGTGAGGGTGCTATCTTCTGGCTCTGGATTTTCTGGAAGCTGGGAATGCAGACCAGCTTCAAGGCACTGTCTGGGGCTATCCAGAAACATGCACGCGGGCCAATCGACCAGATGGTAAGAGGGTACCAGCTATCACTATCACAACAAATTATAGGTGAGATCGAGGGCCAAACTTGAAGCGATCAGCTACCAACTGATAACAAATCAGACCAGGTCGAGGAAAAGAGGATATCAGCCCTCTCCAGGATACAGGATGTTGTAGATTCGCAGATCGCGATACACAGACGCGCCTACGAGGAAGTCTTCACCGCAACCCTGCCCACCGAGCCATTTGGGTTCACTGCCCAAATAGGCATCCTGCAGAGCTCCCTTATGTTTGGATACCTCACCCTAGAAAAAGAGAGGTGGCTGTGCTCCGGCAATACCAGAACCTTCGAGGGTGTCAGCTTCGCAAATGTCCGCGACTGTGTTCGTTCTATGGTGAACCTGGAAAACTGGGCGATAGGGACGATAACGCTCCCTGACCGGATGTCTAGACTATTGGCTGGCCGGCTAGAGACCGAGCAGGCTCTAGATGCTGCTCTACATATAGAGGGGACGTCGGGTCTGCTCTCGCCCGATCCCATAGAGAGGCTGGTGGATCTGATGGCCGAGTTGGAGATGGGGGGTTGGGGCGTTGGTTTGGATTCTGTTTAACCTGCAGCGTGCTGTGCCTATATTTGTTATTGTCTAATCCTATTTTAATTTGGAACGGGATACGGAGATGTAGAGATTTGACAGTAATAAATAGTTTGAAGCAACCACCCAAGCCTCACTAGGATCAAAAGCTATATAAATGTCGAAATACCCGCTCCGGTCCAATTCAGACCACATTCATACCTTAGAAGCAACAGTCTAAGCTACTTTGTATACTTGTCCGCAAACCAGTTGCTTGTGTGGAAGGAAAGGTCTAAGTGGTGCAGAATAGGCTGGGAATAAGACAATTAAGCTGTGGTAGACTGTGATCGAGCAAGTATCTACCTTAAGCTTTGGTGGATCGAACATACAATTCCAAGCAGATAGTGCTTGTCATCTGGCTAAATGCTCCATGGTCGAGACAGACCGGCAGAGCTATTAATTTACCAAGTATCAAGACCCTAAGCTACGTGCAGTGGCATTGATGCCATTATACTTACTATACGCTTGCGCAAAGGGCCGAGAGACAACCATGCTTCGAGGTGTCTGATGAAAAACAGGTACCTAGACGAAAGTGAGGCCGAACCTGCTGTAACTATCCATTGTTTGGACAGCACTGATACATCGACAGTGTATAACCCAACCATGGCAGGGTTGAAAAATAGACTTGATCCACAAGGATAGTCATTTAAAGTAGAATACCAGCCTCTTAAATCTATAGTGTAACGCATAACGCATACAGGTGGATGCACAAAGCATCAGTAATTGACCAACACTTTTGAGCTAGCAATAGCTCATAAGGCTCCTGGCTAAATTACAGGCTTCCCCGTCTCGGAAACGCAACCCCCTCGACAGCCGCGTGGTCGGTGAACCAGGTGACTTTCTCACCCCCGCCCTGGTTGACCAGCGCGGACGGAAGACTCCTCCCTTCTTCAGCATCAAAGATCTGCTTAAGAATATCCTTCTTTCCGCCTCCAGTGGCGACAAACGCGATGCTCACAGCATGCGTGACGACAGGCAAAGTAAGTGTGATACGCTTTGGTGGCGGCTTCGGGGAGTCGCTGATGGCGGACACCCATGCGTCCTTCTCGCGCAGCAGTTCGTGACCGGGGAAAAGACTGCAAGTGTGGCCGTCTGGTCCACAGCCGAGGAGGATAAGGTCAAAAACAGGCAGCTTCACGCTGTCCTTGGCCGCAAAAGAGCGCATCAGATCCTCCTGGTACAAATCTGCAATTTCCTGGGGGTCGGCATTGACATGCTTCTCATCGATAGGGTGCACATTGGGAGAGCCCAGATCCGAAGGGATCTTGTCGAGCAGCTCATCCTTCAGAAGACGGTAGTTGCTGTCCTCGTGGTCGAGAGGGACGGCGCGCTCATCGGCGAAGAAGATTTCCCACTTGGAGAATTGAGCGGTATCCTCGGGAGTGCCGTCACCAGGAGCAAGAAGGGCTTTGGCGAGAACAGTTGGGAGAGAGCCGCCGGATACGGCGACGCGGAAAGTGTCATGACGGCTCAGGGCCGAGTTCTGGTTGCGGAGGACATAGGGCCGTAGCTGCTTGGCCAGGGCATCGGTGTCCTGAAAGCTGAGGAGGTTTGGAGCTGGGCCAGGCATAGTGACGGTGTATTGATTGTATATCTGCTAGAAGGTAAAGGAATAATGGAGGATACAGGCTGATAAGAGAGAGGTTGAAGAATATGAGCGAGCGCCTGTGAGGTCACTGAGGGGTGGTCTCGGTCAGAGCTAAGGTGGGGTGGCGGGGCAGGAAGGACTGGATTCTACTGCGTTGCAACTTGCCGGAAGGAGGCCGTCGGCTCGGAGACAACCATGCCATATGGAGTATCTAGATAGATGTAACCATGATGAAATTTGAGTTCAGATGAGGCCTCAGGGCCATACGGACCAGATTGGGAAGCTGGTGCCGCTTTAGGAAAGGGAAGGGAAGGGCCCGGGGAGGCAGGTAAGAAAAAAAGAATAAAAAAGAAAGTGGCGCCGCCCGGAATCGAACCGGGACCGACACGGCCACAACGTGGCATCCTACCTTTAGACTACGGCACCTGATTGTTAGAAATCGGGTAAAAAGATTTAATATATAAGCAAAAACATAAAAATGCGGACAAAAGGGGCAGAATTGCTTGAGGTCTAAGCTCAAGGGGAATGACTTTCTATCATTATTTCTTGTCAAATTGAGATTGCAAGTTGTTCTTCATCTGCCCTTGGTGGCACTACTGTTAAATAGATTCTAAATTATCTTAATGGCCTGAAATGTCCTGCTGCTTCCCTGCAGGAGTAGGGGAATGCCAAGCTTCGATTGTTGACAGTGCGTCAGCGCGGTTCGATTTGATCTCCGAGGGTCAGTCTGCATGCCTGCTCCTTTTCTCCTTGTTCCATTCCACTCGGAGCTGAAACGTTTCAACCATTGGAACAATGCCAATCCCAACGCGCTCGGTCTCCGGAAAAGAAATCCGGAAGCAGGTAAGATCGGTCCAACCCTAGTCCCTTAGATCGTGGCTGACAGATCTATGAAGCCCTCCACTGTAGGGCGCACCATTCCAAGCCTGAAGCCGCCGGCCACACCCCAGGCAAATGAAGAGAGTCCGTCCAAAACCGCGCCCTCAAAAACCGCTCCATCTACGAAAACCGCTACATCCACTATTCCAACCCGTCGCCAAAGCCTCATCCGCCCGAGTCAGTTGCAGTTGCGAACCACATCTTCTGCCAAGCCCACCACTCTCCCCGCAAGTACAAGAATTGTTGGACGCGGTCCGACCTCCCCAGTCAAGCGCGATGACACAGCTAGACAGCAGAACGGAACTCCGACCTCTCCGAAGAAGACAGAGATGCTTCCTCCCGCGCGACCGGTTCGTTCATCCTCTCTGAGACAGCCGACGAGCTCAAGCTCTGGAACATCGACAGTGCAGCGGGGACATGCGAGACATAAGAGTCAGATTGTCACGCCGGTTCCCAAAGCTATTCAAACGCCGTCGACAACGACGTCAACGGCGGCCAGGTCCCGAAATCAGTTTCCTACGCATCAACAGCAGTTCTCACCGAAGAAGGCACAGTTTCCACCAACCATAACAACGCCCTCTGCCCTCTCCAAACAGGCCTCTTCCTCGATCCCTTCGTCCTGGCCAGAAATAGCGGCGCTACAGACCGAACTTCTTCAGCTCAGCCTTTTACATATAGCCGAGCAACGGCACAACGACCAGTGGGAACGAGATGCTGAAACGCAATTACGGAAGAAATATAACTCCGTGGCGGACGATTACAGGGCTGTCTTGAACGTGGAGAAAGAGTCGCAAAGAAAACTCAATGGGCAGGCGTTGTATTACTGGCTCAGAAATTCGGGCGAGCATAACGGGCAGCAGGGATTTGCGCAGCAGGTTCAGCTTCTATCTCAAATTTCTCAGGAGGTGTATGGTCTTAGTGACAGTCACGGGCGGTACACAGTGGCGATCTTAGAGTTCGAAGGCTGGCTTCGGCGAGTTGAAGAAATTCAACAGGCCCGCATGCGCGTAGGACAAGGAGGCGATGACTTCGTTGACCCTATTGACCGTGAGTGGAAGGAAGAGACCAGAGCCTTGATAATGAAGCTGGAACTGGCATCCAGGCAACTGCAGAGTCTTGATATTCTAGGCTACGGGGACGTGGAAGCGCTCAACAATTCTGCCTTGCTTCGAACGGCCAAAGGTCTAAATGATCTGATCAGCCAAATGATCGAAGAATTGAGCGTCATTCGCAGGATTGAAGCGGACATTATGAAATCCGAAAAGAGTCGGGTTAGTCAGCTAGCTTTACAGTTGGTTGAGATGCAACCGCGCGAGGATCGAGCAGTGCCGAGAACTGGACTTTGGACACGATCTGCGCTCAAATCCTGACAGGCGGACTGATTCACGGACAATTCATGCTACTTGCCGTTCCTTCCCCAAGACGTATGGTCGCCGAGGCCTTTATCAGGTTCGAAGCAGGGGACAGAACCTGTTTTGCTGGTTTCCCGTATATTATGGTACTACCGCGAAGATGCGGACTCAGTTGCACTGGATGCAGGCGCGCGTTCGACTAGAGTTGCGTTCCCAAGGGCCATGGAGAGAAAACCTGTTTTTGCAGAACCCTTCCCGGTGTTTGACAAGTTCATCCATCGCCGGTGGTGTGGACAAACGGCGCATAGGGTGGCCGTTCGAGTAGGCTAATCCTGCAATGCACTGCTGATATCGAGTGGACTCGTCTGTCTAGAGTCTGGTCCTCTCAACCGTTCCAGCTGCGAGATGTCTCAAACATCTCGAGGTCGGCAGGTCTCACATAGTTTTTAGCCACCCCAATCTGGGAAATCTGGCCTGAAATAGAGAGCACGCCGCCATCGGACGGGGGCTCTGACTGACCGTGCTCCAAGGCATAAACCGCAGGGTTCCCGTCGATAATATAGTCACAATATAACTTACTCTGTATGTCTTGGAGAAAGCACTGGAACCTGAAGAAGCGTAGAATCCAAAACTTGGGCCAGACTAAATTGTGGAGCCCGGGTGGCTGACTAAGTGCCGCTGACGGCTCCAGCCTCGATTCAAGGTTGCGCCCAAATCAGGTTTTCCAGCTGCCACTACGTCATGTGCTGGGGAAGATCAAAAGAAAACCGTTGTTGCCAGAGCCAGAGCATGCCGGCAGTAGTGGCCTGTCCCTCGCTGTGTCCTCAGCTGGCTACCCCTCCCCAACATCCAGGATGGAGGGCGAGAGAGCCCGTCCAGACCGCGATAGAAGCGCCCAGAAACCCTGGCACTGGCAGGGCTGCCAGCTGCCAGACCCGCGCACTCAACCACACCACGGGCGACAGGTGTGACATCACCGGCCAATCTTCTGTTCCTTATTCTGTTGCAGCAGCAGCTGATGATGCTGCGAGTCCGGGAGTCTGGCTCTGGACGGTGGGCGCATTCTCTGCTCCGTCAAAGTATCGAGCCTCACTACGGCCATCCAGCCAGTCTCCGTCCGGCGTAGTCTACACTAACTGGTCTCCGTAGGATCAAACTGAGGCCACAAAGACACAAACAGTGGATCTCCATCCATCAGTTCCTCTGCGCGCCTGCTTTTCTTTTGCTTTTCGTCCACAGCCTAAAGCGGTGTTGCTTCCCCTCCCAGGCTCTCCCCGTCCCAGCCAGCGCCTCCCGGCCAAGCAATCATCGAGCAGCTTCTCTGAGACTCTGACCTGCCCCTGATCTCATTAGTCCTTTGCCCTTTCTTCCCCGCTGCCACCACGCTCGATTCAGTTAGGGACGGCCACTTTCTCGATATCTGTTGTGCGTCTTCTCAGATTCTGCCTCTTTCCTTGTCTATTTTTATCGCCCGTGACTCTTTTCGAAGTTCGAACGTCGTTCTTTGATGTCTCCGTAGCCGTGCCGTATCGTCTTCCAAGGCATCGCCTGGCGTCGTCACTCGGGCGGATCGGTGACTGTAAGATGATCAAATCCTGAACGCTCTAGCAAGGCAGTCTCTCGCGTCGGCCGACGTCGATCAGAAAATGACAAGGTCTCTGTACGACCGCATCTGGCGCCGGGAAGCCGGAGGAGGCTCGACTTCGGCCAACATTCGTGGCATCTACGGTTCCAAGGAATGGGTTAGCGAACTTGACATTGTGAACGAGCTAGGAGGGCATACCGGGTGTGTCAATGCTTTAAGGTATGGGCGACCCAACCATGTCCCACTTTTCAGCATCATTTTATCGACGCTTCTCAATTTCCACCGTCTGGGAAACTGACGCTTTGCAGCTGGTCACGTTCTGGTCGACTCCTCGCGTCGGGATCGGATGATTTCCATCTCAACATATACTCTTACCAGCCGGACTCATCCACAGCACCCTTTGCACTAAACACCAGCGTCTTCACCGGCCACACAGGAAACATTTTCTCCGTCGCGTTTATGCCGCAGTCAAATGACCGGACCCTTGTGACTGCTGCAGGCGACTCTACCGTGCGAGTTTTCGACATTGAACATTCCAGCCGTTCCGGCTCCCAGGGTGTGCCGCCGGCGTTCTCCACTCAAGCGGGCAACCAAAACCTGAACCGTTTCTTCGGTAATACACGATGTCTTGGTGTAGGCAATACCAACGCGCGCATATATCGGAGCCATGCGGATCGAGCCAAGCGCATCGTGACCGAGTCGTCCCCGTACCTCTTCCTGACCTGCTCCGAGGATGGTGAAGTTCGCCAATGGGATTTGCGCCTGCCTTCCTCTGCATACCCAAAACCTCGAGGTGGTCTTTTATACATGACGCAGCGAGCGGGAGAAGGGCATGATGATTCTAATGTCCCTCCGCCACTGATCTCGTACAAACAGCACAGGCTCGATCTTAACACCATCTCATGCTCGCCAAGCCAGCCGCATTACATTGCATTGGGTGGGGCTCACTTGCATTGCTTCCTTCATGACAGACGTATGTTAGGTCGGGACGTTTCGAGTGAACGGGGCGACCCCGGTACATCCCCTGGCATAGGAAGCAGCCACGATGAAGAGTTGATGGGTCAAGCGACGCGGTGTGTGCGAAGGTTTGCGCCGAACGGGAAGCAACGGTCCAAGTCACGGTATAAAGGCCACATCACAGCGTGTAAAATCAGTAATGCCAACCCGAATGAGATGATTGTGAGCTGGTCCGGCGAACACATATACAGTTTCGACTTGGTCCAGAGTCCCGACGCTCTAGGCACGCAGGAGCAACGACCCCCCGTGCAAGCTAGCTCACGTAAGAGACGGGGCTCCAAGGACAGAAAGCGTAAGCGCCAACCTAGGACCTCGCAGTCCTCCCAGTCCAGCGGCGGTAGACGCAGGTCGGCCCGGCGAAGCGAAGAAACGAACGGAGAAGAGGAATTAGCGGTTCGAGTTCGGTATGGGAACGGCGAAACAGAGAATATTCCGCTGCCCTCGTTGTTACACGAAGGTTCCACCGCGTCTGGCGTAGCTTCGACGCAGGCAATGGAACGGGCGAGGTATTCTGTGCTCAATGAGGCTCAAAGACATAGTTTGCGCATAGCCAAAGGTCTCGTCAAGCTTCGAAAAGCCCTCTTCTCCCTCGAAGCCTCGGCCCGTGAACAAGCCGATATGGCAACTCCGTTCTCTGTTGTCGCTTTCCACGACTCCTTCTCTAACGCCTTGATGCGCGCACTGACCTTCTTGCCTCAGATCGAGGAGATCATGAGAACCTGGGGATACCCCATTAACCCAACTCCGGAGGTTGTGCGTGTGCAGCAGACGCTGCGCCGTAACCGGGAGTCGACATACAGGTTTGTGCAGGCCGCTGGCACGCTTGCGCGGGCTCTAGGTGGGGACGTGCAGGATTATGGAGTAGACGACGACGTTCTGGAGAAGTTTCAGCGGATCGGGCCTGCGCCGGGGGAGGATAACGTCATTGGTCGGAGAGAGCAGTTTGGGTATGACTTCTTGAAGGCTGTGATCCTGTTCGTTGAGGGGGGCCGCGATGCTGTCCTCGCCGGATTCAAGCGCAGCGCCACCCATGGTCGGAACCGAGACCGATTTCCTATACCTGAATACGCAGACGAGGGTGCTCTTGAGGCAGTGCTTATCCCGTACCTGCGTGACCTCGCGGATAATACCCCTGTGGTGAATGTTGATAGTTCCAGATTCGAGTATGATGCGACCCGTATACTCTTTCCCAGCCAGAAAGCAGCAGTGGATGCTTTTGAGAATGTCATGAAGGGCGCGACTCCCAATGGAACTGCGACCAGTACACCGGACGAGGATTGTCGTACTAATGGGAGCGATGGGACAAACGAGTCCGCCGAGTCGGTTGCTAGTTCCGTGAGACCGAATAGAACAACTCACTTCTGGCTCCTTTCAGTTGGCCGTGGACTGTTGATGGATGCGGGGGAGGGCGTGAATTTCGAGTTCGTCAACCGGTGTTTTGGAGGTCTCAATGCCACCGTTGAAGATGATTCGGAGGGCGAAGTAGAGGTTGAAAGATCGCAGAATGACACGGAGGCCAATGTCGAAGAAGACGCCATCCAGGATATCAGCTTGGCCATCAATGGGGGCTCTAGTCAGCAAGCTCGCCGTGCATCCAGGCTAGATGAGATCCTGGATTCGCAGACACCAATGAGTACCGACACGGGGAGTGAAGGCGATGGCGATGAGTTTGGAATTGGCGTTGACACAGACTCTTCGGATGAGAACGAGGAGGACGAGGATGAAGACGACGATGACGACGAGGACGAGGACGAGGACAGTTCCGAATCGGATGCTGCAGAACGCCTATTCCGGAGTTACGGTTTTGAACGAAACGGACGCGAGGACGTGGAGATGCATGTCCCATGCTCGTCGCACACGAGGGTTTATCGCGGACATTGCAACGTCAAGACAGTCAAGGATGCGAATTTCTTCGGGCTCAATGACGAGTATGTGGTGAGCGGTAGCGATTCGGGCCACTTGTTCATCTGGGAGCGAGACACCTGCAAGCTAGTCAATATCCTCAAAGGAGATGACGAAGTGGTCAACGTCGTGCAAGGTAAGTCATCATGTCAAAATGAACGTTGAACACGTCTTAATGTGTGCAGGACATCCTTATGAGCCTACCATCGCGGTTTCAGGAATCGACGACACCATCAAAATTTTCTCACCGGACCAACGAGCCCAAGAGGATGCCCGTCGGGGTATCAACGTCCTCGACCCGAATAACCCGGCCAACACGCTCGGAGCTGGCTATGGGGGGCTGAAGAGTGCCAAGTGCATGCACGATAGCTACCGGATTATGAGCGAGAACGATGTACAGCGACAGGGGGGGATGAGTGATGCCTTTGTGACTGTAAGCGTCCCACTTTCCTGTCTAAGAAGTCTAGAGTCTAGACCCATCTAGACTAGACACTTGCTGATTGACACCTAAACAACAGAGGCAAATGCTGGCCCAATTCGCAGCTACTGTGCGCCAGCAACAGGGCGGGTTGGTCCCGGGGGAACACTCTAGGATCGTGCTAGATGAGAATTGCAGTGTAAGTTTCCCCCAATTTCCTGTTATTGGATGTTAGTGAGCAAGGCAGGGTTTATTGACGGACATGCATCGGCGTAGGTGATGTGAGAGAAAGACATCCATCCTCGACCTATTCTTCAATGCAAAGTAGAAGGGAAAGGGCAAGACCATAAGATTGTCATGGTTTACCCTCTTCATCCCGTGCCTAGTACCGCCGTTAGCTAGCTTTTATTTCGTCTCTTTCTTTACATGATCATCAAAAAAAGAGTTTAATGTTTTTTCGTGCCTAAAACCACCTCCGAAGTCCCAATGGGACTGGGTTGTCTAATAATAAGAGCGAGACGGGCGTGGCTATTTAATTTAGTAGCAGAGCGATCTTCAGCCACGACGTCAGTGGCTTGGGATCGGACGGCAGGCATTCGGAGACTGTATCCACGATCTCTAAGTGCGTGCCTGTCCTGTCGCTCCCTTGCTGCTGATCTCGGCGTTTTTTGTCCCTTTGGGTAAGACGGTTGGGGCTTGACAGGCTTGATAATCAGGCCCGGTTCCTGTGCATCGTTGCCGCTCTGGGGGAGTGAAACGGTGGCTCTACGGAGTATATAAAGAAATAAAGAAACAGAGGATATTCTTATCATTCTGATACACATGCTGCGTCCTGACTGGCGGCCCACGCATCCGTAGGCCGACTGTGTAACTCGTTGGGTGAGTTGGTTGGATGCTCCCCCAGCCCTAACTGTTTCCCCCCGGCAGCCCCGAGGCAGCAGTTTTACTGGACTTTCTCCGTCAAAGTATTCATATAATAAATAGAAAGGTCTACACACTCAAGAAGTGCACTGCTGACTCTTAGCCACCTGTTTTGCTAAAGAATGGCGATTATGGCACTGACTCGAAGAAAGATCATATGCAGTTATGTGCACAAGTATATGTCAGCTGCATAAAGCCGCAGGGGATTTGATTGGCGGGTCTGATGCCGAAAGTGGGGGATGAAGATATTTCGACATTTCAACGTTCGAGATTCTTGAGATCCTTAAGACACGCTAGCCGATTCAGATCGTCCCAGTCTTTCCTGAGAGGTCCTTATTGACGGATTGTGTAGCCGTTGACGTTTTAGTCCACTCCGTACAACGGGTACGTTTTAGTCCCTAGCTGCCAGGCACCGGAACTGAAATTTTATAGATCGCGGGGCAGAGCGCAGGGGGAAGGAACACCGCCCGTCTGTACCCACAGCACGAGGCAAAAGGCTACTACTGTTACGCTCAAGGCCCTCACCATTAGAAGAGACCGCAAGACGAAATGCAGATGTCTTCGGAATACAACGCGGAAAAGCTCCTGCAAGAGCGCGCGTCCGCAACAGCCGAGCTCTATGCAGACCCGCACAATCCTGCGCGCCACTTAACGCGTGCCTGGATCCATGCCTGCCTCGGCTTCCCGGATCTTGCGTCTGCGGATGCATACCGTGCTCTCTCGTTGCTGGACAGCGTTGTTGATCCAGATGGATGCGAGTTTCATGCTCGGAGGAGGGTTGAGGAGGGCGAAGGGGCGTCTTCTGATCCGGTGCCTCAGGATGAGGAAGATGAAGAAGATGAGGATGAAGATGGCGGCTTCGAGCCCACCACCGAAGCCGAGTACAGGTCCATGATTGGTGGTGTCTACCAAGTGCTCGTGGGCAATCTCATCGAGTGCGGGTGTCTACGCGATGCGTATGAGTTTGCTCAGCGTGGAATAACCTTGCTTGATGAGCTAATGGCTGAAGGGACAGAGACCAAGGAGCAGAGTGAACCGCGGCGGCTTCTTAACATCTGGAAAAATGAAATCCAGCTGGATTATCTCAGTGCGAAGGGGCTGGATGTGACGAAAAAGCTTGAGGAATTGAAGATTAAGCAGGAGACTGATTCGTCAAACGATGAGAACGACGAGGATAGAGTCGACCCCAGCAAACTGCGAGCGCAAGGCTTCGCCCGCAGAATCCTTTACCCCTGGAACGAGCACGAGCCAGACCGCAAGTCACCTGAGACCCTGCGTCTCTTAAACGAGCGGCTCAAGAAGATTGCACCTAAATGTGAGGTGCGGGCTGTTGCGTTGCCTGTACTCCACGATACCACCACCAGGGACGAGAACGCTGAAAAAGACGGAGAAGAGGAGGTCTCCATCCAACTCGGCCTCTTCGCCAAAGAGGACCTCGCACCAGGCGAGACAATACTCCACGAGTCCTCTCTCCTAACAGCAACAAACCGCCTCCACGACGACACCTGCGACGCCTGCAACGGTCCCTTACCACCCCTTTCCTCCGAAAATCCACCCGTCGCCTGCGACGAATGCTACGACATCATCTTCTGCTCACAATCCTGCCACGACCAAGCCCAGGAAACCTACCACGGCGCCGTCTGCGGGCTGATGGAGAACCTCGAGAGCATCGGAAAGGACATCCCCGACGCAAAGGACAAAGCCGACTACCTCTACCTCCTGCTCCTCGGCCGGGCACTGGCAATGGCCCAAACACAGGGCGTGAACCCCCTCGAGCTCGACGAGATCAAGTACATCTGGGGCGATTTCGTCCCATACGACCCGAACACACCGCCACCCCTGGGCCCCGCTCTGTGCCATTCCCATTCCCATTCCCATACCGCCTCCCACGCCCAAGATCCCAATGCTCTGGAAATCCAAAAACAAGCGACCCTCCCCTTTAGCTTCCAGCTCTCGATCCTGCAGCCGATGCGCCTAATTGAGGAAATGGGACTGGATCCGTACATGACGCTCGAAAACTACGATACGTGGATCCTGAATACACTGTACGCCAAATTCCGCGGCACCGCGTCGGGACGGCTCTCGACGTGGGATGGCGGGCCGGAGACGTGCGCTGTGCACCCGCTCTGGTGTCTTGCGAACCATAGCTGCGATCCGAACGTGAGGTGGGAGTGGGGCGGGGAGATTGCGTTTGTTGTTCGGGGTGATGACGAGAGGGCTGGTTGGAAGAGGGAGGGTGAGGAGAGGGAGAAGGCGAAGGGGGGGATCAAGAAGGATGAGGAGATTCTGAACCATTACTGTGATATTGGGCTGAGTGTTAAGGATAGGAGGGAGTGGGCCGCTGGGGCGCTTGGGGGGAAGTGCTTGTGTAAGAGATGTGTTTGGGAGGCTGGCGAGGTTTGAATATTTACGAAGTGAACGGTTGCGCATGAAAATAGAATGAATAGAGATAGAATGCTACACTCAATGTATTGGTACGAGTAATGCCAGATATGCTAAAATACATCGTTAAGAGAAGAACAGCCCGATTCCCAAATCCATTACCGATTGCATGCACGTTTTATATCGAGATGGTAGTATTACCGACGGGGCGGGGTGGAGGGGGATCGTGCCCGCCGACGGGGAGGCGGAGATGCGGAGAGAGGTGAACTGGAGTTTCGTCGGCGCTGGTTTCTACTATAGCGAGGGCTAGGCGATCGCGTGACAGAGTAATCTCTGCCCCGACGGCCTGGCGGAGGACGTTGGGGTGAGGGAATGCGCCGTTCAGCCCTCTTAGGGGGAGGGGACATCGATGCTGACGAGTAGCGTCGAGGAGCAGGTGCTCGGCGCGGCGGTGGAGAGACAGACCGCGAGGGTGATCTAGAATAGCTACGGGCTCTTCCGCCTCGTCGGGGAGGAGTGACGGAGCGGGAGCGGCTGCGGCTCCGGCTTCGGCGTGGCGGTGGAGATCGAGAGTCGACACGTCCGCGGCCAGTTCGAGGGGGTGGACTGCGGCTGCGAGATGGAGACCGACTGTACGAGACCGAGCGACGGCGGGTTCGCGGCACGGGGGATCTTGAGCGCGACCGCGAGGCGGTATAAGAGCTTCGGCTGTAGCTGCGGCGGGATGAGCCAGATACAGACCGCGAGTAGGACCTGCCGCGGCTGACTGAACGTCGCCGACCGCGGCTGCGAGAAGGCGAGCGGGAGTAGGACGGGGAGCGAGAGTAAGTATAAGAGCGGGATCGAGATCGAGATGAATAGGATGAGCGTGAGCTGACAGACGCAGAGCGCGCAGGCGGCAGGGCAGGAACCTCGGGTTTGGGCATGTTCTTCAAGAACTCGCGCAACTCCTCTGTCAATGCACCGAAACCGATGCTGGTAAAGTAGTTGATCGAGAAACGGGTGTTGCGCGGGTTGTCCGTTGGGAACAAGCCCTCGAAGCTTGAGCGCAAAAGCTCGTCTGTCATGCGTTCTCGTAGCTTTGGTAGACCAAGATGCTCTGCAAGGTCCTGGAAAAGAATCTTGATGAAGATACGACTGCTCGACGTCGTCTCCTCCTCGTTTAGGTGAATGATCGACAAAACGTGCCAGCCGAGCGCATCAGTGCTCAGCATGTGGCCGAAGAAGCGGGCAATATTGCGCAGACGGTTGGTTTCGTATCGATGGATGGTATCGTAGTACTTGGCGAACGCATTCTCGAACAGGTCTGACCAAAGGCGATTGATCTTTGCAAACCTCTCACCGATAAGTCCATAGAACTTGGAGTATGTTCGCTCTTGAGAGCAACACTCGATGACCATAGAAGGAAGCTCAGGTTCCAGGCCGGCTGGCAACGAGATTTTCATCAACTTGTGGCAACATTCTTCAAAGTCGATACTGGACATAATGGTCAAATATATAGTTCGGCGCAGGTTCACGAGATCTGTATTGCTTTGATCCTTGATGTCCAGCTGCCGCTCTTCTTCAGACTCCTCGTCCGAACTCTCGTCACCGTCGTCGCTCTCATCTTCGTCATCGCTTCCTTCGCCAAGAATCTCAGCCTTCAGTTTCTTGTAGGCCTCCTCGTGCTCCTCCCACTGGGCGTCAAATTTGAATATGTTCAGGCTGTCTTGAGTCTCAATCTCATCATCCAGCCCAATCCGGTGGGTAATCTGATCCTCCTCTTCCACCAAATCAAGCTCCTCCTTGACAGCCGGGTTATCCTTGTATCGGTCTTTGCGCACCTGAAAGAGGACTTCAACCATATACTGCACACGCTTGTCGATGTCGGCCTCGTGGAGAATATTCCTGAATTGGTCAAACACCGCCAACGCAATCGGACCACTCATTTCCTCCAGATGCTGGCCAACCTCTCGCGTTAACCCGACAGCAATCTCAACACTATCATCGGTGGGCTTGTGAAGCAGGAGGAGTAGGATTTGCGCCGCAAGCATTTCGTGTACCACCTGTTGGTTGCATAGATGAGCGATGAATGTCGTCGACGATATGCACACCGCCTTGTCGTTCCTCTTGAAAGCCTTTCGAAACTGAATGATTAATCGACTTAAAAGTAGTTCTCCGACCTGCGGTAGCTTGGTATTGACGATTGCTGCCATGGCAGCGTAGATGGGTGTGAACGGCAAACTTGCCGCTTGTGCCTTCATAATGCTCCGGCAAAACAAACCACGTCCCCGGACCAGGTTCTCGCCAAACAGTTCTGGGACGATATATTTGATATTCGACACGTTGACCTTGTTGATAAGACCGTTGATCGACTTCTTCAGAGCCTCCCAAGCCATCCGCTGGTACTCTTTGCTGGTCTTGTCTGTGATCTGCGCTTGCAGGGCGCGGAGCCGCGCAGGAGGAATGTATGTACCTCCCGAGCGCATGTTGAGGAGCTTCTCATATTCTGCTTTGGCCGATGCTTGTTTCTCCTCCTCCGTCAGCGGCTTTCGTGCAGCTTCCTTCTGTTCATGTTGACGCACTCGTTCCGCCAGCTGGTGTTCACGCTCGAGCGCACGCCCGGGGTCGATACGCGGCACGTCGCCATCGGCTGCTGCTGAGTCGCCAGGGGGCGAGCGACGCCGATTCGGTGAAGGTGAACGAGAGGGCGGCGATCGCTTTCGTGAGCCGGAGGGTTGAGGGGAGTAGGAAGCGCCTGGGGGAGGTGTAGGCACGCGCACGGCCGACTGCAAAACAACAGAATCCGACATCTTCTAGTGCCTCGATGAGATGTAAGTTCCAACCCGAGATCTCGAGCTGTCGAGCTGGTCGAGCTGGGATGAAGTCTGACGGAGAACTGAGGCGGCGAAGAGTCTTAGCGCGACGGCCCCACGTGACCATTCAGGAGCCAGGCTGGCCCTCTCTCCTGCGTGTATACAACGAACTGCTTAGGACGTCGCTTTGCCTCTGTTTGGTCTCAAGCTCTCTGTCACTATGGTAAGAGCTCACTTAGCTCGTGCAAACTGCTAGACATGTGAGATCCAATCGCTGACCGCATTGCCAGCTGGGCCAACTCGTGGGATCCGCCATGCTTTTGGCCGCTACTGCAATCTTTCTCTACTACACGGCATGGACGCTTCTCATGGTACGCATTCCTTCACTCTGGTTTCTGGGAGATCAACTAACATATACCAGCCGTTTGTTGACCCTGGTCACCCCCTCCATGCCTTCTTCCTCCCTCGCGTTTGGGCCATCCGCATCCCCGTGTTCCTTGTCCTCCTCGGCTCCGCTGTTGTCGGCACGTTTATCGGCATCGTCATGATCAATAGCAACAAGAAGAAGGCTGCCAAGTCCAAGGCGGCGGCTGCAAAGAAGAAGACCTGAAAATGCCGGCTTGTGAGGACGAGAAGGGTGTGTATAGGATGACTTTCTGGCCCCGGGGGCGCTTCTTTATATTTGACAACCTGTAACAATAGTTCTTCTTTATTACGCTTATAATGCGCTTCAAGAGGCAAGATCCCTCAGAGTTGAGTTGGGCTGTTTACCTATACCTTAATGAATGCATCTATGGTCCGGCGCGTACTAGGAGAGACAAAGCAAACATATGACCCCCAAGTCTTACATTGCTGACATGCCTCTGAAACAAGTAGAATAAAGACTTGACCTGGTCACCAGCGTCATAATGCATTTGACTGTCGCACTGACCTGGCAAGCTGATAATGGACAACCTCGTGATCCAGCTCTGGGCCTCTGGCTCTGGATCACGGGATATGGCTCTCTTCACCGAGTGCGGCTGGAACCGGCCCTGGTCGCCTTTGAAGATGTCCTTGGAACCATAGGAGAAGAGGCAGAGAACCATGGCATTTGGGCATTACTGTTGAGCAATGCTATTTGGCGGGCTTGGGTACCGAAATCTCACCCCTCATGTGTAACGCATCGTATTTTTGTTGTACCTATAGTCCTCGGCTTAAGCAAGGTCACACCAACTGACGCCCAATCCCCAGATTTCAGGAAACCGGGATGGCCCTCTGCTAGGCCATGGCCCAGAGTAAGCATTCATGTTCCTTACATCTTCTAGCTCAACCAAGCTGAAAGCCGTCATCACAAAGGTCTTGTCATCATCGGCGTCATTCAGTTGCGGCGTCAGGTTCCTTATTCCAACAGCCCCACGGGTCATGAGCGCAAGTTCCGAGCCTACAAAAGAGGCGCAGTGGCTTTGGGAGATTTTAGGGATAGTTCTCTGCCAGAAACGAATAGTGGAAAATTACAAGCGTGTCAGCCTGCCGAGCGGTAGATGTCATTCCCAATAATCCCCTGAACCGCCCTCTCCACCTGTGCAGGCTTCCCCTCTCCCGCAGTCCCCATCGCCCCTCTATCGCTATCTACTCCCCCCATCCTCCTACATCACCCCAACTCACCACCACTGTGTCCCGCCTACTCTGTTCAACTCGCGAACATTGAACATACTCGTCGATTGCCACATTTTGTCAGTCTTCTGACGTGGGCCCGCCGGTTAAAGCTGTGCTTCCGACACTGTCCCTGTTCCCCAGATCGACGCGTACCGTTATCACCGAGCTCCCCGGTCGAGATAGCAGGGTATCTCGACTTCTCTTCTCCAAACACACATCCTTACCTTTTCATTGTCTTCTAGATACTAGATTCGCTCTACACCAGAATCTAGGCTGTAGGGGACCCCTTGAACGACCAAACCCTGTGATGATGCTTAGTGACTCATGCTGACAGCTTGTCGACATAGGTAGATATCGATCTGAGAACCGCCCAGCGCAGAACCCTAGCAGGTTGATCATACCATCGACCCTCCGTTCTCAGGCCTTGTCAGAGGGTCTTGAGGGCGGCTGCTATTGCTTATACCGCCCCTGCCTTATTAAGGCAGCTCATCCATTTAATGCCCCCGGCCGCCTCGGACGACTTGTTTCGCCAGCAGATCCGGTTACCGGGCGTTATAGGCCCCGTGGAAGACCCGAACCCCGTTAAGCCAGATAATGATATTGGGGGAAAGAGTAAGAAAAAGGGAAAGAAGAAGGGAGCCAAGGTGACTTCAAGGGTTCCCGTGGACGACTTGTAAGTCTAGATCTGATCAGTCCGGGCCAGTGTCTGGCTACTGACCCATGGCTTTCAGGCTAGAAGGATCCCCGCCGTCACAGGCTGAACCCTCGTCTTATCCTGATCCACCTCCGGAACCACAGCCCGAGCCCAATGCTATAGTATCACCGGTCCTTGACGCTTTAGGTTCGCTCACGGACACGCCTGAGCAAGACTTCGCCTACCGAACGAACAACTGGGCCAAATCCATCCCTTTTGGGAAGAGCCCGCCAAACGACGGCTACGAGGATGATCTCGTCAGCGGATCCCCGTTTGGTGGCTTTCTCACGAGTCAGGATAAAGGTGGTTTCAGCCATCCGTCTTCCGCCTCTCCACCACCACCCAGGACAAGACCTCTGAGTTATGGGAATGGCTACTCCAGTAGCGCCATTTCTCGTCAGCAGTCTACAGATAGGCAGAAGAGCCTGTCTGTACACACCCCGTTTAGTGATCGGATAGCGCCTCCTCACCACCCGCAACCACACTTCTACGGTGCGCCCGACATTGATATACCGTCACCCCCCGGTCATAGCCGGCTATCGACAGACTCTCACTATTCGTTCTGCGCATTCGATACTATCTCAAACCCACCATTCAAGTCGTCTCGGCTGAGCGGCAGTGTTCTTTTGGTTGGTAGCGATGGTACTTTGGAGGTTTTGACAGTCGAGGATCGCAAGACACGCCCTATTGGAAGGTTGGATGGTCTCAACGGGAGGGTAGTTGATGCAAAGATGCTAGCAGGTGATGACTCAACATCTGGAACCCGGCCACATGTTGCTATCATCCTTCATGGCCCTTGTGTCCCATCCGATGACGAGGGACATGCTTCTTCTAATGGCTCCGAGGCGAATGATATTCCCACAGTGCGATATGCCAGCGCTGATAAACGTCATAGCAAGGACGACACACGGTTCTACCAAACAAGGGTTGAAGTCTACTCACTCAGAACGGGAGACCACATCTCGACCCTGTATACAACAAAGCCTAGTCCTTGTTTTGAGAATATCCCAGGACTCTCAAATTTTGCGCCCTCGCCAGCCGGAAATTTGAGGCTTTTTACAAGTGGCAGCTACCTCGTCATAGCGTCTGGTATCAGTGGCGAGGTCTATATCTATAGTATGAATCGATATCAGTGCCTTGGGAAAACCTGGACCAGTATTCAGTCGAGGGAAGCAAGACGATATTCAACATCCTCAAGCTCAACGGACCCGGACGGGTCCCGAAATGACTCACCCAATGGAACTGCCAAAGCCGATAACCCGATCATCGCCTTGAAGGGAAGATGGTTAGCAATTGTACCGCCGTCATTTACGTATCGAGCATCGCTGGGTGGAATAATACCAGCGCCTTCGGTGCAGGGGAAGGTCTTTGGGCTGGAGACCCGTAGTCCCCCCTCGCGACCAGCGACTACCTGTGCGACTGATGTTGGTGATGGTGAAAGCCTTTTTGACAAAGTTGCTAGAGGTGTCACGCAGGAGTTTGTGCGAGGAGCCCGTTGGATGAGTGACCAGGGCTTACAAGCCTGGAACAGTTATTGGAACAAGGATCAGCAACAAACATCTCAGCAGCGCCGCTCTCAAGTGATGGATTTTCCCCAAGGATACAGTCTATTTCCTCCAACTCATGCCCAAGAGACCCAGACCGCGTCCCCAGCCGAGCCCGATCTCGTATCTATTCTCGATCTGAGAAAGCTTGACGAAAATGGAGATTCGAAGAGCGCGATTATGTTTAGCCCCGTTGCCACATTTCAAGTACCGAATGGCTGCAGCTTTTTGTCCTTCTCTCCCAGTGGGCTCATGCTCCTTACCGCGAGTAAGAAGGGCGATGTCCAATATGTATGGGACCTCATGCAGGCCAAGTATTGTCGCGCTGGGCTTTTCTTGACCGAGGACTCGGCGGCAGTAACTGCAAGTGTGCGCCAAGTTGCACGGTATTCGCGGTTGACGGAGTCGCATATCGTGGATGTGATATGGTGCCCACCTTCTGGTGACCGTCTTGCCATCATTACTCTCAAAGGCACTGTGCATGTCTTCGATCTCCCACGAACCGCTTTTCAATGGCCTCCTTTCCGCAGGGCTCGGCCTGCGAGAGGAAAACAACCGACGAACGACGTGGCGACAGAAGAGTTAGCTGTGCGGACGACTAATAGCAACCCTCTATCGACAGCCATGAAGCTTGTTGGAGGTAAAACTCAGCCAATCTTTGAAGCTGTCAGGGGCCGTGCACCGTCAGCCGGGGCAGCATTTCCTGCCATGAATGGATTTATGATCCCGACCGCGGCTGGTATGGGCGGCAAAGCTGTCGCTGCTGGTCTTAGCAAGTCAATGGGGGCTGCTGCTAGTGGAACAGTTAATACTCTGCGTCATGTGGGTGAAAACCGGCTCCACATCTCTGGATTCACACGCGAGCCCGCTGCGTCGCGTGTCACCTGGATCATTCACAAGGGCCAGCCATTCTTAGCTCTTATAGCAAACGGCTACTTCCGATTGTATAGGGTCAAGCGGTCCGTGCTGCCCAACAAATCCCGACAACCACAGTCAGTTGTTGGTAGCAAGGAAATCGAATTTCGACTGCCCGCGAATTTGTCTAGCTCTTGTGGTCCCATGGGGATCAGCAGCCTCAATCCAGAGTTGATGGTCCGCGCCACCCTCGCTTTACCATCGTCTACTGTACGGCCGTCCGCGTCATCGAAACTCAAGTGCCAGCCACTTTCGCAGGCGGAACTTGAGACCAATGCACCATATCAACCATTTCATACTGATCAGAGAGTAAGCTTGTTTACTTACTCTGAAACGGGAGTGGCAGGTGGCTCATTGACTTCATCGCCAAAGGGCCAGTGGGTATTTGGCGGTAACTTGCCCATGTCCAAGCTGCATGTTCGTCGAGTTAGTGCCAGCAGCGAGGATGAAGGCGAAGATGCCATGCACGAACTTCAACAGGGTCTAGGTGGAGGAATTGAGAATACGATCAGCATGGGTAACAGTACTAGCAACGTGGAGGAAGTGGTAATTACTACACGACGGAAGAAGAAATATTCGTCACCACTACAGGCTGGCGGCGAGGATGGGTTCTTCGAAGACGACTGTGAGGTTTTGGATTTCGCCGTTGACCGGGTTTAATCTCCACTCACAGTGCATACAATACTCATTGGGCATGCATTGATTCTATGCAAATCTTAGATATTATATCGGTCGGCGTTTGGGTTGCTTTTTGAACTTCCACTCATACTTGCCGTTCCACTCGGCAACTCATACCTACCTAATCCATACTGCAGCGCTGCTCTCATTCAACAATGGCCTGGTAAGCCTCGCATTCCTTTGGTTGTTTTGGTGCGCATCGCATGTTATCTACATACCCAATGAGAATAGACAAGAACTCAATGCATCGACATTAATAATCTAGACTAAGTAGAAGACACATCCTCCATCTCCTCTTCCCACCATTTCCTAAACTCCACCAACCTCTCCGTCCTCACCCTAGCCATCCTCCTCCCCGTAGCCGTCTTCATCATCCCTTCCAACCTCTCCAGCTTCTCCCCGAAATGCCTAATGGAATTCTCCATCTCCCATGCCTCTCCCTCCTTCAACATATCTCTCCCCTTCGCACCTAGAAACGTAAAACACCGCCCAATCCCCACAGCACCCAAAGCATCCAGTCGATCCGCATCTTGCACAATCGCCAGCTCAACGAGTCCGTCCTCATAGATCAACTCCCTCACAGCCTGTGGGTCTTTACACTCCGTCGTATACGACACATGCGAGACAATCGTCTGCACCCGCTGGGCCAGAGCTGGCTCAGCGCCGTGAGTGAGAAGAATATGCTCAACTAGCTTGTGCGGTGGGATTGCATTTGCATCTTGCTTTGCCTCCTTGGGGAGGTATTTTCTGTCACTGATATCGTGTAGGAGGGCTGCGAGGTGAACGGTAAGATAGTCCACTGGCTTGGTCGACTGTTCCTGTTCGGATTTGAGGATTCGCAGTGCGAGGTTCACGACGCGGTTGATGTGTGCGGGGTTATGGCTGGGGTCATAGTCCTTCATGCATTCTGTTACGAAGGCGGAGATTGGAGCGATGAGGGGGTGTTCGTGGTTGATGGGTGTAGGAGCGGATTGGGACATGATTCTGATTCTGCAAGATCAGTTCACCTGCCCGTGGAGTAGGGAGCGTTTGACACGTACCGTGACGCGATTGTATGCGTGTATATATTTACTTTGGTGATATGTGCACGTAAGATCCTAGGGAGACGCGTTGGGCTTCATTTTGACGCGTCGGGGACTGACTCACTGAGGGTCTGGCTCACGGGCCACGGGCACTCCACAGCTGTAACAGCAGCGGGTGGTTCCGCTGCTGAAGTGGTTGAGCCTTTGAGGACGCCTGGATCCATCACCTCGCAAAAAGCTGGAATGTTTTGGAGAACAAACTCAATTGGTATAATGCCCTATGATAATCATACATGCTAAACAATGGATTACTGGATGACGATGAGCTTGGACTTGGAGATCGAAGAATGGATGTTCATCAGTCTCCACACTCCACAGATCTCATAGCCGGGGCCCGAGGGATTAAATTGCGATGATATTTATGGGTCTGCTGGTCCACAAAAGTTGCTGAAGAACAGTGATCGGCATGTTGATTTACTCTGAGCATGGACCTGCGCGTGGTAAGAGTTGGCAATCAATTCGAAGGCACAGGGTGTGAGAAAGTAACTCGAATTATTATGGTATCGATCACTGATTATTAGAACAGAGAATGCAAGTAAGGACTATGTAGACAACCATTAGACAACGCTCCAATCCATCCATTCCATCAATGCCTTGCTCGGCCCATGACTCGTGTAATTAGCCCGTGTTTCACACCAGGAGCAACTCAGTTGGTTAGGCGAGCCCCTTACAGAGCCCAAGCGGCGACGAGGAGGCCAGCCAGGCCAGCAGCAGAGACACCGAGCCTAGCGGCCGCGTTAGTGTCAGAAGGGTCGTCGCCAGAGCCCGTCTCAGTGGCAGAGTCGCCGCTGGTGCTAGTGGCGTTGGAGCCTACAGCATCTGTTAGCGCATGTGACGGCATTAGCGACGGCGCCAAAAAAGAGTGCTTACTATCCGAGTTGGAGTCATTGGAGTTGGAGTCGTCAGTGCTGGACGCATCATCACCGGAGCTAGTAGTGGTAGCGGTGTTGGAACCAGTCGCGCTGCTGGTTGAGTCGTCGGTGAGGGTCGCAGTGCCCGGGAAGTAAGTAGTGGTAATGCAGCGAGCCTGGCACTGGGCGTAAGATTGGATGTCCGCCTCAGTGCCGTCACCCTGGTCACACTGCGAAACACAGGTGTTGGTGTCGTTGGCCTGCTGGTCGCTAGGGCAGGGAACGCTGTAGCATGCGGCCTTACAGCAGATGTCATCGTCATCGCCTGAAATTGATCAGTATCGGAGCAAAGGTATAACAGGACTATGGCTCGTACAGTTGTTAGCGCATCGCTCCTGCGCAGTCAAGCTGGCGGTGGTGGCTGGCGCGGTCGAAGTCTCCGTAGAGGTCGAGGACGAGTCCTGGGCAGCAGCCAGGGCAAGTACCGAGGTGAGGGCAACAAGAGAGAGCTTCATTTTGACAAGTCAGAAACGACAGGCGTGGGTTTCAAATAGAAAGACTTCAAGGAAATACTGAAGCGAAGCTGGCAGAGAAACCAAACGAAGGGCGCGATGGGAAGAGGAAAAGGAGGAAGAGAAGGAGGAAGCGAAAGAAAAAGGACGGCTGGGGGCAAAAAAGCAAAGGCAGGCAAAGCGCACTACTGCAGCATCAAGCATAGGCATAGCAGCTCGTGCAACGCGAGACAATTCGGGCGTGGGCGCCAGTAAATTGAAACCTTCGGCGGGCTTGTCGTCTCCTGGCGCGTCCCATTAGTCGAGTTTCACAGCGATCAACGGTGCTTCCCTGGTTCGGGCGAATCGAGATCACCTGAAGGGTACGAAATTAGATTAATGTTTATCGACTCCTAGCGAAGTCTTGGTAGTGAGCTGTCAGACTGGCCATCCATTGGTGGAGGCTTGGAGACGCCGTGTGAACTGTTTACCAATTTTGGGCGACAACATGAGCAGAACGAGCCGGTCTTCAGCCGGTTGCAAATCCGGGGCGCTCTAAAAGTTGGACTTGGACCCATAACCAAGTCATACTACACAGACCGATAAGCAGACCCTCGATGATGATCGGACCATGTCCTAGTACAGTAGTAGGCCTACGGAGTATGTGCTTCAACAGTTGAAACCCCGCCGATTGGCCGAAATTATACGGCCCCATACTACTTTCTGATTTCGACCGCCTAAGGCAAGTATGATGCGTGTCACATGATCTCGCGATGCTCCGCGTCGCGTTCTCCGCTCACCATCAGGCATTCCGTGATCTCATTCGAAAACAAACCCGACCATGTCCGACCTCGATGGAGGCTCGTTAGATTACTCGGACGATAATTTGGGCAATTTCGTGGTCAACGACGATGACCACCCCAGGTCAGCAAAACGGCGTCGATTGAGTGCCCGAGAGCCCGGGGAGGCTCGCCAGCGGCCGCGCCCGCAGACCATCAATGGAAATAGTAACAGCGAGGGTTCTGATTTTAGCTCAGACTCTTACGGTGATGACGACGAGCGTCGACCAACAACACCCGATGAATTCTACTCCCGAGATGAGCCCGGAGAGCAGCCCTCCAGATACAAGACGTTCATCCCGAAAAATATGCGCAATAATATTCGAGAGAATATATTCGTCACTCAACTTACACAACCTCCATCACCACCTGAAATGATTCGGGGGCCTAGATGGAAAAAGCCCGATCCTGTCCCTCCCCCACCTGCGATCATGGACACGGTCGTTGCCGAGCCTGAGGCCCAGGATACCCGACAAGAGCAGGATTATGGGGACGACGAAGATATCAAGGCTGCGATTGAAGCGTCACTACATTCATTCGAAGAGGAGAAGACACGGGAGACTAGCCCGACTAGCCCAAAAGGTCTCGAACTTGCCTCAGCCCCTGCGCCTTTAGACTCTATGGATCTCTTTGATGACATTCCGGACGATGCATTTGACTCGGACTTATCTCTATCGCCACCAACAACGCAAGCACCGAAGATACCTTGGACTACTTCGCAGGCTCGAAATCGTCCATTAGGTGTCCATCAAACGACGTTATTTGACATGGCTGCTCGAAATCCAGCAACACAGCCCCCGCGCGGCGAGCAGATGATGGCTCCGCCGGACAAGGTCGAGCCTCCGACACAACACAAACTCAATGAAGACTCCCTGGGCACTTGGGTATACCCTACCAACCTGGGCAAGACCCGTGACTACCAGTTCAATATTGCCCAAAAAGGGCTGTTTCATAACTTGCTGGTAGCCCTGCCTACAGGTTTGGGAAAGACATTCATCGCCGCCACCATCATGCTCAATTGGCTTCGCTGGACTAAAGACGCCCAGGTCATATTTGTTGCTCCAACAAAGCCGCTGGTATCTCAGCAGATATCCGCGTGTCTTCAAATTGCAGGTATTCCACGGTCTCAAACGACCATGCTGACAGGCGAAGCTCCGCCCGGGATTCGCGCAGAAGAATGGAAGACCAAACGCGTCTTCTTTATGACCCCGCAGACTTTAACAAACGATCTCAAGTCGGGAATAGCCGACCCCAAAAGGATTGTATTACTCGTTGTAGACGAGGCCCATCGTGCCACTGGCGGCTATGCTTATGTAGAAGTTGTCAAATTCCTGCGGCGGTTCAACCAGAGCTTCCGGATATTAGCTCTAACCGCAACACCGGGGTCCAATGTTGAGTCAGTGCAGGCCGTGGTTGATGGCCTTGATATTTCGAGGGTTGAAATTCGTACTGAGCAGTCTCTTGATATCCGAGAGTACGTCCACTCCAAAAACACAGATATTCAAACATTCCAGAACTCGGACGAAATGATCCTATGCATGGACCTCTTGTCTAGCACACTTCAACCGCTTGTCGACCAGCTTCGTTCACTGAACGCATTCTGGGGAAGGGATCCAATGTCTCTGACCCCATACGGACTCACGAAAGCGAGGCAGCAGTGGATGATGTCTGACGCTGGCCGAAATGCACATTTTGGCCTGAAGAATAAGGTCAACGCTATCTTTACAGTCCTCGCGAGCATGGCACACGGGATCGACTTGCTCAAGTATCATGGAATTACTCCACTGTATCGTCATCTGTCGCACTTTCAGTCTAATACTGACGGAAAGAAAGGAGGGAAATATCAGCGTGAGATCGTGCAAAATGAGCACTTCAAGAAGCTGATGAATTACCTCACTCCATGGACCAAGAACCCTGAGTTTATCGGACATCCAAAGCTGGAGTACTTGAAGCAGGTTGTTCTGAACCATTTTATGGACGCTGGTGAGGGCGCTCATGGGGCTGTTGGTGAAAACCAGACGACCACCAGAGTGATGATATTCGTACATTTTCGAGACAGCGCCGAAGAAGTGACGAGGGTGTTGAAAAGATACGAGCCAATGATTCGACCCCATGTTTTCGTTGGGCAAAGCAGCGCAAAAGGCTCAGAAGGAATGGGCCAAAAGACTCAACTTGATATTGTTCAGAAATTCAAGAAAGGAACCTATAACACGATCGTGGCAACTTCAATTGGCGAGGAAGGGTTAGACATCGGAGAAGTTGATCTCATTGTGTGTTACGATTCCTCGGCTTCTCCCATACGCATGCTGCAACGCATGGGAAGAACAGGTCGAAAGAGAGCCGGTAACATTGTTTTGCTCCTTATGCAAGGCAAAGAAGAAGAGAGCTTTCTCAAGGCGAAGGACAATTACGAGAAGATGCAACAGCTTATAGCCAGCGGAACCCACTTCACGTTCCATGACGATAGATCTCCACGCATCATACCAAAGGGAATAAAACCCGTTCCGGACAAGCGACATATTGATATTCCGGAAGAGAATGAAGGTAGCGGCCTCCCAGAGCCGAAGAAGCGCAAAGGACGTGTCCCAAAGAAACCACCGAAGCAATTCCATATGCCCGACAATGTTGAAACCGGTTTTATGACGGCATCCAGCTTGACAGGAACATCAAAACAGACAACCAAGTCAAAAACAAAGCAAAAAGAGAAACGAAAAGTTCGAATACCTACGCCAGAGCCAGCGCAGGTTCCAGACCTTGAGGATGTCCTGCTGACTCCGACTCAGCAAAAGGAACTCGAGAGGCATTACCAGGATGTAGGAGGCACAAGCCCGCAGATCATCCGCTATCCTCGAAATGACGCGTTCCCTCGACTACAGTCAGTCCAACGGCCAACCAAACTTGTGAGACATAGCTCTCTTACAAAGCGTGTCATTGACGCATTGCAACGAATGAACCAGGTTGGCGCAGAGTGCGAACAGCGCTTCAAGGAGGTAATATCGCGTGAGTCGAAGCTGCCATCTAAAGAATCTCTTCTTTCTAGGAAGTCCTCGTCTGGTAAACGCCGTCAGAGCTTGGCCAAACCAAAGGCAAAATCTGCCGAACTCCAGTATCCGGCAGAGGAGCCGGCAGAGGAGCCCGAAGAGGACGAAACTGATATGGATTTCCTATCTCCCACCAAGCTATTTGCAGATTTTGGAGGCCATCAGCAGCCGGAACCACTTCTGCCTGCCCGCGGAGCCAGTCAAGTCGAAGATGACTTTGATTTGCTAGACCCCGTCGCTCTCTTTACGCCGGATGCCGAGCGTAGAGCTTCGCAGAAACGGAGAAGGATTGTGCTCGATGATGACAGTGATGAATAATGCCAAACCGACACGAGTAAAAGCTTACTGGGCTCTTTGATTGTATAATCATTTAGGACAATGTCTAGGTGAATCAAACTAGTCTTTCAATACGCCCGAATTATGTACTCCGTAGAATGGTGGAGCTCCTAAAGCCACATTGCGGGTTGCTGCGCCCACGCACCTCCCGTCCGGCGTCGGCATTCAGGGACACCTTAACATCAAGCAGTAAACAACATTCAAAACCAACCTAATCACAATCAGAAACGCATCGCAATGGCAGACGCCCAATTCGATAGTGCGCTGTAAGTCTTCCATTTATAAGAACTGCCCATCTTCGCAACCCGTCGATTTCCAGAGCATGACTTCTACCCTAACCCAACCCCGCCTGCACCCTGCACTCCGCTGACAAGAGCGCCATGCCTGTACCAGGGACCTCCTCCGGCGTCTGAACCCCCGCGATACAAAGCAGAACCTTCAAGCCATCACCTCCATTGTCCCCGACCTCACCGAAGACCTCCTGTCCTCCGTCGACCAGCCGCTCGAGATCCGCCGATGCTCCAAGACAAAGCGCGACTACCTACTCTGCGACTACAACCGTGACGGCGACAGTTACAGGTCCCCCTGGAGCAATGAGTTCGATCCCCCTCTTGATGACGGCACAGTACCAAGCGAGCGAGTGAGGAGACTGGAGGTTGCCGCGAACGAGGCGTTCGACGTCTACCGGGAGCTGTATTACGAGGGCGGTGTTGGGAGTGTGTACTTCTGGGATCTGGACGATGGGTTTGCGGGTGTCATTCTTCTGAAAAAGGGTATGCTTCTGCATGCGGACTCATACTGCATTGATCAAGTTTGAGCTAATGCATCTGTTGAACAGGCGTGTCTCCCGGCGGAAAGCACTCTGGCGAATGGGACAGCATCCACGTCTTCGAAGCGACTGACCGGGGGCGAGCGGCCCACTATAAGCTCACCAGCACGGTGATCCTTCATCTCTCCAACGAAAACGAAGCCCTCGGTGAGATGGACCTGAGCGGGAACATGACCCGGCAGATCGAGGTGGATATGCCCGTCGATTCGGATGCAAGCCATGTTGCCAATGTCGGTAAAATGGTCGAGGACATGGAGTTGAAGATGAGGAACTTGCTGCGTATGTTTCACGGATTTTCTTTGGCTTGACTAGCTAGTCGAGATGTTCACTAACCGCACGGTTCTTGCAGAGGAGGTCTACTTCGGTAAAGCTAAAGACGTTGTCGGCGAGCTGAGAAGTGAGTGCTTCATCTTCTAATGTTGAGAACGAGAAGCTAATCCTTCAGGCATTGGATCTCTTTCCGAAACCAATCGAGACAGAGCTACCCAGCAGGAAATGATTCGGGGACTGCAGCGATAAGCAGTGTTCAGTTCCGTTATTGCGATTGTATCGAATACCCATAGGTATCTTTGCGTTTCTTACAGAAGCTGCTGACTTCCTTGTATTTACTTCTACTTATCTGAAGTGCAATAACACTGATCTATGACACGGCCGGAAGTGCCACGGCGGCTGCACAAGAATCGCTTCGGCATATCGCAAAGCAATGCAATGCATTCGAATTCGGGTATCATAAGGTCATATCCAGTCATGCAGCCATCGAACAGATTGGCGGATGCTAACTAAAGAAATCGCTCCTGTGAAATCATGCGAAAATTGTACCATCCCCAAAGATATTCAAGATATTCCCCATCGTGCCACCCAGCACCGAATCAGTCCACCTGCATGCTCTCCTGACCACCTTCCGTCTTCACTTTAGCCTCGTCGCCAGGAGACGCCTGGTTGATCCGCTGAACAAACTGTCTCGCAGCCGCCCATAGCTCCGCCTCCTTCTCCTTGCCCACGGTATCCTTCCTGCTGTTCAGCCAGCTAACATCTAACGGGTTCGAGGTGCCCGCAGCCGCCCCCGAACCAGTATCACCAGCTCTAGAAGACAAGTCTGGTGCAAGTATCGAAGCCTCCTCCAAAGCGTAGACCTGACGACGTAGCCGGACATCGATTGACGAGAGAAGCGCGAAGTACTGTGACGTAGCTTCCTTGAATCGAGCTTTATGTGAGTCGAGCGAGTTGTCGGTGGATGGTGAGGAGGGATCGTTGGTTCTGGCGTTCGTAAGCGCTTGTATTGCGAGTCCGGCCGAGTGGATTAGTTTGGCGACATCCTAGGACAGTAAAACGTGGTTAGTACAGATATGTTGAATATGCATCAGAGCTCTCATGTCGTACTTGGTCGATTTCGTTCAATTGGCGGATGCGATCGGCAGATGTAAAGACCTTGGCGGGTTGCTCAAGGTTATTGGTTTCGGCCATGTTATCCTCACTCCACTGGAGTTTTGTATAAAAGCTTCGGGACTTTTAAGAACGAGGAATGTTCAATGCATTGAGTCCCGACCAAATGACAGCCCGCTTGTCACGTGCGCATTCCGGGGACCCTGCTGACATAATCCCAGCGCGACAGTCGCGGACTTCTATCAAAAAGATGCATGAATGGACAACAGATTTGCTCACTTTTCCATCCTGCAAGTCAGCGACCCAATCACAAAACTGCCCAGACTTTATCCTCTTGCCCCTTGCCAAACCAGACAGGCTGAGAGAGTTTCAGGGGTGAAAGATCATGTCTGCGCCTGGCGGGGCCCCGAGCCCTGCTCCCCGAAGTGGGAGTATGGGCCCCGGTGCTGGTGTATCAATGCCTCCTCATCAACAACCCATGGCTACGACACCTGTTGGAGCGCCTACCCCAGGACCCCCTCCCCCTCAGCCTGCTAGTGGTGCAATGTCGCAGCAGAACTTGAACCAGATTGTCAGTGAGCGCTTTTCTTGCTCTTACCTTAATCCCTGTTCAGATTGGTGCCTAGATGTGTTTGCTTAGATTGCATCAGGTTCTACATGATGACCTTGGGAGACTGTTAGTTTTTGCCTTGTTAACTTTTGTATTAGGTCATTGACTACTTGGCCAAAAAGGGCTATAGTCGTACGGAAGCCATGCTACGTATGGAGTCTGCGAATCAAGAGATAGATGGCCGGCCTTTGCCCCAACTGGGAGAAGAGGCGCGGCCAAAGTACAGGATCGGCTTTGGTGCGATTCGCTGACAGCCCCAGCTGTTCAGATATGCTGGGTTGAAGCTAACTTGGCTGCTAGATTTACTCAAGGTCTGGGTAGAGGACAACCTGGACTTGTACAAGGTGCGACTCTTTTGTGCCTAGTGTTAACATTGGCTGATGGCTAATATATCTGAAGCCGGAACTCCGCCGTGTGTTATGGCCGCTCTTCGTCTATTCTTTCTTAAATATGGTGACCTCTCTATATACACCAGAAGCCAGGCAATTCTTCGATAACAACAAGAACCTTTTCCTACCAGAACACACGGAAGATGTACGGGCACTTGAGCCTATTAGCTTGCCTGAGCACGTTCAGGATAACTCAATTGCTAAACTATACCGTGGCAACAAATACCGCCTGGTTCTCAGCAACCCTGCTTTTGGCAGTTTGATGCAGTTCCTCGAGAGCAAGCAAAAAGAGGGTGGCTCCGTCATGTCAGCAATTCTGAGCAGCTTTTGCACCATCATCACTAAAGAGCGGGCAGCCGATGACAGGTTCAGCTTTGCGGCATTGCTCTCCCAAGCTGGCATGGGCCAGAGCTTCCCTACAGAAGATGAAGGCATTCCAGGTCACCATCCTGGCTCTGCATACACAGGCGATAACCCAGCGATGGCCGGTACTCTACCGCGACTCAGGCTAGCGAAGCTTTCTATGGAGCAGGCTCTTGAAGGTGATGTACGTGCTGAGCTCGCGGATGAAGACGCAAAGGTCCCACCGGGCCCTGGTCAGAACAGCTTGACGCAGGAGTTTGACCAAATGATCAAAAAGGAGGAGGACGATGAAGCTCCGACTCGTGCCGACATTCCCTATCCCCCATCAACTGCGCGCGACGTGGCGATTGAGGTGCAAAAAGTTAAGGAAAATCGTGATAGGTTCCGGATCGAATCTAGGACAGGAGGTGTTGGTCCTGCCGTTAGTGTTTGCATGTTTACATTTCACAACACCTATGACGGGTTAGTTGAAAGTCAGATGTATCTTCAAGGGTTCCTTGCTAACTCAATCCAGGGTTAACTGCTTAGACTTTTCGGATGATAATCTACTCGTTGCAGCTGGTATGCAAGAGTCATATATCCGCGTCTGGAGCTTGGATGGGAAGAAGATTGCTTCAGCAGATAACAGCGCGGACGATCACCCAACAAATTCTCGTCGTTTGATCGGGCACTCAGGGCCAGTGTACGCAGTTGCATTCGCCCCATCAGCCACCCCGGTCGACAATGCCATCGCACCAACAAATGCCCGATGGCTCCTCTCATCCTCCGCAGATAGAACCATTCGCCTCTGGTCCCTCGATCTCTGGCAGTGCATGGTCGTCTACAAGGGCCACGATCAGCCAGTCTGGGATCTCCAATGGGGTCCCTTCGGTCACTACTTCGTCTCCGGCGGTCACGACAAGACCGCTCGGCTCTGGGTAACAGACCACATCCGCCAACAGCGCATCTTCGTTGGCCACGAGCAAGACGTCGATTGCGTCTGTTTCCATCCTAACTCCGCTTACGTCTTCACGGGAAGCTCCGATCACACCGTGCGCATGTGGGCCGTCACCACAGGTAACGCAGTCCGCATGTTCACCGGCCACACAGGAAACATTACAGCCCTCGCCTGCAGCCGCGACGGCAAAACCCTCGCCTCCGCAGACGACCACGGCTCCATCCTGCTTTGGGACCTCGGCCCCGGCCGTCTTCTCAAGCGTATGCGCGGCCACGGGAAAGGAGGCATCTGGTCGCTCAGCTGGAGCGTCGAATCCAACGTCCTTGTCTCCGGCGGCGCAGACGGCACAGTTCGCATATGGGACGTTACGGGTCCAGCGCACGACCCATCGCAGGGCCGCGTTGTCGGGGAAGGCGGTGCTGGCACGAAGATTGATGGGACATCGTCCACTGCCGCGAATGCAACACAGCCATCGAGCGCCGTCGGACCGGGGATGGGCGGTGGCAAGAAAAAGGGTAAGGATGTTGTCGTCACGCCGGACCAGATCAGCGCGTTCCCCACCAAGAAGAGTCCCGTGTACAAGGTGAAGTTCACCAACATGAACTTGATTATTGCTGGTGGCGCTTATCTTCCCTGATTGTGATATGACTGTTGTGCTCGACTGGTCTCGATACCCTTCCTCTATCTAATCTGCTTCATACAATATTCGCGGTTTTTGCGAGGGCATTGATCTATTTTGCATGGACTTTTCAGGGCAACCTGACGGCGTGCGGGCTGGGTTGAATGGCATTGGTGTTTCGGCGGTTGGATATGTATAAGTACCATAACTTGCTGGCTAATTAAAACAAGGAATTAAAAAAATAAAAAAGACATTACAAATATGGGTTGAAATTATACAATGCCTCACGTTACTTCGTCTATCGTACCGTAGACAAGCTTCTTGGAACGCGCGTGAGTTCCAGCCTTTTAAGGCCTCTTTAGGGAGCCTGTACTCCCGCCTTCCGGTTTCCCAAGTGGCGCACTGGTGCCTGCTCCCTTTCTCATCGCCGCCGAAGCCTGCATATCAGCTACCTTTGGTGGCAGAACAAGCGCACTCCGATCATTTCGTCTATAAAAGTCGACCAGGATCTGCGCTGTCCTGGTGGGCTGATCTTCTTGTATAAAATGTCCCGCGTCGGGGAAGACCTGGAGTTGATATTTACCTACATATCGATCAGAATGAGCATGCCCCAAACATGAGAGGGGAATTAAAAAGAAAATCGCACCTTGCATCTGGCCAATCATCAACTCTTTATCCAGCCTATCGGTCCCAGCAAGAAGGAGTAGCTTCCCCCCTCGCGCTTCAAGAAACTTGCGGCTCAGCCCAATGAACCAATCTTCCCAGAATGGCTTTGTTTCGGCGAGGTTGGTTCGCCAGACCCACGGTTTTGATGGGTCCTGGGGAACCTCTTCGTGGTACAGGAGGGATGGGACGGAGACGCGGGCTGAGGTTCTGTTGCGGATTGTTCGCGAGCGTGTGCTATAGACATAGTTATTAGAAATAGCGCTCATGGTGCCGTAGGGCAAACATACTGCCATTCTATCCCCGAGGGCAGGGAGGGAAAGCGGGATGGCCGAGTCGAGAGGTACGTCTCCATGCTCTGGAGAGCATCCATTGCGGAGCCTTCGACAACGTCCAAAACAGCGTATGCCAATAACTTTGCGCCCAACTCGCCTTTCTTCGCGACATCGGTGATTACTGCGCCTCCCAGACTATGTCCGACAAGGACTATGTCCGGCAGAGTCTCCCATCCCATTTTAACCTGCGTTTCACGAATGACGAAGAGAAGATCCTGGCTTAGCGTGTCCAAGCTCAGATCAAGTTGTGCCTTTGCCGGATCTGCGTCCCCATCCTCACTCGCTCTTGTCACGGATGTACTTCCGTGATCGCGGGTATCTGCAGAGAGTATTCCAGCATCAGGGAGGATCTTGCGGATCTCCACAGCGCAAGCCGCAAATGAGAGACCAGAAGAGCCCGCGCCATGGTGCATTACAAAAAGAGGACCGGATTTTGTCGGTGGGGTAAGGTATACATGATGCACTATGTCCAAATCGTTGATTTGTCGCGGGAGGTAGAGCTCTTGGTCGAAGAAGCTGGTCCACTCTAGGGAGTTTTGCGGCCTATCTTGCGAGTATCTCTCCGCGTTAGTTTCACGAAGTACGTCATTTCGGCAGGGGCAGAAAGGGAAAAGAGAACAGAGGAAGTATAGGTACGCACCCTCGGGTTCCTCCCGGCCGAGCGAATAACTGTTTGGTTGGTGATGGGGTCACCGTCTCCGTTGAAGAAGCTGAGTCGCCTTCCTCGTCCTCGGGAATGGGACGGGGCTCTGGCGGGAGTTTGGATAGTTTCGATTTGGCGAAGGACTTTTGCAGATCGCTCATGTTTTGAGCCTTCTATATAGTGGAACGGTGGGTTGTTGTGGGAGACATGGAGCAGACGAAGATGGAGTTGAAGCGGAAGCCGTTTGCGGGGTGGGAAGCTCGTCAACCCCACCTGTTCTTACAAAAGTCAAGTCTTTAGATTAAACACCCACAATGGACCCAAAAGTCAAGACAATCGGGAAATTACTCTATATCGGGCACTAGAATCATCACCAATGGGTCCCGAAAAAGACAGGCCTGTCCAACAGCAACTAGCCCAGCCACAAGCATAACAATCCTTCAACAAAAGAACGGCCCTGGTCTCGATCTCAAGCCATGTTGCTACCATGACGTCAGCACCGTCATCTTGATATCTTGATCTCGGCCAGTTTATAAACTGCACTTCCCAGAGCTCTGCTCTTTTTTGCACTCCGAGTAAACCATCGGTATTCATCAAGAGCCATGGTCAATTTCACCAACAGAAAACACGGCAGCCGAGAGGGGGACCGTCATGATAGAGAAGACGGGGAACAGCATCGGCCTCCCGATGAGAGGACTCGGCTCCTGCCACGCGAGCGCGAGCCTTATCTGAGTCCCGATGATCCTGCTGTGCGTTTAATCTTTCCGAGTTTGGTGTGTATAGCTATTGCGTCTAACGGTTGCAATAGGTCTCTCCCTACAATCTCTGGAGCGTCCGGGCTCTCAGAGGTCTTTCCATCGCATTCCTAGCCATCAGCTTCATCTGGTGGACATTCCTGCTCGTCTCCCTATTTGTCAGTGCACCAGCCGTACACACGCGCGGTTCCGGTTTCTTCGCATTTGCCTACACCACGTTAACCGTTGGATACCTCCTGTTCGGGCTCATCTTCTTCTCCGTCCCTTCGAAGCCGATGACGATATGGGGTTTCATACTTGCACTGTTCTTATTCACCGACATGTGTATAACAGTCGCAGTGCCAAAGATTCGGGTCGAGGAAGGCTGGGTTGGAATCGCCAGCGTTGTATGGGCGGTTATCATTTCAGTTTGGAATATCATCCAGAACCGCTACGTCGCCTGGGGTAAACGCGAAGAAGAGGAACGCCTCACCGGCCGCGAGGAGACCCGTTGGACTCTGGGAGAATGGCTGGCGGTTCTTTGTGAGACACTGTTCAGTGCGGTCATCGCGATCATATCCATTCTCTTTATGATCACCCTAGCCCTCCGCGCCCGGGACGCTACCCTCCACGCCCCAGGCCAGAAATACTGGGTCAGCGCCAATAACTACCAAGTCCACCTCAATTGTGTGGGCAACACGTCCAGTGACAATTCGACAACCGTCCTCATCGAAGGCGGAGAAGGCCCCGTTGAGCACACCCTGCAACCGTTCATTGACGAGCTTTACCAAAGGGGCGCCATTCCGCGCTACTGCTACTGGGATAGACCGGGTATCGCTTGGTCTGACAATGCTCCCTCTCCATTCTCCGCGGGTATGGCTTCCGACGCACTCTCCGAAGCTCTAGCCCTAGCAGACGAAGAGGGTCCCTTCGTCCTGGTATCCGCAGGCGTCGGAAGCATATACAGCCGCATCTTTGCGAGCCGCCATCTCCTTGAGACAAGGGGCATTTTCCTCATTGATCCCCTCCACGAAGACTACCTATCCGACATTGCAAACCCAGGCCGCGGCTTTGGGCTTTGGGTCCGTGGTATCTTGTCACCGTTAGGTCTTGACCGAATATTAGGCGCTATTTTTAAGCACAGGACGCGTGAAGATAGAGTCTTCGGCCGGAGCGCCTATCAGACGGGGAAGTTTATTCGCGCGAAGCTGCAGGAGAATCTCGTTGCAGGGTCTATGACATATTCAGAGATTCAGGCGGCGAGACATGTCCAAATGGCGGATACGCCGCTAGTCGTTGTGAGCTCTGGGGATGAAGTTGACAACAACAGGAAGTGGGCGCAAAAGCAGGAGGATCTGACTGCCATTACGAAGAATCTCAAGAACTGGGATGTTGTTCAAGATGCGCCGCATGAGGTGTGGAGGACGACAAAGGGTAGGCAAACGCTCGAGGAAAGGCTGAGAGCGATGGTATAGGTAGCATGAAGTTCCTTCTCTTCTTGGTCTTATGTTATTAGTCTCAACGTTCTTCCCCCTTTCTTTTCTAAATTGTATATGCTTGGGATCTACCTATATTTTATCTTGTCATGGACTTACGTGATTTTCAAATCGAGGTGGAATTGGGATATTCATTTTTTAAGCCGTCTATGTACAGCCTAGTGCACTAACCCAAATTGTAAACCGCCTCATAGCCTTGAGGGACTATCCAAAGCCTTGATAGAATACCCCAGGATCCGACAGGGAGCGACAAGGGGCATGTATCCGGTCTATGGGGAGCCCAAGGGTAATCTAGGGACGGATTTAATTGTTAAACAGTGGCAGGCCGCGTCAATCGGTTATCGGCACAAATACGGGGATGGCGTGGCGAATGGGCAGACTGGGTGCTCAAGGAATATCGACGGGTCACCTTAGACTAGCTCCCTTGAACCTCTTAGCAAGCTGCTCACTCTCTGATCTAGGAGACTCGGGTCTTGAGGAGGAGGAAGGGTAACGTCTTCCGGATTGGGGCACAGGGTGTAGAGGGTCCAGCCAGGGACGCTTGGGGGGCCGCTCACCGCTGTCCTGAAGAATAGTGACTAACGTTGCCCATCCGGGGGTATTGATAAGTTGCAGTCCGTCTGTGGGGTTCTGGGTCGTGGCTACACGGCAAAGTAGTGCTTCCTCTTCCTAGATGTTGGTGGAGTGTGGTTAGTAGAGGTTCTCGCTCTGCGGCCCGAGCAATTCCGCAGTAGTTTGTTAAACTCACCTTGCTGAAGGTGGAAAATGTGCGAAGGAAGCACAAAAGATGGAAGTCAGATACCGCTCGGATTGCTTTGTCAGGATCGCCGTGGGAAACGAGCTTCCGAGCAAGCGGACGAAATTCCTGTCCTTCACCAATGACCTCGCGATTCTCAATAGGGTATGTGCTGTCAATGAAAAGCGGCTTGGATTCGGTAGGGAAACCGTGGGTCAGAGTAACCAGAAGGTACTCTACTGGGAAGGCTGGTTTTGCGTTTACCTGGGCAGATACCCCATACTCATTGATCTTCCGATAGAACACCTCAGGTATATACCGCGATTTATTGCCGTCATCGTCTTCTGATTGAACCAGCATTACAGACGGCTCTGCGGAGGGCTCGATAATGTCGGCCCTAATCATCTCCACTGCGGCAACTGAAGCCTGGTAGGAGCTGATAGTAATGGCACCCTCTTCGTCACCGCTTAGAACACAGGTCACAAAGTTAGAGCCGAATTGGCCGGATCGACTCCACCTCGTTGACTTGGGGTGCTGCATCTGCAAACGTGACGCAAACGCAATCTCGAGAGAGGATAGATAATACGAGTCAATATGCCGTTTGCAGAGCACGGTACCGTCTCCCCGCCCAGCATCGAGTAAATCGGTGAAAATAACCCCGACCTTTTCGAGACCGCAAAGATGAGCAACTTCATCTACGTCTTTCTCGTTCTCCCAATCATGGAGAGTGACTCCGTCAACTTCATCCACCTGTGGAGGTTCATAGATTGCTTGCACAACAGCCTTGATTCCAAGAGGAACCTCTGAGTACTCCTCGTATGTGCCGTAAAGATAGCCCAGACGCTGCGTGCCTGACTTTCGCCAGAAATCAAGTAACGAGTTGATTAGATCAGGCGTAGAGAATTCTACATGGTCGACCATGCGATATTCCTGGGGCTGCAAGCTGATCGCACTAGGCTGGCACTTGGTACAGATTCCTTCGGGCCAGGGTGGGTGGCCGGACGGGCAATCTGGCCTTACCCGATAGTATGGCTCGTTGAGAGGTGGCATGAAGGAGCTCTTAAGTTCGGGTTTATTTGTTGCAGCGTTGTTCTTGCGCAGGTACGAGTGGAACGACAGATGCTTGATCTTCTTCTCTGCGAGGTACTTCGGGTCGTAAGGCTCGAGAGGCATGCAGTAATCGCACATGCCCTTCGCACTGTGTTTGCACATCTTATTATCACGAGGCCGATGAATCTTTCCATCCTTCTTCTCCAGGCGGTCATCAAGAGCCGACTGCCTAACAGCTTCCCATGGATTCTTGACCGTAACTGAGGCGATGTTACTAGGGTGTGATCGAGAAGCGGGTGTACTCTCTTCAGGTATTGGGGCTCCGTTCAGACGTCTCGCAGATGTTCCAGCCGCTACTCCATTACTAAAGCCATCTTGGAGATCCTGCTTGGACTGATATCCAATGTAAAGCTTGTCACCATGCCTAGATTGTCAATGTCAGCAACTGCCCGCCCTACGGTTATTGGTATTCCTAACCTAAGCCCGACCTGCTCAAACGAGACCCCTTCCAATGTGTTCAAAGGCCGCTCGTCGCCGGCGGCGCCAATGGGTTTGTTGGAGAGTTTGATCGAAGATGGTTCAATGTCTGAAGGAAGGTGCTCCAGAATCTAATGCTCATGGGTTGGTACCGTTTCATACACGATCGTCTGTGGACAGCTATAGAATTCAATATTGCATACCTTTGTCTCTAGCGAGGGAAACACGTCTTGTGGGCTAACATTCAGGCGAAATTGTCCGTTTCGGCTCTCGAATCTCAGAATGATCGTGCGGGACGCCATGGCGGCAACTGGATGGGTGTAAGCCAAAAGTGTAGAGGTGTCTAGAAGGCAAGGAAAATATTCGTAGCTCGTGATTTCATTCCGATGAGAAAGATGGGTTCCGAGAGAGAGAAGAGGGATACGCCGTCGAGGCAAGAGAAGATGTTAGAAGGACTAGTCAAGTAAGCACCGTTCATGTCGTAATGGCCGCTGTATTCTGCCGCCTATATCAAACCGCCTAGAGAACCGCCCTTCCGGTAGGCTCACTTGTGCCACCGCTTTCCATATTTGTCAGCATTCCTGAAGCTCTCCAGCTTTCAATAATCCTCCGCAGCTATTATTCACTCTGTGTCGTTTCAACAGCTTTGGCCATTGCCAAACAAAGCTTTTATCGATACAAATACTCAGATACGTTTATTCTCCAGAATCATGGCTGCCGACGTCAGTTACGTTGCATCTCAAATTGTGTCAACAGATCGCAGCCGTGATCCGGATTTCGATAGATTCTCCTTCGTTCCCTTCCTACGAAAGAGCTATGGCTTTGGCCTCGCCACCGACGTCCCTGTATGCAAAGCGTACAGTGAAGGTCACTGTCCCTTGGGTCCTGCGTGTCCTGACCGGCATCCGACACCATCGCGAGTAACCACATCTACGACCACGGCCTCCGGATTAGCCCCGTCAACCACACATGGGTCACTTGTCTGCAAGCACTTTCTCAAGGGTCTCTGTAAGAAGGGCATGAAGTGCGAATACCTCCATGAATACAATCTCCGCCGCATGCCAGAATGCCAGTCGTTCTCCCGGTCTGGATATTGTCCTAATGGAGATGACTGCCTGTATCAGCATGTTCGGGAGCAGGCCCGCCTCCCTCCATGCGAGCACTACGACCAGGGATTCTGTCCTCTAGGTCCCCTATGCGCGAAACGGCACGTCCGTCGTCGACTCTGTCAATACTATCTTGCTGGATTTTGCCCCGAAGGGCCAAATTGCGCCGATGCCCATCCCCGATGGTCAGAGAATCTGCCCAAGCCAACAATGCGCGTGGAGAAGACAGAAGAGGAACTGGAGCATGAAAGGAATCTGATTCGTGAAGAGCAGGAGAGGGAGCGTGAAAGGGAACGTGAATGGAGAAATGAACGTGGTCGCGGAGGATTCGGAATGCGTGGCCGGTACCGTGGCAGAGGGCGAGGTTAAATTTACTGCCTAGGATGATGGGAATCTACACCAACAATCTCCACCGATACCCTCGGTCTACTTGACCTGGGCACTTTCATCGGGACATTCGAATTTCACTCCGGTTCGACTGACCAGCCAGTTTATTCCGAGAGAAGCACGTCCTATCGCCTTCTTGATCTGAGCTCCCGGTGCTCTGGGTCCGGATGTCTCAAACCCCCCGACCAGTCGGCAATGGACGCCAGGCTTGTCAATCACCCAAGCATCCTGGAACTATCCAGGACGGAAAAAGCACCTCAAGCGAAGCGGCGAGCCTTCACCTCAGCAGTGTGATATTCGCACTTTGAAAACCAAGTCCTAATACTGGAACATGACAACTGCTGCTACATGTATGCACGAAAGGCCTGCTTCTTGATATATAGTTGTGTCAACACGTATCGTAATAGGAGCTCGGCCATATTTATCCTGTGATATAGGTAAAAGTCAAATATCCTTCGAATGGGGTTTCTTTCTCGTCTGCCGTTTGGCTGGTACATAACTTGAAAGGAATCCTTGTTATATCCCAAATATTGTCAGCACTATCTTGGTATAACCACCGGTCGCCTGATATGCTCTGAATGGGGTGAGAACTAGGTATACCTATACCAGCTGCTATAGAACAGTTTGCGGCAGAGAATGGACTCCTTCGGATATCAGGCAATCGGGTAGGAGATACGGAGTATGACAGTGAAAAGTCATCGTGCCCACGGCTTCTTACGTGTATATACTTCCACACCCATGGAGAATGATCGAAACTTGCGTTGAAAGGAACGATTTATACAGGATCACTCTGTATAATTATTGGTCCACGTCCAGGCAAGCTGCAGAGATTCTATGGTTTTCCACTAAACAGCGAAAACTCCACGCTGATGTCGTACAGCTTCGTGGCAAATCAAAGAGCTTGTAGAGCACGATATCTCGCGCTTCAGCTGCCATTGCAGCACGGTGCTTCCTCCGTATATCCGAGCAACTTCCCCCAACAATTGACGCGACCCGGAGAGCACCAACAACCCCTCGATTCTGAAACGTAGAGTTAGATACCAGGCTGCCCGTGCATTTGTCAAGTCTCCGTAAGACTGCACTAAGAACGATCAAGATGGGGAAGACCCACGGATTGCTTGCATCCATCCAATCAGCAGCAGCCAACCGCATCTGTAATCGATGACAAAAGCCTAGAGCTTTTAACTAATCCCTCTCCTCCGCTTCCTATAAAGGGTTGTCTGCCCCTCAATTCCAGTGTCCCTTCAGACTCAGATCATATCAAACATCCTCACTTCAGTTCTATACTTCAATTGAAGACCCTACTGTCACAATGGCCCCCAAGATCGCTATCGTCTTTGTATGTTACCCCTCCCCATTTCATTGCTTTACCCGCAAGCTGTGAAGCATATCCTAACGTGGTTGCTTTAGTACTCCATGTACGGCCACGTTGAGAAGCTGGCCCAGGCCGAGCTCAAGGGCATCCAGGCCGCCGGCGGCAGCGCCGACCTCTTCCAGATCCAGGAGACCCTCCCCCAGGAGGTCCTCGCCAAGATGCACGCTCCCCAGAAGTCCTCCGTCCCCACCCTTGAGAAGCCCGAGCAGCTTCTCGAGTACGACGCTGTCCTCTTCGGTATCCCCACCCGCTACGGTAACTTCCCTGCCCAGTGGAAGGCTTTCTGGGACCGCACCGGCGGTATCTGGGCCACTGGTGGGTTCTTCGGCAAGTAAGTTGAACTATTTAACGATGAGCATAACGACGGCCATTGACATTTCTACACAGGTACGCTGGTCTGTTCGTCTCCACTGGTACCCTCGGTGGTGGCCAGGAGTCCACTGCTATTGCTGCCATGAGCACCCTCACCCACCACGGTTTCCTCTACGTTCCTCTCGGCTACAAGACTGCCTTCCCTCTCCTCTCCAACCTCGAGGAGATCCACGGTGGTAGCGCCTGGGGTGCTGGTACCTTCGCTGTACGTTCTCTGTCTCTACGAACCTACTGGGCCAAGGCTAACTGCGTTTCTAGGGTGCCGACGGCTCTCGCCAGCCCACCGAGCTCGAGCTCCAGATCGCTGAGACCCAGGGCAAGTCTTTCTACGAGCACGTCGCCCGTGTCAACTTCGCGTGACTGCATGGCAGCACCGAACCCAAGTCCGAGGCCCAGCCTGCTCAGCAACAACCAGCAGCAACGAAGACACCGAAGACGGAGAAGCAGCAGAACGGCTCCGAAGCGAACAAGTCAGAGAAGGACAATGAGGGGGGCCCTTGCGGTCTTCCCAAGAAGTGTAACATTCTCTGATTATTTTGCTTGATACCCCTGCTTGACATTCTCTGTTAATGGTGCTGTCCATGTTCTTCTGTTGTGAGGACTTGATGATTAATGAATTAACTTATAAATAATAAATTAGATATAATTCATTTCATATATTCTTCTTTACTGCACTGTGTCATGACAGCTACTATACAATCAGTCCCACGTCATATAGCCTTGATATCTACAAAAACTTCCCCTTCGAAAACCTCGAGCCAAAATCCGCTGCTTTACTCATCATTTCTCTCCGTTGAGCATTCGTAAGGCTCGACGAAAGCGCCATATCCTTCTCTTTATCAAAAGCCCGTTTGCTCGGATCATCCTCTTCCTCCTTATTCCCCTTCTGCTTGTCCTTTCTCTTCTTGTCTTCAACCAGCGACAACGCCTCCTCCCCCCTCACGCGCTCGTTATACCGCTGAACCTTGTCCCTCATCGCCTGCGCCTTCTTATCATCCGCCCCTGTTCCCACTCCCGCACCATTTGGCCCCGAAGACGACGATATCCCCATCGCCTCATCCTGTAAGCGCCTCATTTTCTCCTCTGGGGTTTCAGTCCACGAGCTATCCACCCCTCCCCCTCCGCTCGGGGCATTCCCAACCCGTGGCCCACTCTGGAACTTGCGATTCCGTAGCTTCGTAGGGTCGACGCGCGAGCGGTCCGAACCGGTGGTAGGGGGCGCAAGCATCCAGGCGTCGCGTTTGGGTGCCGGTGCTGACTCGGGTTCTTGTGATGTATTTAGTTGTGAGGATGTTTGCGCACTTGGTTGCGCTTGTTCTGGTCTTGAGCCCGCCGGTGGGGGAAGGCTAGGGCCGAAGTCATCGTCATCGGAGTCTGAGTCTGAATTTGTGTCTGAGTTGTCGCTGTTGTTATCGGTGTTAGAGGCGGGCGGGGGAAGAGCTGGCCCGATTACTTTGCGGCGCTTGTCGGGGGCCTTGTCTGTGTCTTGGGTTACGGCTTCGGGGCCTGCGGAGGAGGCGAGTTTCCGTTTAGAGAGGTTGTCCATGATGTATTTTGAGATATGATTGCTGTCCTAGAAAGTATTGAGAATTGAGTATGAGGCTGGATAACGCGGCTTGCTTTTGGTGCAAACCAAGCAAACAGCCTCAACCAGGTGCGGGTACTCTCACTGGTCAGTCTCAACTCTCACCTATCCGCTTCTCTCTACTCTGAAAATGTTCTACTCCATAGCCTTCAGCGGCAAGGCAACTATCTCAAGTCATACTGCTGAACTCGATGTCTTCATCAACAAACTGAACTTGGATTTTTTTACTTGGATGCCGTACCCCTGGATCACTGCCCCTGCATACCAGGAATCTAGCAGGATTTTAGCGTTGAGGTGATCAAATACTAATAGGTCAGGGTCATGGAAGCGCGCGTGTTGCGCTCTCCTGATGTCCAAAATCCAGCTCGCGATTCGCGAACCGCGATGCGGGGAAGAGAACTGCTAGCTGCCGCTGCTCCACACAACGAAGATGAACGGACGCGTCAGTCAGGATTACTGAGAACTGTTAGCTTGTCACTTTGCCGAAGCAGCAAGCGCATGGTGACCATGACCTAAAATTCAAAGAACAAGGGGGTAGACTAAAGGTAAAGCATAAGTCTGAGGAGGAAGCCTTTTGCTCAGTGGGCCAGTGACAAGCAAACACGCACAGGGGCCAAGTTGACAAGGGAGGGCGATCCCCCAGCTTCCTCCGGAGATGTCAATCTTGTCTGAACTCTGAACCAATCGACCAAGGCGAGGCTCAAGTTTTTCGCAATCCATCGGATCTACTGATTTCCATGCTGTGTGTTCCCCTTCGCTGCTTCACATATTTTTGGCCCCAATCTTCTAGGCCCTAGGGTGACCTGGAAACTTTGACAAGGTGATAAATCTCCTTTGCGATCCACCTGGCGTCTTGGATTGGGGCTAGCTGCTCTTCCTGACTGTATATCATCGCCACAGCGCTCATTCTGCTCGAATGCTCACCGGCAGACTAGAAAGGTGCTTTCGAGCGGCGCATCGCGCATTGCGCGCTGCCAGTTCAACGGACACTCGAAATGCGAAGCTTCCAAGATGAAGTAGATTAAATACAACATTTTGCAGCAAAAATAGAAGCCGGGCGAGTCGGGGGCGGGGTGCAGCTGAGTTTAGGCCTTCAGTAACGCTCGTGCGCATACGCCGCATATCCATCAGGAGTCGGGGACAGATGACCATGTTCCATCTCACTGTCTCTTCGAATGCACTGTTGCACTGATGCGGAGTCTTCAAGATTTGCATACCGACCGGACTGGAACGATGCAATGGATCCTATGGCGCTTGGTGATTCCGTAATAGCGCTTGCAGAGGCGGGGAAGTCGTATACAACATGGAGGAGGCGCAGAGTAAAAATCTGCAGGTGCAGCGCCCCGAGAATGTCATAGTCTTCTCAGCCGGGGTGCAGAGAGAAAAGTGATCTGCCCGGTTGCCTTTCCCAATAGAGGCTCTATTATTACATAGTTTCTCGTGGTTTCCCAAAGCAAAAGCACCACTTTCCATCCCCAAACTCTACCACACGTGACGCTCTTCTGGATCAAGCAACTGCTCTTTTGCCTCATCCTCAGTCGTTTTTCTTTTTCCTCTCTCTTGTTTCGTTAGCATCTGGCCTTAGCATATTCTTCTTATTCTTCCTGATTACCATCAGCCCCAAACATCCCTGGCCCGCCACAGTAACCATGTTTTCCGGCTCGATCTTTCCCCACTGGCGCCGCAAAGCCGCAGAGCGCTTCAGTGGCACCTCATCAGAAATCCCCTTCTACCTAAACGCAGCATATTATCCGAACTGGCGCATATACCGGAAGCAGCCTCCCTCGGCGCTCAGATTGGGATTCGTGTCTCACATCTTCTACGCGTTTGCCTGGTACATACTAGCCATGCATCACCTGCGGATGCCGAACCCGCAGTAGAATCAGAGTGTTAACCAACCTTGTTTGTTTCATTTAGGGTCAAAGAGGACGGCACGGTTTATGTATCTCTCCCTCTTTAGTTTGATCACGTGGTCGAAACAATGTATGCTGACTAGGGTCGGAACCAGTTGAGTGATGAGTGGGCAGACACGCAGATGCCGGTTGACGGAACAACCGGTTGTCTTCGGGCATTCGCACAGCTCAAACCGCAGTATTCTAAGCTAAAGCTTGTCCTCTCGATTGGAGGGGGCGGCAAAGGAAGCGAGAACTTTGCCGCAGTCGCTCGAAGCAAGTCCTGTACAGAAACGTTCGCACAGTCCGCAAGACGACTAGTAGACGAGTTCGGCCTTGATGGAATCGACGGTGCGCTACTTCCCGTTGATTGTGAGCTGTGCTGATTTCTTCTGGTTGAAGTGGACTGGGAGCACCCAGCGGACTCGCAGCAAGGACAGGACTACATCCGTCTCCTCGCCAGGTTGCGGGACTATTTCCCGCCGCCATATGTATTGGCCACTTGTCTCCCCGCAGGCCAGTGGGCATTGCAGCACATTGACCTTCAAAAGGCGGCCAAGTATGTCGACATGATCAACATCATGGGATACGACTTTGCCGGGCCGTGGGGCGCCGAGAGCGGACACCACGCCCAGTTATATTGTCCTTCATACGGCTCGGGGGTGTCATGCCAGTCCGCCGTAGAGTACGTGCTCGGGCAGGGTGTCCATCCGAAGAAACTCCTACTAGGTATCCCAGCGTACGGCCGGTCATTCCTCGGCAGCGATAATATAGGACAACGGTATGCAGGCTGCGGCGGCGAAGACGGGGTATTTGATTATAGCGAGCTCCCGCGCCCGGGTGCAACAGAGTACCATGACGAACAGGTCGCAGCAGCGTACTGCGTCGGCGGGGACGGCGGTTTCGTGACGTACGACACGCCGCAGACGGTGCAGCAAAAAGCGAAGTTTGTAACGCGAGAGCAATTAGGAGGATTGTTCTATTGGCATATTGGAGGCGACGCTCGGGGTCCGCGAAGTCTCATCGAGATGGGTTATAACACGCTGCACGAGATGTAGGTGAAACGAGTCAGAAAGCTGCTGCAGATGTGAGAAGTCAGGACAGAGAAAAAGAGTGACAAAAAAGCGCGGCTCATCTGTTTTTCTTTGTTAGTTTTCAGCTTCATTTTGGTCAGTGCAAGAGTCATATGTACTATTAGTACGGTCTGAACATGAGTCAACGGGGAATGCCATCCTTAAATGTCTGAAGGAATGAGAAACGAGTGGAAATGATAAGCTTGCATGTGGCACACCACTCAGATAAGAGACATCCAGCCTCCTTATAGGCATTCAGAGACTCCCTTCCCTGCAAGGTACTTATCTAGGCCAATAATAGAGGGGAATAAAGACGAATTCAGGTCTGTGCGTTTGCCAAATGACTGATAAAATAATACCTCTTACTCTGCATTAGAGGAGACTTGCTTCTTTGCCTTGATATGAATTGACCGTGGTCGTACTAATGGATCACCTCATACCCTGCAGCAGTGTCGTTATCATCAGTCAGTACGGAGTAGATATCGATCAAGGCACTCCAGCAACTGCACTCACTGAAAATACTTAATTCCCAAGTACTTGACAACCGATATGTTGTTCCGCCTTCGTGTCCTGTCCTCTATCATGTGGACTGTCTTTAAAGTCTCTCCGATCTGAGCCATATGCGGTAACATCGCGAAGTACTCATTAGCGTCCATATCCAAATCTATTATATACATTCCGAATTACATATTCTCTCATTTCCGATCATACCACGTTGTACACAACCGCAAATGGTCTAAACAGCAACTTTCCCAAACACGGCCCGAATCTCCTCAACGCCCTTTTTCCCCTCCGCAAGCAGCAAGCCAAGCAAGATACGCGACTTGGCCGGGTTCAAGAACCCGCTCGAGATGCCGCCCTCAGCGGAGTATGGCACCTCGCCGTTGCCCGTCCTCGTGCTCTGCACGATCGGAATCCCCTGGTTGCTGATGATCTCGTCGACAGCGGTCGAGAAGACAGTGTCGACTGAACCAGCCCCAGATCCAGCCACAACGACGCCCTTGGCGCCGTTCTCGACGCTCGAGTATAGAGTGTCGTTGGTCATGTCCTGGAAGGAGTAGAGGATGTCGACGCGGGGGATGGAGGTGACGGTTGTTACGTCCACGCTTGTCTTGCCGGTGGGTTGCACGGCGGGGTAGTAGAAGAAGGGGGAGTTTGAGATGATGGCGCCCAGGTAGCCCATTTCCACGGCTTTGAAGGTATCCATTGTGTTGGCGTTCGTCTTGGAGACATAGTACGCTGACGCGATGCGGTCGTTCATGACCACCATCGCGCCCCGGTTCTTTGCCTCCTTGGTGCTTGCTACAGTGACGGCCTGCAGGAGGTTGTAGGGTCCATCGGCGGAGATGGCGGTTGCGGGGCGCATGGCGCCGACGATGACGATGGGCTTTCCGCAGTTGACCGTGGCGTCGAGGAAGAAGGCTGTTTCTTCGAGGGTGTCTGTGCCATGTGTCACGACTGCACCGGCCATGAGGGGGTCCTCACAGACGACCTTGTTCAGGCGGTGCGCCATCTCCAGCAGGATGGAGGATGTGATGTCTTGGCTGCCGACGTTGGAGATCTGGACACCGGCGACGTTGGCGACGGAGAGCATCTCGGGCACTGCATCGATGAGAGTTTGGATTCCCAGTGCGCCGGCTTGGTAGCCCGTCGTTGCTGTATTGGAGGACGCAGAGCCTGCGATTGTGCCGCCTTGGAGCTGTTAGTTCGGCTCAGTTGCTGGGGACGGGCGAGACCGTACCTGTTGCGAAGATGGTTACATTGGGGAGGGTGGTGTTCATCTGGGTAAAGTTCAGCCCGTTGGTGTTGGTGAAAGCATAGGTGATGTTTGAGCTTGTGACATCGCGAGGATAAAGGACTGGTGAAGCCTGGCTGAGGGTAGCCAGAGCAGCCACTGCAAGAGCTTTAACGCGGAAACCCATGACGTATAGCAACGACGGAAGCTATTGGGAGAAGAAGGCTGGTTCTGTACAGAAGCAGATCCATCTTGACGCCTGCGACCATGGTCCTTATATACGTACGGCTTGACCTGGATCTCGGAGCTCAATCGGACGGTTGTTGACTGTTGACTGTTGCGCTTGGAGTAAATCAGCCCGACTGATACCGTCTCCGCGACGACAAAAGAGGAAGCTATCGGGAGTCTGATAGAAGCGATAAGAGCCAAGCAAGACGGTGAGTACCTCCAGAGCAGGTCGTCTCCAAGTTCTCGGGAAGTGAGGAAGAACCAAGTGGACCGCCAAGCAGGAGTATGGGGTTCTTATCAGAGACAGCCAAGATAAGCGCGCAGGGAATCGGAGATAGACGGGGCACTGGGCAATGTATTATTCTCCTTCAGTAGTCACAGCAACAGTGGAGATGGAAAAGTTATGGTCATGGAATTGAATAAGAGCCGGCTTGCCCGGGAATCGCAATCGCAATCGCAATCGTACATAGTATAGTGGTACCACCCATTATTCAATCCGGTCATACATATCAGAACATTATTACAGCAAACAACGACAAAGAAAAGCGGATATCATGAAAGCCACCTGCCAGGAATTATCCGTACATGGTACATGCCGAGTCAGTCGCTTGATTAGATCACCGTATCCAGCTATCATGCGAGGACTTCGGTGAGGTTCAGGGTTGTGTTGAGCACGTTGGCCGCCAGGGCTTGAGTGAAGTATGGAATCTCTTGCCCATTGTATACACTGGAGTTGCCGGTGATGCGCAGAGGAATTTCCCTCTCCCCTGCTAGGACCATGGCGAAAAACGCTTGCATGTCCATGTTGGCGAGCATTGGCACGGTGTTGTTGCCGGGTTTGAGCACCAAGTCGTTGAGGAACGATTGACCAAGGACGGTTCCATTTTGGAGCGAGACGTCCAGGGTCAGGTTGCCCTAATGATTGTTTAGTTGTCAGGCAAGAGAGAACCAAATGCAAGAGATTCATACCATGTCTAATTGCAACACGGACGGGTTGGGGATGTAGACAGTGCCCTCGGCGGTGTTGCCATCGGTACGGTCATCGACCGGGGTCAGCGACACGATCTTGAAGCCGTCAAGTTTGTTGAGACCTGTCCGCGGTCAGTACGTGTATACCAAAAAGCCCATTGTAACTTGAACTCACCCTTCATAGTGACGGTCTTGTTGTAGTCGACATGAATCGTCGGCAGACTTCCCTGTTTCAACCGTGGCTCACCGTAGATGTTCATCTCAAACTCCTCATTCAGCATCACCGCGGTTGCAAAGTCCCCGAATGCGCCGGCATCAGTCAAGTTGAGCCACTGGTCAACGATCACCACGGCGCCATCATCGGCCTTGACTTCGGGAACATCGGCCGTCGCAAACACAGGGCCGCCCAGGAGGCTAACTTCGGCGTCGAACTCGAAGATCTTGGGGTGGAACATGCTATCGCTTCCGATAACCTGTCTCTGGTGAAGATGGAACCCATCGGGGGCAGGGTCGCTGATTTCCATGGACTCGACGTCGAGAGTCGAGTCGTTGATGTCGCCCTGGGCGATGTTGGGGTACCCGACATAGACACTGCGAAAGGTGGTTAATCGCGTCGGGTCATTTTGTCCAACGTCTAGGGCAAACTTACACTGGAAGCACAACGACCAGGACAACCACGATCAGACCGATGAGGTGCGCCCACCACCATTTCTTATAGTGCGCCTTCACTCGAGTCCAGAAGCTGGGCTTTGCGGTCGTCCCGAGGGGGACTTCCTCGACGACAGCTTTGTCGCTCGAGGCCATGGTGTTTCGTACTTGTACAGCAGGTACACTGATTCCGGACAGTCCCAATCAAGTCACTCTGCGGCTCAGCGGCGAGAGTGTTGCTCGTGGGACATACAGGAGGTGGATGTGTGACTAGCGAGTCATGAAGATCGTCAGTTGCTGCACTCAGTTTCATGAAGGGGGAGTGTTGCATGTATAGGGCTGAGCGCCATACCTAAGTACCTCACCACTCAACTCTGCAAGCTTCTGGAATGCGCGCGACAAAGTCTTAAATAAAGCAAGTGAAACGAAAAGAATAAACGAAAGACTCAGGTGAAAAGCTCGGTGTTGCCGCAGTCACGGAGGCCAGCGAGGAGTCGACGACTATTTTAGAAGGCCGGGTGGAAAAGACAAAAAATTGGCTAAACGACGCCGGATGGATTCCCAAGCATTTTATCTACTCGGACTCGCAGGAAACAGAGGGGCTCGAGGCTATCACATGTGGACTGTGGCCACTGACAGGTAGTTTCACTCTCATCAAGCACCGCGGGTCGTTGCTGGTGGAGCGAGCAAGGGTTCATCTTCTTGACTTTCCAGACTCCTTAGTGGTATGCGCAACAATGGATCCATCATCCTACTCGCATCAGGAAAGGGGCAAATGTCACGGGCGACGGCAAACCCGGGCCATCTGTCTGGCTGATCGTCGACTCTAGGTTGAAGCAGGCCCGGCATATAAAAGCCTCGGTGAGCCCGCTGCTGAAACAATCAGTCGGAGGATCTACTCGACCTGCGGCCATCCATGCTCGCATGCTGCGACAAGCATCTTTTTCCTGGCTGAAACTGGGACCGGACGAACCGAGGCGCGTCATTAAAAAAGAAATACACCCGCAGCCATGGCTTCGCCCTCGCCCAAATAATGAATCCTGGTTGCGTCCGAAGCAGCCTGCCTTTGAGCGCAGGCCGCAGGGGACCGCCACCGAGCGCGAGGGCGCAACTAACAGCCCAGGATGCGGTTCCCCAAATTACCCCATGTTGATCCAGGCTTGGCACGATTTAGCGGGCTGTAATTGGAATGGACAGTGTCGGAGCGAGACTGGCTAGTCAGGTGCTAACCAAAGGCCCATACGAGACTGGACCAGGGTTGTTCTGCCGCTATCCAGTCAAGGCCGTGGTCGAGGTCGCCGTCGTGCAACTAAACAGTGCGACCCTGTCAGTGCGGGCGCTCCTTGGCTGTTTCTGGCCTCTCCTCCGTCGCTAGCCCTGAACGAGGGAACCACTGCGACCCCACGGCCAAATCCTATTTTCCTGGAGTACTCCGTAATCAGTGCGTTCACGCACCAGCTCAGGAACGATCGAGTTTGCCTCAAGACGCAGTAAGATGGCGTACAGGGTGACATCCCGGCAAAACCTTGGAAGAAGTTAAGAAGTGGCCTTGTGACCACGGACTCGAAGCGGGAGGATCCGACTATTAAGGTTGACTGGCTAAACAAAGACAAAGTCCGATGACAACCCCAGATTCCACTCAAGCAAACGGAAATTGAACTGGAACAATGCCTGCTGGACTGGCACTGGCAGGTCTGGCATCTGGGCATGGTCTCCACTCCTAGTGACTCCGTCTGGACTCTGTAGTCTACTCCATCTCGCAGGCCTCATGCCACCCTGGAGGCGATAGTCCCCTGTAGTCCAACGCCACAATTTAAAAAGGCACCTCCTAGATAAGGCCGTTCAAGTAACAAAATATAGTCAAAAATAGTCAATCTCGTCAGTATCATTGAGTAGCTAAGGAAGGCAACGAACGCCACAGGGAACATGCAAAAGGAGAACAAGGAAAGGTAAAAGAAGGGCCAGGGTCATCCAGCAGAGAAAAGAATACTAGAAGGGAAATAAATCATCACACAGTGGTTAGATGAATGAAGGGTATCCAAGAAGCGAAATTGATGCCCGCAAACAATAAAGCAAAATCGAAGCAGTAAACTCTGCTCAATGGTGAAAAGTCCTGCGATCAGAAGGAGGAATCGAACAAATAAAACGACCGCCAAGGCAAAAGGTATGAAGCTAGCTCGAGTCGCTCATAGAACGTCCAAGAGAAAGGAGAAATGAAGAAATAAAAGATAAGAAAAGTGAAGGGACAAGAGGGAGGAGAGCACGGTAAAAAGAAAAGAAAAATAAGAGAGAAACGAAGCAAATAATAAATGAGTGCAAGGGTGAAGGCGACACAAAAGTATAAAGATGCAAGACGCTACGACAACCTCAACGTTTCTGCTTGATATCGTCGAATATCGCCTGTTCCCAATGCAACATGCAAACAAGGCAAAGCACCATCTATGCTTCAGTAGCATTGGACTTTTTGCGATGAAAAAGACTGCGAGTTCGTGATTTGCTGCGCCCCTTTTTCTCGGGCGTATGCGCATGGCGACCCCGGCCACGAGACCGCGTATCTGGCCCGTCATCTGACATGTACTTTTCCTTGTAGATCCTGCACTTATCAGCATCGGATTACGGGTGCAGTGGACTCGTCGTCATTAACTTACCAGCTGTTGCCAACCATGCTCATGCCCTTGGCTTCGGCCTCGCGGTAGAACTTCGCCGCCTTCTTCATGTCTTTTTTGGTGCCAACCCCCTCGGCGTAACAATAACCGGCTTCGGCAAGCGCATCTACGTCGCCCCAGCGGCCTGCAGTTTCAAAGCAACGTAAGGCGAGAGCTTTATCTTGTTCGACCCCCCATCCGTTCAGGTGGCTTACACCAAGCTCATAGACGCTCAAAGCAAACTGGGCCCGATATTGCTTCTGCAGTTCCTTTGACTTAGCTGACACTGTTGGGTCAGAGTCGCCAGACAGCTCTAGGCCGACGGAATCCATAGCCTTGCGCAGCCATCGCACGCCCTCCTGTTGATTCGGCCGCATGCCCCAGCCATGTCGACAAGCCAGAGCGTACAGCAACATTGCGACGGGGTGATCTTGTTTTGCCGCAACTCGTAGGTGATAAGTAGACTCGTTCAAGGACCCCTTCTCGTGAAGTTGAATGCCTTTTGCAACGTGTTCTTCAGCGGTTATTGTGGCAGAGGGCACGGCTGTCTTCGCGGTCTGTGGGCGTAGTGTGGAAGCAGAGTCTGCAGAAGAGACTGTCTCCGACACGTCGTCATTTCTAGACGTTTCTGAACTCTGTGCCCGAGGCGAGACATTCTCAGGTTCAGGCTTATCGGGTATTGGCGAAGTCTTGGCAGATGATCTGGATACCACCGGTGTCAGGAGCTTCTCGTCCACCGCCGGAGCCTCATATACCGAACTCGCGTTCTGTGGGGCAGGCGACTCTTGACGGGACGGTGAGGGAGAAGGTACTCTCGCAGACGCCTGGGGTTCGGCGGTCTTTGGTCGCTGCTGCTCCGGACTTTCGAATAGAGGTTCCTGCCATTCGAAATGCGGTGTCTGCAGGCCAGAGAAAACAACGGAATCCCTAGGCACTCCACGTCCGCGTGGGAGCGCATACTTAGCGTATATGTATGAAGACACTGCTGACAAAGGCTCGTCACCTGGCATAGCGGGCATGTCCGAAGGCCCCGGGACAACAATAGGGCCAGGCTTATTGCTGCGATTCATCATGCCCTGCTGGTCCGAGACTCCAAGTCCAATTGGTGCAGAAAGACTAGTGCTGGATCTGCTTAGAGGGCGTGAGAAATTGAACGAGGGCCGAGGAAGATGGCTGGAATTTGAAGCCTCGGAGCTTATGGATGGTGATCGAGCAAGAGAACGAGCCATTGAAGGCATGGGCGAATGCGGCATAGACATAGCGCTAGCGGAAGACAACTTGCGCGTAGTCGAAAAAGTTGAACCAGCGTTAGAGCTGCTGTAGTCATCGTCGGAACTTTCCTGTTGCTGGAGGCGAGGACTGCTCGACGGCCGAAGCATAGGCGAAGCAGGAGGCGCTAGACCACGGCCGCGATTAACATTCAGTCGAGAAGAGATCGAGTCAGTTGAAGAGGCCTTGGTCGGGCCAGGGCCCGCGAATCCCGTAGGGGACGCGGCATAGAACCGGCGCGGGGTTTCCGATGAGGCACGTATCCCAGTATCCTCCTCTGGGGACTCGGCGCGCACTGCATCAAACCGGAACCCTTCATTGTCGACAACAGGGGATCGGACTTCGTCCTTTGGCGTCTCATCATCCTCGTCACCTGAGTAGCTTTGCTCACTTGCGAGATGGGATATGCCGCTTAGACGCGGGTGCTCTGATTGAGGGCGGAACCGAGGTTCTTCTGGCTCCGGGCGAGCTTTCTGGGTTGGTTGTCTCGCCAGCCCTCCTTCAGGCTTCTGCGCAACGTCGTTGGACGACTGGGATCGAAAATAGCCGGGTCGAGGCCGGGACAACGATCGTGCAACGCTGGCCGGGGGCAAGCGACTCATGCGTCTATCTCTTCGCGCCGAGTCCTCCAGCTGGCGGGCCAAAAGCCGCCCTTGAAATGCGAACGCATCGAGCGGGGATAGTGCGGGTGGAATTTCTCCATCGAAATGTTCGACGCGCGGCGAGGCGGCACCGCTCCGAAAGGTATCATGAGAAGGCGAGCGGGTACTAAACTGCGGTCGCAGGCTCATTGTGATACTGGGCCACGTCTGGTTTGCACAGGTAGCGGACGATTCTCGTAGGCTCTTGATGCGGAAAAATTATCCAGGCGTAGTAGCCAAAGCTTTCATTCGGCCGTGTTCGGATCGTGCTGGAAAGTCAACTGGTGCGCATCGAGAACGAGAGTAAACAGTCGCAATGGTCCGTATCTTGGAAAGTCTGGAGGATGGTGAGTGGTACGCGACGGTGGTTTCGGACTGGAAAGGGGGGTAGGAGGAACGAGGCGAAGCAGCAACAAAAGATCACAAAGGAGGGCGGAATTACTGAAAGGAGTGACAGCCCCAGAAGGAGAAGGGGAGAAGGCAGAGTTGGTCAACAACGTCGGACAGCAAGTTAAGACTCAAAGGAGTTATAGTAAGGAGTGACAAAGGCTGCTGTGTTGTTGTGCACAGTAGTGTTGCTGGGGGACGATGGGCGCGCTTAGATAGGAGATGGGTTTTGGGCCAGAGCCAGCATTTCGCACTGCCGGTGGAGAGAGAACAACTGCAAGCGGGAGGGAAGGAGGAGCATCCAGAGCAGAAGCCGTTCAAATGACAGACGGCAGAAGGCCTATGGAACCAGAATACACGCAGTCCACGGCCTCTGCTGGACGATCGGACGGGGCGGGGATATTGGGAGTATCGCGATGTAATCCTTGCCAAGAATATAGTTAATACGCCCTGTGGACACTGATTATTCTTGCAAACATGTACTTTATGAGCGTAAAACAGATACATTAATTACCCTTCGCCTAGCCGAGGATCCTCTGTTGCAGAAGAGTCTGTCTCGCCGTCTCGGTCAGGGGCTCGTTAATATAAAGGCAAATAGTGGTGAATTCATGACGTACTATTGGACTTTCAAACGGCCAGGGTCCATGGCTTCGATTTCCCCTATCTTCGCTCCATTCTTCGGTGTCAAATGTTAATGAACTCTAGTTACGCTGTATCTATCAACAATTCGGCCGTACAGAGTACAGAGTAGCTCGAATCATTCAACAATCTAGACTTAATGATTGACATTCGCCCATAGTCAACTGCCACTCAGATCGCCAGAACACGAAGACCTCCTGGAAATGAAACTGTCAAACCGCGGGTCCTAAGCTCTTGGTGGGGACGGGGAACGACTATTTTTACTCGATTTTGAAGTCATTATTTTCTGCCGGCCCAATTGTAGTCACAGCTGACACATGAGGCCTGAGACAACCTAGTTGACATTTAGAGTACAGCAGCGAGACACAGGAAAGTGCTGTATGTGCGCTGTGTTACCTCATCCTCCTGAGAGGCGAGTATCATGTTGATGAACGGCTTGAACCGCCTATTATCATATTGCTTTCTTCATGACGTGACAGTGGAGGATCTCTTCGTTATTGTGATAATCTCCTGCCTACCCAAACAGTCTTAGAGGCCGGACGCCCAGACAGAACTCCACCAATCTGGTGGAACATTGTCTCAGTTAGGGCATCGACAACTTACGTTTTCTCGCTGACGACCACTGCAGTACTAAGTGCAGGTTCCAAGTTCATCGAAGTCTGCGCTCGTAGACTAGACAAATGCTCCGTAACTTTCCGTAGTAGAGCTTAGACATTTATGATGCCGATTGGATCACGACCACAGTCATTAAATCGGCGTCAATGTCTTAGAGTTAGAGTATTGGTCATACTTCGTAAGGGCTAGCAGATGGCTGGCAGATCATTCTTGGGTCTTCTTGGAAGCCTTAGAAGGGCCGTGGAATTTCAGCCGTAGATCATCCAAGGCCGACCATTCCTTTTCCAGAGAGCAGAGATGCTTAAATTCACACATTAAATGTACTGAGACCATTTGGTTGATGACTGCAACCAGCACAGAACCTCTACCGGTCAATTTTTTCCCATCCAGTCTCGCTGCCACTCCCGCTGGCGCTCTCGACAGGGGTGGCATAGCCTGTTCGCAGACCTAACATCCATCCAACCAAGCCCGGGGGCGTCCACTGGCCAATTAAGTGGTATGTCCGTGCGCCTCTTCCAGCGTACCTGACAGGTTTCCTTGCTGCTCGTTTTCCAAAAATGTTTTTAGATGTAGGTTCCAATGCATCGAGCAATGCGTTGTGGAGGGCCCTGGCCGGCGATCCTCGTACAAAGCCGGGCCCAGCAGAGGCTACCGGTCGTTGCTCAATGCTGTTGAGGTACTGGGGTCCATACAGCGCCCGCTGTTGAACGCTCCAGGTGAGGACTTCGGTTCCTGCAATATGACTATTTGGTGCCCGGTATTGTGGTCCGAGGTCGATATTTCCAAGTTTCAATTCCACCAAATCGACATTGTTATGGTGCAAAAGGCTCAATTCCCTTCTGAGTGATGTCGCAAAGCCTACTAATGCGCGCGCTGTAGTCACTTCAGGTCCAGCAAACGGCGCTGAGAGAGACGACGATATCGATGGGTAGACAAGAATTATGGTGCTATTAGTGTTGCGAAGCGTAAGAAGAGGTAAAAAGAGCTGGGTAGTTAGGATAGGTGAGAGGAGGCGCGTGTTAATAGTGTCAACCCATGATGACGGCGGAATTGTAGCAACGGGCCCTGCTGCAAACTTTGGCGAGGGGACTAGTATAAGCCCGCTCAGCTGACAGACATGGGGCGGGACGCCAGGCATTGGAGCATGCGGTTGTGTGATGAGCGTGTGGATTTCGTTCAAAGAAGAGTGTATTTCCGACGGTGACGAAGGAAGCTATAGACGTGAGTATTCTATCTTGAATAAATAAATTAAAGCATGCGACTTACTGTCGCCAGGTCCAGCCACAGTGGCCGTATGTCTGGTCGATTCTCTGCGCGGACGAGTTGTTCTTCTTCTGCGGAGGATACGGTGATATAAACGATATACCCACGGCGATCCAAGTCCGCCGCTATCGACCTAGTCATCGGCTCATGGGGCGACCCAGCAACAACTAGAGCAGTGATTAGTTAGAACTCGAGCGCAACGCAGCAGGTGCTTCCAGAGTGGAAATCCGCGACCGACCTATTATCTCCTTCCGAGCACCGTTTGCAGACCTCTTCGCCTTCCGTCGCTTGGCCCTCAGCTTCTTACTCCCAAAGTAGAGGACGCCGGTCGTCCCCACGAAAGCTAGTATAGCGGCGCTCCATGCTCGGTTTCGGATAGCCCAGTCGTGCACGCGATCATATAGCGACTGTGGCCGAGGAGAGAAAGGACGGAATGCTGGTGATGGCCTGACACTCGACGGCAGCCACGATTGATGAGAAAGTGTGTTCCGGACCGCGTCTGCAGCATGGTCGACATGTCGATTAATCGAGTCGGCGACCTGCTCGCTGTATCTCCTTACGTCATTTGGAATTTGCGCAAGCTGAGGACTTGTCAGAACCCGGCCGTGGCCAGTCGCGCAATGAAAACGATAAAGTAACTCACATAGTCAAAGAAGAACTGATCATCACTAGTCATTTTGATGGATCGCTTGGTTTGGAAGTTGATGGGCTGTGATCAAAACTTTACAGGATCGATAAGACGATGAAGCCGATAAGTACGGTAGAAGGCCATCACATGACCCTACATGCGTTCTACGGACCCCAGCACTCAGTACGAAGTACAGAGGATACCTCTCAATTTTCTCTGGTTTAGCTTTTAGGTAGTGTAGAAAACGACCCTTTTCGGTTTGCGTATTTGTGCCCGTTATTGTGTAGCACAATTAGCGCTTATTTAGCAAATTGGCAGAGGACGGCCCAAACTATATATTTCGCGGAATTCCGGAGCAGTCTCATATCAACAAAGTCCACGACCGCAGACTCTTTGATTGAAACATCATGTCAATGCATCAGGTTTACCGGGCAATAAGAAGCGATCAAAAGACATTTAACATTGCAGCCTACTGGTCTTGGAATGAGCTCATGGCTCGGTGTTCTCGTCAGAATGCCCCGTTTCTGTGCTTCAATTTGCAATGTACAATTAAACAAAGGCGATCTCCACTCCATTCCTATCCCTGAACCCTGAAAGTACGCCCACTTGCCGTCTTCCTTTCTCGCTCCTCGTTCTCGGGTCTCGCTCGGTTGAGGACTATCACTGGTTAGTTCGGAACTCAGAAGTATGATATTAAGCTCGACACGTACCTTGGAGGAAATCGGCAGTTCGCTTGCGCATTCTAGTGTGAATGTATGCCTGGACCAGTATGTCAATAAGTTGTTCTTCTCGTAGAGACAGGGTAATCAACCTTGGACGCTTTGATGTGGTAGTGGAAATAGTCGCGGAAGGTCTGGATGTGTGAAATGTTTTCGTGGCGTCGCTGCGGCGTCAAGTGACGAGGGAAAAGGACTGCCTTGCGTCAGTAGCTGGACGGTCAGAAAGACAAGTCAGCGCTTACCAAATGTGATATAACTGATCTTGCCCTCACCGGCGTCCTGTAGACCGGGGACACCTGCCAGTTCCAGGGGAGGGTCGTTTCGGAAGAGTACTTGAGGCGCATTCTGCAGGGTCAAAACACGTCGCCGGGCGTCCACGAATTCCTGCAAGAAGACCTTGCCAAAGATACGATCTGTCTCCTCGCGGAATACTGTGCTGAAGATCACGGTCACTCGGTCATGACTGGCTTTGATATAGATCGCTTCTTCCTCTCGGTAATGGATGGCCATGACCTCTCCACCCTCTGCAACGCCCGCGGGTGCCGCCTCCGAGGTATACTTTGAAGCCTCCTCCGCTAGTTGGGCGAACTCGTCGAACGCCTTCTCGAACGGGGCAGCCATTGCGTTGCGCTTCAGCAAAGCTAACCGCGTGATGAGATCCTCTCGCGCTGTCTGGTCATCGGGTAGGTTCTCCAAGTCGATCTGAACGGAAAAGTCGTAGCCCGGCTCGGGAGCGACAATGTAGGGACCATATTCTCTTTCCAAGACCTGCTGGGCGCCATACTGAACCAGTTCTCGGAAGCATTTCACATTGATGGAAATGAGAATCTTGGTCTTGACATCGGGGGTAGATAGGTGGAACGTAACGCCGTCGAAGTCGGACACAATTTGGTCAATGGACGCCGGCGGGGCTCTAGAAGCAGCAAGCTGTCAGCTCAGGAACAGGAGGTATACATCGAGGGGAAGTAAACGCGGGGAGGAGCATACCCAGAAAACCGCTCCGTCAGGAGTGACCGAATAAGAACATTTTCATAATCTAACAGCAGCATTGTGACAAGCACAGCGATCAATTGATTTCAGGTCTCGAGTTCCCTCTTCCTCTCTTCTGCCTAATAGTTGGAGTGACGTTTGTTGGTGGTTGGTCCGTCCACCTCGGGGGGCACACGAGGCGGTGGAGACTGGCAGTTCTGGCCGCTGTCGCTCGCCGTAACATTTTATCGTCGCTTTTTTGCGCCTATCGATAGCAGTGCTCCAGAAATTTTCTCGGAACAGGGCGTTTTCACCATGGTGAAGTCATATTTGTGAGTCATAGAGTTGAAATTCCTGAAAGCTGAAAGGATGCATGCTGACCGACGCTTGCCTCAGAAAATTCGAGCACTCGAAAACCTTCGGACTCGTCACCTCCGCAACATCTAATGCCATCTGGGTCCGGGACGATGCGCTCGCCGGAATTTCACGTCAAACAGGCGCGGGGCGTGGTGTAGTCGGCGCGGGAGAGGAGGTCTTGTACTGGGATATCAAGAAGGGTGAATTGCTTGGAAGATGGAAAGATTCCGCCTGCAGGGCGCAAGTCACCGTGATCACACAGAGCAGGACCGACGAGGATATCTTCGCCGTTGGGTAAGGGCTAGAGAGGTGCAGCTAAATCGGGACACATCACTAATCTGGGATTCTCTATTCTAGTTATGAAGATGGGACCATTCGTCTGTGGGATTCAAGAACCGAGACGGTCATGATCTCCTTCAATGGCCATAAATCTGCCATTACCCAACTCGCGTTCGACAGTGCCGGTGTTCGCCTCGCAAGTGGCTCGAGGGATACGGATATCATCCTTTGGGATCTTATTTCAGAAGTCGGATTGTTCAAGCTACGCGGACACACAGACCAAGTCACCTCTCTTCACTTCCTCGTTCCGTCACCCGAATTATTGAGTCAAGCCGGACTAAGCGAACATGCCGGTTTCCTCATCACGACCGGAAAAGACGCCTTGATAAAGGTATGGGATCTGGCGTCACAGCACTGTATTGAAACACATATTGCACAGTCAAACGGAGAATGCTGGAGTTTAGGCCTTGCGCCGGATCAGAGCGGCTGTATAACTGGAGGAAATGACGGCGAGTTGAAGGCCTGGTCCATTGATGAGAGCGCCATGCTCGAGATTTCTAAAGAGAAAGCCGGCTCGGAAACCCGCAAAATTTTGACTGACAAAGGATCGCTCTACCGTAACGGAAAGGATCGAACGACCGGAATCAGCTTTCACCCTCGAGCAGACTATGTGGCATTCCATGGCTCAGAGAAGGCGATTGAAATCTGGCGCATCCGCTCCGAAACAGAAGTCCAGAAGAGTCTGGCAAGGAAGCGCAAGCGAAGAAAGGAAAAGGAAGCCCAGCGTGCAGCGGAAACGGGCGAGGCTGCAAAGGCCGAGAACGAAAAGCCCGAGGACGATGTTTCTACAGCACCCGTTACTGAAGTTTTCGTCTCTCACACTATTGTCAGAACCGGCGGCAAGGTCAGGTCTTTCGATTGGATCCGGACTAAATCGAGCGGAAAGATTCAGCTTCTCGCGGCTACCACCAACAATCAGCTGGAGGCCTACAGCGTCGCTATGTTGAATAAGAAGAGCAAGAGCGAAGATGATGTGGAGTACAACCGAACGTTGGCTGTCGATATACCAGGCCATCGTACAGATATCCGATCGGTCGCGTTGAGCTCCGATGACCGAATGCTGGCTTCTGCTTCAAACGGAAGTCTCAAAGTCTGGAACGTCCGGACACAAAACTGTTTGCGAACTCTGGAATGTGGTTATGCACTATGCTCTGCATTCCTTCCCGGTGACAAGATCGTTGTGGTCGGCAATAAGGACGGAGAGCTAGAAGTTTTTGATATCGCTTCGTCAACTCTTCTAGACACGATCAAAGCACACGACGGGCCAGTATGGTCGTTGCAGGTGCATCCTGACGGCAAATCACTAGTCAGTGGCAGTGCAGACAAGTCTGCAAAGTTTTGGAACTTCCAGGTCGTGCAAGAAGAGATTCCTGGTACGAAACGGACAACACCACGGCTGAAGCTGATCCACTCAAGAACACTGAAGGTCTCAGACGACATATTAAGTGTCCGGTTTTCGCCCGACGCACGCCTGCTAGCAGTTGCTCTTCTGGATAACACTGTCAAAGTTTTCTTCAACGACTCTCTCAAGCTTTTCTTGAATCTTTATGGCCACAAGCTTCCCGTCCTAAACATGGATATTTCATGGGACAGCAAAATGATTGTCACCTGTTCGGCTGACAAGACAGTTCGCCTATGGGGTCTGGACTTTGGTGACTGCCATAAATCATTCCTTGCGCACGAAGACAGCATCATGGCCGTGGCTTTTGTGCCTAGCAACAACGAAGGTAACGGCCACAACTTCTTCAGTGTCAGCAAAGACCGCGTAATCAAATACTGGGACGGCGACAAATTTGAACATATCCAGAAGCTCTCAGGACACCACGGCGAGATCTGGGCTATGGCAATCAGCCACACAGGCGAGTTCATCGTCACCGCTAGTCACGACAAGAGCATCCGCACCTGGGAACAAACAGACGAACCCCTCTTCCTGGAAGAAGAACGAGAAAAGGAACTCGAAGAAATCTACGACAACAACCTCGCAGCCTCCCTCGAGGAGGAAGAAGGCGGCGCGGACGGCGAGAAGGCTGAAGCCGTTGACGCCGGAAAGCAAACAACCGACACCCTCATGGCTGGAGAAAAGATCATGGAAGCACTCGATCTGGGCATGGAGGATCTCGTCGTCATGCGTGAGTGGCGCGCCCTCAAGGCAAGGCAACCCAACGCCGCCCCTCCTGTCCGTAATCCGCTTTACATGGCCCTCAACAACATTTCCGCCGAGCAACATCTGCTCAACGTTGTGCAAAAGATCCCTCCCGCCGCCCTGCAGGACGCCCTTCTTGTCCTCCCCTTCTCGAAAGTCCCCGCCCTCTTCACCTTCCTCAACATCTGGGCCAGGAGGGAGTGGAACGTTCCGCTCACGTGTCGTGTGCTGTTTTTCATGCTGAAGACACACCACCGCCAGATTGTAGCCAGCAAGCTGATGCGGCCTATGCTTGACAGTATCCGCTCGTCGCTTCGCCGGGTCCTCACGCGCCAGAAGGACGAGATGGGCTTCAATCTGTCCGCCTTGCAGTTTGTCGGCGAGCAGGTTAAATCACATGCCACGAAGGACTACATCGATGAGGAGGCTTATGAAGAGCAGGAGCGGTCGACGGGATCAGGCAAGAAGCGTGTCTTCTCCAGCATTGCTTGATGCGTGGGTCCCTGTCTTTGTGCATTCGATGGGAATCTGTATAATGCATGCTTGGCGTTTCATCTAGATTTTGTTTAGGATTGGGGCTACAAAAAGTTATATATCCTGGAGTCACTACAATGAGAATAAATAGTCCACAAATGAATCCATGTGCATTGAACATAAAATAATTGGAGTATCTTAGCAACAAGCTATGAAATCGAATCTCCCCCACGCAAACCGAAGATCAGACAGTGTATACTAGAAAACAGCGTTAGCAATCTGCACTCAACTAGAGACAACAGCACTGCCAGCAGAAGGCGGAGTAAGTGACCCAAGACCAACAAGCCACCAACCCCCCAAGCGCAATCCGAACAGCGAAACACTCTTCAGTAGAACCATTATAAGCATCGACGACAGTGACTTCTATTTTTTGAAGCTCTCCTGCCATACCTCTTCCGGCTCTTCCTAAAAATACCGGTTCTTGAAAATGTCCTCATCATTGTAGTGTTTTGCGTTGGGTTGGGTTTGAATTGCGCCAGGGGAGCTTGTTGAGGTCTTTCGGGGGTATGAAGGGTTTGTCTTACCTAGTAGGTTTGTTAGTCGGGATATGGGCGAAGTCGAATGATCATTCTTTCTTCTAGGCCATTTTATCCGGGGCGTCGGGGGTTGTTTTGAGGTTGAAAAAAGGTGGAGGAAGAAAATTTCGAATGACATAGCTCGGGAGCTTAAGGTCGCTTAATCTGTGCTTAGTAAGCGACGTATACTTCGAATGCATCGATGCTGCAGAGCTATTTTATTCCTGTTAATTTTGCTGGTACGCTATTTGAGGTAAGTAAATAATATCATGTGAGAAACAAAATCTATCGGGTATATTGATGACATTGTAAGTTGTCTCGCGCTATCTTGGCTGCAAGCCTCGTTTCGTAAGTCATGAAGTGTATGGCCCAAGTATAAACTGAACTTGAGCTTCAAGAAGGATGGAAATGCACCCAGATCGCTAGTGCTTGTGCACTGATTTATGATGCATCCTTCATCCTACCGCAATTTGAGCATGTCCACCACTCTGTCTCCATAAAGCTACTGCAGGAATTGCATAGCCAACCCAGCGGCTTCGTCTGGGCGTTTTTCTCCAGGCCGGAGAGCGATTCAACGGCACTTTTTCGGTTCTTAAAAGACCTTTGCCCAACTGTGCGATTTATAATACTTTTGTTCTTGGTTTGTGTGGTTGTAGAGCTAGAGCTTGTTGTGCTGGGAGGACCAGAAGCGGACCGATAATTGGCGGGGCGAGGACGCTCTGATGCACACGCATCGCAACATAGAAAGTTCGGTGGATTGTCTAGGGTGCATATTGGACATTTCCAAGAGTCTGCATATGAGCTATCATCCGCGGTGAGGTCGACTGGGTCTTGATCGTAGACTGGCACGATCGGCCTGGTATGTTCAGGAACCGGTGGAGGCGTGAGGGTCGTCCGAGGTCCTGCTGGGTTACCCTGGCTGGGAGGGATATATGATGGACCGTACTTTTCCCTTTCTTCTTCCTCAATTAAATCAATGTAGACCTGCATGATCGCTTGCTCGTTTGCATCCTCTTCTTCTGCCTTTGTTCGGAAGCCATTCCTGGAGGCTTCCTCTGCCAGCTCAGCGGAGTTGTCTGCTCCAGAGGCGCAACCCTGGGTCACCTCAATGCGTCTTTGCGCTGCATCAGCTATGACCTTTCGCATGTCGGCACCTCGCGCAGGACCTGTCCCTCCTACTCTCTGTCCCGATCCGGCGTGAAGCGTTCGCCTCCGCTCTGCAGCGGCTCGAGCTTGCCTACGCGCCTCGTCGATGGGTATTTTTGCACCTCCCAAGCGCCTTCCATGTGATAGAAAGCCTTCGCCGGTGTAACCTTTGATTGCAAGTTCTGTATGTTCATCACGAAGTTGGTTCCAAAGGGCATGGAACTGTTGGTTATGTGGCCCATGTACAATATGGCACAGCCTGCAAATGTCAGGGAGAAGAATATTTGAGCTAAAGGGTTCGAGTCACTCACTCGTGTAGCATAGTGTCTACTACTTGGTCGAGTGGCATAAACTGAGTCTGATCACCCGCATGCCGGAGGCGTAGGCAGATCTTCTCCCCGCCGTTGACGTTGAGGCCGAGGAGGTTCCTCTGATGGGGATAGAACTCGCAAAGTGTCCCAACTCTCCAAGATCGTCGGCGCATAATCGGTTTTACCAAGGATGCGATTTTCCGAAGGATGAGAAGAGCCTCCGATTCCCTCGGCCGATGCTTGTCGTGTTGGTACTCGCCCACCAAAGGATCTAATTCACGCATGATGAAGTCGTGATATCAGAACTTGAACAACTAGAGCATACAACAAGATTTGTTTTGAGGCTGCAGAAAAGATGACTTTCAGAGACCTTGACGTTTCAATCCTTTGATCACTTGAACTTAAGATGCTGTGTCTTGTATCGGCCACAACTGCCCGCCTCCCAGAGAGCGCAAGCAGTAAGCAAACTCCGGACGCCCCTCAAATCGAAGAAGATACCAGAAAGCGCTACAACGTGGGACAACAATCAAAATGCTAGAACCGAGATGGCGATAATTATTAATGAATCCAGGCTCCCATCAGCATACGATTGCCGCCGTCCACGTGACTAGTATTAGTGCCTCAGGCATGACAGGCCCGATCCGCATAAATCGCTCCGGGCTGCATAAAATATACTTGGTTGCATAATATACACAGAATCGGTAGGTCAATACAGCTTTTGTGACTTTCGCAACGAGTATAAGCAATTCTGTTATTTACTCCAACATCTCGGGGTAAATAGGTAACCGCGATAACAATCAACGCAGGTCAGAGGTTGTGATCACTGTTTTCCGGATTCTAATCCATGCTCTTATAGTAGGTGCAGGACCAGGTCAAGAGCTAGGCGATAAAGAGATCGGCAGACTGACAGGGTTGACCATGTTTTATGCTCGCCTAGCATGATTCATGGAATACGAAGCCCGTCTCCTCTTTTTGGCTTGATGGCGCTTTCCAGAAGGCGTCTAGGTTTCGATCAGTGCCGCATAAGGTCCCGACATTTAAACAAGAATAGTACCCACGCCCATGGCGTTTGAAACCAGATAATGATTGCTCCGCACATTGAGCTTGCGACTTTTTGTTATATACGGAGTAAACTTCCCAGTTGAAATCCAAATTCCCTCAACACTATCCTGCAGGAAGTGGAAAATTTGATCCTGACCATGTCTCGAGTCGCGGCCAACTAGCCAGTCAACATGCTTCTTCGGTGTGACAACTTGTTAGATTAGGCAAAAGCTCAGGAAGTCCAAAACAAAATATGCATGCGTGAAGACAAAGATGAGGATGGATTGATCGGCTGGGTGATGGTTCGAGGCCGCAAAAAGCAAAGTATGCTTGAATTCCAGCCATTCAGCTGGACTGCTGTTGACATTTTCCCAGGTTGATCCTTCGTCAGCTCATTTCCCACGCATGGGCAGCAATAATCTAAACGCCTCTCGAATATTGGCGGCGATCAGCGTCTTACTCTGGAGTAGTGCCTGGGCCTTGGGATCTCCGATCACCAACCCCTTGAGGAAGAGTCCTGGAAGATTGACTGGCAGCGATAGAAGTAGGATCTTCTATTGGACGGTTCGTCCCAGCGCAGTGGTTCAAACTTACGGAGTACGCCGTGTCCTTGAAAAACGACAGCACAGTGGATCCTCAGCCGATTTCTCCATGTCTTTCTTTTCAATTTTGTGCTGCTAGCACATCCCATTCCCCACGATTCTGGCTAGCCGATGCATCCTTGACGTGATATTCGCATCAAGGATCCCTTGATTTCGGGTTGTTCCGCCTAAAGTATACCGGTTCGAAGCATTCCGACTCGTGATACGGTTGCCAGTTGGCAGTTGCTGACCCTGCTGCATGATTGCTTTTAGAATGCCAGAATTGCTCATCGACCGCATCGACCATGGCCTGAAAAATGAAGTACGGAGTACTGATCCCTTTTTGCTTCTAGTTGGGTGTGGCTTTAGTCACGCTACATAGCGGATGACGCATTTCTCGACCATGACCAGCTTGTACATGGTCAGATGGATTATACCTTGCAGAGTGCCCTAAACAGTTAATCTGCGAACCACTCAACGACCTGGAACCCGAGGACATGGTTGGACACCCTCCCCTGATGACGCTTGCTTGAGAAGTGGTCATTAAGGTCCCATGGTCTTGGAAGTTGGAAGGGCTGTGGCGGGCATGAACCATGAATCCTCCAAACTTATCGAATGGCAAGCATTTTTGCTTTTGCATCCACATTATTAAGGTCTCCGGATCCGCGGCTCTGGTAAACTAGCTAACGGGTTAATTATTATTCACACGTCGATCTCCATCAGCGCTGATATTAAGATGAGACCTGTCTAGCACTTGAGATCCTGCGGCGATTTCCCCAAACTCCAACAGTATCAAGATCTACAAACAATCCCTGAAACAAAGTTCTGCTATATTCCTTATTTGACATCTTCTGACTCGTTAACATTGCACCACTGTACGCCCGGACGTGGACAAAAACTTTTGTCAGCCTTCCTATGCCCTATTCCTCATGGCATAAAGTCGGCACCCGCAAGTTGGGCAACTGCTCTATTCTTCGTCCACGGTCATTGTGTTTCTTAAAACGCCATCATCTTGCATGCGTACCCTGACGGCTTCGTATTACAGATCAAGGCACCTCCTTTGTAACTGCTACTCAGCCTTTACGCGGACCTGTTGAGCGACTCCCGGAATCCCTGCCCTTTCGCTAGGGTTTGATATACCCAGCCGGGTACCTGCAGCTTATGTCGTCTGTAACGCCCCAAAATGATAAGACACCGGCAAAGATGATGCTAGAGAAGAATCCGTCTGCTTTTGAGGGTCGGCGGTGCAAACCCTCTTTGACGGATTGGATTCAGTGTCTTCCCCCAGAAATAGCCCTGCAAATACTGTCCTATCTTTCCTTCGACGACCTTCTTTCATTCGGAGCAACCAGTCGCCTGAACAACGAGTATCACATAGTTAGCCTCAAGCGCTTGAGGTTAGGCGTCTTTGAGAAGCGAGTGCATTCAATAATCTCCCTGCTTCAGGCCGGGTGGGCTAGCCCTGAACAACTGGGTGGTACCTGGGGGGAAGAGGCCGAGCGCAACTATACGATTACTGTTATCCAGCAACAAAGCAAGCCAATGAGGCCGTGGGCGCAGGAGAAAAAGTTCTGTCAATCGATCAACCCGAGGCACCGACTTCTGATGCAGCCTAACAGACCCCAAACGCAAGAGCAAATGGTGCGCCTGCAGAACCAGATATTTGCCAGGGCTCTACGGCGCTACGGTCCATCGCTACGAGCCCTCGAATTCATGGCATACGATCTTAGCTTAGAGGGAGCCACGGCGCTGGGGGCCAATTGCCAACATAGACTCAGGGAATTGGCGCTGCGCTTCGAGCACCCACACATTCGGGACGGTGTCGTTAGGCCAAGTACATGGCTTCGTCCGGCTCCTGCAAATGAAGCATGGAACTCTCTAATCGGAATTGGCCGGTTTAAGGATATTGGACTTTGCAACCTCGAGAGCTTGACCCTGGAGCGGGCAGGGATAACGTCGTGGCAATTGATGATGCTTGTGAAGAGGAACCCAGACTTGACTATCCTCAAGCTGAGGACTTGTCGCGGTGCTCGACCTGAGTTCTTGTACTGGTTAGGGGGCTTGAAGAGCGACCTGAATGAGACCGAGACTCACCTGGATGGACCGGCACCTGGCGCGAAGCTCGAAATCCTTGCGCTAGAACATTGCCATCGACTGCTCGAGCGGCCAGTTGAAGAAAACGACAATTCGGCAGATGGCATTCTTGATTCTGGGTTTGAATGGGTGAGAGGCCTGAGTAATTTGCAGGTAAGATGAGTTCTATCATTTTGTTTATAACATGTGTTAGTCGCTGATGTTTGCTGCAGTCACTGTCCTTCAGCGAAAGCGCACATATTCCATCAGCACTTATTGATGAAGCAAACAAGGCCATCTGGAAGATCCCAAAGGTCATTCTTCCTTACTGCCTTTCTGATGGAGATACGCCCATTGCAGTTGATCCAAGATGGAAGTAACAGGGCCATGGCCACTTACAAAGTCTCCACTCAGAGGACCAGCACACAACTTGGGATCTGAGCAGAGGATGGTTCAATGTTAATGAGCTGTATAGAATGATGAGTCCGTAAAGCCCTGCTATCAAGAGGTTGATGCTATGAATTTTAATGTTTCAAGCATAATATTGGGCGAGAACAACCTGAAGTTATTGTGCGTGAGCAAGTTATTCTCACCACCGCAAGCGAGACACCGACGTCTTTCAGGGTTATAGTTTCTGAGCATGAGAGACAAATCCTGGCAGAATGACTTATGAGGAAGGACTCACTGTGTTCCAACAATCGTTCCTGCCACCCACCCATTCCATTGTCAATTCACCCACCTTGTTCTCACCTTCACACCGGTAGATTGCTCTTCAGATATCGCTGATATCACTTCTCTTCCTATACTCTGTTCTACGTTTTCCTTTTTCTTCCAAGGTTGATACTCATTGAAGTCAACCGATTCGACTCACACCATCTGCCACTCAGGATGGGCAGCCACAGATCATACTCCCATCATTTCTGGGACCCCCTACGCAAACTATTCCCAAAGCGTGGTTCTCCTCTTTCACGGACAACCACCACCTCCCGCTCTCAGTCGAGTTGGTGTGGCCTGGACTCCTCCGCCATCGGCGAGCATGCAGATGGTTTCTATAAGTACTCGCAAGAGGTACTCGAGCAAGAGCAGCGGGAACAATTCAGGTTGCGGTCATCGAATAGTACGGCCGGGTCGTACGCGTCTGCAGTAAGTTGGCTGGGTTGCTCAGCAAAATCGGACTGCATTGCTAACGAGTTAGCTCATGGGCCCGTCTGACCGTCCTCCGCTTCCTTACACCGTGAGCTCGCCCGACTGGAACATTTTTTCCACGTACGTCAAATCGCTGGACGAAATCGACGATGGCAGTGCCTGCGAGTGGCTTGGGAGCGTTCTGTCTGTGTGGTCTAGAGTATATGCGGTCTCAAAGATCGTAGTGATGGCCTTTATGCATTATGGCGTGGAGGTATATAGCCCGTTCAACCCTCCTTTTTTTGCGCATGCTGATGGAAATGCCTTGTACTAGCTGGACGACACCCCGGACGGTATCCTGGCTCATATAAAACACGCCGAGGAGCTGGTGGTCTGCAACTCGGTCGTAGACCTTGTCGACAACACCGAGAGCCTATATTATGCTCTATATGCCCGACTCATCATGGAGATCGCTGCTGCAGACCTATGCGCCTCGTTCGCCTTGGAGTTTCGCCGTCCGGCCGCCAGCAGCGCCCTCATCCTTCCTGAACCGAGGCAGCTGTGCAAGATTCTGTTCTTGTGCAAACAGACTCTCGATGCTTCCAGTATATGTTTCAAACTCAACAAGGAGCTCGTTAGGCAACACCAGCTCGATTATATCCGCCGCACATCGGACAAAATCGAGGGTGTAGGTTTCGTCCTTGACGACCTCATCGGCTACCGGCAACATGCCATCACAATCGTCAACGACAAATCATCCGACTTTTGCCAAAAATGGGGTGGAGCATCCGTGCTGTACGAAATGCCACCAGGAGATGTCCTAGCTCTTCAGTCGGAGAGATACTTGACACTCACACCTAAGTCGGCTGTCCAACAGGCAGTACCAAGCTTAAACCTCCCTTTCGTCGATCCGCACAGCATCCCTCCCAATGTCCGAGAGCGTGATGGGATCATGGATAATAGACAGGCCACTCTGGCAAAATTAGAAGGCAAATGCATTGGAGAAGCACGTCGTGCAGAGGGTCGACGCCGCCTGCTCGACCTCGTCCGGGAGAAAAAGTGCATATGTCGGTCTGTTTGCAATTGCGCCCATGAATGCACCGAAGACGTTGAGCGCCGTTGTCCCTGTTCTGAGAGGATGCTGAGTCTCATGGTCGCAAAACGACGAAACAGTATTGGCCCACTTCCATTCGGTCCCCGATGTAGTGCTCTCGCGAAGGCGATTTTCCAGGGGATAGCATCCTTAAGGATTGACGCTGGAGATTTAGAGCTTACCGGGGAGCTCGATCGTGGAACTATGATCTTTGCAGAAGAGATCCGGAAGCAGCGGTCTGCGGGCATCACTCAAAACGGCTGTCTTCGTTGAATACCGAGAACGCGACATGATTGCTGATAAACGACGGGGAACAAAGATCAGCGTCGGAGTGGGTATGTTTTCCGAGGAAAGCGTCATCGGCCGATAACGATTGCTTTGGGCGAGATTGATGGAGTTTTTAGAAGGCAATCGACGTCGAATATATGAACACAAAAAGTGCATTTACAGAGATATCCAGGATTCCATGTTTTCAAGGCAGGTCCTAGAGTCAATACTCCATCCCAATGAAGACGCAGTATGAGATAGTCTGTGTCAGACTTACTGAGCACAATAATACAAAGCGTAGTCCACAATCTACAGAGTAAAACTCAGACTATTAACAAAAAATCGCATGTAGACCTTTCAGTGTCCATCACTACTGGCTCAACAAGCTGGGCCATGGACCGGGCTAAAACAGCGTCATCCGTCCTTTCAGAATGATCATTTCAAAAGAGCCGACCTCCCCCCCAACGATCCTCCAAGCTCTGACACCGGATAAAGTCACAACCTCCCACTTTACTCACCGTTAGTAGCACTTCCCCAGCCGCATATTGATTATTGCGGAATCTGCGCTTCGGGAAAAAAGAGACTGCTCTATACTAGGACCTCTGGACAACACCCTTCTTGCGGGCATGGTGCCTAGGATTCCTGGGACTCCCTCCGCAGTATCGTCATCCTCGCCGCTGTTGCGGGCATCAGCCTCATCCTCGTCGCTTGCTTCGATCGACCCACGGTGGAGCTGGGGTCCCAAGCAGACCCTGGTGCGGCGCTATCATCGCGCCGTCTGGCCTTCCTACGGGATCACCACCCCAGTCCCCGATCGCAGCCCGCAGTTCCCCATCCTTACATCGGAATACAGATTTCAGACAGGCTACGCTTTGTGCGCCAAAAGGACACCTCGGCCGTTCCCGCCGCCCTTTTTATCTCCACCCTCGACCTCATTCTCCGACGCGCTGACGACACATTACCACAGCCAGGATAAGAGATTATCCGTGAAGGGGGAGCTGATCCGGGGTCTAAACAACGGCGATGATGCGGTCCTGGTTACAGAGAATATCCTGGGGGTCAACGACGGGGTAGGAGCGTGGGCTACGAGACCACGCGGTCATGCCGCGTATGTCATATCGCATCTTTCCTACCTATCATCTTGCTGTTGCCCATACTAATGGTGCTAGATAGACTGTGGTCTAGGCTTATACTGCATTTCTGGGCGCTGGAAGTCGAACGAATACCGAACCCAGATGCCCCGGTAGATCCAATCGCATACCTGCAACGAGCCTACGAGGAGACGAAACAAGCTACAACGGTCCCGAGCGAATGGTTCGGGACGACGACCTCAGTAACCGCCCTCCTGCACAAAAGGTTAGACGCAAACGGTACCGAGAAACCATTGTTATACGTGACGAATATCGGGGACTGCAAGGTCATAGTCATCCGGCCAAGCGAGAAAAAGGTCGTCTTTCGGACCGAGGAACAGTGGCACTGGTTTGACTGCCCGATGCAGCTGGGTACGAATAGCGTTGATACACCACAAAAGAATGCTGTGCTGTCGCAGGTTGACCTGGAGGAGGGAGATATTGTTCTCGCGCTTTCGGACGGGGTTCTCGATAATCTATGGGAACATGAGGTCTTGTCCATCACATTGGGAGGCCTCGAGAGATGGGAGCATGGTCGATACGACGATAAGGAGCTTGAATGGGCGCCACCGGAGGTGCTTGCAGACGAGAAGATGGTGTTCCTAGCAAGAGAGCTACTCAAAGCTGCGCTCTCGGTGGCTCAGGATCCATTTGCTGAGAGTCCTTATATGGAGAAGGCGGTTGAAGAAGGCTTAGCAATTCAAGGTGGTGAGTCTATCTACAGTCTTGTTATCTATTGAACATCTACTGACTGCTGATTAGGGAAGATGGACGATATAAGCGTAGTTGTTGGCGTGTGCAGGAGGCGTACCTGCGAAGCAGAAACAAGCTACACGAAACTGTCTGAGGATCAGCCGGCCCCTTGAATATCGGCTCTGAATCCCACGGCAGCGGGGCTTTGCCTAGTGCACAGTTTAACGTGAAACGACTTCAAAGACATTGCATATTGGCTGGTATCTGAACGTTGGCATATAATAATTGAGCGAGATGGGATAGCATTTGCATGGGTCGGCGATCTGAGCTTTCTTACTTACCTACTATTGAGAAACTTGCGATTCGAAACTCAATATACGGAAACACTATGAGGATTGTTTTACTCCGAATATACTAGGAAGTATTACTCTAGTCCACGGTCCGATTTATATACTGCGCACGGACCTCATGATATCAAGCCCTCCCACCGCCCGGCAGAAAAAAGCAAGAAGACAAAAAATTCCGATGAGGATACTCAACATCGACTAACCAACACATCAACAGACATCGGCCGACATGAGGGCTAAACGTTCAAAGAAGTATCGCAAGCTTATGCACCAGTATGAGCTGGCCTTTGGTTTCCGCGAGCCTTACCAGGTCCTAGGTATACCTACATCCACCTCCGGCGTCATTGCCGGAGCGGCATTGAGGTCGGCCCTCTTGCTAACATCGCTTCAATTGCGCAGTTGACTCGAACTTACTTCGCGCGGTACACTCATTCAAAATGGATTTAATACCAGCTTTAGAGCGCACATTACAGGGTCAGGTCAAGCCATGTATGTCCCGAAACAGTCCCCTCGCCGATTCCGATGCCCAAAAGCTGACCGAGATTACTTAGTGTTAACGAAATGCTCCCTCGCATCAATAATGGCCGGTCAACCCACAAACCCACGAACAAATAACACCGTTCGTCCCGACTTCCTCCCTCCACCAACAACTGTCCCCCTCCGCCATTGCTCGCACAACGAAGACTCGACGCCGATTGACGAAGCAGAATGTCTCCTCTCCCTCCTCTCGCCGCTTTCCGAGGTTAAGAAGAACAAAGAGCACTATATCCTCGCCACATCCGACCCCCCAGCGAACACGAAGTCAAATGCGCAGCAAGAGGCAGGGAAGAAGCGCAAGCGGGGCGATGATGAGGGCTTTCAGGCTCTGAAACGCGCGCAAGGGCTTAGACGCGGTGCCCGCTCGATACCAGGTGTGCCGATTGTGTATGTGAAGCGGTCGGTTATGATTCTGGAGCCCATGAGCGCGCCATCTGAGGGGATCAGGGATGGCGTGGAGGAGGATAAGCTTCGGACTGGGCTGGCTGATCGAGATGCGCGAAAGAAGGAGGGTGCAGATAGCGGGGAGAAAAAGAAGAAGAGAGAGTTGAAGAAGCCGAAGGCGCCGAATCCGCTGAGTGTCAAGAAACCGAAGAAGAGAGCAGATGAGAAGCCCGGGGCGAAGAGGGAGCGGACGGGTGATGAGGTTGACAAGCGGGATTTTGAGAAGGCGGCAGAAGACGGAGAGGCTGCACCGAAGGCAAAGAGGAGACGGCGACACAAAGGCGCAAGGCAGGTTGAGACTGGTGAAGATGGGAACGAGGCGACACCCACTGCTCCCGTTGAAGCGACGGCTGACTAGTCGATCCACATTCAAAAGAGCCTTTCTTCCTGTTTATATTCCCATGCAGTATGGCGTTTGGTTGGGCAAAGCAGAATTCAAATCATATACAGCAGAATAGTGTCATAGATTCCTCGACCACGACCATCATCAGCCGCGAAAAGATGAGATGAGAAACCCGCAACCCAGTAAAGGCATCGAAAACACCCAAACACCCATATTATGCAAATATTGTACACATCGGTATCCACAATGATTCGTCCACCACGTTATTGTACCGAGACCGAAACTCACTGCTTCTCTGCAGTCGCCGCCGCAGAAGCAGCGGCAGCGGCAGCAGGAGAAGTAGTGCCCTCGCCCGCGCTGGGACCCATCGCAGCAGCCCTCTCATCCGCCCAAATCTTCTCAATGCGCTTTCTCCTCTCCCGCGCGTCGTCCCGATTGCGCTTGGCCCGCTCATACCGCTCGCCCGCCAGACACTTGTTGACGTCGCGCTTGATGTCGTTGCAGTTGCCCAGTGCTTTGTGGAGGAAGCCTTGCGCGTGGCATTCGTCCAGGGCCGTCATAATTTCTTCGCAATCTAGAGGTTAGGGTTAGCGGGTGGACCGGATTGCTGGGAAAACCGAATATCCCAACGGCGGGACTATGGGGTACGTACTGATGTTGTATGGGGTATGGAGGTGGGAATGCATCTTGGCAGGTAATTATCGTGCTCTTTCTTAATAGAATTGAGGCTTGTGCGTCAAGTCGTTGAGATTGACCTCCGGCATTGATCCCCGAGTGGAACGATAGCCAGGGCGGTGTGGAAGACGGTGGGACATTCTGCTGGACTAATCGGCGGCCCGCTAAAAAAAAAATCTCAGGCTGTGAGGGGAATTGAAGAGCATTCTACCCTCTGAGGAGCTTCGACTTTGTTCAGCTTCCCTCTGCATCGTTGCAGGAGTGTGTACTTGCATCGTACACCCTCCCGATCTCCTTTCTTTCTTTTTCCATTGTGCAACCTAAAAATTACTCACAATGTCTTCTATGATTACCACCTCCGCTTGGGTGCGGCGCGGCGTCGCGGCCCAATTTCCCACGAAGTATGAAATTGACGAGAAGGAGATGGATCGCATTTCGAAGCTTGCGCGCATGCAGCTCGAGGAAGCGCGAGAGGATCTGAGTGCTGCGCAGGGCAATGTCGATTCTGCAGACAAAGATGACGATGCGATGGAAGAAGACATTGTGGTGGAGAAGGATGAGAAGAAGGATACGTCTGTAAAGATGTGAGAACTTGATTCTATAGGCAGGACGGTTGTCATGGCGAGGCTGACCATAACGGACAGTGACGACGACGATCTGAAAGAATACGATCTCGACCACTATGATAGCGACGAAGTGGACGAGGACGGCGAGAAAGTTACCATGTTCGGTAATGTAAAGTCGCTCGCCTACCATCAGCCCAACGAGGAGGACCCCTACCTGGTAGTTCCGGAGGACGAGGACGACGAAGAGCGTGAGGAGCTACAGATTCTTCCGACGGACAACCTGCTGCTGGCGGGTAAGGTTGAGGACGAGGTAGCTCACCTCGAGGTCTATGTCTACGAGGACAGTGCGGATAACCTCTATGTTCACCACGATATCATGCTGCCCGCTATCCCTCTGTGCTTGGAATGGCTGGACTTCCCCGTCGGAAAATCCGGCGAGAATGGCAGCACGACAGGAAACTTCGTCGCCGTTGGAACAATGGAGCCCGATATTGAGGTCTGGGATTTGGATGTCGTCGACTCGATGTACCCGAATGCCATCCTCGGCCAGGGCGGCGTGGACACGGAGGCCGATGCCAAAAAGGCGAAAAAGAAGAAGAAGGTTAAGGCGAACGACGAGTTCCACGTCGACTCTATCCTCGCTCTCGCTGCGAACAGGCAACATCGCAACCTTCTGGCGTCCGGTTCCGCCGATCGTACCGTCAAGCTCTGGGATCTAAACACAGCGAAGGCCGCCAAATCATACAGCCACCATACGGACAAGGTGTGCTCCCTAGACTGGCACCCCACGGAATCCACCGTCCTTCTCACGGGTAGTTATGACCGAACCATCGTTGCCGCCGACATGCGCGCCCCTGACTCCAAAGCCCGCTGGGGCGTAGACGCCGACGTCGAGACCGTCCGCTGGGACATCCACGATCCAAACTTCTTCTACGCCACCACCGACGCCGGTATGGTCTACCGCTACGACATCCGCAACGTGCCCGCGACCCCTAAGGACTCCCGGCCCGTCTGGTCCCTGCAAGCCCACGATTCGTCCGTCTCCTCCTTCGACATCAACCCTGCCATCCCCGGCTTCCTTGCAACAGGCTCGACAGACAAGCAGGTCAAGCTGTGGAACGTGGAGAACGACAAGCCGAGCATGGTTGTCTCGCGCAAGCTCGAGGTCGGCAAGGTCTTCTCGACGACATTTGCGCCGGACTCGGAGGTCGGCTTCCGTTTGGCTGTGGCCGGTAGCAAGGGCACTGTTCAGATCTGGGATACGTCTACCAATGCTGCCGTGCGGAGGGCGTTTGTTTCTCGCATGCCGGCGCTTGAGGGAGAGGTGCAGGAGCGGATGGTTGGAATGGCGCCTGATCAGGATGAGTCGGATGATGATGGGGCACCGGAGACCGGTGCTGCTGGAGGAGCGGATGGCTGGGAGTCCATGGATGAGGATTAGATGTTCGATTGGGGATGATTAGAAGGTGATGGGTGCATTGTTATTGGATATTTGGTGGACTTACTCCATACATTTATAGCGCACCTTGTTAGCTGTCAACTGCATGCAATGAAAAGTTACGATACCCATACTTAATGCTGTGATCTGCTAACTACGTCTGATCTTAAAAATGGTATCGCATTGCATGCCACTGCTGAGTAATATGCGTTAGGTACCCATTGTAAGGCCTGATAATGTTGAGCAGGTGATATAACAGTTACTCTATAAGCTCTGTCTAGGTCCAGAAATTGCATGCCCCGGAGTGTATTGCTGCGCTGAAAGACGTTCTGGATCTCACCTTGGCTACTGGTGCTTCGGATTCCGAAATAATCTCTTCGGCAGTATGATTCATTGATGTACGGAGTACTGAGGGTGCTAGTACTAAATATAAATAGTAACTATGGTCAATGTTCTAGTGATTGATGATAGTAATACTCCGTAGATTCGTAGCGAATCCGCGTGCAGGTATGTATGTACGAAGCACTGCTAGTCTGTTCCTGAAAGACTCTATAGTAGTACAAGTCTACAAGATATTGAAGATAAGCACGAGCGACAGGCACACAAGGAGACCCGTGCGCTGGACCCGTGTGCGTATCAGCCGGCAACTTTGCCGGCCAGCTGCATGAACTGTTGCCAGATGCGCTGTTGATGTTCTCCCGACTGTCCAACTCCAACTCCAGTTTAGTAGCAGTGGAATCTGATGGCATCGGTGTTTGGCTGCCCTGAATCCAGGTATCAGCCAGAATCAGGCAAACATGGTTCCCAAGTCGCAACGAGTCCAGGCCGGGCAAACGGTGGGTTTTCAGGGCCGGCCCCACGAGGTGGGGAGCGATTTGTCTGGCCAATGATGACAATTATTGGACAGCGGACATGGTCGGGGTGATTTGTGCCACTGCCTGGCCAGCACTGCATCAGTGCGGATGACACCGACGATTGCTTTTTCTGAGTTGTATGAACAAATGCAGAAGCGCCGAAGGCACTGTGCCACAGCTCCTGGCATCCAGATGAGCTTCATCCTCCGCGCCGGAAAATGAGGCCACGCTCTAGGAGCAAGTCTATCAGTCTGAGACGGGTCGGCGGAAAATCGTTGTTTCATCCTCCACGCATGAAGCAAATGGGCGTTTCTAGAGGCCGCCACGATTCCGTTCCTGGCGCCAAACCGAGCTGGCGCGACTGTAAGCACCATCCTGGCTGACCCGGCGGTAGATGACTGGTCCATATTGATTGAGTCGCATTATCTTTCGGCATGGCTCCGCCAATTAGGGATGCTCATCCACGTTGCCGGCGAGGACGTCACTGTCTCCTCAGTTGACCCCTCGATGTGATGATCGGACCTGACAGTGTGACAAATCGATGGCCACGAGAGAGGTTCTCTTCCCACATGGCCTGCATCAGCTGGCCTGGCCGTGGTCGGAGAACCGGCGTCGGGCGTGCTCGCTGAAATTATGGACTGTAAAATTGGCCGGCGTCCAGCGTTGAGAGAACCGCGGTTCGTCGGGCAATTGAAAATTCTTTGAACGGCAGGCGAACAAAGACCCGTTGTTGGCAGGAAGAAGAATTTTTACCTGGGTTCAACGGTTCGAGTGGATGAACTTAGCACAAAGACAAGTCGGCGGTATTGGATACTGAGTGGTGGTGGTCGTGGTCGCCCAATAAAGCAGCCCAGACCCTTCGGGCAAACCCTCAAGTCTCAAGAATATCGTTCGCCTCGTCGCCTCGTCGCCCCTTCTCTCCCTCCAGTCCTAGATTCCCTCCTTTCCATTCCCTAGTCCTTGACATACTAGAGCCCTTCCTTCTCTAGGCTGGATTTTCCTCGACTTCAATTCTCATATCTGCGACCTGGTTGTCGCCTTGATTTTTTACTGATTTCAACCTTGCTGCTGCAGCAACTCGGCGGCGCCCCCCTTGAGTCAGAGTTAGATCTTCGGTGACCCGTGGACGACTTCGACAACATCATCAACTCTTTGCTGTGCAAAAAGTTCAGAAAAAAACATTCTTTGACTCCGAATCAGCGTGAAAGACGTACGGAATCTGATAACAGCGATCTTCACAGCCGCGATCGGCCACATTCTTTGCTCCTCCACGCCAAGATAAGAACTATACAGCGAAAGTATCGCCAACGATCATTCGAAATCTTAATCATAGGAATCAAGCTCCTAGCGACCAAAACGGCGAGCCGATAGAGACATATCTTTCAACCTGTTTTGCAAATCGATGTGTTACAGGTTCGCGACTTGATTTCGTCACTTCATCTACTCGCACTCGATAACCATGTCGACTCTAACCAGAGCATTTACCAAGCGCTCCAAGCGCATTGAAGTATCTTCGCCGATGCCTTATCGTGAGGGCCAGGTGAAGCTGGCGGCCGGTACAATCAAAAGAGGCAAGATCTCAGCACCAGTCGAACTTTTGTCGACTACGAATATGCTTGCCTACAATGCGCCGGATCTTCACTCAGCATCCTCGTCCTCCACCTCGTCCTTACAATCTCCCGACGATTCAGATCGGTCGTTCAGTCAGCACAGTTTCCCTTCACCGACCACTACACCTGCAGATTCGCCAATCGAACCGAATCCGCTGTCAGGATACTTTCCGAAACGGTCTGCAACTGTGACAAGCCATCCGCGATCCTCGTCATCGACCACGTCCTCGAATGACGCTCCGATTATTCCCAGGCGTGCGCTTTCTCACACCAAGCGAAACCACCAGGAGTTGGCGCGCCAGCGCTCCATGAAGCGCATGTCGCCTCCGTCTGACATCAGTGGCAATGTGGAGCGACCAGCTTACAATGACTATCATACGGAACCTCACCCGTTCGGCAAAGAGTTAGAGCAAGTCAACGAAGTTGTCGAGGAATTTGGTGGCGCCCCTCTATTTGACGAGGAAGAACAGATTCTGCATAGAAAAGGTCTTAAGAAGTACTCGGTGAACGACTATCTTGTGGAGATTGAAGACCTTTATGGCAGCATTTTTAACGATCGGCTGGGTCCGATCGCTTCCACATCCTGGCTTTGAATAATATGAGGACTAAATGCCTTCTAACTCTCTGATAACGGGGCTCGATGCCCGGTCCCGACCAGTGTCACTTCATTACGACCAACTAATTTCACTCTCTTTATGACCCTCATCGTTGTTTTCTCTTGCTGTTCGTTATATACCTCAGGAGATGTTGCTACGGTACAACATCTCCCTACCGTCTTTCTGTTTATTTCATGTGATTCTATCTGGGATGCGTTATGGGTACTATGTACTGTTTCGAGTGAAAATTCGTTCGGGGTGAAGACAGCCAGATTGTCATGGTTTTCAGACGAATGAGAAAAAACTTGACTGAATTGCTGCCGGGTACTCGTAGTTTCGATATAACCTGAAAAGGAAATGTAGGCATCCCGAGTCGACACTGGCCAGTGGTCACGGGTCCATGCGGCCTCAAGCTCCACTCGCCCCACATCAAACTTTTCTCCGCTCGAGATTCCTCGAGTTTTTTGAGGACGTCTTGCTCTCTTTCTTCTTGTCTCATGCCAGACATACACATCCTCAAAACACTTCGTCATCTTTTTCAGCTTGCGCAAGCGAGTCGATTCTTCGAGTCCTCTAGTGTGATGGACAGACTGATGAAGCCCTCGGTGCACTTCCCCTTTCGAAGCGCTTGATCTTTGTACCTACAGCATTGTCGTGTGCTTGGTTTCTATCTTTGTTGTATTGCCTAAAAGTCACTTGGAGCGCATTGAATGACGCAGTTATCGGTACTGCATTTGCTTCTCAAAAGTTTAGATCTGATTCAACTGTGATATCACCGCCCATGGTCTTACTCGCCAGTGCCTCGCGCCGCCCAGCGACGGGACTACACACGCCGTCTAAGATGATAGCAGCATCATCACCGGCGTCCATACTGAAAACATCTAAGACACCCACATCAGCGGCGGGCTTAAAACACAAAATGGAGGACATGGATCTCTCCCTCTCCCCCGCATCCTCCATGGCGTCCGACGCAGACGGCCTGCCCAGTCCTCGGAAAAAGACCCGGGTGCAGTTCGACGAAGACGTGGAAATGCGGGAGATTTCGTACAACGACAAGACACAGGACGGGAGTCAAGGGACAACGGACAAGAGCGCAGCCGTGGTGAGAGAGGAGGTCCGGCGGGCTATCCAACGGCATGTCTCTGGAGGCGATAGCGAGGCCTATGACCGCGTCAAGGAAATTTTCGCCATCAACCCCCGGCGGCGGGATGCGAATGGCATGCCGCCATCAAATGTACCTACACACAATACACTGAAACATCATCTCATGGGTCTTCTGTCGAACGTGGCAGCCTTGGATCGCAGCTGCAACGGGCTGGTTCAAGCCGTGCTAGACAGCGAGTGGCTTGGGCGCGACGAGTCGTACATCAAGCTGTATATCCGGTTTTTGGGGAACCTTGCGGCTGCACAAGGAAGCTATCTGGGTTCTGTACTTAAGATGCTGACCAACTACATGGGCGAGCTCCCCAAGGGCACAGGGAAGCTGCCCGGGTATCCGCATGTCGAACCCGCTGAGGCCTACACCCGCGTACATATGGCAATGCGTCATGTCCTGCAACTTGTTCCTTCTGGAAGCGGCTCGCTCTCCCCAATCATATCCTCCCACTTTCCGTTTGATACGGACTCGGCCAAGGCCAACATTGCCTATACCCAAAATCTCATCAGAGTCATCCGCTATGCGCCGGAACTCCAGGCGGACATCCTCGCTCTGATTACCGAGAAGCTGGTCAAGATCGATGTACAAATTCAGGTTGATATGGACGATCTCGAGGACGAGGAGGGCGAAGAGGTTCTGCATGCCGTCTCTCCTGAGGCTGTTATGTTCGCCGAAGACTTAGACGACGATGACGATGACAACGCTTCCGTCATGAGCGATGAGTCTATTGAGCCCGAATCGCGAAGACTGAAGACTATCAAGGAGAATATCCTCAAACTGGACGGCATGATTGATACCCTATTTGAATATTACGCACCACCCTTTACATCAGGCACGCCTGACGACAAGGAAAACGCCCTCGACCTCCTCCTCAGCCATTTCTCAACCATCATCCTCCCCACCTACCGCTCCCGCCACTCACAATTCCTTCTCTTCCACTTCTCCCAATCCTCTCCGGTCCTCGTCGACCGCTTCGCCGCTACATGCGTCCAGCTCATCTTCAACAAAGCGCAGCCCGCCATCCTGCGACAATCTGCTGCCGCGTATCTCGCTAGCTTTGTCGCCCGTGGCGCTCACATCTCCAGCGAAGTCGTCCGCGACGTCTTCGAACTCCTCGGCACACACCTCGACACTCTCCGCCTAGACTACGAACCCTCTTGCCGCGGTCCCGACCTCCGCCGTTTTGGCCCCTTTTACTCTACCGCCCAAGCCCTCCTCTACATCTTCTGCTTTCGATGGCGCGACCTCACAACGGCCGCCATGGAAGGCGACACTCCCGAGCAAATTGACGAGCTCGAACCCGAGGACATCACCTTCCCCCCTTCCATCCGAGACGTCCTCCACAAAGCCATCCTTTCCAAACTCAACCCTCTCAAGGTCTGCTCCCCGGCCATCGTCTCCCAATTTGCGCGCATGTCCCAACACCTCAACTTCATCTATGTCTTCACCATCCTCGAGACAAACAAGCGTCTCCGCATGTCTACATACCGCAATATTGCCGCCCTCTCAGATCCACGCTATAGCCACGTTGAGCGCGAGACCCGCGCTGGCGATGATTTGGGTTACCAGCTAGACGCTTACTTCCCGTTCGACCCCTACCAGCTCCCGCGAAGTCGGAGATGGCTAGAGGGTGATTATGTGGAATGGCGTGGGATTCCCGGTCTAGATGACCGGGATGATGACGATGATAGTGATGATCTTGAAGAAGCGTCTGATGGTGAAGATGACCTGAGTGACGGGACGGAAACGGACCATGAATGAACAAACATACTATATACTACCTTGTGATATCCACCTGTTGGCAAAAACTACTTGAGATATATGTGATGATATATTATGATGTCTATCTATTTTGATAATATGATACGAATATCGGAGCCATAGGTTTAGTCAAACGTGGGTATAATCACACTGTCCTGTATAGCCCCAAAAATGGGTGCATCCTAAAGATTTGCTGCACCTAAGGCAATGGGAATCCATCAACCCACCATCACCTCGGCCATAGTTGGTTCCGTAATTGACAGGGAGACTGCTCACTATCTATATACGTGTTTCCGTTATATATTTGAGAGAATTACAAAGCCAACCCAAGCTAGATTATGAAGAACATGATCATATTCGCGAATCTGCAGCTGAATCATAGCACTGTACAACAAAAGCCTGGAAAATCGATACCTCTATCCCAAACGCCATGCCGATGATAGTGCCTGCACTAGAAGTCTAATGATAAGGAATTGTGACAATGTACGCTTTAAAAAACAAGGATTTTGAGCAGCAATTACTTCTCAAAGATGGCCTTCATGTCGGCGCAAGCGTCCTTATAGAGGATATTCACCTCCGTGGTGTTCCGGAAGGGGTTGGCCGACTTGTCCCAAGCATGACGCGCCTTTTCGACCATCATCGCACGCACGTGTTTATTGGTATCTTGTAGTCGACGGCAAAATACTTGTCCCTCGTTTAGCAGCATATCCCATTCACACATGTAGAAGAAAATATCATGCGGTAGGGAGTCGCGCAGCGCCTCGTCGGTGGCATGTACCGGCGAAGCATATGGCGACCTGCGCTGCTCAAGGTCCGGCACGTAAGATTCGTCAAAAAGGTCGGTAAAGAAAGATGGCAGCGTCTTATTGGGCATGATGCTCATTGCGCGACGGTGCTCACGGGGCTCGTCGAAGTCCAGAATGGGATACCAGCAAAAGAGCGCAACAATGTGCAAGTCACTGGCGGTCACAGCCACCAGCTGATGAGTAGAGTCGGCTCGGCTCAACCAGCGCTCATGCTCCGCCTGGACAATCAGGTCCCGGAGCCGCAGGGGTACCGTGACAGCCAGGTTCCCGCCGGCGGAGAAGCCGCTGAGCGCGATGCGAGAAACATCAAGACCTAATTCCGCGGCGTGACTGGCCAGATACTGGAGAGTCAGGACGCCGTCATCAACAGCGGCGGGAAACGGATGCTCGGGTGCTCGGCGATAGCCAACACTAACAACGACAGCGCCAACGTCGGATATGACGGCCTGGGCCCATCGGGAATCGTCAGACGGACCTCCGAGCGTAAATCCGCCTCCGTGGAAGTTCACGACGACCGGCAGCCGGCGGCCCTCCTTCCGATTACGTGAGTAGTCGGGTGGACAGTAGAATTGTAAGACGACTTTGGATGAACCAGACGGAAACGAGCGGGAGAAATTGGGACTCGGAGGCCGCGGGTGTGGAATGTTGTGGAAGATCATGCCCAGACGCATCAGGAAGCGCCAGAACACGGCCTGGACATATAACCACCAGCGAGAAGTCGCCATGACAGCGAGACCTTCAGCTGGGCAAGAGTAGCACGGAGATAGGAAAATCGAATGCCGTACTCCGTACCGTAGCAGGCCGTGGTAGAATTAGACAAGGGAGTTCGTGGATTGCAACCACAAGCAAGTGAGACTTGACAGAGGAAAGGAAGGACTCGATCCTGCGAGCAGAAGATGGTAGCGAGAGCAAGAAGAATAGAAACGAACGAAGTGGATTGTGCGACGAAGAACAGAGCGACAAGGTAGTAGTAGAATGAGGCGAAGCAAAGACGAAAGCCAAGAGGGCCGAGACTTGTGCGGAGAAGAGAGCCGATCAGAGAGGTAGGAGTATAGAAATAAGAGCGAGGGGCTGTCGGCAAGTTACTGTTCATATGAGGAATTGAAGGAAACCTGGTATGTACTAGTTCAAAGATAGTAAACAAAGGCAGGTAATGATGATGATATCGAATACTCTCAAACCCTCCGGGCAGAGTGATTTGACGGCCCCAAATTCCGGATTCTCCCAGAGTCCACAGCGAGGAATGACATCACGGCCCTGGTTCATCCCACCAGCGGTTATCAGGTTTAAGGCTGAAGTCCTGCTTTATAAGCTTTTTGCCCTCCTTGGACCTCTTCACAAAGAAACAAAGCGTCCCTTAACTTCTCTCCGAGGAACTCCCACGGGGCTGACAGCCTTACCCAAGCCTTACTCATACGCGCTCTCCATTCCAGGGTCCAGGTCCAGCCCAATCCGCCGCGGCCTGCCCCTCTTATTATTCTTCTGCCTTACCTTCTTCTCTCCTCTCCTCCCCCTCAATCGCATGCTCCGTTCAATTCCGCTGTTACCAGACCGTCAACATGTCCATTAAGCGGGCACTATCCAAAATCAAGCCAAAGCTTGGAGAGTCTCCCCCGGCCTCTCCCTCACACTCCAGACATGGCTCGACCTCCCGCACCTCCTCGCCTCGTCGCAACATCCTGAGCAGCTTCCTCCCCAGCCGGGACTCTGCTTCTTCTTCGGAAGATGTCTCCGACGATGCCTCCGGTGCAGGCACAGTGAGTAAAAACCAGCAGAAGCGCCTGGCTCGTCGCCAGAGGAAGAGCGAGCAGCGCTCTCGGATGAGTGAGGACATTGGTGGTGCCTCATCCGAGTCGGAACGTCGACACAAGGAGGAGATTAGCCAGGCCATTCGTGACGAGAGCCCTGAGATGCGCGCACGATATGGCGACCTTCCCCTGCTGCAGTCGACTACCCGGAAGCGAGAGAAACGCCTCGACTTCGACACCATTACTGCGGACATGGTCGGTCAGCAAGTGTTCTTTCAGGCCAGACTGCACATCATACGTCGGATGAGCGCGAAGCTGGTTTTCCTGGTCTTCCGGCAGCAGCTGTCGACCTTCCAGGGTGTCCTACACGAGGAGCCTGGCGTCAAGTCCATTGCCATGGTTCAATGGGCTGAGCACTTGAAGACGGGCTCCATTGTTCAGGTTCGCGGCACAATCAAGGCTCCCGATGTTCCTGTCCTGGGTTGCACGATTCACGACGTTGAAGTGGCCATTGATGAAGTTCATCTTGTTGTTCGTCGTGAGGAACCTGTTCCTTTCAGTGTCTATGAGGCGGAGATCCGCACGGCGGAGGAAGACCTGGTTGAAGGCCGTCGTAGCCATATCTCAGACCGGACCCGCCTGACAAACCGCTTGCTCGACTTGCGCACCCCTACCTCCCAGTCCATCTTCCGCGTCCAGTCTGCTGTCGGCAATCTCTTCCGGTCCGCTTTGGACGAGCAGAGATTCATCGAAATCCACACCCCCAAATTACAAGGTGCCGCTACCGAGTCTGGCGCCAGCGTCTTCGACGTCAACTATTTCGGCCGCGATGCTTTCTTGGCGCAAAGTCCCCAGCTTGCCAAACAGATGGCCATTGCAGCCGATTTCGGTCGTGTATATGAAATTGGAGCCGTGTTCCGTGCGGAAAACTCCAACACGCACCGCCACCTGACAGAGTATACCGGCCTTGATATCGAGATGTCGATTGAAGAACACTACCACGAGATGTTGGAAGTGCTGGACGCCGTCATCAAGAATATCCTTAAGGGGATCTACACGAAATACCGCCGCGAGATCGAAATCATTAAGCACCAATTCCCCTCCGAAGACCTTGTTTGGCTTGATGAAACCCCAATCATCCGCTTCACCGACGGTATTAAGATGCTCAATGAATCAGGGTGGCGGGATGATGAGGGCAATCCGCTGGCTGAAGACAAGGACCTTGGTACTCGAGATGAGATCCGCCTCGGTGAACTAGTGAAGGAAAAGTACAAGACCGACTACTACGTCCTCGACAAGTTCCCTGTCGATGCACGTCCTTTCTATGCGATGCCCGACCCTGATGACGGCCGTTTCACCAACTCCTTTGATATGTTCATTCGTGGTCAAGAGATCGTCTCTGGCGGCCAGCGTATCCATGATCCTAACATGCTCGAGGAGAACATGCGCCGTGTTGGCATCAACCCCGACACGATGGAGGAATACATGGAAGGTTTCCGCTGGGGAGCTCCGCCGCACGCGGGTGCTGGTATTGGCTTGGAACGAATGCTCATGCTCATTCTGAAGTTGGGTAATATCCGCCTCGCATCTCTCTTCCATCGCGACCCGAAGAGTTTCCCTGCCAAACCGCCCACCCTGCAACTGCGCCACCCCGAATCTTCTACCATCGACCCGCCATGGGTTAAGGAGAGGAGAGGTGCCGTGGCCCAGAGTGAAAATGAGCTGCAACCAATCGAGCACTTGATTGCAAACTACGGTGATGCCACTTCCACATCATGGGGTGATGAGCGGTTCAAGATCTGGCGTGACATGGCCACTGGTGCTGCTGTTTCTTACGTGGTCAGCAGCAGCAACTATGCCGTGATCCCCGGTAACCCGCTGTGTGATGCTAGACAATATGGCCGAGTCATCTCTCAGTTCCTGCAATGGTTACGTCGTGAAACCAAATACAAACCCATCTGGCTGCTTTGCTCTCCTGAAGTCGAGACTGTGCTCGGCGAGAAACTCGGCTGGCGCAGCTTGTCCTGCATTGCAGAAGAGGTGGTAGAGCCCTCGCGCAACCAAGCTGCCATGGATGGTGAGCTTGCCCGGAAGATTCGTCGCACAGAGAATGAGGGTATCAAGATTGTGGGCCTTAACCAGGGCGAAATGGTGTCTGAAAGCGTCCGTGAGGCGATTGATAAACGTATTGAAGACTGGAAGAACGGCCGCAAGGGTACCCAGGTACACCTTTCAGACATCCACCCATGGCGCGATCACGAACACCGCTGGTACTTCTACGCGGTCGACAAGGAAGGTACAATCTGTGCCTTTGTCACCCTGGTTCTGATTTCGCCCACCTACGGCATGCAGGTCAAATACACCTTTGACTTCCCCGGCTCTCCCAACGGTGTCATTGAGTCTCTCATCACCCACGCCATTCAAACAGCCGGTCGCTCTGGCGTTAAGAAACTCACCTTTGGCGCTGGAGCGACCAACACCTTGACCCCGGGCCACAATATGCACGGCGCCAAGATGAAGATGCTCCAGCACACTTACGACGCTCTCGCGAAGCAATTCCACCTTGTTCGCAAGAGTGAGTTCCGTGCCAAACTCGGTGCCGAGGACGAACCGCTCTACATCGCCTACCCTCCTCACGGCCTGGGCCAGAAAGGTATCCGGGCCATTCTGCACTTTTTCGAAGATTAATCGAAGAATCTATTGGAATCTCATACACCATTGTTGCATATGGCCTTGGTTTGTCAGATAGAGTGGCTTTGATATGATCTCTTTTCATTTGTTTGCTCATCATGATCTTTTCGATTATTCCCCCATCTGTTAGTTGTCAAGATGTCTTCCTGTTTCAGCTGGATACATGGACCCATACACGAATTGCTTCGATGCTCATGTCTTTATGAATAAATAATGCATTGCAATTTTGAAATTAATGTCTTTCTAAGAACGTTTGCTTTTTCAACAGTTATTCATTGAAGATTGCTCGTTTGATCTAGATCTACTAATACAAAGTGGAAGGATCATTGATTCTTACCTAGTGTTTGCCAGGTGCTCCGAAAGCTATCCACCCAGAGTAAGAACAGATGAGAATGTCTTGGTACGTAAAAACGTCCGCAGAACATACTCGAAGCCGTGCGAACTTTGCTGTAGTACTGTAACTAGGCGCTAGCTATGTGGCCGCAGCATCGTTTCTTCCCGAGCTCTCAGAAGGTTTGTCGTCCTCTTGCTCATCGGACCTTCTTTCCATCAGGCTGTTCGGCGACACCAGCCAAATTCACCACACTCGCAAACTCCCTAGCGACCCACCTCGCTATAGTAATTGCCAACAATGAGACAACGCCTATCCAAGCCGCTGTCGGGACCAGGCTCTTCGGAAACACATTGCTTAGAAACGGGTCGAGGATGATATCTGCCAGTACCGGTGGCACATTTTCCATCAAGTCTTGATCCAGCGAGAAATAATCTGCCGCGGCGGAAATGCGAAGGAATAGCACCGAGTCCGCATCTGAGTTACCACCTTGGCGACCGGGTATGGCCGCTGCAGACGAGTAGGAGCTTATAGAATCAAGAAGTGCACGGTCTTCTAAGAGTTCGGGTACGGTATACGTCGATAGAGTAAATGCGGTTGGTTGCTATTGTCGCAAAGTTAGTCCAGACAGGAACATACAAATTGTTTAGGGCTGCGTATGGTGAGAACTTACAGTGGCCAGCCAGCAAATGCGAACCTCGTACCGTTGTCCGGGGTTGAGGTTCTCGAGGAGATACCAGGAGTCCGTGCCACGGATTCCGACTTCTGTAAGGAACGAGGCATTGAGTCTCGTCCGGAGCATGCCGTTTGCGGGCGTGAGGCGTTCAAGCCCTAGATCACCGAGCGCTGGGTCTGGGGAGACTGCCGAGGGGGCGATGAAGATGGTTTTCTCGACATTGGCGCTGACGAGGAGCGAGAGCAGGAAGGTGACGTAGAGGTATAGAAAGAGCATCCTGAAGGTATTCACATGGTCCAGATGGCGCTTGCAAATGGACGGACTTGCTCAAATTCGGCCTTAAGATCTGAGCTCCGTACACTGTAGGGCCCGAGCCGGAGAAGTACTCCGTAAACACGCGGGATGTGAGATGTGATGCCTCTCAAATGGTAGTTATCGACCGACTCGCGTCATGACCACCGAGAGTACATGGTCCTGCTCAATGCGGACGAACAAATAAGCTCACGTAAAAAGCGTTGTCAAGGAGATCGTGTAACGTATTATTTGGTAGATCTAAGATAATCGAGTCGGGTTCGCGGGTTTGCGCTTCAACGGCGGACGGCCAGATTGCCCTGCTGCGTCAAGCTTCACGTGACTATGCTGCTTACTCATTCTTCACCGCCAGGAGCGACGCGGGTCTCTGGCACCCAATCACAGCGGTCGAAAGGCAACGCGACCCAAAATGGATGGACAACAACTTCAACAAGACAGCAAAAGAGGTTAAGTGACAGCGCATAGCGAAGAGAACAGCGAAAAAAAATCGTCCCCAGCAAATCGAATCGTCCGATCGGCCGAAATCCCAGGCAATTGCTTTTGCTGCTAAATCCCGCCGTTGCCAATAGTGAGTTCGCGGCGCTCCCACTGGTTCCAAGCGTGTTCAGGCTCGGTTGCCCCCCTCTGTTGTTCCCCCCCATATCTCATCCTCGCTTTTTGTGGTTCCCGCCTACTATTTACCCAACCCCTGAAGCCCGTCCAGAACTCCAGATCGTCCGCTGGGCCTAGTTTTCTGCTCTTCTTCTCGTTCTCCAATCTCTACCCTTTCCATTTCACCCTTTACCTCTAACCTCACCAACCCACACAGACAAAATGAGAGAAGTTATTAGCTTGAACGGTGCGTTTTGTGACCCGTGCCCCTTGATTGCCTGCTCTGCTAATTTGCCTTTGCTCTCTAGTCGGCCAGGCCGGTTGTCAGATCGCCAATTCCTGCTGGGAGGTAAATCAATCACGTCTTGGATACTTGAGGGGAGAGGGGAGGAAAAAATGATTGCCGTTAGTGGCGTGAAAATTTGGAGTGCTGACTTTTCTTGCTGTTTAGCTCTACTGCCTTGAGCACGGCATCCAGGTACGTGATCATTGGGGATTGAGATTAAGTCTCAATGCCTTTCTCTGCTCTTTTGATTGCCCATTGTGATGGTTTGGCGACGCGTGGTGCTGACTGACTGTTCAGCCCGATGGATACTTGACCGAAGAACGCAAGCAGGAAGACCCTGACCACGGATTCAGCACTTTCTTCTCCGAGACTGGTACGCATCAATAACACGCGACTTCTGACTACAATCGTGCTCTTCTGACACGCGTTTTGTATTCAGGCCAAGGAAAATACGTTCCCCGTACCATCTACGCCGATCTTGAGCCCAACGTTGTCGATGAGGTCCGCACTGGCACCTACCGCAGCCTTTTCCACCCCGAGAACCTGATCACCGGCAAGGAGGATGCCTCAAACAACTACGCTCGTGGTCATTACACCGTTGGTAAGGAGATGATTGACCAGGTTCTTGACAAGGTTCGCCGCATGGCAGACTCTTGCTCTGGTCTCCAGGGTTTCCTTGTCTTCCACTCCTTCGGTGGTGGTACCGGTTCCGGTTTCGGTGCTCTTTTGATGGAGCGTCTCTCTGTCGACTACGGCAAGAAGTCTAAGCTCGAGTTCTGCGTCTACCCCGCCCCCCAGAACGCTACCTCCGTTGTCGAGCCCTACAACTCTATCCTTACTACCCACACCACCCTTGAGCACTCCGACTGCAGCTTCATGGTCGACAACGAGGCTATCTACGACATCTGCCGCCGCAACCTTGGTATCGAGCGTCCCAGCTACGAGAACCTCAACCGCCTGATCGCTCAGGTCGTCTCTTCCATCACCGCTTCTCTGCGTTTCGATGGCTCTCTCAACGTTGATCTGAACGAGTTCCAGACCAACCTTGTCCCCTACCCCCGTATTCACTTCCCTCTGGTGGCCTACTCCCCCGTCATCTCCGCCGACAAGGCTTCCCACGAAGCCAACTCCGTCCAGGACATCACCATGTCTTGCTTCGAGCCCAACAACCAGATGGTCAAGTGTGACCCCCGCAACGGCAAGTACATGGCCACCTGCCTGCTGTACCGTGGTGATGTCGTCCCCAAGGAGACCCACGCCGCTGTCGCTACCCTCAAGACCAAGCGTACCATCCAGTTCGTCGACTGGTGCCCTACTGGTTTCAAGATCGGTATCTGCTACCAGCCCCCTCAACAGGTTCCCAACGGAGACCTCGCCAAGGTCAACCGTGCTGTGTATGTTTCCGTTTATCCCCTTGTCAAGGAGGAGTCAAAAGGCTAATATATGAACAGTTGCATGCTGTCCAACACCACAGCCATCTCCGAGGCCTGGTCCGCTCTCGACCACAAGTTCGACCTCATGTACTCCAAGCGTGCCTTCGTTCACTGGTACGTTGGTGAGGGTATGGAAGAAGGTGAATTCTCTGAGGCTCGTGAGGATCTTGCCGCCCTTGAGCGCGACTACGAGGAAGTTGCCAGCGACTCCCTGGAGGAGGAGGGTGAGGAAGTTGAGTACTAAGTGTAAAGCTTCTTTAACGATTCTGTTGGGAGCCAGGGTAGCCTAGATGATACGCTGGCTGCATGCAAATAGGAGAACTTGGCTTAGTACAGATTACTTGTGGCTTTTCTGTTGATATATCTTTAATATTCCCGAAACAGCGAAAATTTACCTCTCGTTGACTATTTATTTAATGTGGCTTCGATACAAAGTATGCAGTGTGGTGGTGGAATTGCTCGGTCTGTGGGTAAGCATACATTTAGGGGAGCATGGTTACCCACATACCAGAAAGGTATCTAATATCTATGCTCATTGAATGCGGAGTACACGAGAGCAATCATAATGGATCCCGAGCAAATTACATAGCTTCGAGCAAATCAGACAGTCGGTGGTGCCATTGTTGGGGTTTTAGACTGCATACTGGCCCCCAGGAACAGGAGGTCGAGGAGAGCGGCACTGACCGCCCTGCCAACGCGGCCCCCCTCGAAAGACATCACGAGTGGTTCTTGACCCAGACCAGACGCCTGCTCACTCCAACCAAGACCGCAATTCTAATAATAATTTCCCTACCTACTCCATTTCCCCCTTGGGAGCTTCTACACAAATTCTTTCTCATTTTGCTCTGCGTGGGCTCAACTAAGTGGCTTCCCTCTTTCGAACTCCGTACCCCATAGCTTCCATACCCCGAGACAGCTGTCGCCTGGTCCGTCCATCCATGCCCGTCTAGTGACATCCGTGACGGCCCGCTTCGTACAATCATTCCGCATATAACGTCGGATTCCAAGGAGGAACTTGCTCCTTGCGAGCTATCATAATGGCTGACAATTGTGAGTTCCGACCACCATAACCTGCCTCATTGCGGGGAGCCAGCCCTCACCCTCTCAGGGGACCGGATGGGGGCATGATGACGAACGGAACTGACGGACGGATGTTGCTCCCTTAACAGCGCGCCAACCGAGTCTGAACTTGACTCCTGAAGAGAAGCGAGTCTTTTACCAGCTCTTCCAAGTCGCCGATACGACAAACCTAGGCGTCATTACAGGCGAGATCGCCGTCCCGTTCTTCGAGAAGACCAAGCTTGCCCCGGAAACCCTCGGATTGGTATGTCGAAACCCCAGCTTCCGCAGCATCGGACGCCCTCCTCTAACTGTTGGTTTCATCTCGTCGGTACTAGATATGGCAAATTGCGGATAGGGAGAACAGGGGGCTTCTGACTCCCTCCGGGTTTGGCATCGTGATGCGATTGATCGGGCACGCCCAGGCTGGTCGCGCACCAACGGATGAATTGGCACTACAACGTAAGTGGTCTTACGGTCTCGAAAACTGCTCCTTTCAAGAAGCGATCCCGTATTTATGCGTCATGCTAATCAACTACAGCCGGCCCGTTACCCAAGTTTGATGGCATTCCGATTGATGCCGCTATTCCGTCTCCGCGCGATGCCGGTGCAAGCAGTCCACAACCAGCCTCTGGTCCCATCCGAGTCCCGCCTTTAAACCCTGAAGATATCAACAAGTTCGTTGCTCTGTTCGAGAAGTCTGACGTCGCCAGAAGCGGAACCATATCTGGTAAGCAAACATTAGCCCAAATAGTGTATCTCGCCTTCATTGACATGTGAATCTCTATTGTAGGTGAAACTGCAAAACAGATCTTCGAACGCGCAAGGCTTCCGAATGAGATTCTCGGCCGGATATGGACCCTAGCCGACACTAAGCAACGGGGAGTACTCGATGCGACGGAGTTCATTATCGCCATGCACTTGTTATCATCGTATAAATCTGGCGTTATGAGAGGAATTCCCCAAGCGCTGCCGCCTGGCCTATACGAAGCAGCCGCTCGACGAGGTGGCGGTCGGCCTTCTTTCAGTGGACCACGGCCTGGACTCGATGTTCCTCCTGTTCCCGCAATTCCTAAGCAGTTTACAGGTCCCCAGAGGACTCAGAGTCCGCTCAGCAGACAACAATTCGGGTCTCCTCTCTCTGCGCAATCGACGGGTGGTGACTGGCTAGTTTCTCCGCAGGAGAAGCTTCAGTTCGACAACTACTTTAACACCGTTGACACGACAAAATCCGGGCTTATTAGCGGCGACCAAGCTGTAGCATTCTTTACGAAAGCACAGTTACCCGAGGAGACCTTGGCGCAGATTTGGGATCTTGCGGATATCGATGCTGACGGCCAACTGACGAGAGATGAATTTGCCGTGGCCATGTATTTGATTCGCCAGCAGTTTACGAACAAGGGACCCTTACCTCACACTTTACCCCCCGCGCTGATTCCGCCGAGTATGCGTCGACCAAGCTCTACGCACGCGGCGCCGGTTCCTGCTCCAGTCCCTGCTCCGGCTGCAGCACCGTCCCACCCTCCTGCCCCCGTTCAGACTGCTGCGGATGACCTCTTCGGTCTCGACCCATTCGCAACCGGGCCTGCAGCCCCGGCCCCGGCTCCTGCTCAAGTTCCACAGTCAACGGGCAACTCGAACTCTCCTTTTGCAACACCGAGCTCACCACTCCACCCAAGGTCCCCACCGGGTACCGCAAACGCATTCAAGCCTTTTATTCCCACTTCAACCTTCGGTCAGAGTTTACAACCACAGGCGACGGGTGCATCATCCGTTCCCTCAACGTCTAGAACACCTCAACCGGCGGACGACCTTCTTGGAGATAACGATCCCGAAGAGTCTAACAAGTTGACCCATGAGACTACCGAGCTTGCGAATCTTTCCAATCAGATTGGCTCCCTCGCGAATGAGATGCAAAACGTCCAGACGAAGCGAAGCGCTACCGAGCAAGAATTGTCTCAAACTTCCCAGCAGAAACGTGACTTCGAATCTCGTCTTGCGCAGGCTCGGACAATGTACGAACAAGAGGTAAAGCATTTTAAAGCCTTGGAAGAACGCCTGAAAACCTCAAAAGCGGAGACGACCAAGCTGCAGTCGGAGTATGCTCTAATTGAAGGCAGCAGACAGGATCTGCAAAGCCAGTACAACCAGGTTTCTGCTGCCCTCGCAGCCGATCAGCAGGAAAATGCAAGCCTAAAGGAGAAGATCCGGGAAGCCAATGCAGCAGTCGCTCAGCTGAAGCCTGCATTAGAGAAAATTCGTTCCGAGGCACGCCAACAGAAGGGTCTAGCAGCTATCAACAAGAAGCAATTGGCTACCGTAGAGGGAGAACGGGATAAGATTCAAGAAGAGATTGATGACTTGTCCAAGGAGCAACCAGCAGAGCCCGAGAGGGTTGCGTCCCCTGTCAGCAATCCTCCCGCTGTTGCAAGCCCGGCTACCTCTACGACTAGCCAGCATACTAACCCCTTCTTTAAACGCACGATGACTGGCTCAAGTGAGAGCAACAATATCACTTCGCCGCAGATTTCGAACGATCAACAACGCGCCTTTGATAGTCTCTTTGGTCCATCTTTTGGTGCTGCTCCAGCAACGGCTGTGACTCCGCCTCCCCCGACCTCGTTCCGCGCCGACTCCCGAGCGGAATCAGCAAGGTCTCCATCCGGCTCTGGGGTTCCAACTCCTTCGATGTCCCCACCACCATCCTCTGCTGGAGCGTTCGGCTCAGAACCACCCGCGCCGGCTCTGTCCAGACAAATGACGCCGAACGCTCTTCCTTTGAGTGGAACGCTCTCTGACACCACTTCCACAATGGTTTCTCCACCAGCTAGTCGATTTGGTACTCAGGATGCATCTAGTGTTGGAACCCCTTCACAAGCCGGTGTCAGTGAGGCTCATCCTACCTCTACATCTCCTTTTGATGAGACAGAGGATTCAAAGGAGCGATTCCCAGCGATCCCCGGTGCTTTCGACACCCCTTCAGGAGCCACCACATCGCCAGGTAGTGAGGAGAAACCGATTGATGCAAAGGACCCAAGCTTCGACGAATTGTTTGGTGGGCCAGCTCATCAGCGGTCCAAGTCTCAACAAAATAATGATTTTGAAGAGGCCTTCGCTGCCATGAAGGGGCCGAACGCGGCCACTACAAACGGTGCGCCAGAGTCCGAGTTCCCACCTATCCACGAGATTGATGACGACGACGACGATGACAGCACCGATAGCGAAGCACAATTAGGCTTCGATGATAACTTCACGCCTGTTTTCCCCCAGAATCATGCGGCCTCGAATTCAGAACAAATCGAGCCCTCGCAACTTGCTGCTTTCCCAACTCCGGGAGCTGCCAGTACTCCATCTGCGCCGCCTCCTCCTGCCGAGTCACAACCCAGTCCTCCTAAGTATGACGAAGAAGCCGAAAAGCAGGCCCCAGGGAATATGCCACCGGAGTTCGGTGGCTTGCTCCCAGAGAGAGGTGACCCAACTCAAGCCCCAGATGCTCCTCATTCCGTAGAGACTTCAACCGGGGCGCCGATTGTCGGCGGAGCGGCTCAACATGAGGACACCAAATCATCTCCGTCAGCACAAGCTCCAAGCGGAAGCAAGGCTCCTGATTTTGAAGCTGCTTTCTCCGGGCTAAACCTCGCCCCTGCCAAGGAGGCGGACGACGATGATGATGATGACGACGATTTCCCACGATCTGAGGGCAAGCCCAACATGGATTTCGATTTCTCATTTGACTCCGCAGCCGCTCAACAGCAAAAGGCTGCTCCTCCCGCTAGCGCGCATGGAAACGTGAGCTCCGACTTCTTCAGCTTCGATCAAAATGCCCCTGCTTCCACGTCTTCTGGCGCTGCCAATCCCGCCGCCAAACCAGAAGACCATGACTGGGACGCGCTCTTTGCCCCGCTAAATAACATGAAATCGCCTGGTGCCGAGGCAACAAACGGAGCAGCGCCTTCAACTTCCTCTCCCGATCCAAAGCAGCCCGGCTGGGCCCTTCAAAATGAGACACAAGATGACCCGAACCTCCAGCGTTTGACGGGAATGGGCTTCCCTAGAGACGCCTCTCTTGCCGCCCTGGAACAATTCGACTACAACATCGACAAGGTATGTGACTGTTCTCTTTAAGCTCTGAAGGCCCTCGGCTGATCTCTTACCACAACAGGCCATCGATCATCTCACGTCCAAAGCGTGATTTTTACCCACGTTCACCATATCCAACCCCACCTACTCGGAAGGACGTCCTACTTTCCAATACAATCCAACCCGCCCTATCTATCAATGCACATAGTCTAATCCTCTCATTATCGAACCCATTTCCCTTTTGTCTCTCTCCTTCTATATTTTAGCCTTGCCATCACTTGACACTCTACGTTTCTACTGTATCTTTTTTTTTTTTTTTCAGTTCGCAAAGTGTCATGTACATTCATGCCTCCATCCCCTTGTCGTGGCTACCAATTCATAGCGGTCGATACTTCCCTATAAACTTACCCTACCTGTATGGCTACCACATGTAATCTAGGATCGGGCTATGAGACCGCGAGAACGCCGGAGTATCCGGCCGTTAGCTCTAATAAAACTAATTCGTATAACTGCTTGTCCGCGGGTTACGAGAAAGGCCGTAGATCTTATCGAGAAAACGTTGCGCAGGTCGTGCAAATATTGGTGGCTCAAAAGATGACCCCGATTGCAGGAGAAAGCGTCGAGTGATGGACATAAGATTGTGTGTTGATTGACTAGGGCTTCACGATGTGAATATTCTATATTCTAGTACTGCCAAATGCCAGCACTCTTACCACCCAGTTTCGAGAAGCCTCAGGCACGGGACGCATAACAATAGAATACGCCATACATGTTACTTGTCCATCCTCAACACTGCCCACGCTCTTCAAGGGGTTTATCTAGTTTATCTGCCTTCTGTGCAAGATCCTCCTTTTCAGCTGTTCTTGAATACAAGTCGTGTTGCAATGCTCGCCGCTGCAAAGCAACGACTGCTATCATAGTTAGCTCGGACCCAAACTGAAAGGCTGGCTGGAGACATTTACCGAGATCATCAAGAACTTGTTGAGACACTGATTTCCTTTTACGGAAAAATTTGCCGTGCATGATATCGTCAAAGGCTTTGGAACGCTGCAGCAGGAAGTAGACGCCGCCCATAACGCAAAAAACACCGAATGAAAATACCCAGATACGGATGATAGCGACGATTGATGTCTGTCCACCAACGAACCAGCCGAAGTAGCAGAAGAAGCTTGCGACCAGATCCACAACGAAGACTGCCGCTGCCAGCTGCCACGAGGGTAAAGAGGACCAGAACGGGCCATTGGCTCTGGTAATAAAGATCAACCAATTCTCAGTGAGGGAGATTTCGAGAAAGAGAACTTCGTCGCGTTTCCCGTAGTTTTGCACGATTCCTGCATGTTCTCCCGCATTCATCATTGTGGTCAGCGCAATCCACGTTCCTGCGGCGAGGACGATACCCAGTATGACGGACAGACCCCACAATTTTGGGAGATTCCATTTCACAGGGTCCTTGGAGTACGGCGCATTGTCGTAAGCTATTGCCAGAGTTGCGATATCTGCGAAAATTGCAATAAACACCACCAACTGCAAGTTCAGGCTTTCATTCATTGTGGCAATCCATAGACCAAGAAATATCTCGAGATGCAGAGACAACGCAATTCGATATATCACATATGCATGCATGCGATGGAATATCTGACGAGAAGTCTTTAGAGCGTCGATGATTGCTGATAGACCAGGGGCAAGGAAAACAATATCAGCGGCGGACCGGGCAGCGTCTGATGCGCCTTCCACAGCAATTCCAGTGTCTGCCTTTTTGAGCGATGGTGCGTCATTGACGCCATCCCCCGTCATTGCCACCAAGTACCCTCGTTGCTGCAGGATGTCCACGACGTTATACTTATGCTGAGGCCATACCTCCGCAAACCCATCCGCTGCTTCAACAAAGTTGTAGAGCTCAGAGCCGGTCATGTCACCGCCACCTCCAAGGCCGAGTTTGTCCGAATTATAGACGTTTGTTCCCAGCCCTAACTCACGTGAAGTTTCTCGGGCGATTGGTACAGCATCTCCCGTAAGCATTTTGATTGATAATCCCAGTGTTTTTGCTTCATTTATTGTCGCTGCGGTGTCGTCGCGTGGAGGGTCAGAGCAAGGCACTATCCCAAGAATCTCCCATTCCTTGTCCGCAGGTTTCCGAGCAACTCCAAGGGAACGGAAACCACGTGTAGCAAAATCGTCCATTTTAGCGGTATACTCTTCCTCGACGTCGCTTGGTATCTGCTGATCCTCGGAGACGGTCTTGAGAACCCACAAAGGCGCTCCCTTGACGCAGATGATCTCCTGGCCCTCCGGAGATACCACAACAGCTGTGACCTTCTTGGAGACTGGATCAAATGGGCGGAATTCGCGAACTTTGTATTGCGAAAGAGCTTCTTTGGCGCGCGGGTAATTGGGGAGTGCTTTGATAAACGCCCTGTCAATAGCATCCATTCCCTTCAACTTTCTTGAAGCGGCCAAGCAAGCAGTCAACATGAGGTCATTGGGGTCCACTCCAGTCACTGTATAAGGGTCGGACAGTGTTAATTTGTTCTTGGTTAGGGTCCCGGTCTTGTCAGAGCAGAGAACCTCTACTCCCGCCAGAGATTCTATTGCGGATAGTCTCTGTACTATCGCCTGCCTTTTGGCAAGATAGGCAGCTCCTACAGCCATGGTGGTGGTAACAACTGCAGGAAGACCAACCGGTACGCCGATCATTGTGATGGCCAGCGTGAATTCGAGGATAATGATGATTTGATTTGAACGGTAAAAAGACGACACCCAGACAACGATCAAGGTAAGCACCACCAGGACGAGAAGCGTAGCGCCGATATTGTTGAGTACCTCCGTGAAGTGGCCGGAATTTGACGATGCAGACTTGACCAGCGCCGCTGTTGTCCCCATAAACGTCTTATCTCCAGTAGCCGTGACAACGAGGTATGCATGACCACGCTTAACCACGGATGAGGCGTAGCAGACTTCATCCTTGCACTTGTTGACGGCTAGGGATTCACCGGTTACTGAAGATTGGTCGATCTGCAGTAAGAGGTTTGTCCTAACGCGGCCGTCGGCGGAGACAATCGTGCCCTGCCAGGAGTAAGCTTTTGTGGCGCTCAAAAACATCACAAAATGGGCATTACCTCCTCGATTTTCAAAACATCACCCGGTACAACTTCGGCGGCGTCTATTTCGCTTATTCGACCATCGCGGACCACGATAGCTTTGAGCGCCAAGGACTTTTTGAGCTCGTCCACTATCGACCCTGCTTGATATTCCTGGACGAAGCCGACAGTGGCGTTGAGAAGAAGTAGAGCGCAGATGACGCCAAAATCCACCCAGTCTCGTAACCCAATTGCTAGGACTGCAGCGGCCTAGAACCGATTAGTGCCCAGAAACTGTGGAAGTTGGGTTAGAATAGCTTTTGTGACTAACCTCCATCACGAACTGAACGGGGCCAACAAAGAAGAATAAGAACTTTTTGAACAAGTTCTCCTTTTCCTCTTTCAGCTGGTTGGGTCCGTACTTCTTGCGGCGCTGTGTGGCCTCAACTGTAGTAAGACCGGTTTTGATGTCGGTGTCAAACTCCGCCTCCGTCGCAGCAGATGTCTGCTCCCCAGGATCCAAACTCTTTCTATGAGGGCACCCGTCCAGAATCTCAAGCTCGTCGATAAGGCTGTCGATATCCTGCTCTCCATCTTCATCGGCATCATCATCGGTGCAGGTCATGGAAGGGATCTTTTCTGAAGATAAAAGGACAGTCTTCGCTTCACTGGTGTCCATTTCGCCAGTTCGCATAACAGCGGGCTGGGGAGCCCTGAAAGGGTTGGTCGAGTTGACGTTCGGAGCATCCATCGGCCGTCGAGGTAAAGATGCAGGCGTAGAAAATATACTCCGCCTCAAGGTAACAGTACAAGGCAAGTGAAGTACTTGAGGGCGGATGGTAAATTCAACATAACTCACAGACCGAGTGAGGCGCACACAGGTTCCGACTCCCAAGTCGTCATGGAAAGAGCTGGCAGTTATGGAAGGAAGGGCATAGCGACCGGAAAGGCGTCCATCGAAGCTTCCTTAACCTCCATACTGGACTCGCACTCTCGGCGTGGTCATCAATCGTCAACTATAATGTCAGTCAAGCCAGTGCGTTCGAGGCCACGCATCTGCATCTGCATATGTATATATCTGCGGAACAGACCCAGTAGTACGTGGGCAGGTATCGCATCTCACATCGAAACACCTCCTCAGACGTAGCCCTGACATTATTATCCGCGGATTTAAGGATACAGCCCTGTCTCCGGCCATACCAACGGACATAGGCCAGCTTTTATGGGAATGCCGAAGGAAAGGCGAAGCAGCGAGATGGACTGCAAAGACAAAAGAAACACTAGAAGGCAGTTTTGGGCGACTGGCCAACCAAAACGTAGGAAATGCTGACATAATCCGGTATCGACGTCACGGGAAGAAAACGCAGAGTTTCAATCTCAAAGACGCCCTTTCAAAGTCATCTCGAAAATATAATTCGGAGTATCGTGCAGGAGAATGTTAGCTGTCGAGTCATTCTTTCCGACTGCATTTCTCTAGGAGCAGACATGTTGGGTAGCCTGAGGACCGGAGACACATTTAATCAGTATGTATGCTCCGAACCCTAGCCACCAACACTGCCCTGACAGCCGAGCAAGTTGTTGCGAGCAAGTTGTGCTCTATATCCATCTTCGTGCTATATCTGTTACAGAGTAGTGATACTCTTCTGTTGTCAGACATGAACCGAGAAATCCCAGGGTTCTACTACGGTAATGATCCGAAGACTTTATTTTTGAAAATATCGCTGACTCGCGTATAGATCCGGAGAAGAAGAAGTACTTTGCAATTCAGGCAAACCACAAATCTGCCCCAGGATCTCAGTACTCCCAAGACGCTGTCAAGCGAAAACGCGCTGACCAGGAGGTTGGTATATACTTGTCTTTCGACCTTGTTTCTCGTACTGACCTTCCGCTAGAAACGCCAACGGAAAGCTCGCCTGGTTCAGAGGTACGAGAAGGAAAAGATCAAGAGAGCAGCATGCCTGCAACATCCTCTCCTTCAGGCCCAGAGGGAAGTTGGGGAGCCTGCTGTATCCAGGCTGGTCGATCACGAACAAAGAGGTTTGGCATATGCTAGCCAATTACGACGAAAACAGTTACATCAGTTCGAACCCTGGCCAGATCAATATACCATCAAGCATGTTGTGCGCAATCCGCGGTCCGGAATCTTGATTGCCAGTAAGCACTGCGCATGCATCCTTCGCCGTACTCAACCAGGCTGACCATACCCGCAGGTGGACATCGCGGCGGCGAGTCGTCAGTGTCGTAAGTTGAGCCTTGCCTCCGCGAGGACATGACATTGACAGCTGCTCCGCATCAGTGTTTGCTTCCCGGACTGTGATCAGGAGACATGGACGTACAATCGAACCATGGAGCGTCTGCTCTTCAAAGAACCATACAGGGTACGTCGGCAAGTCAGATTAACTGGCCCTCCATGGCGCTGATGCAGCTGCGCAGCTTTCATCACTCTCCTTGAGCCAGACTGGATACCTTCTGTGAGGATTCGCCTATCCATTTGCTCGCTCAACACGACTAATAAGAGCAGAGCGACGATGGACAGTGGTCCAAACGGCGACTCTTTCCTCGCGCCACGAATGCTCCCTGACCCTGATGAAGGCGGGGACTATCGATGGCCGCCATTCTGTGCGCAATGATCCCCTCCACCAACCACGCTCAGCCCTACTAACACGCGGAACAGTCTCTCACCCCATCCGCATCCACACCACCTCCTCCCTCTGGTGCTCCGCGCCATCCCCAACAAGCGACGTTCCCCGCTTCGCAGTCGGCACATCCGACGGCCTCTACACCCTAGAAGGCCTGGGAAGCTACTGGACACTTTCCAAAAAGCCTTTCCCCAGCGACAAGGCCTCAGGGAATCCCAAGAAACGCCGCACGGATTCATCTCATGCACTCATCACAGCCGTCGAATGGCTCTCTTCGGACGTAATCGCAGCCGGCCTCAAGGACTCTACTATCTTCCTCCACGATGTCCGATCTGGCGGAAGCGCAGCTAGACTCCAGCACCCTCATGCAGTAAAGAAGATCCGCAAGCTTGATCCCTATCGGATCGTTGTTGCCGGTATAAACTCGGTATGCACACCGTCTTATGCCCCAAGCCCCAAGCCCCAAGCCCCGAATCCCCATCCTCTCCGTCTGCTTGCCATGTTCATTCAATCTCACAAAAAATACCTGCACAGCTCCAAATGTACGACATCCGCTACCCCCCAAACAACCTCCAACGAAACCCCAACCCCAACAAAGCCAACCACACCTCCACCCGCCCGTACCTAACCTTCTCAACCAACTCTTCCGAAATAATCCCGGATTTCGATATCAGTCCTGAGCTGGGGCTTCTTGCTAGCGCATCCCCTACCGACCACGATCGCACAGTGCAGCTCTATTCCCTCCGCACCGGAGATCAGATCGTCTCGCCGCTCACTCGCTACCGATACCGGGACGCGATCCGATCCGTGTGTTTTGAATCCGGGGATCAGTCGACGCATGGACCGCAGACGCCTGGTTTGCTGGTTTGTTCGGAGGCGACGGTTGATGAGTGGATTTGGTGAAATCAGTCCTGACGGGCGGACGGAGATCAATGGTCGCCTCGTGGAATGAAACACAATCCTTGAACTACGAATGCTGAGATAGCGCATGATGGATTATGGACATGGCTCATGAGATATATGGATGGTCTTGCAGTGTTGGTTTGGTAAATGTATTGGTATTCAAGCAAGCCTTACCCGCAGGTATTTTGCCAGTACCTGCCTATTTATAACGCCAGATATGCATGCTATGGTTACATCAAAATAAGAAAAATGGAAACAAATTCGTAACAAGTACTCCGCCAAAAAGAATTCCTAATCAAGCCCACCAGCTAACCACTCCCCAACCTCAACTCCGATTCCCTTCGCCATCTCCCCAATCCAGTCGCCCGAGACATTCACGCACCATTTCTCTCCGACGTCCGCTGAGGTATTTCCGCTGTTGACACCTGCCGAACCCAGACCCAAGCGGCTACCGCTTGCACGTCCAGCCGCTGGGACAATTAGCCGTAGACGGCGTAACGTGGCGAGTTCAGAGTAGATCGAGTCTGCAATCGCAGTAAGCCGTAGCGGGTTCGCTGGCGGATTGGGATCAATAGCGTGGTATATCGCGATGAGTCGTTCTAAGGGGAAAGGACGAGCAGTGAGGATTGTTGATGGACCGGTGATACCGGGGCCACCGCCTGCGGCGGAGGTCGTGGCGGAGGTAGTAGCAAAGGCATTTTCGAGAATGGATTTAGTGATACGAGTCTTTGTCCGCTTGCCGAGCCCTCTTCGGCGTTTGGCCGGCGCTTGTGCTTCCTTGTCTTCTGCTGCTTGCGCTTGGGAGAGGACCTTGAGGCGGCGTCGGTGATGAGCGCGTTTGTTTCGCGCAGACAAGGATGAAGAGGAGAATTTTGAGAAGAAGATTGTGTCCAATCTTTGCGGAGTGTGAGAGGCTAGATATGCGGAGGTGAGAACGAGAGTAGCGAAGTAGGGTAGGCTGGGAAGAGGCGAAGGCGCGGAGACAGCTGATAATAGCGATGAGGGCTTGAGGAGTGAGCCATTCGCGGTGGTGATTGGAGCATCTTCCGTGACAATGCGATGGACTAGAGCTGCCTCGCCCTGGCGCCTAAATAAGGAACGATTTTTGACTAGAAGTCGGGAGAAGTCCCAGTCCTCGTTGCCGCCGGGCGGAGTTTCGCCGCTGGTGATCGGGGACACAAATTGCGGCCACAGTTTCTCGCAGATAGACTTGAACACCGTTATTGAGCTTGCTGTTGGGCCAACCAGGGAATCATAGACAGCGGAGACGAAGTAGGGGTACAATTGCGATGACGTTCCCACCGGTAGACCAAACACAGCCGGCGCCCCCGCGTTTAGAATGATAGTAGTTGCTTGCTCGCGAGTGTACGGTGGGAAGCTGATATGCGGGACACCTGTGGCCTGTAGGAAAAGCGGACGAGGCGTGGCACTGAGGATCAAGACGACGGAGAGGGATGGAATCTGCGAGGTGATGAACGGTTAGCGCATTTGCGACCAGGAGAGTCATCTTCCAACGTACCATTTCTCCCAGCCTTGCCAACGCAGACAGCAGTGTAGGCGGCGCTTCTCGCTGTTTATCAATCCCATCCAGAACCAAAACGAACTTCTCGACCGGTGTCCCAGGGTTCGAAGCGAGGCATTCGCCCAGCAGAACCGCAAGGGAGCTGACATGCTCGCATCTTCCTTTTCCGAATCGCTCCCATTCATCCTTGCGCCCCAGCGCATTCAAAGTAGCCCATAATATCTTTGTCAACAAATGCCGACCTGTAATGCATTCGGGACTCCGAACAATGGCGTGCGGTACTCCGAGGAGTGCAAGGACGTTGGTAACGATGGTTGACTTGCAGGTGGCGGATATTCCGTGGGCAACAATCGTAGATGGGCTAGAAATTCCGAGCTACGTGAAAGATGAGCGTAAGTTTGGGGGCTTTCCTGGTATGGTAGGGATCCTTTGGGCTGCTCACTGCAAGTAGACTTGCGAGCTGCCGCGATTGGACTTCCCGACAAGGCCATTGCGGGCTCAGGGACTGAGAAATCTCCGCCGGTAGCATCGGATAAAATCTGCCTGGGCTTAAAGCTCCGTATAGAGTGTACGCAACTGAAAACGTAACTTTGCCCCAGAAGTCTTGCAAGAGTTTAATCGAAACCACGCGCAGAACCGACAAACATACCCAGAGTCACGTGCTGATAACGAATCAAGATGAGAGCGGACTCGAGGTCACAGGTACTACTTTTGAATCGAGATTGATGTAACGAGTAGATTCTACCGCTATGGCTAGATGGTACATGGATGAAAGAAAAAATCAAGTAAATGCAGAACAAAGAGATCCAGAGAGACAGAAGATATCTTGGCTAGCTGTCTGAAGGTATGGATACATCTATTCTACCGCATGTTCTGGTGCCAAAACGGGGAGTAATGGTATCGGAAACGATAGGCGATTCATCCCAATACGCATAGAAAAAGATGTGGAAAGGCGAGGCAGAGATGGTCCTTGTATAGCAGCGAGACCTCACAAGGCCGGTTCTCGTTCTCCGTAAAAGCCAACAAACAGTTGACGCGGAGAAAACATAATCAGCAAAAAGAAAAGCATACGAAGCATCTCAAGTGTCATCGTCATCCGACGTAAACGAAAGCATTCAAAAAGTTCGTGGAAATACAAGACAGAATAGGCGTGGTATCCGTCAAGAAAAGGACCAGAAGATGCAACGTGAGTGCATAAAAGATAAAAAGGTCTTGGTATGGTATCAATTCCCCGATGCGACAGCGTGTCGAGGGGTAGCCGTTAAATCGTCAAAGATCGTAGCATCATGATTGTATGAGTACAGTTCAGCAGGCAGTGAACCAGTCAACCGTGGGCGCCGAGACGACGGATCAGTGGAAGTACGAAGCGTACTGTGGTTGGGCGCCGAGATTGCTATTCGGCTGCTGGAACCCGGCGGCATTATAGACACCAGAGGAGTTCTCGCCAGCACCAGACAGTGCGTTCGAGTTAGGACCGGCACCAGCCGTCGGGACGAAGATCTGATTTCCAAATTGCGCGCCAGAAACAGAATAAGAGGAATGTTGATACACAGATGTTGTCTTGTGAGACGTCTGCAATGGGCCTGGGGGAAGTTGGACCGAGTTCATTTCGTTCGGCGTTGCTTGGCCACTAGTCGCAGCGCTGCTCCTGCCGGAGTTATCTGCCGCTATCTTGCTCGCAATGCGGCGCCCGTGCGGGGTGTTGCGAATTGAAGGTAGGATGGGTTCGACGGCTTTAACAACGCGGATGCGAGTCTCAGGATCAGCAAAGTCTATGGCAGTCTGGACAACGTAGTTCGCGTAACCATCGCGAAGCAGTCTATCCAGTTCGCCACCAGTTAGCATTTCGTCAATCATGCGCCGGCGCATTCCTGGCTCCGCTGTTCGTAGACATTTCTCGATGACATTCGAGCTGAACTTCTGCCTTGACAAAGCAGGAATTCTCCCAAGGAACGCGTGGCAGAGAGGATCCGTGAAGTGGCCTTCAGCAAGGTCGAGGATATACTGAACAACGTAATTTCCAAAGGGATCGATCACAAGGTCGAAGGCATTGTTTGTTATTTGCTCGATCAAGCCTGCCCGCTGATCGCCCGACGCATGGTCTATGCAGCGCTGAAGAACGCAGCACCCATGCCGATGGGTGCCAACCTTCACACACTGGGCGCCGACTGCATCGTAGATGAACTGAGACTGTTCCGCAGTGAGGTGATTCAGGCACTTTTGGATGACATGATTGCCATTCAGGTCCTGAACTAGCTCCACAACATGGTCCTTCAACGCGTAAATTACCGCCTGTGTCTGCTCGGTCGTGGAGATGGACTCGATCATCTTTTGTAAAGCTCTGGTACCATGTTGATTCAGTGCAATCTTAACAAGTTGTGGCGCGGCGTTGTTAATTAAAGCGGTACGTTGTTCGTCATTTGAGTACTCGAGCAGCTTCTGGCATAGGTAGTTCCCAAAGGGATCTAGAGATGGTAAGGAGTTAGTCAAGCCGGATCCGTTGCATGAACTTGTGCGTTCGTTAGACGTGGGGAAGACACACCAGTCATGAGTTCAACTACGTAGCGATGTGTCTCCTCAAAGATCATCTGAAGATGGTCCGCATTGCGCTCCTCCAGTTTCCGCTGTAGATACCTACAGCCATGTTGGTCCTTGCAGAGGCCATAAATCTCGCCGCGATAATCTTCAATGGGATTGTTTGGGAAACGAGAGAGCTGAGTCGAGTCCCCGTCCGCGTTCCTGCGTGATCCCGCAGGTTTAGCCTGATTGTCTGCAAGACGGTAGGCGGAATTTCCGTAATACTGGTTGGGCGCGAACGAGGGCGGGGGGTTGTACTGCGCATTGACCGGCACGGGCGGCATGAATTGCGGCGCACCGTAATAGTACTGAGTATGGTAGCTGGTCAGTGGAGCCTGCGGCATTGTGGCATGACCAGAGGTCGCTACGCCGAGTTGAGGTCCGAATGGAGGAGCACTAGGCTGCAAGGCCGTAGGCTGCGATCTAGGTGGATACGGCTTGGCTTCCTCACGCTCAGGAGAATCTTTCTGCTGACGAGGAGTGACAGCGCCGGCAGGAATTCTACCTAAGCTGGAGTTGTGCTGGTGATATTGCTCAGCGTGCTTCTTTGGAGGGGTAATCGCGGGATCAAAGCCTTCACCCTTGACTGTTGGCAGATCATTGGTTGAGTATGAGGATTGCAGAGGAACAGGCCGGCCAGATGCAGTAGGAGTACTAGACTCATGGTTGCCGTCAGTGGAGTAGAGCACCTTGACTTCCGAAGAGGGTCTCGAAGCGTGTCTGTTATGGGCAGCAGAGTGGTGGGATTCGTCCGCAGAACCGTTGATATGACCCAGACGATACATGCTCAGGGCGTTCTGGGGCATACTCTGATGTGAAGTACGGTGGCGGCTATGAGTATTCCAAGATTCGGGGTTAGGCGTCTTGGAGTTGGCGAGATCTAAAGCGTCCGAATTCGCAGAGAGCTAGATAACTGGTTAGCGATCGAGTTTGGGGTATGCAATGCGGAGACGTCATCATAACTTACAAGGCTCGAGCCGTCTCTACGGGATAGAGTGGGAAATTTGTCGTCTGGTTCAGTCAACTTGAGGTAGCTCTTGATGTCGGGAGTAGGAATCCTGTCTTCGTCCTTCAGAATTGACCGGTCGGCGTCGCTGTGGAGGAGATACTTGGCCGTGTTGAAGGTCTCAAGAGCAGAGGAACTGTTGAATCCAGAGGTGGGCATGGAGTAACGATGAATGCTATTAAAAACCAAGTTCAGCAACACAGGTCATTTCCATTGACCACTGCTTCAGTGAAAGGTTGAGAGTGAATAGAATGGGGTAATATAGGTTTTGTTGGGAAGGGTTGTGACATGAGGTGAATCAAAGAGGAATGAATGTTGACAAAAGGAGGACAATAGAGAAATCCCTCAATAGGCAACAATAGGCAACAATAGGAATAGGTACTTACGAGGGCCCTGGACGGAAGGGAGATGTGGGCTCGTTTCCAAAATCCTCCTTCTCGGAGTTTCTACGAGATCCTGGGACAGAATGAACGGCGAAGCGATTTGTTGGGGTCTGAGCTGAGTCGCGATTCAACTGACTTGGAGGACTGGTGACTGAGGAAGCAAAGACGTTGAAGAAACCCGGAGATGAGGTGACACTGGAAGTTGAAAAGCGAGTCGGGCGAGAAAAGGCTCCTGGAAAGCCGTTGTCACGATACTCTGGGGGAGTCGTGGGCTCGCTGACCGGTCCGGAAATACCAGCTTTGGCAAGATCCTTAGCTAATTGATTCATTTCCAACTGCTCTCTCTCGTGTTGCAAGTCAAGGAGCTTCATGTCTTCCTCAAACCTCCGCTTTTGCTCACGCATGTACTCAATGTGTTGCCGCTTCTTTTCAAACTGGAGATCAATGAGTGGTAGTTCAAGCTGTATGAGGAATTATGGGGCCAATAGTGAATGATGAACAGCGGGAAAGAGGTGATTCCAGAAGGGGTCAAACTGAGACAAGAAAGGAGAGAAATAACAATAGAAAGTCTCAACAGAATGAGGACAATGTGAGTATAAAGTGGAGTGAGCTGTGGGGGCTTATTGAGGACAATAGGCTGCAGGACAATAGCCTCAACAAAAGAGCCTCAACAATACCCCGCAAGCAAGGCATGCCGCGGAACACGGTGGTAGATAGTGCGGAGTATGGGGCATATATGGAACCTGGAGTGCCGAGCTTACCGAGGAGAGCAGATCTAGCGCATCGGGCATCTGAGGAGCGGGACCGACATTGTTCATGTAACTCCAAGAGGAGAGCTTGCTTGCATCGGTTGTAAAACGACGTTGAAGATTTGAACGAACGTCGCTCGAGGGCCTCGGGAAGGCTGAAACGAAACTCGAATGGCTTGGGGAAAGCGACGAGTAGCCAGGGAAGGGCGCCTCTGACGATGGAGGCGAGCGGGGAGAGGGAAATCGGAGCTCATCGAGACGTTCACTTAGTCCGTTTTTAAAGGCCATGATGGGCAGCCGCGTAGGGGACGATATTTATCACAGGACTATACACTCAGGCCAAGGGGAGGCAGCAGTCAGCTATGTCATGGTACGTTACGAACGATGGAAGAAGCGAAGCGTCTGGGAGCAAGAGTAGAAATGTCTGGACTGAGGCGACGTTTTGCAAGCACATTGGGGGCTCGAGATTAATAGTACAGGAATCGAAGCCAGCAGCGAGTGTGTGATTGTTGGCGGTGTGCCCTCTCTATCAGCGACTCATGTAAGGAGTCAAGTCCAGAGGGGCGGAGGGGTGATTTGGCGAAGCGAAGCTCGGAACAGAACAGCGACTCACCCACAATGAACGCCTCGATAGTTTGAGTTTCAGGGACGGGAAGAGACTTTGGATAGCCGCTGGTTGCCTGAACACGCAAGTAAGGACTGTCTGGAGGCGAAACCGCGAGCCCTTCACGCACTTTGGCAGTGCTCTTGAAAAATGCGGAGATCTCTCTGACGGTGTCTGAATCACCGCGTGGACTCTGGCCGGGACGCGCCCTCCCGTGTCGAGAGCGCCGAGATAGGGATAGCGATAAACGAATGGAAGTATATAAGGGAAGAATATGGCGGACAGGACAGATAGGAAAGGAAAAATAACTGTTATACAAGTGGCATGGGCTCCAAAAGAAAGGAGGGAGAGCAGAGACGAGGAGGGAGGGCGAGAGGGGAAAAGGAACGAAGTGGGCGGCGGCTGGGAAACCAAGCGGGGAGCGCCAGAGTGACTCGGTTTGCGCTCATTTAGGCAGTGCTCGCCCTGAGCATAGGGACGACTACGGCCAAGGCGTTCTTTCTCTTACCTTATCGTTGTTCCTTTCTTTTTCCTTTTCTTCTTTTTTTGTGATCTCTCCTTATTTTGCTCCGTAGACTAGCCTGTGCATTTGCTAATCGGGTCCTTGGGTGATGGCCAGAAAGTACCTTGGTCACAGTGATCTAGTCAATAATGATCGTGATAGTCGCTAATCTATGAAGGACGTGCTGTATACACCAGGCTGTCTATCTGTTCATAAATGATCGCCAGTAACTCAGATGGCAGATGAGGGATGGCTCGGCGAGATTACTCCGTACTCGGCATCTACCTGCTCTTGGTCCTTCTCGAATGACAACTCTCAGCACTGCAACACTTGTCGCGGAGAGATACCCCTGTCGCTATCAATGCTCCGTGCCTCGACAGACGATAATCCAGCTACTAGGGATTGTGATTGTGATCAGTGCGTTGGGACGCTGTCTGTTGGATGGGTCTGTTTCTAAGCCCAGGCTGATGAGCTGTCTTGCCTTTGCCAACCCTCCAGTCGATCATTCGGTTTCGATGGATCAAGAATTGAATCTTCCTGAGCGGTCGATTGTGATTCGGCTAAGCGCTGCTAGTGGTGACTAGGCCGGGGAGCTTCATGCATTACTTTATTGGGGATAGAGTGTCCTTCAGGTGTCCAGGTCTAGACAGGGATCATGGAGTAGATCTCCGAGCGCTCTTCTTTCTGCTGTGAGGAGACGTTAGATGTTTCGGCAAGACTGGCACTTGACGATGTTTAGTTTTGACCACTGCTCTCGCCAGACTGATGGTAGTTTCTGATGCAGACAGACAGGATCGTTCCTGGACTTGCTGGGTGCGATGTGCCGGTCGAGAGCATAGCCGCTGCAATTGTTTTTGCAGCGACTGGGCCCCCGAGCCCCCGAGCCCAACTTAAGAAGACGTGACGGCGGACGCGATGTCACTACGGAGTGCTCCGTATGTGTGGGAGACCTGGGTCAGGAGGATGCAAGTCTTTCCATCACCTTACACAAAGGCAATGGAAAGGGGCGTGCGGAGTGCCTGGGCCTGCTTACTGGGATGAAGATCGGGGCCAACCAAACATCGGATGGCGTACCGCAAATTCAGCTGCTACGGATTGCCACGCGCAAAATCCAAAAGTTCGCGACAAACATGGGTCCGCTGAGGGGAAACTGAACCGTATCGTCATCCGGAATCTGGATGGTCCTTTGCAGAATGCAGACACTGAAGGCAGGAGATTGGAAGCATCGAACATTTCGTTGATGGAATTCAGGTCCGAGCTGGAAATAGCGTCGGCGCTTCAGACATCGGAGCAAGAATGGTTGAACGGGCACAGACGATTGTCTCATCACAAACTGATGCAATGGCTTGCCACTTAGTTTGAAGCCATTGGAGATGGAAGACCAGCTTGACCAATGTGGGCTGCTGATTGGCGCGGCGAGAGAGAAGCGGTGTACAGTCGCAACTGTGAGGCGAGACTGCTCTGGCTAGTGATTATCGCACTAGAACCTCTTGTCACTCCAACCAAAATCTGCAGGCTCTGAATCTCGTGCTGGATGTGGGACGAATTGCTGCATGCTTGAGAGATTCGTGGAGTTATGGTTGTGGACAGGGACTTATCGCTGTTATCGATAGGCGTTGCGCGGTACCTATGCGCTGATAGCAGGTCGGCCAAAAGCCGATGACGATCCTCCTAGCACACAGGAGTACATCATTTTCACTTTGGATATCAAAGCATCAGTAGACAAGTCACAAAGGACTCGATGGCACGGGAAGCAGTCACCCGTAGCGGCGCAGCTGGACAAAGAACTTAGAGAAGCTCGTTCTTTTCTAGCCCCGTCATTGGCATACACACCGGTAGGTAGATAATCTCCGACAGCCAACTCGGACTGCTCCTACATTTGGGAGTTGGGACCATCTATAAGCTACGGGGCAGACACGATTCCAGGGCCGAGTTTAATTAACCCAATCAGCAAAAGCCACTTTTCTCCTACTTCGACCATCGAGCCGGCTCTGCGATGATTATCCTCAATGATGCTGGGATAGCTTGCCGTCAACCGCTGCGGTGAGATAGCACCAGTAAGGGGGGCCTTTGCCTCTGAGTACGTATCTTCCAATCGGGCAATCAGCTACTTAACAAAGGGAATCATGGGCCTCTTCTCCAACGCCTGGCTGCCTGGCACCTCAAGGGACAAAGAGACCTCCTCATGGAGCCTGCAAATAACAACCTTCGGTTGGCTCAAGCATTATTCTATCGCGGAGTCCGGAGGCTTTACCCGCCAGCCAACCTTAAATTGCTCCACTTGATGTCAAAGTGGACTGAGATTCGATTCCGTAAGACGGGTGATATGCTTGCCGATGGTATGCGAGAGAAGTGTCTGAGTCCTACCCCAGTAGATACCTACGTCTCCTCCAACCCCGGATCTGAGGACTAGCCCTAAACACATGCGCCCAACCGCTTGCACGCTCTTATTTGATTCTGTCCACATGCCCTTCTTGAAAGAAACTCGTTGTCATCTCGGTTACGTTGTCCAATTATCCACCCACTTCATATCTGCCAGCAAATACCAGAACTAGCCCTAATGCGAGTAGGGTTCAAGATTAGGCACGAATCGAACGGTCCTTAAGTTGCGGTCAGAGAGCAACCATCGCCACGGGTACCACGGCGTCTTCCATGCATTCGGGGCCAGCACTAATACTATTATTCCAAGGTTCTAAACTTCTAGTAGTTTCGGGGTGCATTTGTAGAGTGAGTACCAGTTCTAGCCCCCCGATTTTCATTGTCCTCTAGCCTACTAGGTGGCCTGCCCATTCTGCATCTGGTCTATATTGTCCTAGAACCTAGGGATGCACTGCGCTTGACAACTGGCAGTATCAAAACACATATCCGGGACGAATGGTGTCTAGAACCGTGGAGATTCATGGTCCCTCCTTGCTGCCCACGGTTCCCTGTTGATGAAGCTTTGCGGAGCGCGAGACGGCTCTTGGTGCTGATTATGGCCTTTCATATATGTGATGATCGAGCTCGAATCATAGAGCCATGGCTATTGCCTTGGTACTGTATTTTGCAATAGCTCAAGCTATACATCTGGCCCCGGAATGATAATCCCCCAGGATTCAAAGCTCCATCTAAAGCGGATTGCATGAATCATGCAGCACCCACAACCATAAAGACCGCGGATAAGTTGTGTAAAGTATGGAGAAGCGTCTAACGGCGATGAGACATAAAAGTTGTCCCCCAAAACAAATCCTCATACTCATCGGGCATCATTTTGCAAAAGCTTCTGCGAGACGCGTATGCAAGTGAGGCGTCGATGCGTCGATGCCACGATGGCCGTTTAACGATCCCACCTGCAGTTATTATCAGCTGCATCCGCGCAGTGCTGAAGGTGCTGCATATTCCGATGAGGTGACGTACATCATGCGGTGCACAATGAATGTATCATTAATACGGAGTACCTAGTTACTAGAGTGTCTATTTTTTTCCCTGGCTTAGTACACCACATGCTGCTGAACTTCCCGTTGACTTGTATAATGTCCGGGCTATCATTCACTCACTGCTCGATTAGATGGTCGAAAATCGCATAGCTTTCCAATGTTGTTGATGTGATGGTTGAAACTTGCCTTCTCGTGCCTTGGAAGATGTTGAGAACGCGCCTTATCCATATATTGTAGGGCTAGTGAGGTTCAGACGGCCCCGACTACTTGTACTGGGTGCTTGATCCAGTCACTCCTCTGAGTACGGTAAACCCATGTCGGAGACGTAGTAAATCGAGGCAAATGTACCAAGCGGGCGTCATTCTACAGAGCTCTTACCAAGCAGGCATGTGCGCCGGGGCCGGGACCACCTGTAGTATCATGCCCGGCGAGAGGGATATCCAAGCGTGCCTTCAGTATGGAATGTGGCTCAAGGAGACACCTACCCTAGTATAAACTACCTACGCCAAAAAGACTTTGTTTGATGGGTGGATGTTGCGGTTCTACTAGGGTCGAGTTATCATGCATGCTATTATCTATTACTAAGGCTGTGTGGAGGGTGTAGCTCACGTTGGTATTCGGACTTTCTCGTGATAGCCCTAATTAGTCCTATCTACAAATTTATAGAACCTCACAACCGATGTTCCCCTCGAGCCGCCGTCGTATTTCGTAGTATAATTACCCGAGTCTCATAATAGCCAGCACCCGACGATTACGCAGATGATCGAGTATTCCTTGTTGGAAGCATGCCAGTTGACTCTATCTCATGGAAGAAGTCCCAATTCCGCTCGGACGACAAGCCATCGGCTCGGCGTTCCTTCAACAAATCGAGATCGGTCCATGGCGCTGATCACGGGAGCCCTACCGTAAGCTACGGCCAGGGTAGACTAAGTACTAGTGAGTCAGTGACAGTTTGCTCCGAATTAGCGGCGCTACCGTAGCTATCAGCGACCGGGGACTTGATCCTCCGGCTTAGTTACCGCTTGAAGACAGCCGACGTTGCGATACTGCAGGTTAGATGGCTTATCGTGACGGCTATATTACATTGTATAATGTGAATGCGGGGGTAGAAGTTTCCTATAAAGGAAGTCATCGTGTCTTGTGAGTGGGTAGGCCATTTAAAGGAGCAATGGATGCCTATTATGACTCAGGATTGAGACCTCGTGAATACCTTTCGCCAGCTCAGCGTGTCTGGAGCGATCGAAAGTTGGAAATTTCTAATCTAGGTGGGGGTTGGAGTGGAACCGCTCACGTTGCTGATGTACTGCGATCAGGAGGGTCCGAGTTGGAGAGTTCAGGGTCGGGGTATAAATCTCTTGCCCAACATCATGATTTTTGTGTGTTATCGTGTCTCGTCTTCAGAATATACTTATAGCCGAGCTATTACTGTGTTCGACTAAGTAATAGAGTCGAACGTTGAGCACTGAAGATTCAATTAGGGCACCGAAATGATGGAGCACCTTCGTAAACCGCCTCGATATGTTTTCGCTAGCATTTTGTGTTCGTGTGGAGGCCTGCTCTTTGGGTAAGCAAAAATCTCCTAGAGTCCATATCTCTGGCTGACTCGCTGTTCTGGCAGCATGGATACTGGAATCATTGGCCCTGTGACAACAATGGATAGTTTCGTGGAGAAATTTGGGAATCGATCCGCAACAATACACGGCCTACTTGTGTCTTCCATACTCATCCCTGCAGCTATCTCTTCGTTCTTTGCTGGGTATCTCGCAGACAAGTTCGGCCGCCCTAAAGGCATTAGCATAGGAACCTTGATCTTTGGTCTCGGTGCAGCCCTCGAGGCTGGAGCTGTCCACGTTTCAATGTTCGTCGTTGGACGCTGCGTTGAGGGAATTGGTGAGGGCCTATATCTGGGCACACTGGTTGTGTACGTGGGAGCTGTCTTGTCAAACGTATGGAACCTTTCTGACTGCACATAGGTATATCTGCGAGATTTCACCACCAGGTGTCAGAGGGGCTTTGACAACTGGTCCTCAGTTGCTGATCACCTTGGGGCTTGTGATAGGATTCTTCACATGTTATGGGACTGCGCGAATCCAATCCTCAATGTCGTGGCGGACACCGTTCCTCATTCTAGCTTGTCTTTCACTCCTGTTTTCCACAGCCGCGCTTCTCTGGCTCGTCCCTTCTCCAAGATGGCTCACCATCCATGGTCGTAAGGCGGAGGCCAATGCAGTCTGGGATCTACTTGGCGTTAGCCACGCGGAGCGCGAAAAGAGCGAGATAGAACAAGACAGAGGTGCCGTGATCCAGGGTCCGGTCTCTCAAGACGTGGCCGTAACCAATGTGACTAGCATGGATGGTGCTGTTGCAACTGAAGTTGGCGACCGTTCTATAGAGCACAAGCTTTTCGATATTTTTTCCAAGGATGTCCGGTCTCGTACAGCCCTGGCTGTGTTTTTGATGGCAATGCAGCAGCTCAGCGGAATAGATGGTGTTCTATATGTGAGCCGGGCACCTCAATTAGCTTTGATAAACAGCTGACAAACTCCTTTAGTATGCACCTTTGCTCTTCGAGCAAGCAGGACTTGCATCTGCAGATGCCAGTTTCTTTGCGTCCGGCGTTTCAGCCCTAGTCATTTTCACCGTGACAATTCCGGCCCTAATTTGGGCGGATAAATGGGGCCGTCGACACAGCGTCATATACGGCGGCGTGGGAATCAGTCTAACGATGTTCCTCATGGGCGCACTCTATGCAGGAAACGCGGTGCACAGCTCCACCGGTGCGGGTCGCTGGGTCGTTATTGTCTCCATCTATATCTTCGCCGTGATATTCTCCCTCAGCTGGGCGGTTGGAATCAAGATCTATGCGGCCGAGATTCAGCCACAAAGGACCCGCGCCTCAGCAACGAGTCTAGCGCACGGAAGCAACTGGGCAACGAACTTCCTTGTTGCCCTTACAACCCCGATATTGCTGTCTAAGAGTAGCTTCGGAGCATACTTTCTTTTCGGCGGGTGTTCTTTGATCACGGCTGCGGTTTGTGCTTTCTATATGCCCGAGACCAAGGGCCGATCATTGGACGAGATCGAGGACGCATTCAAATCCAGGTCGACAAGTTCTTGGTCTTTCATGAAGGCTATCCGACCGCTTTCTCGAAGAACGCCTGAAAATATCCGGATGGCTGTGATATGATTGATCTGCCCATGGAGCGCGAATGTAGCTGGCTTTAGACATCCTCAGAGCTAGTGGTGATCCGCTGCAGGAGGAAGCACTATTCAAATATCAACATGGCCAAATATATTCAAGCTCTGAGACACAAGGCTCAGACCAGGCATTAAATGACTAGTATCTCGATGAAGTCAGGGAATTTGTATGCGTCTCGCCGATGCGGACTAGTACCTATATATTTGTCAGCATTTTCTGCACTAGCCAGAATGGAGAGCTGCCAATTACATAATCACCCCTCCTGCAAAAGGCAAATCATCGGCAATTTTTGGATCTTTTCCCCTCGCCGATAAGAAAGAAATTGCGGTCTCCCATCTCGTCTGCCATGAACCTCCACTGACCCTGCGCCATCTCCTGAGAAGCACCGCTCTTGCTAGTACCTCCACATCCAACCTCTACTAATAGGGATGCCGCCCAGGAAAAGGGCCGTAGCTCCGGCCAGCGTGCGAGCTGCGCAATCAGAGGTATGACTCCGCAAATTCCGGGCGCGCTTTTTTATGCTAAGACTTGCTACAGGGTACCGGTTCCACCAAGTCGATAACAGAAACCGCACGGCGAAAACGTGCCGCCCAAACCAAGGAGGCCAAGGAGGCAGCGATTTCCGAGCAGCCAACGCAGAACGGAGAGGACAATGCCGCCGATGCAGAGGAGACCGAGCCAGTGCCCGAGCCGCAATATCCCTACCGCCACCGCGATCCCTTTGATGCGCTTTTGGAACCATTCTACTACAATAAATCCCTGACCGATCCGATCAATACCGCTAAGGATAAATGGAACCTGTTGCCCGCGTTTTTGAAGGTCAAGGGTTTGGTAAAACAGCACATCGACTCATACAACTACCTTGTCGAAGTGCAGTTGAAGAAGATCGTCGAGTCGAGCAATACAATTCGCAGCGACGTTGACCACAACTTCTACATAAAGTTCACCGACATCTACCTTGGATTCCCTCGCCGAGCGGACGAGCCGCAGGATGTCCGTACCGAGTTCGAGGAGTCAACCGTATCTCCGCACGAGTGCCGACTGCGTGATACGACATACGCAGCACCGATCCAGGTTGACTTTGAATATATTCGTGGCCGTCAAAGGGTGAGGAGAAAGGGTGTCTCCATTGGCAGGATGCCGGTCATGCTTCGCAGCTCGAAATGTGTGTTGGGCAACAAGACTCCGGCCCAGATGTCGGTGCTCAACGAGTGTCCGCTGGATCCTGGTGGATACTTTATTGTCAACGGGACAGAGAAGGTTATCCTTGTCCAGGAACAACTGAGCAAGAACCGTATCATCGTCGAGACAGACCCAAAGAAAGAGATTGTCCAGGCGTCCGTCACAAGGTAAGGGATCGAGTTCTAGCGGGGGTCGCCTCTTTATCTAACCATCCGTTTAGTTCATCCAACGAGCGAAAGTCTAAGAGTTATATCATCTTGAAGAAGGACCGGTTATACGTCAAACACAACGTGCTTAGCGAAGACATTCCCATTGTTATACTACTCAAAGCTATGGGGATTCACACCGACAAGGAGATGATGCTCCTGGTTGCTGGTGTCGACAAGGTTTACCAGGAAGACTTCGCCATCAATTTCGAGGAGGCTATCAAGGTCGGTGTATTCACGCAGCAGCAGGCGCTTGACTGGATTGGCTCTCGCATCAAGATCAACCGAAAGCAGATGTCTTACCGCCGAACCCATGTTCAAGAGGCTGTCGAGGCTATTGCCTCCGTCATCATCTCGCACATTGAAGTTAAAGACATGAACTTCCGCCCCAAAGCGATTTACGTTGCAAACATGGCCCGGCGTGTGCTCATGGCGAAGAATGACGCGGCGCTGGTTGATGACCGTGATTATCTCGGAAATAAGCGGCTGGAGTTGGCTGGACAGCTGTTGGCATTGCTATTCGAAGATCTCTTTAAGAAGTTCTGCTTTGATATCAAGATGAACATTGACAAGGTCTTGAACAAGCGCAATCGAGTTGAGGCCTTTGATGCGTGGAGTGTTATTGGCATGCACAGCAATCATATCACACAGGGAATGAACCGAGCAATCTCGACGGGTAACTGGAGTCTTAAGCGTTTCCGCATGGAACGTGCTGGTGTCACTCACGTGCTCAGTCGACTGAGTTATATTGCTGCTCTGGGAATGATGACGCGTATTAGCAGTCAGTTCGAGAAGACGAGAAAGGTCAGCGGTCCTCGTGCCTTGCAACCCTCGCAGTTTGGAATGGTTTGCCTGGCAGATACTCCGGAAGGTGAAGCATGTGGTCTCGTCAAGAACCTTGCCCTTATGACGCACATCACTACAAACGACGAAGAAGGCCCGATCAAGAATCTTATCTTCATGCTTGGCGCAGAGGATATCGAAACCGTCGGTGGAAAGGAAATATACGCGCCTGGCAGTTATACCATCTCAATCAACGGTACGCCAATGGCGCTGACCCGGCGCCCAAAGTACTTCTTGAACGCATTCCGACGGCTGCGCCGAATGGGTAGAATCTCCGAGTTTGTCAGTATTTACATTAATCATCATCAGCGTGCCGTGCACGTAGCAACTGACGATGGGCGCATTTGCCGGCCGCTCATCATTGTCGAAGGCGGCAAGTCGCGCGTCAAGAAACATCATCTCCGCAAACTGCGGGATGGAACGATGCAGTTCGACGATTTCCTGGCGCAGGGCTTGGTCGAGTATGTGGATGTCAACGAGGAGAACGACTCATTGATCGCCATCTACGAGAAGGACATCTCTGATACTACAACACACATGGAAATCGAACCTTTCACGATTCTCGGTGCTGTCGCTGGTTTGATTCCTTATCCTCACCACAACCAGTCCCCGCGTAATACCTATCAATGCGCTATGGGTAAACAAGCGATTGGAGCTATAGCATCAAACCAGTTCCTCCGGTTTGATTCCATCCTTTACCTTATGGTTTACCCACAAAAACCCATGGTCAAATCACGCACAATTGAGTTGACCAAATATGATCAGCTTCCTGCTGGTCAAAACGCCACTGTTGCCGTCATGAGTTACTCTGGTTACGATATTGAGGATGCCCTGGTCCTGAACAAGGGCTCAGTCGACCGCGGCTTTGGTCGCTGTCAGGTTTTCCGCAAATATGTCACCAACATGAAGAGTTACTCCAACGGCACAAAGGACATCTTGACCCCGCCTACATATGAGAACGATGCCCCAATCCGCAAGCACGCGCTTCTGGAAAGTGATGGTTTGGCAGCCGTAGGAGAACAAGTCAATGCTGGAGAGGTTTACATTAACAAGTCCACGCCAGATCAGTCGATGTCCTCTGGGATGCCAGGTTCCGATGCAGGTCGGCCAATCAGCTACAACCCTACCCCGATGACCTACAAACTTCCTGATCCTGCCTACATTGATAAGGTTATGGTTTCTACCACAGAGAACGAGAACCAAATTATCAAGGTACTTACACGCCAAACTCGACGGCCCGAAGTCGGTGACAAGTTTTCTTCGCGTCACGGTCAAAAGGGTGTCACAGGTATCATCGTCGACCAAGCCGACATGCCCTTCACAGACCAGGGTATCAACCCGGACATTATCATGAACCCTCACGGTTTCCCCTCTCGTATGACAGTCGGAAAGATGCTGGAGCTCGTCGCCGGTAAAGCCGGCGTTCTCTCTGGGCAGCACGGCTACGGAACATGCTTTGGTGGCACACCTGTTGAGCAGATGACCCAGACCCTCATCGACAAGGGCTTCAGCTACGGTGGCAAGGACTACCTCACTTCCGGCATCACAGGCGAACCACTCCCCTTTTATGTCTTCACGGGACCGATCTACTACCAGAAGCTGAAGCACATGGTTCAAGACAAGATGCATTCACGTGCGCGCGGGCCCCGCGCCACCCTCACACGTCAACCAACAGAAGGTCGTTCCCGCGATGGTGGTCTGCGTCTGGGAGAGATGGAGCGTGACTGTTTGATCGCTTACGGAACCAGTCAGCTTCTTCTGGAACGCTTGATGATCTCATCCGATCGCCACGAGGTTGATGTCTGCGAGCAGTGCGGCTTCATGGGTTACCTGAACTGGTGCCAGCGCTGCAAGTCGTCCAGGAGTGTTGTGAAGATGGTCATCCCCTATGCAGCCAAGCTGCTTATCCAGGAATTGATGAGTATGAACGTTACGGCTAAGCTGAAGCTCGAAGACGAGTTCCCTGAGAACAAGGGGAGATGATTTTAACGGCTTCTTCCTACGGATTGTGAAAAGTGCTTGCACATTGGCGTTGGTACCCTTTACCATATATATGCATAGCGAATGGTCAGAGAATTTATGAGATTAAGCATTTTCTATATTGCTGTTCACACCTTCGGCAAAAGATCACTTTTCTTGCCCTTCCCCTCATCCCCCGCATTTGGACGCCGCGGCCCATGCGGGCAACAACACGAGTTCTTTTACCAGGAGCCATCTCTATCTTCTTACCTTACGTGCTACAGTGACCACTGGAAAAACAATATCTTTCAATATCAAACCAATGGCCGAGTTCCATATCTCTGAGGAATCTCTCACGCCCCTCAAGGACAAAGTCGTCCTCATAACAGGTATTTGCAGAGAACTTGCCCTGCTTCTTTTACGTCTCTCCTGCACTCGCCCAAGTCTTTGCGCTGCTAGAGAAGAGTGAGAGCTAAGAATAACTCGCAGGAAGCTCCTCCGGTATTGGCAAAGCAACCGTCCAACTGTGCCTGCATCACGGCGCAAAAGTCATAGCCGGCGACATCAACCCCTTTCCAGCTGACTTTCTACAAGAACAAACCTCTCCAGAAGCTTTGGCACACTCACCAGAGTACCATTCCCAGAATCTGCTCTTCATTCAAACCGACGTCTCAAACTGGTCAAGCATCCGCAACCTCTTCACCCGCGGGCTCGAACGATTCGGCGGTATAGACCACGTCTTTGCGAACGCGGGCATCGGGCCGCGGACTAACTTCCTCGAGGAAGTTTTCGAGGACGAAACCAAAGAGGAACAACTACTCGCCCCGCCGGATCTCAAAGTTCTGGAGGTCAATCTCATCGGCACAATCTATACAGTACGACTGGGCGTCCATTATCTCCGTCGATCCGAGCAAAGAGAAACCGAGATTGAACTCTCTCCTAGCATAACAGTTACGGCCTCCGCATCGGCCTTCCAGGATTTTGCTGCGGGGGATTACACGGTTGCAAAGCATGGCGTTCTTGGGATTCTACGCGGACTGTACAGTGACTTGCGGCAGCCTCACCCTGAGGGGAAGGAATGGAGGAGTGTGAGACTAAATGCCATTGCGCCCTCGTGGACAGCTACGGGGATTGCGCCTGGCGATGTCTTGAGGAGTCTGGGGGCTCATGTTCAGGAGCCTGAGTATGTGGCGAGGAGTGTGGTCATGCTGTTCAATGACAAAGCGCGAAATGGGGAGCTGATATATAGTTGGGAGGGAAGGTACTGTGAAATTAATCGGTGTGCAGGTGGGTTGTTGGATGGGGTAGCGAGGGTTGTGCGGAATGTGGCGGAGGAGGGGTCGATTATGGAGAAGTGGAAGGGCAGGTAGGGTTGTCGGTGCATATTTGGTTGGTGTCTCAGACTTTTCTTATATATCATTGCCCTAACTATATATCAGTTGCTGCTCGGACTGGGAATTAAAGGGTTGAAATTATCATTTAGATTCTCCTTTGCTTGCGCAACCTCTAAACTCGGATGTATAGAGAGTTATTTGAATGAAAAGGGAAGATCATGACGGATATCAAGGGGCAATGGGGTATCAAAACAGGGAATATCCAAGAAGCATAGGGTATGACCTCGGAGGGAAATAGCCCAAGGACATCCGCGCCTCTAGCCCTAACTCGAACCAGGAAGGGTCTGTGCAGGCTCAGGGTCGTTAAGATAGAGCGTCACGGTATCCCAGTAGCGCTCTGGATCAGCCCTCATATGCGCCACATGTTCCGACCCTGCATACTTTTCCCGACGGACTACAAAGCCCTTTGCTTCTGCATCGGAGGCATGTGTCTCCACATCCTTCCAGTCAACAAGCTCGTCAGCATCCGAGTAAATATAGCACCGTCTCGGACGGGCAGCTTTGTCGGATCCGCGCATCATCTTGATGTCGTTGATGCTCTGCCGGGCGACGCTAATAGCATCACGAATTCCAAATAATGTCCCAACCGTCTTTCCTAGCACAAAGAAAGAAGCTAAGTAGGTCCACAAGAAGATCTTACTCAAGATATTCAGAATCCATGTCTTCGGAAGGGCGTAAGAGAAAGCCTTGAATGACGCGGAGATCGTAGCAGTTCCAGGGGCACTGTCAATAACCGTGGAGGAGACACGAAGCGGATAGCCGGTGGCTTTCTGGTAGGCCTCGAGGAGATATGTTACGGCGAAGACGCCGCCGTTGGAGAACATGTGAATAAACACAGGGCTGTCGGCTGGAAGAGTCTGTAGGGCTTCAACGGCAGGTGCAAGACGGGCATACTGAGCTCGCTTTGTAGGACGTAGGATAAATTCAGTAGAGGATGTTCGGATGAAGATAATCCTGGCGCGAGGGGCCAGCTTTCGGTATCCGGCAACGTATTTGACCAATGACCTAGTGGCAGCGTTCATCCAGAATGCAATGACGATTGTGCGGGGGTAGTCTCCGCTGTCGTCGGCCGGGACGTCTGGCTCTTGAATATAGATGCAGGAAGAAAGCTTGGTAAATGATGCCATATCGTCCGCTTTCTTGGGAGATGCTGTCATTCTGAAAGATAAAACTTGTTTGAGAACTGGAAGATTGGGTTGCGAAATAGAGACACAAAGCTGTTGTAATCGACGCGTACGATTCCCCAATACAGGATCAGGTTCTGCAGCAAGACGAAAGCAAAAAAGAAAGGATAAAGCTCAATCTGATTGTTTATAAAGAGTGACAAGGATGAGTTGGAGATGGCCAGAGAAAAGCGCCGCTAGCTCCGCCGCTCCGCCGCTCCGCCGTCCGGAGTTTCTCTCAACTGCTCCCCCACGTGCTACCAATTCTGATATGCCACATTTGTCTACGAAGCTTCCGAAAGTGCTGACGAAATACATCTATCAGGTCGTCAGGTCGCTTGTCATTCTTGTGACTACGTGTACCTCGCACAACCGGCAAAGGGCTCGGCCGAGTCCATAGATAAAGACGGCTGTCCTACTCCGTACATGTGGACGCGGCTGTGACCAGCTAAAAGTCGCACAAGAAGCGACACGATTCCTGACTAGTTGATGCAGGTGTCTCATCCTCTCTTCCCCGCCGCTTATCCTCTCAGTTCTATCTTCAACTGCTAATATAGCACGAGAATATGTGTCGACAGGACCTGACAAAGGAGGACGGCAAGGGACTCTCCACGCAATAGCTATACGGAGGCTTACAACAACACATCAAATGTATCGGGCTAATTCAGCGAGCCTGGTGGCCGCAGAGCATGAAGCATCTCCCGACTTGTCTGCTTATCATCATCCTGTGTTGTTGAACCTCTGTCACACTGGATATCCCTGTTCAATACGATCGTCATTGGAGCAGCCTGGGCGAGAATACGCATCTCGCCTGTATTAGCATCTTAGGACCGAAATTTCTTTTGATGTTGGCAATGAGGCAGTGATCGTACGACAGCAATTCGGTCAATGTGGGTTCTATCCCTTGATCAAGCTGTTTTCGCCTACTCACGAGCAGGGATCTGGGAGGTTGAATGATGTCGCACGTTTTTTTACGCAGAAGTGGAAGGCCTCCTCCCTTGACGTTCTGGGCTCGAGATGCCTTCGCCAATTGATACGACGGCGTTACTTTTTCTCATTGAACATGGATAGGTACTCCGTAGGTTACCCAAGAAACGGCCGAATGGGGCATCGGCCCAGGTCCTCGTATTGGCAAGTCTGGAGATGACCAGAGTGTTTGTCCTTGTGTCTTTGCCATCTCGTCTAGCGAGTACGATAGAGCACAAGATATCAGGATCGCAACTACGCCTATTTCTCCAGCGGAAATACCCACTATCCAAAAGGACAATCACCTTATACACTGACTCTTCCCTTTTCTTGGCGGGTTGTATATGCAGCTCTGCTTCAAGGTTACTCTGCCGCGTTACGTTTGAGCAAGAGACATGTGCTTTTCGTTGCGTGAACATGCCATGTCTTCACTCAGCCTTTAGCTGAGGGAATTTGTTACGGTCTAGACCAGCCCCTTGAAATACAGGATGGAGATATCACGCCCTCTGGTCTGCATAAGATCAAACTGCATATGATTAAGCTTCAGCTATCCAAGGTACCCATGCCATGGATCACTATCGAACCATGCTCACAAGGACTATCGAACCATGGAGATGGGTCATAACCGTACGGTCAAAAGGTGAAGCTTGACTAATAATGCAGGCCAGAGATGTAGTTAAAGCGGTTTAATGAAGTAGAAGGACAAGCTCCGGTATCAGACCTGTCCTCAGGGGAAGGCTCCAGCCACACTTAGGGGAGATTCAGTAGTAATTTCCCATGATACTCTCGCCCTCGAAGTCCACCTTCGGTGATTGAAATCAGACAAACAATCAATGTGAAAACGAGGCATCGTTATGACTGCGGAGATCCCTGTGTGGCAGTGTGCGCACTTCTTAGTAAGCGAGTTGTGTCACCAACTAAAGTTGGTGAAAGATCTGCATTGGGCGCTCAAGGCAGCTCGTCGGAGTCGTCGCCCCGGTGAGGCTCTTGTCTAGAGACCGGCAGTCGCGAGTCTGACTCGGTCCAGACCATTCGGGATTTACAGAGATGGGGTGCATCGTGCACCCCTTGGAATCTGGATGGATAACGGAACCCATATGCGGCGTCCCCACGGTCCCACCGGGTCCAAATAGTTATCGTCATGCTGCAACTGCAAGCCGCAACCGGCCACTATCACAAACTGACTTTTGCGGTTGTTTGTTTGTTTCGGAAAAGCTGACTGGGCGCGTCTATTGGATCAGACGGCCAAATGCCAGAGCGGAAGCTCGGAGGACAGGTCCATGTATCAGTTCATTTTTGGACGGCAGTGGCACGATGACGGTTCGGAATGGATGGATCTCTGGTCCTGTGGGCAGCGAAGAATAATAGCGGCCGACCGTTCTCGACTTCGGAGACAGTGTTCCCTAGCGTCAAAAAGGCACGGCCCGGACAGTGCGAGCTGGCGGAACCTGCTTCCTGGTGCAGGAGCTGGCGAAATCTGGCACCGCTGGGGACGACTGACTGAGGCTGGATCTGCAGCTGCTGCGAGTCATCGTTGCAAGAGGCCGGTTAAGTGAATAGCGAGGTCTTAGCCGGGTTGCTAAGGTGGGGGGTAACGGTGTGTGAGAGAGACCAGGCCAAGCAAGCGTGAATTCTGAAGCGGGGTACTTCAGCAAAGACTCAATAATAGTCTAGCCTTGTCTCTCTCATGACACCTCAACTGAACTGTTTGTTTGCCAGGTCCACCGCTCCATCTACTTTTTTATTTTCTAGAGCCCAGTGCCGCCCCTCTTTTATCCGATCCGATTCCTTCTGCCCTGATCGCTACTTCCGTCGCTGAGCAGCCGGCGAAAACGTGCTGTGAGCTGCTACGATGGCCGGGCTCGAGCAGCCTCTGGACGCGAATGCTCTGAAAGAAGGTAAGTGCTCGGTTAGCTTTTCAGGCTAGCCTACGGCGACCTGCGTCCTCGTTGTCTGACCAGCTGCAGCTCTCCAGGCTCTCGATGAAGAATTGGGAAAATTCGACTTTATCGTTGCGTTCGCGCCCATCAAACTCATCACCGCCGGTGGCTTCCTCGCCGTCAACTACCTCAAAAACCGAGAGACGACCAAAGACCTAAATTACCTGCTGGATCCAGAATGGGCGACAGACGAGGACATAAAAGGACCCCTGGAGCAGGCAATCCTTCGCGTATCGAAAAGTCTTGGGATAAGTGAACAGTGGGCGAACGAGGACATGGCACTCTATGTTACCAAAGAGACTAGGATACACTTGTTCCGAAAGGCTCTTAAGCAAAATATCACCCTATTCAGAGGCGACCACATTGTCATTCTGGCTGCACCCATCAAGTGGGCTCTGAAGCGCAAAATCAGATGGATGTTCGCGCCGGGCCGAGATCGCAAGGTCGAGGTTGACATGAGCGATCTCCTCGCCATGCTAAAGTGCATGCGTGACAAAAAAGGTGGCCCCCTGAACCGAGAGCACCTCCGTACCCAGAGCCTCAATTCCTTCGACGTCGTGCCGGATTCGCCAGGGATGGAGCAAATCGCCGCTGCCTACCGGGAGAAATACAAAGATGAGATCTTCGCTTGAGCTTGTGTACGTCTTCCTCAAACACACCCCTTTATGCGTTTGCTTAGACAGGGGAGCTAGGATCCACTAGCTTGTCCGCCGCGCTTCTCCTTGGTCCTGTCATCCACATCGAAATTCTCGCGCTACTATTCTCTTTCCCTCTGCTACTTGCATATGGAGCTAACATGTGAACCGATAGGGCACGAGCAGCAGCTGCAGCACAAGTGAAAGCGCTAATTGTGGAACCGACTTGCATAGCTAGCTAGCTTTCTTTCGTGATCTTGAGCGACAATTACACCACCCCCCTCTAATGACCGCGGCCCCCACATAGCCGCCCCCCGATAGAACTACCGTTGATATTATCGCCCCCTGAGCGGATGCCACTATTCGCTGCAGATTTGACCTCTTGACGACCCGGATCGTGGATAGGTGCGCCGCGCCGGGCTATCATGTATCGCTGCATCGGGGTGTCCAACTTCCGAGCGGAATGATAGTGTGAAGCATAGGTTGTTTGGAGCGACGCATCTCCCGGAGGCCGTCACCCATCCCAGTGATAGCAATATCGCGAGGAATGGTTCAATCTGCCACTGAGCGGTTTGCCTGGACATTTTGTGAAATAGGCTTACTTACTATGGTCTGTGACAGAAGAGATAGAAGCAGTTGGCTGGAAAGAATCACTAAAACATACCCCCTTGATCCATTATTGACCTTATTAGGACCGAGCTGAGTGGCCGCTGTCTATACACTCATTGATCGTGCATCTGACTAGCAGCCAAGTAACCAAGGTAACATCGATCTTTAAATAAGACAACTTGCCGACGGAAGCTGCCATCCTATGCCGCAATCAGCTCGCAAAGTCTTCTGATGTCGCGTACACATGGCATGATGGACATGGAGCATGTTATTTGCCAGATGACACGAGATTGGTCCTGACTGTGACACTGGAACGGCATCAGAGCTGCAACATAACCTACCGATCGCCGTTCTATGCTCGCTCCACATTCCAGCCCGTACTTTCCAAGGGCTGACGGTAAAATGTCACGAAACAGCTTCACTCGAAAACTGGGGAAACAGAACTACTGTAGGTCCGTATAACCTGTAGTCACGTGCCTGATATCAGCGTGGAGAAATCCCGCGTCATAATCATCCTTTTCCCGGGACCAATCTATACAGTAGACTCAGAATACTCTTCCCACTAACACCATGCTTTTCTCACCGCGGATAGCCCTCAGAGGCGTCTCGGGTATCCGCGCATTCTCTACCTCTCCCAGACTCTTCCGCTCCGACCTCTCTTTCCAAGTCTTCGGACCGGAAAACCAACAGCCTACGCGCAACCCAATCGTCTTCCTGCACGGCCTTTTCGGCTCAAAGCAGAATAACAGGAGTATCAGCCGGTATGCTTACTCGATGCTCAAGCTGGACAAAGTTGCTGACGAGAGCTGTAGGGCTCTTGCACGTGATCTGAAGCGTGAGGTGTATATAGTGGTTTGTTTGCACCCACTCTCAAATGCCTGAAAGAAGATCGAAATCCCGTGGTTATGGCGTGGTTCTTGATGGTAATTGAAGGTATTTGCTATCTAGGACCTCCGCAACCACGGCAACTCCTTCCATGATCCCGAGCACCACTACCCCGTCATGGCGGATGATGTGGCGGAGTTCATACACGAACAGGGTTTGAGCAAGCCCGTCCTTATCGGTCATTCTATGTACGTCAAGTCTAGGTCCAGTCTAGATCCGTCATCCTGGGTTTGGATATGGTCTTTTAGACCATGATTATGCCAAGTTCGACTCTGACTCACATACCCAAAGGGGCGCCAAAGCCGCAATGACAGTAGCCCTCAACGTCCCCGAGCTCGTATCGGCCCTTATCCCCGTCGACAACGCGCCTGTCAACGCACCCCTGCGCACTGACTTCGGCAAGTACATCAAGGGCATGCAGCATATCGAGTCGGCGAACGTAACGAAGCAGTCTGACGCGGACAAGATCCTCCAGGAATATGAAGAAGTTCGCCGTTCCGCACCCGTTCATTCGCATTGACACTACGAATGAGCTAATAACATCTACTCAGGCCCTCCCGATCCGCCAGTTCCTCCTCACGAACCTGATTCGCTCAGAGGACCAGACGATGAAGTTCCGCGTCCCTCTCACAACGCTCGGCTCGTCGCTGCGCGCCATGGGCGAGTTCCCGTTCTCGGAGCCCGGGAGCGTGAAGTATGAGGGTCCTACGCTTGTTGTACGCGGCACGAAAAGCCCGTATGTCTCTGAGGACACATTCCCAGCCATTAACGCCTTCTTCCCCAACTCGCGAGTTGCGGATGTCGAGGCTGGGCATTGGCTTATTTCGGAGAACCCGGAGGCGTTTAGGAAGGGTGAGTACTTTTCTATCCGTCTAAACTATCTGTCCAATATTATGCTTTGGTAGGGTGAATTGCTTAGCTGACTATGCTTTTAGCTGTTGTTGAGTTCTTGCAAGAGACGGATTAGACTAGACTAGACCATGGACTTCAAGGCGAAGAAATGTGGTGGCTGTTTGAATATTTTCTATGTCCGTCCGTTCCATCCGATAGTTAGTCCTACATAGACTTAAAGAAATAGACAGAAATGATACCTCCAAAACCGAAAATTGAGAGGAAAAGCAGACGGGCGAGTGAGGTATAAGTACAGGAATAAGAAAGTGATGCTGCAAAGCCATAGCACTTCATCAACCGAATAACGCCAATGCTTAGATTCAGTTTCACGCCACCCAAGACACACAAGAGACGCAATTCGAATAAGGGGGTATTTCAGAATAGGTGCAGAGAAGGAAAAAACATTGGGGGGTGAAAAGACTTTGCTGCTGTCGGCTTGGCCTAGTCATCATCAATGGTTATTGCTTCCTGAGATTTCATTGCTTCGTGAGCGGTTATGATCCTCTTCTTGTTTTTCTTTCTCTTCTTTTTCTCGATTCTCTCCTCCTTCGACAGGCTGGTTCGGGAGGAGAGCGGGCCGTGTGCAAGAGGAGTCGAAGAAGTCGAAGGCGGTTGTGAGCCATCATCGTCTGAATTTGAATGTCGACGCTTGATCCTCATGCCTTGACTGCGGTCGTTGGAGAGCAGGTCCGGCCTCGGGGCCGGACGGAGCTGATCTGTGGGAGAATCAGGGCGTAGCAATTCCATCTCACTTTTTATTCGATCGAGCTGGATCTTGGTGTTCTCGTACGTTTTCTTGGAACACTGTTCGATCTGTGTCATGCGAAGTTGCAGAGATTGCATGTCCCCTTCGATAAAAGATTCTTTTACTCGATTGTAGTCCTCGTCGAGTCTTTCAAGGTTATCGCTAATTTTTTGTATTTGACCATTCAAAGATGCCAATTCATCTTTTAACGATGTCATTTCATCCTTCAACGATGTACCTTGGCGCTCAATATCTTGGAATTTTTCCTGGTCGGCGGTCTTCTTTTGTAGCAGGTCCCTATCGGTATTGCTTTGTTTTTCGGCCAGAGATTCCAGACGCGACTGCATTCCCCGGAACTCTTCTTGATTGAGCCACTGATATCGCTCCACAAGATTACCGATTGAGCCCTTCAAGTCCTGCTGTTGGGCTTTGATGGAGTTCAGCTCGTCCTGTGGCAAGGCGGTATGCTTTCCCTGGGTTTCCAGTTGCTTTACCTTTTCTTCCAGGGAGGGCAAGTTCTGTTCCAGAGATCCCAGAGTCTGCTTTTGCAACGTCAACTCTTTCAAAATCTGGTCTACAGACGGATACATCTCATGCATTGCCCTGACCATGTGCTGCACTATCGGTTCCGTTGTCAAGTTATTGTATCTCGACTCCAGGGATAGCAGAGCCGTCTTGAAAGGCTCCATGTCAGTACTGATTCTCCGCACTGCCTCGAACAAACCATCCACTTTCGGGTCAAGCCGTTCCCTTGGGACCTTCAGCATCAGATCTTGAATATTTTCTGTGAGCAACTGTTGGGCTTGCTGGCTCTCGCTCAGTTTCTCCACAATTTCCTTCTTGAAGTCTTCGATTTCTGCCCATACGAGCTCTCCGTTAATACGACCGATTTCCTTCACTTGATCGGCCAGCCTTTCCGCCTCTTTTTTCAGAACCTGAACTACTGCGTCGTCCGGCTTTGAAGAGGCGGTTTGGCCGTTGCTGAGCCGATCCAGCTTCTCCAATTTCTCCAGCTTTTGTTCCTGTTTCGCCTGGGTCGAAGTGAATATCTCCAGCTTATTCTGCTGATCTGTTTGCAGTTGAGTAACTAGATCCAGCTTCTGCTGTTGATCCATTAGGGTCTGTTTGAATTGATTCATCTGCAGCTGCTGATCCTTTTGGACTAGATCAGTTGAATTTGATGTCTTCTGATAAAACGAGGACAAGGATTCAAGCGAGTGGCTACACTCCGCTGTTCTCTGCTCCAGGTTCTTGTGCTGGGTTGAGAGATCATCAAGTAGTTTTTTCGTATCAGGCGTAATCCCGTTGACTGGTTGTACCGGCGGCTTCTCTTCGATTGCCTTCAGCTGTTTTGCGATGTTGTCCGTCTTACTCTCCAGCGAGCCCAACGAGTTTGTAAACCCCCCAAAGGACTTCTGCTGAAGGTTTTGCTTTTTCTGGATCTCTTCCAACCCATGCTCCATCGACTTGTGATAGTTGTTAAACTGTGCAATATCACCATGCAATGCAGCAATCTTGTCATTGGCTGCTTTGAGATTTTGCTCCAACTGTCGGACCCTACTCTCGCTCTGTTGCACCCTGTCATCGAATTGCGAGCTTTTCGAATTCGCTGATTCGGCCCACTGGTTTATAAGGCCAACCTCTAGTTCCTGAAGCCTGCTTTGGTATCCTTTAATCTCAACATTGACAGACTCGAGAGCTGCGTCTTCAACGTCCTTGGCGGTTTGGTAGCACTCCACGAAGGACGGAAACCCTCTTTGAGATTTCGCCTTGTCCAGCAACTCAATTGTTTCTGCTCTCTTTTTCTGTATGCGTTCCTTTTCAGCTTCCTTCGTTCGTGCTTTGACTGCCACCTCCACGAATTGAGCTATGCTGCGGATAAATGTACCGCCAGGCAGGTCACGCTGTATATCTGGAGCCGACTGGGCCCGAGGACCAGGGGGGGGGCGTTGCTGGGCCACCTCATGTTGACTTAAGCCAACATTCTGTGGATGTCGACGGAGCTCGAGGCGGGGGTCGCGCACAACAGAATTGGTGTTCATAGTAGCGCGTGGAATATAGCCGCTTGTTCTACCATAGAGAAGAAGAAGGGCAAGGTTATCAGAGAGCTCGTTGATCAAGAAGGAAATGTAACGGACTCACATTTCGCTCTGCGCGGGGATTGCATCTCTTTTAAGTTTTATAAGGACGGAACAGGGAAAAAAAAAGTGAAGAATGACTCGAAAACCTGAGCCCAGGATTTTGGAAGAAAAGCTTCTGGCAGTGAGTTAAGTCCTACCAGGTGAAGAAGAGCCAAAGGCGAAGTGAAGGAATATCAAAGAAAGCTTCACTTTGTCTTGGATCAATCACAATTGTTGCTATGGCGGACGCGTTTGGTGGGCGGATTCTGCCGGGCGGTAAGCCTATCGGCTTGTGCAGCTCTGGCGGCGCGGAATCAATAATCAAGGCTTGCGACCAACACTGATCTCAATTCTCCGGGGCTTTTTCTTTTCGAGAGCAGTTGCGTTCACATTTGCATTCTACTATGGCTGCGGTAAGCTTACTGAAGTTCTCGTCATCATGTTCATAATTACTCATTCATGAGACAGCCAATCTCTACCGTTGCGGAAACCAAGGAGCTCCGGGGTCTGAACCTCATCGCTGCTCATTCACATATCAGGGGACTCGGTGTAGATGGTGACTCTTTACAACCGCGGCCGGCATCTCAGGGCCTTGTGGGTCAGGAAAAGGCTCGAAAGGCGGCTGCCGTTATTCTCCAGATGGTCAAGGAGGGCAAAATTGCCGGACGGGCTGTTCTGATTGCAGGCCCACCCAGCACAGGTAAAACGGCCATAGCTATGGGTATGGCACAATCCCTTGGGTCTGATGTCCCATTTACTATGCTAGCGGCTTCCGAGATCTTCTCCATGGAGATGTCAAAAACAGAGGCCTTGACGCAGGCTTTCCGAAAATCTATTGGAGTACGGATCAAAGAGGAGAGTGAGATTATTGAGGGTGAGGTGGTAGAGATTCAAATTGACCGGAGTGTCACTGGTGTAAGTGCTACTTGAGATGTAAAGAGCTATACGTATCTGAGCTGTACTGATTCGTCTAGGGCAACAAACAAGGAAAGCTCACAATCAAAACCACGGACATGGAAACGATATACGATATGGGCACGAAGATGATTGATTCAATGACAAAGGAAAGGGTTATGGCTGGAGACATTATCTCGATCGACAAGTCGTCAGGCAAGATCACCAAGCTAGGACGCTCTTATGCCCGATCTCGCGATTACGATGCGATGGGCGCGGACGTCAAGTTCGTCCAATGTCCCGAGGGAGAACTTCAGGTTCGCAAGGAGATCGTACACACAGTGAGCCTACACGAGATTGATGTCATCAACTCGCGTTCGCAAGGGTTTTTGGCGCTCTTCTCTGGTGATACCGGTGAGATTAGGAGTGAGGTCAGGGACCAGATCAATACCAAGGTCGCCGAGTGGAAGGAAGAGGGCAAGGCTGAGATCATCCCTGGTGTATTGTTTATAGACGAGGTGCATATGCTCGACATTGAGTGCTACTCCTACATCAACCGAGCCTTGGAGGCGGAGCTTGCTCCTATTGTGATTATGGCAAGTAACCGCGGCCATTCGCGGATCCGAGGAACGACATACAACTCTCCTCATGGCCTGCCGCTTGACTTCCTTGACCGCGTCGTTATCGTGAGCACACAGCACTATTCAGCAGACGAAATCAGACAGATTCTGGCAATCCGCGCTCAAGAAGAGGAGATCGACTTGTCCCCAGACGCTTTAGCTCTTCTGACAAAGATCGGCCAGGAGTCCAACCTTAGATACGCCAGCAACATCATCACCACATCACATCTCCTCAGCCAGAAACGGAAAGCAAAGGAGGTCAGTGTTGATGATGTTCAACGAAGCTATCGATTATTCTACGACCCCGCTCGCAGCGTCAAGTTCGTCAATACGTATGAGCAGCGATTCATCGGCGACCAAGGGAATGTGAACTTCTCGGCGCCTAGTGGGGACGCTATGGAGATCTCATAGAAATCTCCTGCTATCGGATTTGGATCTCTCGGTGTTCAATGGACGGAGTATCTGAAGACAGCAGGATCCATCTTAGTTTAGGCACAATGGATGGTTATATCCGAAAAGGCTCTCCTTCGATTACGTGATGCTTTTCGAGCACATCGACTGATTATGTATGATAATCCCGGCGCTTGTTTTGCGACTCCTAAGGGTATTTGGATGATTGGGTTGATTTCTAGGTTCATAATGAGAAAATTAATACTTCCGATATTGGTATCTTTAGTAGTACTGATGATGTACGGGGCTTATACAAAGCTCACGTTACTATCCCAATCTCCGGTATCCCCAACTTTCCTGAACTCAACGCCTTCCCCGAAGTAGCCTGCGCCCTTCCACGACTCCATGGTAGTGCCATCGTAAGGACCATGTACAGCGCCACCGTCACGGGCATCAGACCAGCGGTACTCCCACATCGCCTGTCCGGCATCTTCAGTTGCTGTGTCTGTATGCTGTGGGGGGTCGACCCAGTCCTCGCCAGTCTCGCGGCGATATTGCCGGGTGAGCATCTCTCGTTCAGTGTCGTAGATTTCAGCCTGCCCTCTCGTCATCAGGATGTCTGCTGCGCCAGTGACGGCTTCGATCGCCTGTTTCCGCGCTGCTTCCTTAGGATCATCTTCCTTCATTTCTGTATCTTGATCACCCTTTGAATTTTTATTCCGCTTCGTTTGCCATTTCGGTTTCTTCGGCGCACCCTTTCCTATCCTTGCCAGCGCATCCAATGCGGTTTCGCCACGCTGTAGCCGGATGATGAGCACTCTGAGAGCGTCAGATGTCAACACACTGTCGTCTGCGCGGTCCTTCTCTTTCCTTGCGGCCTCTCGCTTATCGGCTGCCTCCTTAGCGAGTCGGATTTCCTTCTTCGACACTCCCTCCAGCCATGAATCGTGTATGGCATCAGGATCCGCCGCTTTTCGGACGTAGTTTCCTTGTTCATCGAATCGACCCTCTTCTTGTTCAGTCCGCATATTAAATGCATCCAGTAACGGCGCATGTTTCTTCTTCGACCCAGCGCCTAGCTCCTCGTCCATGCCGCTCTCAACTCTCGCACGGTCTTCCTCCGCTACGTCACTTTCACTCTCGTCTTCGTCAATATTAACTTCATCAGGGCCCTGGCTCAAGTCCACGCGTAATGTCCGCCCGCTCTTTGACGATGCGACCTGTCCCTCGATCTCGTCGTCTCGTAGAAACCGCACGTTCTTCTTGTTCTTCCGTAGCGCTTCATCGCCATCTATATCCTCAGCGCCAAAGTCCTCCTCCAGCTCCGCAAACATATCATCGTCGTCCGCTTCCTGTTTCGCTTCGTTCTTGCGTGCTTTGTTCGACGACCGCGCATCGAAGCCTTCGTTGTCACTGTCTGATTCGTAGCCATCTAGGTTGACGGCTTTCCGGCGGACTTGTTGTCCGCGCCGACCAATCTCGTCTGCATCCAGTACTGCATCATCATCTAGTGCGTCAGGGGCGAGCGTTGACGGGTTTCGCAAGTCGAATCGTGGTTTTTTGGAGGGGCCGGAATCGTCGAGGTCTTCTTGATGGTGGGTGCGCGTGTAGTCTTCGCCGGCCCGTTTTGGGCGCGGGAGTGAAGTGGACATGGATGTCAGTTTGGATGTACTCGTAGATTAGTGAGACAAAGCAGAGAATGAAGAAAGTTGAAAGCTCTTGGATGGCCTTGTCTGGGGTCGGGTCGGAAAATCATTGTGGAGCCCTTTGCGTCACTACGGGCGTTCAAAGAAACTCCGGCCTCTCTTTCTCACTACACTTTACAGGCTCAACTTCAAAGCTGAATTTGTCTTTATCCGGGGTCTCACTGAACGCGAACTACTCTATTGTCCAGACTTCTTTATACTTCTCCAAGGCGTGAGTATTTATCAACCCTTGATCCACTATGGTATGTGCCTGTACTCGACAGTGTTTACATTGCTTCTCGAGTTCTTATCGAGTACCTGCTAACTAGAACAGTTCCGAGGTAACTACTGGGAAGACGATCCAATGGATGGAATGCTTCGCCATGGCGCTACGCGCCGCTTTGATGAATACTACCGCTGCTATCCCGTGGCTATGATGCCTGGTCCTGAGCGAGAGAATGTGAATCACGGCGGCAAAGTCATTATGCCTCCCAGTGCTCTCGACAAGTTGACTCGCCTACATATTACATATCCTATGCTGTTCGAGCTACATAATGGTGCAAAAGAAAAGATGTCACATGCTGGTGTGCTGGAGTTTATTGCTGAAGAGGGGAAGATTTACCTACCCTACTGGGTAAGTCACGTTGGATTGTTGAGGCTGCTAATATGATCTTTGCTAACACATTTTACATTATAGCTTATGCAAACTCTCCTTCTCGAGCCTGGTGACCTAGTACAAATCAAATCGACAGACCTTCCCCCCGGACGATTCATCAAGCTCCAGGCTCAGTCCACCTCGTTCCTAGACATCAGCGACCCCAAGGCAGTTCTTGAAAACGCCTTTCGAAATTTCTCTTGTCTGACGAAGGACGATGTCTTCACATTTGCCTACAATGATCAAGTGTACGAGATGGCCGTGCTGGAAACGAAGCCTTCGAACGAGACGAATGCGATATCTGTCCTGGAGACCGATCTTGAAGTTGATTTTGCGGCACCCGTTGGGTACGAGGAGCCGCAGCGTCAAAGTGGCACTAGCACACCAGGGAGCGCGGTTAGCGGAAGGCTGCCAGCCGGTGGACTCCTGCACTCACACGGCACAATGGCACAATCAATCAACTATGCCGCCATAGCACCAGAGTCTACTGACGCAGCTGCGGGGGCACGAGCGGTATCGTCGAACTTTCTGTCCAGTGGCCACCGATTGAATGCCAAGAAAGGCAGCAAAGCGCCGACTCCAACGGCGTCTACTCCCACCCCAGGAGCGACCAATCCCAGCCATCCACCCCCCGTCAGGACCACGAATGGCCCGCAGCCACTACGCCTACCACCAAATCAAATATTCTTTGGCTATGCTGTCAAGCCCGTTCCGAAACGAGACGATAGTGGAAACGTTGTTGAGCCAGAGAAGCCTCGCTTTCAAGGAACTGGTCAATCCCTCCGACCCAAAAAGAAAGGTATAGACGGTTCGTCCACGCCCACTTGAAAATTAGAATAATGGACACCTTACATGGTGTACGGACATGCATTACGGGCTTTTGTATTCAGGTTTAGGGGGCTCACTGCGTTTAGAATGGCAAGCATCACATTCATTTTTGACGAGTTCTATCTTTACTCATTAATCTATCATAGTAACTACCATAGTCTATCATGACCATGCCAAGCGGCCAATCTGCATAGGAGCATGAACCTCGACCCCCAGTTTCTTCGCCGCATTAAGAACCCATTCCGGTTCACGTAAGAACTGCCTCCCGATCAGCACCGCATCGGCCTTGGGCTCAGAGCCCTCCTCATCGGCACCCTGGACAATCTCGGCCGCAGCCTCAGGCTGCGTAATAAAGCCCACGGCACCAACCAGCGTCTTGGCTCCGGCAGCTTTGATCTCCTTCCGCAGCTTAGCCGCCAATTCAGTCTGGTAGTCCGTGAAGAAGTGGAACTTCTGGTCCTTGTGGTTCCCACCGGAGCTCACATCCAAGAGGTCCACCCCAATCTCAGGGAGATACTTCAGCAGCTGAATATTAGCGTCCAAGTCCCAGCTTCCATATTTCTCAGCATCCAGCTGGCCCTCAATCCACTCCGTCGCACTGACCCTCAGGAATAGCGGCGTCCCCTCCGGAATAACCTCGCGAATTGCCAGCGCAACTTCGCGCAGAATCCGCGTGCGGTTCTCGAAGCTGCCTCCGTATTTGTCTGTCCGGTGGTTTGTCACGGGACTCACGAACTCGTGCAATAGATAGCCATGCGCGGCATGGATCTCAATAACATCAACACCGGCCTTGATGGCGGTCTCCGCGCTCTTGGCAAACGCCTTCACAATCTCCTCAATCTCAGCCACAGTCAGCTCCCTAGGAGTCCAGTATGCGACATCCCCAGGCTCCCACTTGTTCTCCTCGCCTCCACTGGGGCCCACGACATCCTTCGGCCACCCAAAGACGCCCTCATCAGCCTTGAGACTGCGCACGCCCTTCGAGAACGCCATCGGCGGCGCAACGGTACTCGCCTTCCGTCCAGCATGGTGGAGCTGCACACCCAATTTCCCGCCCTGGGAGTGCACAAAGTCCACGACCCGCTTCAAACCCTTGAACTGCTCGGACTCCGTCCCCTCCTGCCAGAGGCCGGCGTCGTTAGGCGAAATCCGCCCGTTGGCCTGCACAGCCAGCGCTTCGGTGAAGACCAGACTTGCGCCCTTATACGCGAAGTGGCCCAGATGCGCGATGTGGAAGTCCGTCAGCGCGCCGATGGCCGGGGATGCGGGGTTTGACTCCGCGGAGAACATGCACATGGGCGCGACGATGACGCGGTTCTTGAGCGTTACGTCGCGGATCTTGATGGGGCGGAAGAGCGTCGGCGTGCCCTCTGCGTCGGGGTTTAGGGCTGCGCCTGGGTTGGCGGCTGGTGTGAAGTAGGGGATTCCCTGGGCCCCTGGGTAGGCGGGTGAGGGGGCGGTTGCGAGGTCTTCGGAGGGCATTTTGGCTTCAGGATATCTCGTAGTGCTCTGCCGTTGTCACACAGAGTTTGGATCAGGACCCAGCAGTGCATTTTTTATAGCCGTTGCAGTTTCATACAATGTTGAGGCTGACAAATCAGTATGGGTACACTGTGGAGCTGGAGAATTTTGTAGAACGTTTGGGACTAGTGATCTGCGTTTTGAAGCCTCGGAAGCTCGGAGTCCTGTTCATCCTTCTCAGGGGTGTTTGTCTCCGGTGTGCATACTTCCGTCGTCTTGTGGCATCATCAAGTCTCGTAAGTTGCGTCATACATGTCCTGTATGTCGCATTGCCGACCATGGTTTGAAGCAACTATCGAAGCGGTATACGCTGGGAAGAAATACTCTGCAGGGACATGTGAAGTATATCGTCTAATCTCTTTAGCATCTATGTACATAATTCATATCATATCAGCCCTAGGTACCTGAGTCATCACCAAATGGATCATATCCCAACGAGCATCACACATGCTCCGCACCCAGAGAACGCCGCTCAAACTGAGGCCTCAGCAAGTAGTGAGGAAGATGGGGAAAGATCTACTCCGCATCCAAAAGCGCGGGCACATTCTCAAGCAGGTACTCAACAATGGCATCAGGGCCACGCTCAACCTGCAGCCCCTGGGGAATGGCATGGAGCTTGATGTCAGGCCTGATGCTGCGCGCGATGGACTGGATCTCAGCCGCTTGCTCGGCGGACCACATTGAGGCGGAGAACTGGTCATTGTTAGTACTACACATTCAGAGAATCGATTCGACTGCATGCATTGGCTTGGAGGCGTGCGGAGACGTACCAGGACATCAGGCTTGTGCTGTGTCACCTTTGGCGCGACTTCTTCGATGGCTGTGCGTTGGATTAATTTCATCCTTGCGTTGGACTCAAGATGTAAGGTGGGGGGCATACTCTCGCAGTTGTCAACATGGATAATCGTGTACCGGTCCTTGAGGGCCTCAACCATGCGGCCGATGAGGCGCTTAGCCCGCTCAGGGGCGGTGTTGACGGTGACTAGGGTGTAGGGGCCTTTAGGGGAGGACATTGCGAATTGCGATTGAGAAGTATGGTGTACGTTGAGTTGAGGGGAAGGTACTGCGAAGATGTTAAGAGCCTGGGGTATACGGGATTCCCCTCCCACTTCCCCACAATCTCTCCCCACACTGCTGGTATACGCGGATAATCCGAGGTTATGTATGTACGTATGCTGTGCTTCTTGCATGAGAGAAGCAATACATCATGTTGCTGCCTAGGATGCTCTGAGTAATATATCTGTCAGATAACGTTGAAGTTCTCTTCGGTCTTCGGGGCTCGGGCTTGTAGCAATCGGACGTCATGAAGTATAACTCGGGGGATAGCCTGCTGAGTCAGTAGTACATCGTCATTAGAAGTGGGAATGAATTTATCCAGGCGGGGCACATTTTACCCGCTGTCAACTCACCGATTGCTTCCAGTTGCAGGGCTTCACAGTTCATATAAACAGCCGCTTTGAGAAAGGAGTTGCTCAGAGTGTACTACAACGCTTGCGATAATGTCTGCAAGCAATGCAAAAACAGAAGGGGCATCATAACATAGCCAGGCTGTCAGCAACAACAAGCTCAATCGCCAAGTTCCCGAAGGATTTCCCATATCGGCCTCGTTCGGGCTGCCGATCGGAATGCCGATGGATCATGGCCCCATGCCTGGGTGGTCTGATTTTGCTTCCCGATATTGAGTTCTTTAGTTGCTAGACGTGGGCTAGTCATATAGCAAGTGTCTCTCCGTGGGGAATTCCTTTATATTCTAGTGTCCCGTCTAAAGTTCCGCTATATTTGTTCCATTCTATCCCAGGGCACAGCCCCAAATCTTCACTTCATGACAAAACCAAACATCAAATGCGTCGCATACTGATGAACCATGACATAGGCTACTCCTCCGTTGACAGCCTGAAAGAGCGACCCTTCCACTGCAAAGCAATTGTCGGCAGGACACTGGCTCCAACCATGAGAGCCACACAGACACCAGCACTCGCAGCCACGCCGACGTTTTCGAACATCCCCGGGAACCTGAATATCTGTTAGCGAGTCATCCACCACCTCCAAACAGAGTCAACATACCAGAACGGTCCGAGGAACCCCCAAATCTGCCGAACAAATGTGATACAGACACCGACGCTGGATGCATCTTGGGGGTGGCAGTCCACTGCATACGTGATAAGGACGGTCGTCACAATCTGGTTACCGGCAGCTCCAATGGCAATACCGATAATGGGAACTACGCTCCACTTGCCCTCCTTGGCCTTCTCAGTGCAAACAAGGAAGACAATGATACCAACAATGGAGCAGGCGTAGCCCAGGTAGCTGAGCCAAAGTCGGAACTCTGGCTCTGGCTTTCGCTGCGCTCGTTTCGCCCGCATATTCATCCAGAGGTCGGACATGCGTCCACCCAGCTGCTCTCCGATGAGAGAACCGATAATTGGGCCCAAGAATTGGAGCCCTAGCTGCTCTGCATTGAGCCCGAACTTCCCTTGCAGCAGCTGTGGTACTTCGACGGTGGACAGCACATTGCTAAGGAGAAAGATCATGGCATATGCAGCAGCGGGCACTATTACGCAAGGGCGGAAGCAAAGCCCCAACGGTGCGATGAACTCAATCCACTGGATAGGGGTTGGGTCAATTCGTCGGATGCTGACGTACTCCCTCTTCCACGCAGGCTCCTTGGGGTCCTCGTTTGAGCCGAGATAGCGAGTCTCAGGACCCAGGAAAAGATACAGGATAAACTGAACACCGTTGATCTGGTCGGACGTTAGCAACCCGTGTCTGCACAAAAGTCTATCCATATTAGGAGACTTACTATCGCCAGAACCCAGAAAATCCAGATATAACTCGCTCGGTATGTTACGAAACCGAAGATAAAGGGACCGCTGGGAATTCCAAGCGTGAGTAACAGCGTCCACACACCCATATACTTTGCTCGGTCCTTCTTGAAGAATGTTTCCATCACAACACCGCTTCCGATCGCTGGGAAGTTTATCAGCATAATTCCGCCCTTCAACATATGAAGAGTTTTCATATCATACCTGATGCTGGTGAGATAAAGAACGCCTGCAATGCTCTGCATGCTGCGAGTGACGCATAGTCAGGAGACTTTGCACACCCGATGTTGCAGACCAGACTACAAATTAAGGAAAGGAGGAAGACGGGTCGTCGGCCATATCGGTTGGAAAGTGGCTTCCAGAATAAAGGTGCACCACCCAGAATAGCGATCTGAAGGGAAGTCAAATAAGTGACCCGGTGAAGCGTAACATCGAATTCTTCAGCAATCGTCTCATAGGCAGGGATGATGCCGGCGGCCGCAAATGTCCCCATACAGGCGTGAAAGGCTACTAGAAGAAGGTTGGCGATTTTCTAACCAAGAAATATCAGCAAAGATCAGTGAAAACTCAGTCAGCTTGGTCTCTATCGTGAAATACTAACCTTCCAAGAGGGCCAGTTGTAGGGATCCGCAGGATCCATGCTGGGAATGGGATCCAGTTCCAAAGTACCATGACGTTCCATGAGGAAATCACGATGTGCTGTTGAGAGACGAGATGCCACTATGTCGGCATATGTTGAAGGGATACCGGCCTCTGTACTTTCCACTAGATCAACCCCATTCTTTGGCAGCTGCTGAGGGGCCTCTTTCTTGGGAGACCCCTCAGCAGTGTATGTGCGTTGCATCTCCATGGATGTAGGCTCATTGACAGTCGTCGAGGAACGACTACCTGAAGGGGTCATGTTGGTGGATATTTTGAGAAAGCCTCTAGCCTCTGCCCTTTCTCTTCGGTTTATTCCTCGGAGTTTGCTGAGGAGGTTATGCTAAGTGTTGACAATAGGCTGGGGGTATTGGAAGAATAAGAAGCAAACTGCTGTGGCGTCTTCGGTGAGACTCGAGCACCCCGGATGCTGAGGAAGAGTGTCCCGCAGTCTGCTGGGAATCGGCTGTCTGGCCTATCATCGCCCCGTGGTTAGTTGATCACAGGTGTTCTCCCCGGGGCGAGGGTGACACTGTGGAGCTGGCTTACTCGGCAAACCAGTCCAGCACCGTTGGGGAAGTCCTCGCGGAGAGCGTGACACTGGGGTCTCCCCAGTCTCCACAGCTCCAACGAGTGAGGTCGCATCGATATCATACTTTAGCAGCCATTTATGGATGCGCTCTCGACCGAGGCCTTTCTGGTATCATATGGTGACGCCTCTGACGAGGCGCTGGCTCAGCCTAGACGCGACATGGTGCTAGTTCGGAATTCCCGAGTAGTTCAGGGCATTGCACAACGCATTATGATTATTCCTGAGTGTCTAGATCGAATTGCTTGGAAACCAAATTACTGGCTTTGAAGACTCGGCTAAAAGGGTTCTGGCCATGGTTCAGACTGCTCCGGAATACTGTTGAGCCACGCGGCTCCTAAAGTTTCATTACACAGAACGAGGCTTGAGTTCGACCCGAAAACCGATGATCTATGCGAAGGGCGAAGGCATGCGCAACGGTTTGATAGACGCAAGTAACGCAACTAGGTAATGGCACATGCCATCCCACAGCGGATCGGCGTGCTCTCGCTTGCAACTTGCGTAAGGGGTGCATCACGATGATAGATTCCAATGTGGTTCGGGACAAGCATCATTAATCCGGTCGGAATTAAGGCACAAAGACGTAGCCGAAGGCTGCCAAGCATAAGCCAGACGCTTGAACTGACCGTCGATGCCGCCGGAGATGGAGGAGTTTCGGATGACAAGTCGGCAATTTGAGAAGAGAGCTGGAGGCGAGTCGCCAAGGCTCCAGAGAACCCAAAATCAGAGAAGTCACGCGTTTCCCACAGTCTCCACTCTCCACAATCCTCCCACAGCCAATATGTCTCCAACCTCCAGGCTTCAAATCTGCTCTCCACTCCCCCAGACTTGTATTCCTGCTGGTGCCTCTTTGTGGATGGTCTTGTCGATGAACTGTCGAGTCTCCCCATCCACTGCTGAAAGATGCCACAATCGACCACATCCCCAGGGGCCAAGCCTTTAATATGTCGTGTGTGCGAGAAAGGATTCTCGAAGGCTGAACATTTAAGGGTTAGTACAGATCTCGGTGTGTTCTCCCCCGACGGTGGATACTTGATGATTAACGCCGGCATTTAGAGACATGAACGTTGCCGTAAGAACACCCAGAGCATAGAGCCCGAAGTGAATGTACCGAAGAATTATACAGCTGACCGGCGGCCTGAAACGACCAAGATACCGGGTCTAAGCCTTTTGTTTGCAAAGAATGCCGCCGTCCATTTGCGCGCCAAGATGCCCTGACCCGCCACGAGAAATTGCATACCCGTGCCGCTGCCACCAAGCAAGCTCAAGCCCAGCAGTTGCAGGTTCCTCATGTGACTTCCTTGGATACTCTTACTTGGGAGGCTCCTCGAGCCCCAGCAGAAGCGACAGTGCCAACGACTGCAGCAGACCAAGCATGGATGACATCTGATGCTCAGCATGCTCCGGGGCTGCAGCCTGTAGCCTCAGACCTCGATTTTGCCCTAATATGGCCTGACTCGGAGAATTTGTTCCAGAGTATCATGTCCTCGGATTCTCCGGACCAGTGGCAGATACCTCTCGGATCTCTCCCTATTCCCCCAGTCGTGCAAGATGTGAGCGGCATGAACTTTGGTTCTCCCAACTCTTTCGATGATAGAGCCTCTTCTATCGGCACAATTCCCTCGGGCGGGAGCCATCAGGCTGTACGGGATGTTTCGGACATGGTCACAAGCTCAGTAAGATATCTACATGAATTTCATAATAGTCGTGAAGTGTGTAGCTGACGATATGTAGTCCTCCAGCGTAACCGCTGCGATAAAGGCGACTTCAATCACGTCTGTGTTTTTGGACGAATGCCTACACATGTTCTTCGTGCGGTTCATTCCTACCTTCCCAATCCTTCATCGAGCCACCTTTGTTTTCCGCGACTGCACCCATCCCTTGCTACTAAATGCTATGGCCCTAGGGTCTTTGTATCTCGGCCCTAAAGACTCGGTTGCGAAGGTAAGCCCGGTGGACTCAATCGAAGCCGACCATATCTAACCCCACACTAGGGAGAAGCACTATGGAGACTAGCACATACAGCTGTTTCTACCTCGGTATATTAGATTTAGCAAAGGGACCAGAATTTTCGCTTACTGATCGTTCTAGTGGCAATCATTGATCACGCACCGTGGCCCGTACGATGCCTGCAACGGCGTACAGCTTCTGCTCACTGCCCTTTTAGGGCAAATATACGGGGCGCTGTCCAAGGTATGTTCCGAAGTAAAGTCTTCCCACCCTCATTTCCTAATCTTGCTTGGTTTAGAGTCGGGCAATCCGCACCACTAGCCAGGTCTTCCGACCCCTCGGCTTCTTCTGGGCACGGCATTGCGGCATGCTAGACAGTGAACCCTTTTCGATAGAAGACGTACCATTTCCCAATACTTCGAGCACGGAGAAAGATCAAAAATGGCGAACATGGGCCGCACGAGAGATCCAGCAGCGCGCCCTGTTAGCATACTATGTTCTTGATGGGCTCGTTGCACAGATGTCCGGTGATGGGGCTTCCACTCGTCATGTTGCGAATCCGCTCGTTCTTCCCAGCAGTGAGGCTGCATTCGACGCCAACAGTGCCGATGAATGGTTAACCCACATGCGCTCTCAGAAGGCAGAGCAGCCTTCCTTCCGGCTCATATTCCGCTCCCTATTCCCACCCACGAGTAGCTTCAGAGCTCTCGATTACCAGTTCTCCGCCTTCTCCCTTCGCGTGGTCCTCGAGGGCCTCCAGTCCCTTGTCTCAGACTCAGACGAGTACGACCTCACTGCTGTCGGCGTCCCAGGCCGTTCCGACGTCCGAAGAGCTCTAGCTCAAGTCCACGAAACCATTACAATGAGCATCCACCTCTCCTCCTCAGAACGCCTTGAGGTCCTTCTCCGCTGGCACACTATCTGCCTCGACACAATGATCAACTCCACCGTCCTCTGCCGCCACGTCTGCTCACGCTACGACATCCCCCAACAAGTATCAGGCGGTTCCCGCACCCTTCGGCCGGGCTTCGACATGCTGAACTGGGTCAACACTGAAGACGCCCGCCGCGCCCTCCTCCACGCCATCGCCATCCAAGACATAATCGAGCAACTCCCCCGCGGCCGCGCCCACGTCATCCACATGCCGTCCTCCCTCTTCGCGGCAGCAACAGTCTACGTCGTCTTCGCCCTCACAGGAATCGCAAATATCCATCTCCCCCGCACAATCGTCTGGCAGGACGCGTTACTCTCGCACGCCGACCTGAATCTCGGCTGCGAGACTGCGGTCAGACCTTCCACTGGCTCTGAAACGAGCCGATTTGTGGCGGAGGGACGGACGGATTCCCCGCCTGGTGTTGCAGCAACCCGGAACCTGCTGTACGAGATGAATTCGATGCAGAAGTTGTTCCGGTGTTTGATTTCGCAGTGGGGCATCGCGCATGATATGGAGGAGATTGTTAATCAGTGGATTATTCTGTGTCATTAGACCTCTTCTATTTCCTTTCGGCCATCGGCATTATGGGTCATAGGTACCTATTTAGGCGTTTCTAATGGTGGTTGGGTGGAAGGCGGTTTTCAATGTAGCGGCTCTGGTAGCCTTTTGGCGTTTATATATTCGGGCTGATTCATCCGGAATACAGGGAGTTGTGCAGTTATCCAGCTAACAGATATTGTACACGATGTAGATTTGCGTGTTGCATTTAGCGTTATTCAGAAGGTATGGGGGTTATATCATTTGCTTGTTTCAACTTAGTTCATTTCGTCAATTTGCGTTAGTCTCGTCTCCAGCTGCTTGCCGAAGAACGAACGGGGTAGCTCTGTATGTACAAGAAAGAAAAGATATAGACGTGAGTAGGTATGTAATGCAATGCTTGCGATGCAACTGGAAAAAACAAACAACATTCCAACGACCCGAAGAAAAAGGGGTATCGACTCTATGCAGTCTAATGAGCAAATTGGATCAAGCTCAAGATAGAAAAACAAATAATGATCAACGCATAAAATGCACGCCGGCAAGATGAAGATGTGAAAGAAACGCTCGTAGATTCGCAAAAACGACGATGCGTATGCTTGAAATGCGATGCGAGTAGTGGACTTATATAAGAGGCTTGTGAGCGGGAGGAGCACGAGAAGTTTGCTCTAATTTCATAAACGCTCGAGTCATGGCGGCTCCAACTTCCTTGAACATGTCATGCATGATGGATTCGGACTTTGTAAGGCACAGGCCGTCTTTCAAGGCTCGTTCCTTGAAATATGGCAACATGCTGTCCCAGAACTTGCCGAATACTGTCTCGAGCGGGTTCTGAGCGGCTGGAATGTCGGAACCAGGAATGACGTTGGAGTTGCCAGGGCTCTGTTTCACAACCGGTTTGATCATAGACTCTGGATCGGTCAATTCTGTGCGGGGACGAGGTGCGGCGCGGTCGGGCGAGACTTCGTCTTCACGGAATCGCTTAAAACCTGCCACAGGAAGAGCCGGAAGAGCCCGCGAAGCGGGGAGAGCCGAAGTTAATTGTTCTTTTATGTTCGATAAGAGCTGTCGACTGCTCACTAAATCGTTATTCAGGGCGCGAAGTTGGTTCGTTCGAGCAATGGCCCGGTAATCCTCAATCTTCTGGTATCGAGCCCAAAGAGCAGAGGATTCGTCCTGCTTAACTGGAGATTGAGAGGAATTGGTGGAAGGCGGAGTGACGAGAGGCTGAGGTTCCGGGTCTGGAAGACTCTTAACCCAGTCTGCGACTCGTTGCAACTTGTTTTTGGTCGGCACTTCAGGATCCCGTCCGACCAGCTGACCCAGTGCCTTCTCCTTTTCCAGCTGTTCCTTGAATTTGTCCATTTCCTCCCAGCGATCTAATAATTTCCGGACTTCCGGGTCTGGCAAATATGCAGGGTCCGTTTTGACCCCGTTGTTGATATTCATCTGGCATAAAGCCCGGTGTGCAATATACTCGTTGATGCGTTTCCGGCAGGAGAAGTGAGAATAGCGACGGCCGATTTCTTTTTCGAGAGCAACTTCGATCCCGGTCCAGAACTTCGAACAACTGACAGCGGATATTTCATTGTATCGGATTTGTTGTTGGCAGATCGAAATCAGGGCCAGTTGCTCCTTGACATTGAGGGGGCCCTTTTTCGGTTTTTTGTTGATTGCAGCCTCCCTTTGCTTCATCTGGAGGCTCTCATTCTTATGAAAAACAGTAATTCCCTGATCCATAGCTCATCCCACTCCTCCTTGGCCTCCTTCTCGATCGGTCGGAAAATGAAAGTTCGCGCAGAAGCGAGAGGGAGAGAAGGAGAGGAGAGAACAGGAGGATTGGGTTGCATGGTCGGGAGCTGAAAATCCCCGCCACTCGGAAAAAAGCAGGAAGGAGCGCGTTCTCGGGTACCACGCTCGGAGAGGTTCACCGAACCTCCGAGCAAGGCTCAGAAACACTATTTGCCAGTACTTTCCGCCTTTCTTTATTACTGCCACAACTGCCACGCAGATTTCTGAGCCTTTGTCCATACTAAAGTTCCTTTTATAGGTGTATCTTGCCCGTCGCAAAGGGGGGACCCCTAGCTCGCCCCCTCGCTCCTCAATCCCCTTCGGGGACATCGGGGGGACCCCCCCCCCTTTGCTCGAGGGCGCCTTTTCTCATTCTCTACTTGGGTATAGGGGCTTACTTGGTTGGAGGGCCGGGGTGGTGAAGTGGAATTTAAAAATAAGTGTAAAGTGGAAGTATCGCGGGTAGCGTTTCTGAGCCTCGCTCGGAACCCGCTGAACCTCTCCGAACAGGGACCCCGCGCGTTCTCCGAGCTCTCCGCGTCAGGAGCCAGCCCACGTGAGCCCGGAATATCCTCCGTCCTCGTTTTGAATTTTACACCGGCCTCGATCGATCTCTCTTGCGGTATGTAGATAAGCATGCTGGAATTGTCGGGGCTCGATCCTCGACCCGAGATCCGTCTGCGACTCTGCGTTCCACCGTCCACGATCGCCTCCCAGCCGCGCTGGTTGTCGGTCGCTCGGAGATGCCGCTCCGTCCGCTGACTGAGACCGATCAGACGGTGTACGAACATGGCCTCCCACTTACGATGTTACGGAGTAGTCTGCGGACATACTTGATATGCCAGCGGGAAATCAAGCATCTGCAATCTACCTTAACCGCTGGACTCGGTCTTCAAAGAACTTTGTCGCCCTTGTCGAGCGGTGTCCTGTCCTTGGTATATCTGGGCTAGGCCATGGTCTCTTCCATTAGACACGCACATTTACCTCCCGTGCAGCCTGTCTTATTGCGCTCTCGCAGGTCTCGGATAGATATGAGTGTGGTCGCGATAGACCAGTCGTTCATCCGTGCCGTATTGCCGATGCCTATAACTCCCTGCCGATCCCAGACCTCGGCACCAGCTCAGAAGTACGCCGTAAACGGAGCAGCTTAGCCCTAGCTAATGTGTCTATTGTCTGCTAAGTGAACCGGTGTTCTCGACCGTGGCCTTTACTGGCCGATTGAGAAATTTCCCCTCAGAAAAAGCAATGCGGTAGAAGTCTTGCTTGACTTTGTTGCGTATGGGCAGCATTGCTACCATACAAGTGGTTACTGGCCGAAAGCCAGGTATGCGGAGTACATTTCTAGGACTCTAGTGTAGACGGTAGCTAACTGGAAACTAGGAGGCAGTCTTATTTGGGCAATTGGGGAACTGCCCTAGGCTGGAATGTGCAGTAGTGGTGGTGGTGGGCAATAGTACCGGCGTCCACGGTGCAGGTGCCACCATGTGATTGCGTTCTCTAGAACCTTCAACCCGCTTCTTCCTCTCCATATCCCCGGACCAATCGACCTCCCTCTGTCAAAATGGCATCTCAGTGGAAACCATCGCTATTAGAGGCAACATCTACGCTGTCTTTTGAGAATGGGTCTTCAGACCGCTTTATAGCCAAAATTTCCCGTGACTGGTGCACACAGCAGTACGCTCCATCTCTACTCACCTACCACGTAACCTCAAGTAGTGAAACTAACCCGCTCGCAGTTCAGTTTTGGGAGGATATCTCACGGCCCTGATGCTCGCCGCCGCGCGGAAGTATGCCAGCATCGAGACAGAGGCCGTACTCAATTACCCCGACCCCGTACATGTCTTCGCCCAGTTTCTCCTAAAAGTCCCCCCAGGCCAAGTGTCTGTCTCTTGCAAAATACTCCGCGCCACATCACGACTATGCGTCGTCAGGGTGGAGCTAGAACTGCCCGGGCAGTCGAACTCTGGACACGGCCAGCCGCAACCATCCACGGCGTGCATTGCAATCGCTACATTTGCCGATCTGGAGAAAGAGAACGGACTGACGCAAGGTGCTACTGCACCTGAATCTTCAAGTGCACATCCAGCTCCGCTTCCCTCTCGGGAAAAGGAATGCATCACAATCGACGACCCGGTCGTAGACGCAACCCCCGTGACTCGCAAATTGCACTGGGTTGCCCCTCGCTCTGTCGATGGACGATGGGGTCACCGACTGGGTGGGCACCAGCGTGAAGTTTGGCTTTCATTTCGAGATGGGTCTGCCATTTCTGATCTTCTTCATCTGGCTCTGCTTACGGATATGGTAAGTAGCCAAGCTTCCTTCAACGGTCCCGACGTTTCGGTCCCCTTTGTCCACACGAGTAGATTACGTACTCTATGACCAATTGACAATGGGCAATCAATGGCTAATGCACATTACTCACGCCGGTCATAAAGCCCCTTCAGCCACCGGCAACCCACACAGCGGGCTTCTACACGCGCCATGCTCTCTCCACACTCTGTCTATCGGTGGAGTTCAAGAAGCGGCCCGACCCGAGCACGAAATGGGTCTTGGTGCGATCGAATTCACTCAGGGTAGCAGATGGGCGGTACGATGCGAATGTGCAGATTCTGAACGAGGATGGAGATATTCTCGCATTGGGCAATCATGTGGTGTATATCTCAGATTTGAAGGGGGAGAAGGAGCCGAAGACAGCGAAGATGTGAGAGATTAAGTTTCGAGAATGCGACTTCTTTTTTTTTTCTCGTTATGCTCGCTTTCGGACCTATCAAGTATGACTAGGTGGGAATCAATCTGTTATTGTTAGATAGGCATGTCGATCCCGTTTTTTCGTGTAGTGATTGATCATTGAGAACCTCATATGGTGGGGACTAGGTATTCCGTAGTGTCGCGTCATAGTATGGTAGTGCCACGTAAGCAAACGTAATTTAGATATCTGGTTAGTTAGAAATCAAGCCACTCATCAATTGGCAAGGTGGCCGAGTGGTCTAAGGCGCACGGTCCAGGCTGACCTGATCCAGCTAGTATCATAGCTTCCGTGTATCGAAAGGTGCGTGGGTTCGAATCCCACCCTTGTCATTTCTTTTTTGATTTTTTTAAGCTGAGCTTAGCACCAGGTACGGTATACGAGTATTCTTTGAGCTGAAGCTATCCCAGCATCAAGCAAAGCATGGCGAAGCGATAAATAAACATACATCATCAACAGTTCCAGAGCCAGTGTCGAGAGCGAGTAGGCTAGCGGTGTTGTGTACTTCCCAGATAAAGCCGGGCTAGGATGAGATGGTACCGTGATATATTTTGGTACTTGCAACGTGTTTGTCCATGATCAACACCGTACCTCACTCAGATCAAGCGATTAGCCAATGACCCCGGCACCTTAGTATGGACGATAAAGAACACGGCGATATGAGGGAATCATTGATGCCCCGTTAAGTACATTTTCATGTTCGCACTTAAATTACAGACAAGAAACAACCCTAATCCTTTTGGGCGCATCCACAAATTGAACCAATGTTGAATCCCTGTGTATGCTGCGAAGATCCCTGAATTTCCGTTCAATATCCGAAAGACCCAACCAAGGGCGAGATAGGAAAACAGAAAGCCAAACAAGAAGAAACAAGAATCACCAACGAACAAGAAGGTGAATAAATGCAGTGCAAGGGACCGATACAAGAAATCGCAATAGCCAGCAGCCAATAGCCAGTCTCGCACTTACTCCTATGCCGTCTCGTCGTCAGTTGCTTCGAGTCTGTCAACATAGCTCTGGCGAGGTGCAGCTGAAACACGCGAAGGGCGAGTGCGAGTCTGGCCGCGTATCCCCTGCGGCGTGGGCGAAGAATTCGGCGACTCCATGTATTCGTCCTCAGAGTCGGAATCCACCGGCGCAGCAGAGCGACGGGTACGGAAGAAGGAGCTCGAGGCGGCTGTGTCCCTGTTGCCCGATGCGAAGATGTCCTCCTGTTTCACGGGAACAACAACTTCGACTTGTTCTTGAGCGTCGTCGTCACGCTCGATGCTAGGGATGATGTCTGTGTCCTCGATTTCGATTTTTGGCGCGACCCCGGTGCTGTCAGCACCAGCTTCGCCGTCGTTATCGTCGTTTCCCACAAAGACAGACTTAATCAGAGCGCCGTTCCGAGCCAGGTTCTTGCTCGCCTTTTTGCTTTTACCAGTTGACGGGGTAGCGGTAGGCTTCAAGACGCGGTTCCCCGTACGAGGGGTCTTGGGAGCACTAGTGACTGTTCCATTCTTTGCTGCTTCGGCCTTGAGCTCGTCGGCCATCTTGCGATACTTTCTGCATTGGCCTTCAATAGAGTCGTATGTCGCGCCCTGCCCGAAAAGAGCAGCAACAGCTTTGTAGTCAGGCTGGGGAGGTCAGCGGGGATCTGAAGTGATGTTAAGGGGACAATTTACTTTGTTTGGGCTTGCACCTATGAGGGCTGCCACAAGGCGGTGCTGGCTATTGGGGTCTTTCCAGTTGACCATCTTGGTAAATGTGTTGTGGGTGTTTGTGAGAGATCAAGGAGGAGGGTTGGAGGGATCTGGCAGCGTGGGAGAGGCTGGCTCTGATAGAATCTGAAGAGCCTAGACTGTGTGATGTATGTATGTATGTGAAGATGATGTTAAAGGCCGAAGGGAAGGTAGTGTTGCTAAGGGAGAAGATAGAGGGAAGTGTCCACGTAATTAGAGCGGAGAGTGAGTGATGAGGAAAAAGAAGAAGAATCAAGGCCTGGCAGAAACTTGAATAACACATACATTGTTCTCTCTTACTCTGACTTGTAAACCCCTCTTCAGGCTCTTAACACTCACTTGGTCTTCTCTCTCTTCCCCTCCAACCTCTCTCTTTCTCAGACTCTCTTTTCCTTCACTCTGCCAACCACCCATCACCATCACCTCAAGCTTAACAAGCTATCTACAAGAATCCTTTCTATCAAGATCCGCTACACTTCAACACAAACACCGTCAAGATGCCTATCAAATGGTCTGCAGATATGGACAAGCTCGTATGTTCCTTTCACTGCTTAGCCAGATCTCCATCGCCAACACAAACAGCCAAGCTAACCATCATCTCTTATTACCACAGCTCCTTGTCAAGATCATTGAGACACACGACCTCAAAGTTGACGCGAAACGCGTTGCTGACGCATGGCGTAAGTCCCTACTCATACCCCTCTCCCAACCAGTCCTGCGAATCTCGAATCCAACTCAGTGAAAGTACCCTATCTGACACTTCACCTTGACAGCCGGAACCACCGAAGGCCAGGACAAGCCGACCCCCCGTGCCATCACAGAGCGCCTAGTCCGCATCCGTGCAGACATCAAAGCTGCCAAAGGCGAAGGCACGCTGAGCATTGGCACCGTGCCCAAGTCCAGCCCTGGCACGGCCACACCCCGAAAAGCCCGGAAGCCCGCAACCCCAACTTCTACTCCTGATTCCAGCAAGCGTAGAAGAACCGCAAGCACCATCACCAAGTCCTCGCCCCTCAAGCACGAGATGGACATCGACGGTGCCGATGCAACCCTTGCCGACGCCGACCACGAGCTTGATCATGATTTCGGCACGGGTCAGTTGAGCAACAACACCTTCAGCACCCCGACCAAAATTGGAAAGGGGCGTGGTCTTTTTGATATCCCCGCCCATCCTGGTACGCCCGCATCGCCTACCCTTACGCCCACTGGACTGTCGCCAGGGCAGACCCTGGATGCTCTCGCTGTACGCGCTGGGAGTAGCCTGGGCCTGAACATGAAACAGGAAGACGGGGTTGTTGGTGATGGAAGTCCTGTGAAGCGGACACCTCGTGCTCGTCGCGCGGCGAGCTCATTCAACATGGTCAACTATAGCGAGAACTTCGGAGATGATGATGACGACGTGGATGGCTCTGCTTCTGCCTCGGATTATACCCCCGACGGAGCGGTCTTTGAAGACGACGATTTCGCTTAGTGAAAACTGGACTCCGGATGATGGAGGTTCTTTGGTTCTTCAGCGCGTGTTTGCTGTTGGTCTACGGCCGAAAAGCTTTGGTCATTCTTGGGATCGTTTCCTTTTTTCTTTCCCCCTTTTCGTTCTTTCTTTCCTCATTTTCATCTTCGCATCTAAGCATGCCAGTCCTGTCTGGTGGATTTAGAGAAGATTAGCAATTTTCGCAAAGTCCAATACAAGACCGTACACCACGGCCCACTACCTGCCGGTGGACCTGGTCCTTTTCACCACCCTCCTCACCGGAAAAAACACTACTATAAATCAGACTCGAGACACCCCTAAGCACGTTTTTAACTTTAACCTTCATGAACCCATACCTCAAGAGAGATGAACCTCCAAGCCTTCCTCCCCACAACCAGCGTCCGCACTCTTCTCTATTACAGTAACGTGAACTTGCCTCTTTTCTCTTTCAATCTCTCATAATTTAGATAGCCCTATAAAGTTAAACGTCTTATTCCACTGGACCCCTACCTATTTGAAAAGATTCCCCCAGACTTTTCCCTCCGCACAGAACCAATCCTTCTCCTTCTCCCACCCTCTAACAACCAACTCCCTCCCAAGTCTAACCAACTCCTTCACCTGTTCCGCAGTCCCCCATCCAGGCGTCGTACTACCAAAGAAGATGAAGTGTGCGCCAGCATGAATGAGTGTCCGGAAGGCCATCTCCTCCGTGATATTCACGTGCCCATATCCCTCCACAAAGCCCTCGATAGCCCACAATCCTGAATCGATATCCTTGTAGTGCTTGAGCATGTACAGTTCCGCAATCATTTGCCCAAGATCAAGAGCGTAGGGCCCACGCTGGGCGAGCTCCCAGTCTGTAATGAAGAGCGGCGTTGCCGGTAAAGGGTCCTCGAGTGTTGTTTTGGGAATCAGGACGCTGGCCCTCTCGTTAGTACATATGGCTAAACTCAAGAGTCCCAGAGAGCAAAAGCATACTTCCCAGACCAAAAGTCGCCATGGATTGGCCCCGTATCATCCGATTGCGTATCGCCCAACTCCGCAGCAGCAGCGTCCCTAACCTCCTGAAAGACAGCCCGCGTACGGTCATCACCCAGGATATCCGGATACGCATCAACCATGCTCACCAGACTATCATAATTAATCGAGAACTTCAAATCCCGCATAACCGTGTTCGCCGCAAGCTGCTCCGCGAACTCCGTCTGTGCACCCGCCGCACTCCAGACGTGGAATGAGCGGAGCCAAGTACCCAACGTGCGCCCTATAGCCAGCGTCCAGTCCTTTGAAATACCCTGCGAGACACCAGAGGAGAGAAAGAAGGTCTTCAGGTCCACGGCATCGGGTAGATCCTCCATGACCTGCGTGTATGTCGCCGGGCTGAAGTGGAATAGCTTGGGCGGCTTGACGGTGATTTGATATCTCGCTCCTGACGCCGTGGCCGTGTCTTCATTCGTCGTGGTCACACCGTGCATGCCGTTAAGAGCCCTTAGGGCGGATTCTTCGAGCAGCTATGGGTTGACCGTCAGTGCGACCCCCAAACAGACGCGAGGTGGGCATGTATACGCATCGCTTCGCACTTAGCCTGAACTCTGCATTCGAGGCAAGATAGTCCTCCGCATGCTTGATGATCACGGTCGAAATGCCGTCCGCAAGCGGCTGGGATAAAATGCCGCGGTAGACGAAGTTCGCTGTTCCTCCGCTCAACCGCGTGAGTGAGGAGCAGGCAAACGGGCTGCTGGATAGATCCGCCGCGACGGCCTCTTGCACTTTGGTGTCTGCGTCTGCCATGATGCTGCTGCTTCGCCTACTTTTGGGACCGTCTGGCGCATTTTATACCTGCGTACTTGAACTTCGAGAATTGCGGGGTCCAGTTCGGGTCTAGCGGAGGATTGAATACGAAGTGACGTCAGGGTTGACGAAGTTGGACTACCTATGGAAGACAGAACGAGGAAACAGGAAGACCACCATTGGCATACCTTGGGACAAAAAGGCAAAAAGAAACATACAACATATCATAGTCCCCATGAGCAATGCGCTCTGCTTTTAACATACAGAAAAAAGGATCATGGGAGACTGACGACACGAGGCCGAATTAGCCCTAACCTCCCGGCACAAGATACCCCAGCCCAGTCTCCCAACCACCAGCCAAGAACCCTTCAAGAAGGTATACCACAAAGATCACTGGATAATGTCTCAGCCTCTTGCATCTTAATTATATTAGGCGAGCTTCTATCTGAATCCGACATGCGAAGTCCCCTGTTAGGAAGCAACATTAACCACCCCGCAGGAAGAGGATCGTTCACACCATCGGAGTTGACAAGCTCGAGATGACCTCGGGATACTCATTACCACCTAAGTCACCGCACACCTACCATTTTGCTGCAAATGATTCATACGGGATGTGAAGCCCTCGACTGGGGGCCTTCGCCATCCTGTCTGGCCTCTCTCATCGCACGCAGGATATTCATCAGTTCGAAATCTGAAAACACCGGCTGAATCTTGCCATGCTCTTCTTCCAGGATCGTCGGCAGCGGCCGGTCTGGGAAGACCATGGGGAAGGAGTGGTATAGGGCAGCCATGAGAATATTGACCCGCCCAGTACGAGAGGACAAGTCATTGCAATAAGGCCGTCTGCTCTGTGGTCAAGAAAGATGATTCAGTTATGCAGTCCTCAAGGACTTTCTGGTCGGCGTCGAGGCCCCAATACGGCCAGCCCTCGTCAGCGTCCGTAGCCCTTTGCGCTAGCTCAACTACCTAAGGACGGGCCCTGAGTCTCATCCCGGACTTTCAACGGTACGCCATTCTCGGACTTTGCTAGAGATACCAGCTGCATGGCGGAAATGGAGTCTCCGCTTAGGGCTAAAAAGGATCGCCGCATGTCCATGTTCTCCACTGGCAACCGGAGCACTCTCGCGCACATGGCTCGCAATAGCTCCTAGTGAGAAGTTGGCTTAAAGTGATTTTGAATATGGTCACGGCTATCTCGTCAAAATCATTGGCGCTTATTTCTCCCAAACGGTCCGTGAGACGGCGACGATCCACCTTGTGCGGCGCGGATTGTGGTAAGTGCCATATGCGAGTGCAATCCAGGCGGTTGGCACCGTGTACTCTGGCAAACTGTCCATCAGAGCCTGGAGAATTGCACGCAGCTGAGCATGACCTCGGGATCCTTATCAGGCGTTATGACTCGAATCTCAGCGTCTGGGGTGGATATGAGCACATCGGCACCACAATCCCGACCAGGCGTTCGGCACATGGGCCACGCGCAGGACAAACAACCAACCCTTCTACCACCGCGGCCTGAAGCAAAACCTGGTGCTCGATCTCTCTCCTCGATCTCTACGCGTTGGCCGCGAATTTGAGCCGCGAATCGGTCCGCCCGAGGTACGCTAGAGCCCCATTATCGCGTTGGCGGATGCGATCACCGGTTCGATAGACATGTGGATCAGAGTCGCAGCCAGTGCTAAACCCATAACGAGATATCCAGGCTGGGCGGCTGATAGATGCTGCTGAGTTGCCCCAGAGCATCCAAGTAGCCGCGGGCCAAAGTAGGGCTGGAGGCTTCACCTGAAAGCAAGACGGTGTGTACCCCGGGTACATCTTCTGGACCAAGAAGACAGTACTCGAGGCGTTACACCGAGTCTGTTCACTTTCATCCGATTGATAGCTGCGGCCAAATTAGACAGCCTCTCTTCATCCGAGGGCACGCATACACAACCTCCCAGAAGAAGAGTGCTTATTATATCGTCGAGAGCAGAGTCAAATGGCAGGTTGCTGAACTGGTAAGCACGCGTGTTGGAGTCCAGCCCAAGCTGCGCCCCATGTGCCAGGACACTCGTCGTAATCGATTGATGGTCAAGGACACGATTCGAAAGGTACCATGAGGTTGCTGGAGCTTCACTCTATGTGGTGAAGACTTTTGGGAGCAGATCAAGATATCTATCTTTGAGGCAGCCTTGACCAAGGGAGAGAAAGTCCTTATCCATTCAGCAGCTGGGGTTGTAGGTCAAATGGCTGTTAGCCTTGCCCACAATGTGGAAGCAGAGGTATTTGCCACAGCAGGAACTGAGTCCAAACGCAAGTTTCTATACAGCCAGTACAGTCTCCCTGGCTATGGCGTAGACGTGCCTTGAACTCGCCCGGTGGCGATCTCCTCCGCGAAAGTACCAGCCTGATGGCAACTGGCCGTGAAGAGAAAGAAGACTTGATAATGTCGATGGGATTCCTGCTACTCAATGTCATCTTCATCTAAGTAGACCTCGGTGCGGTCATCGAATAGAATCCACCGTTAGCAAATAGTCTTCTGTCCTCGTCACAGCCCTCGTTATGATAACGCATCGTCGGAGAAGGACGTTGCTGCATTGACCACAGTCTCTGGTCGAGAAGGCCTGCCTCCGATCCGCGGAGTCATCCGCGCAGGAATGGTTCTGCAGGTACGTACCGGCCACGTCTCTCAACTAGCCGACATGCCCCTGTCAAGTTGGAAGAAGGCCCTAGCACCCAACTTCCAGGGCAGCCTGAACCTCATCTGAGCCTTCCGCGGCGCCAACAACGTCGAATTCACCTTTTACAACTCTCAGCGATCTAGGGGTACCTTTAAATAAGGGCTCCAAACGCTTTAAAACTATTATAAATATATATTTTTACTATTTTAATTTTATTTTTAACTTTCTTTCCCTTTTTTTATTACTCCCCGCGGTATAATAACTAAAATTAAGGCGTGTATTTTTAACTAGCCTACGGGTATTAACTTAGCTAACTTCACGCGGCTATAAAACTTTTTATCCCTTTTTAACCTTTGTATTATAAAAAAATAAAAAAAAAAAGGGCCCTAGCAAGCCTATTTTTTTTTTTTTATTATTAAAAATAATAGCGTGTTAACTCCCTAGCCTAGCCTAGTTATAAAGGCTCTTTATAATTAACTTAATAAGTAAAAGTACTAGGTATATATTAAACGCGAAGTTTTTACAGGCTTTATAGCTATTATTAATAGCTTTATAACTAGGTAAAAAACTTAAAACTAAAAAGCCTTTACCTATAATATTTATAGTAAGTTTATATGCTTTATTTTCCTGGAGGGCTATGCTAATATTAATAATATTAACTATATTTTTTTATATATATATAGCTAGCCTGTTATTATAATAACCTTTAGCAAGACTATTACCTGGGGGGAAATAGGTTTAACCCCTAAAAACTTAGGGGCTTAGCCCACCCCTTTTAAAGTAAGTTTTTTTATCTTAATTAATGCTATCTTGGGCAAGGCACCCCTAACTATTAAGTTAGGCGCCTTAGTAGCCTAATTAGCGTGTAGTAGCTTTACCATAGCCTTAACCGCGCGTGATAATTATAAGGTGCTAATTACCCTTTTTAGTAACAAGCTAATAGCACGCCTAGAGGTATATATAGTTTAATAAGCCCTTATTAAGTGCGTGCTAGGACTAACTATAACCATAGCTATTTTTAGGATTAATACCACCTGTACGGGCTAGGCCATTATTTTTAATAACCTTTTTACTAAAAATTTTTTAGTGGCTAATAAAGTAATTAGTATAATTTACTATACCCTGGGCGCTACTAATATACACGTTCCTTAAAAGTAGTATAATTATATAATATAAAAAGTGCCTAGTAGTATTTTAGCGTATAATAATAGTAAAATAAATATTATTAAATTAATTTAAAATAAAGTTATGGCCTAAACTAGACTAAAATTAATTAAGCTTGCTTTTTTAAAACATGGGCCTAATCCTAATATTAAGCATATTACTTAGGTGGTATTTTTTTTAAAGTAGCCTAGGACTTTTATTTTATTTAACTAAAATAAGTATTACTAGCTTATTAAAAAATACTAGCTAGTATCCTAGTATAACCCTAGGTATTAAAAATACTACCACCCGGCGTGATATAACTACATAGTACACTATGTATAGTATAATATAATAACCATGGATTACCTAGGTTTTATTAGCTTAAACTGTAAAAACCCTGCGCGCTATATAAACTATTTTAGCCCCTGGTTAGTAAGGTATAATAATTGCCCGGTGGCCCCTAGGCGCAAGAATAAAAGGCTAGTTTACCTATTTAAAAAGAAACTTAATAGCATGCGTTGTTATAGCGCCTGTTAATACTAGAATATACACGCCCAGGTTAATACTAATACCTAACTCCAGGCAAAAACTAAAAAGTCTTTACCCTAGGAGAACCCCTGGAAGCGCGCCGCGAAGGAACTAAAGGTGGATAAGCAGGGCTTTATACTAGTTACTAATTACCACACCCCGCGGTTTAATGCTTTTGCCAGGAACTAGAACCTTAGGTAGCTTTTTGCTAAATTAATTTAGCTTGCCCAGGCCAAGGCCAGCGCCAGCACGCCCCCTTTGCCCTAGGTAATGGAGGTTAACCTTGAAACCCCCTTTAAGCTTTAATAACAAAGCACCGGAGAAGGAACCACGGCAACTATTGTTATAATAATGCCTAGTAGTAGCAGGATCTTATTATTTACTAGGTAAATATAGGCAGGTTTATGCCTAGCTATATTATAATTTTATAACTAGCCTATAAGTAAGATTATAATATTACCTATATTTAAAAGCCCTGGACCACCGTAGGTATAAAAACTTAAAACTACCTAGTATATAAGTGCTACGCGTTAGTAAATATTTAAAATAATTATAAAAACTAGCTAAAAAAGCGCCCTAGGGTACTTACCTATATTTATAAAGGGGAAGCATTGCGTGCTAAATAATATTACTTAGTATAAAGCTAGGACATGCTTTAGCTTATAATAA